CGTTGGACTTCCGGTGAGGAGTTAGCCCATGTAGTCCCAGTCAACTGACCCAAAGCATCCCATTCGCCCAAAGCGTGCAGACAGCGCATCTTGCCCATAACAATCTCCACTGGCACTGCTTGGTCGTCAGGGATCTCAGCTTCGCGCTTATTATAAAAGGCGAGAGCCTCCTCCCACCTCTCCAGCTTCTCAAACCAAGTCTCACGCAGTTGAATGCCGTCTTTGTAAAGCTGGGCTTTGCGGAGGATACCGATAGCCGCATCAGACTGCTGAAGCTGGTTGTTGATGACAATCAGCGCTTCGACCGCGCCACTGCTCTGATCCTGAAGGAATTCCAGTTCCTTGTAGTGAAGAGCCTTTGCGTAGGCGTGGCATCGAGCGGCTTCTCTGCCGAGAACGCGGATGTCGATAGGCAGCGCCTTGTCATCATGCTCCATGAACTCGGCCAGGTGCAGGAGGAGGTTGAGCAGATCTGGAGTCACATTCTCCGACTTTATCGCATTCTCAAGGTTGAGAATAAGCTCTTCCTGGAACTGCTCATAGAGTTCACTCCAACAGCTTACGAATGCCGAATTGAAGAGTTCTCGAGCAAGCGGCAGATAGACGCTTGCCAACGAGGCGCAGGCTCTGAGCGCGTGGTTTGGTGACTCTGTCAACAGCGTCGTGCTGAATCGACGTAGCCATTCTTGCCAGTCCTCCTTAGTTGATTTGCCTCTGGTGTCCCAGGCGGATTTCAGGTGTATGGCGTTCATCTCCAACTTCTTAGTTCCGAGATCTGCGAAAGGCGTCTCGTCAACCTGGTCAACAAAACGAGTCTCGGAGCTCAGGTCCTGTGGCAGGACGCCTCCCTCCTTGAGACGATTGACAAGCAGGTCGTAATTAGAGTGCTGTATTCCGTTGTCCCGGAGGATTTTTCCAACAGTGTGAGAGAAGTGAAGGTAGTCACGACCCAGCTGCTGGATGAGAGCACAAAGTGTGTCCATTGCGGCCATCCGTAGGGTCACGTCATTCGTTTGCAAGACTCTCGTGAGAGGATGGATAATCTTGGCAGCAAAGTCGTTGAGATTTACCTGCCGAGAGATTTTGCCGATCGTCTCAATCGCAGAGCGGCGCAAGACCGTTGGATTGCTGGGCTTCTCAAACGTGCGAACGATGACCGGAATGATGAGATGCATATACTCTTCTGCACTCGAGCCAAAGACCAGGAATGCATGAAGAACCTTCTCGGAGGCGGTGCGCTTAGGAACTGTCTCGTGCTCGAGAACGTGGAGCATCATGGGCAAGAGCCCGGCCAGATAGACCTTGAACTCGCCCTCTAGGGACCGGGAAATCGCTTCGACTAGCGACAGAATTGTCGACTGCAAAGTTGGCGGCTTGTCGGGGAAGAATTCCTGGAGGAGGTCCACAATCTCAGGCAGGAAATTGCGAATGTGTTGACGCACGATGCTGACCAACATGGCGAGTTGATTGAAATACGATTCGCGCCGAGGACCATTAGTGCTGCGGATGACCATCAGGAAGGCAGGTATAATGCGATCCAGAAAAGACACGCATTCCAGACCGAGGGTGCGAAAGATGTTCATGATCGCATCAATGACTTGAGCATGGTAGGACACCAAGGAATGATCCTTCAGAATGTTGAGAAGTGCGTTAATGACAACAGTGGGATAGTACTCCTTGTTGGACGGCGTCAGGCCAGTCATCATCAGCGAGACGTCAGTCATTGCTGTGGATTCAACACGCCTTGAAATTTCGGGGGTGCGCTCTTCCACTTGCTGATACCGGTAAGGATCCAGGGCACCCAGGATGCCGAGAAGCTTGATTGTCTCCTGCCGAAGTGGTCCATGCTGGGGCTCGCTGCGAATGATGTTCTGTAATAGCTCGAGAAGCTGAGGGTGATCCAGGTACGGTTCAATGACATAGCCAGAATTGCTGGCCAACTGGCCAAGCGTATGAAGAGCAGCCTCGCGCTTCTGAGCAGAGCTTTGGTCCTGCAGAGCCTCGATAATCATGGGCATAAGCTCATCCTTGTATGGCAGCATGCTCTCTCCACCAACCGCACACAACTCGCCGAGCGCTTTGAGGATGGTGGCAGCGACAGAAGGGGATTTATCGCTAGCCTTAGGAAGGAGAACTTTAACCATAGAGTCGACGTAGGGGTTGATGATTTCCTGAGCATTCTGGACCAACAGCGACAGAAGCTTGGCACTTTCTTCCTTGTTCCTTGCCACGTTGGAAAATTCAAGCTCGGTAAGCATTTGGATCAGAGTCTTGCGGAGGGAAGGGGCTACATAAGCTGGATTGTACCTTGCAAGTCTGCCAATGATCGAGATTGCCACCTCTCTGATAGGGAAGTACTCGTCGTTGAGGGCGAAAAACAAGGTTCGAATATTCTCAGCCTTTGAGAGATGCCGGTCGAAGCGCTCGTCGAGCGCTGCGAGGACTGTGCGACGGATAGTGGGATCCAGGTCCGAGACTCCCACAGTCAACAGCTTCTCTATGACCTCGCCCACAACGGCCAGGGCGTGGTAACTCGTTTGGTTGACGATTGGGTCACGGACGTAGAGCTGACAGCACGTCAACGCCGCTGCCTCCCGTATCTCCGGGTCGTCATCCTCGACGTATTTGATAGCGACGTCGCGCACGAACTCATTAAGGACATGGCCTACAGTCAGGATTATTAGTTAATGCCAAAACAGGCACATAGCCAACTTCGAATAGGGGACACAAGGTGCAATTAGGCTGATGTAGGCCATGTTGACATAACGTACCTGAGAAATCGAAGCTGCCCAGAGTGTTAAGCGCCAGCTTGATCTCAGCTTTCCTATGCTCATACGCTAATGGGTCCTTCGGATCTTTCTGGATGACGGGCACGGATGGGAGAGTGTTTGGCTGCGGAGCGCCGAGCGGCTTGAAAGGCTGTCCGCAGAGCACCTTGCTGAGCATATCAAGAAGCCTCTCCTGGATCGTGGCTTTGACTGGTGGTATGTAGAAAGCCATATCGACAAGAGCTTGCGTCAGCTTTGGCGTGAGCTCGCAAGCAAAGATCGGTGCCAGGAGTGCCTCCATGTATTTACTAAGTGTCTGGCCGACAGCAACGGCAAGCCGACTGATGCAGTCAAAGACAGGGTCGACAGAGCCGCGCTTACGGGATGTCACGCTCAAGCCCTCGCGTACATAAATCAGCACGCCGTCAAGGTACGGCGCTATCGCACTCTTGACTGAGTTGGCGATATTGCCGATGGCAAGGAACGCGTCATTTCTCTCCTTCTCCTTCTTGAGCATGCTGGAGAGGTGAAGCATGAATCCGTGTAGCCGAGTTGACGCAAATTCGGATGGCGCGTAATTAGCGAGGTCTGGAATGAGCAGCACGACAGTCTTGCGAATGGTCGGGTCCCGGTGGTCCTTAAATCGAGACACGATGTCGCACGCCTCTTGGTAGTGGTCCTGCATGTACATGCCGCCCTGCTCCAGTAGCTCCTTCAACACCAGAAGAGAAGCGTGGATCGACTCGACGGAGCCAGCCTTCAAGCCCTGTAACGCCTCATTGTACATCTTATCCATCCAGATTTGTTTGAGCTCTTGGTCTCGCTCCCTGATGATCCGGAAGCACGCGCTAACGCATTCGGCAGACGTTGCTCGGATCAGGTGTCGTTGGTCCCTCAGTCCCGCCCACAGCATGTCGAAGACCATGCCAACGTACGCATACATGAGTGTGGGCGCATTTCTAGCGAGCTCCCGCAGAACAAGCACGGCGCTGTATCTTCTCTCTTCGATGCGATCGGACTGCAGCCACTCCAGGGCGTTCTTGGTCTCGGCCTCGACCAGCTCCGAGATGATGGACCCGCCGGGCCTACACAGCTTTCCCAGGACCTCAGCAGCAGGGCGCATTGGGTTTATGTCCTTTCCTCGCAGGATCTGGCGGAGATTTTGCGTGAATCGGGTATATTTCGTTGCCATATCGATCCCCTCGAAATCGACCAGCGTGTCGACGATGTAGACGCCTCCGAGACGCTCGGCCGTGTCGTTGCCATGGATGATGAGGTTGCTGATTGCCTTCTGCAATTGGGCGGACAGGATCGCGAAGTTTTCGGGAGCGAGCTCTGGCAGCCGGTCAGTGTCAAGGTCGCGCGAGCAGTTACACAGAGGCAGGGAGAGTAGGACATACCGCGGTGGCACCTCTCAACAATCGCGTCTCGCAGTTGCCTGGCAAAACGTTTGCGCTGGTCCTCAGAGATGGTCCTGGACTTGATCTCCCTGAGCAGGGTGTCCAGGTTCTCGAGGGCAATCTCGAGGGGCCGGGACGCTTGGTTGGCCATCTTGTCTCTGATGGCTGCTGTCCCTACACTGGGCAAGCTTCGAGGGCCTATTTCATTCTGCGGAGCACAGGCTGGGGGATTTGAGGCAGTTCAGAGGCTCCGCCCACGCCTTATGATATGATTTGGGTTGTTGCGCCAGGGTGAGGTCACCCAAGCTTGTCTCGACGTGTACGCGGTGATTTGGGTGGTGCTGCAGTGCCGCCAAACAATGCAGGTGGACGACAGGGTGAATGAAAGCTACCCGGAGAGGGGCAGCAAGCAGACACAGTTGACTCAGTATAAATGGAAAAGGGCAAGGGAAGGGCGAGAACAACAAGGCAAGAGTTATTACAGTATACTGCCAACTCACCGAGAGGCAGCTGGTGTAGCTCTCTCCTCCCGCGGCCCTGTCTACCTACCGCTTGCAGTCGGCATGGGCGGGCATCAAACCCCCTGAACGAATCACGGACCCCAGCTTACGCTTATCGATAAATAGCCGTTGCACTCTTGCGCAACAGCATAACCGACTGGGTACCACACTCGTGGAACGCCACTGCTTTCATTCCAACTTCCCAATCCCACCTTCTTCCTTCTGCGCTGACTCGCAAAACCACAAACGCCAAGGCACTGACAGAATTCCAAATTGCATCCCGAATTCGTTGCTCACTCCACCACGATCACAAACAGCGATTCTTGCCTACCATGGGAAACGATGGCGGCTCCATCCCGAAGCGCCGCGAGCTCGTCAAGGAAGCCGCCCGCGCCCAGACCGTCAGCGAACTGAAGGCCACAGCCCTCGAATCCCTCAGCCACGCATGGACACAGGACCCCTTGTCCTCAGAGCCGCTCGACATGGAGAACGTCGCGTCAGACTGGAGAGGCAGGCTCTACAACTACGAGTCCATACTAAAGGGGCTGGTGCCGAGCGTAGACGGCGACGAGGGAGACGAGGAGCAGGCCAACGGCAACGACATGACATTCGCGTCGACGGGCATCAGGAGCCTGCGGGACATCGTGAGGCTGCGGTTCAAGCGGTACAAGCCGGCCGGGTCAAAGGAGAAGGAGATCTGGGCGTGCCCCGTCAGCCTGAAGGAGCTGGGCCCGGCGAGCAGGGCCGTCTACATCGTGCCGTGCGGCCACGTCTTTGCCGAGGTGGCGATCAAGGAGATCATGGATCAGGAACACAACTGCCCCGAGTGCAGCGAGCCGTTCGAGGCGCAGGACGTCGTGCCAATACTGCCGACCGAGGAGGCGGACCTGGAGAGGGTGACCAAGAGGATGGAGGATCTGCGCGCAAGAGGCCTGACACATAGTAAGAAGAAGGACAAGAGCGAGAAGAAGAAGAAAAGGAAGGCTGGTGATAAGGAGGGCGATGGGCCAGACGGCGCGAAGAATGGAGATTCGGAGAACGGCCGTCCGGCAAAGGTCCAAAAGGCAACCAAGAACGATGCCCCCTCCATCAACAACCCTATGGCTGCATCTTTAACCCGTGCGGTTATGGCTGAGCAGGCTGAGAGGGATAAGCGGCGAAGATTAGCATCGGTCCGTGGCTAATTAGCAGACCTGAGGCAGGCGAGCGTCTGTAAAAGTGATGTAAATTCCGAATTCATAGCAAATATGACATTATGATACCCTCGCTCCCTTCTATATCTGGACCCTATCTCTAGCCTATGATTTTACAATGGTGTGGGTGTCAGAGATCGCTAGAACTTCCACTACAGAACGCCTCACCTGTTTGCTGTTACCTGTTCCATTTACAGCTCGTCCTTGGACCTGACTCCTGGCTCGTGGACGTCTTCGCAGGCAGCTGGTGTACCCACCTCCATCTTGTACACACACTTCTCAGACTCGCTGACCCTCCAGATCTCCTCCGTCTCAGCACAGCCAAGCCAGACGTCTGTCCGTCGCTGGGGCCCGTTCCAGCAGCTCTGGCCGTTCTCGTACCGCATCACCTTGCGTGGTCCCTTGCCCAGGCTCTTGCCGTCTAGGCGCTCCTCGTCGTCGGCCTCCTCGATGTCAAAGCGGGTGAATTTGCCCATGTTCGTGTTTCCGTGGCCCTTCTTGGATTTCTGGCTGGTCTTATCAAGCCAGCAAATCTCGTAGGTGTATTCCCCGCTGTCAACATCAACACACTTGTCCTTCAGGACTCGGAAGATGTCATCAGGGCCGTAGTCCTTCTTGAGGTCTTCTTGCTGCTCGCCGAGGGTTCGCTCCTTCTTGGACAGATCATCAGAGACCGCCTGGAAGGCCTCACGGGCAGCAGTCACCAGCTTCGACTCGTGGCCAGACGAAGGGTTGTCCGCGACGATGCCGTTCTCGATCAGCCATACCCTCAGGGCGTTGAACTTTCCATGGAGGTAGGCCCGCAGAGACTCGGGCAGGTAGGCCTCAATGCTGTAGACTGCTAGGTGTTAGCGAGTGCGTTCATGTCACAAGAGTTCTGCGAGACTTACGGATATCAGTGTCCACAGCCTCCTCGCCCTCGAACTCATTCCAGTTGATTCCAGAGCTCTCGCCGTCCACCTTCAGGATCTCATCTATCTCGGACTCCTTAAGCTCGGGTTCCTTAGCGTCTGCCGTCTTGGCGGCGTAGTCCTCCCAGCCCTTGACGGCAGCTTTCACACCCTCGTCATTGAAGTTGGGGTTGTACTCCTCCTTGAACTTCTTGAGGATCTCCTCCAGCTCGTTGACGCGCTCCTGGAGTGAATCGCGCTGGTCTAGGACCTTGTCCAGGGTGTCGCGGAGTTCGCTCACCCTGCCCTTGGCCAGTCCCAGTAAGACTCCCAGCTTGCCACCCTCGCCGTCTGTCTTGACGACCTTTCCGCGCTCGGACCGCTCGACCTCTTGGTACTTCTGCTCCAGCTCGTCCTTCTTGGCTTGCAAACCCTTGATCTCCTCCTCCAGGGATGTGATCTTAGCCTCCACCCTGCGTCGAAGTTCTCTGGCCTCCTTCGACATGGTCCTCCGGCGCTTAGCGGCCTTCTCCTTGGCCTGCTTTCGAGCGTCTTCGAGCTTTCGGTACTCCTTGCCGATGGAGTCACAGCGGTTCTGGCACTTGACACCGCCAGCATGGGAGTATTCCTCGCTTCCATCGCAGCAGAGGTCGTAGTCGCATACTCCGTCGTTCACAAAGACGAAGGGCACATATGAGCCGATGTGGCCGGCGTTCTCGCACCAGAAGCCAGGCAGGGCGTTCGTGACGTTGGTCGTTCCGCTTGTCGAGGAAGGCAAGGGCTGTTCCGGAGATAAGGGGTCAAGATGTGCGCAGGCAGCAGTGCCTGGCTCGTCAGAGCCATCGGGGCAGTCGCAGCTGTTGTCATTGATCTGAGAGGGTTTGAGGACGATGGAGGGATGCCCGATGCATTGGAAGGGCTCTTTCGTCGAAAAGAACTTGGCGACTGTGTCTCTTGTCAGTCCATTGCCGTTTGAGAATATTAGACGTCATGGTAGCATGACAGGAGTGGGAATTGGCCCGTTGAAGGTCAATTGGGTTCCAAGGTGTCCTCGACACGTTGGCCTGCACGGTGACTTACACTCAGGGCCGACACCTCGAGGCAAGCTCCCAGCAGCTGCCACCCGAGAACTGGCAAGGGTGCTCAGAAGCACCACCAGGCCTTTTTGATGCATTTCCGAACTCGACTGCCCTGTTCTCCTGGATGTACAAGAAAACACACAACAACTCTTCGTGTCGTCGTCGTGCAGCAGCCCAGGATTGTGAAGGTTGGGAGTTGTGGTTGAATTGTGGCCTTGACCATTAGCATGAGAGCATTGCTGGCAACTCCAGAAACAGCCCCCTGTTGCCGGCCAATCACGTAGCACGACCCCAGGTTTTGAGACCGGCCGGCAACCCCATGGCGCTGATAGCTCCGTGCCTGCCCTCGACCGTGCTCCCAGGGCCTGCCTGCTGCTCTAAGCTCACTGAAGTTACCCCACTGTGAAAACTGCCCCGCCATCTCTTCCAAAAGTTCAGTTCGAGTTCAACGGTCACTCTGGCGAGGCAGCAGCCGTTGAGCGAGTGCACATCTGCAGAGGACGAGCTAGCTATCGCATAAGATGGCCTCGACAACTCCAAAAGGGCTCGAAGAGCTCAGCTCTCTGGTCGACAGCGCTGTCACACTCATCCAGAGCCTCGAGGCGTCTCTTAAAGATGTCGTCGACTCCAACAGTGACTCAGGCCCGTCCGCAGACAAATGGGCCGCCTCGAGGTCACCAGAGGACGATTCAAAGCCTCTGGACTGCCTAGCCCTCGCGAGAGACTCAGCAACCCTGGTCAAGGCTCATGCCACCAAGATTTCTCTCTTTATTATCACCGAGCCCTTCACGCCATCTGCTATCTCAACGGTGCTCAGGCAGCTCATCCAGGAGCCCATACCCGCCATTGCCTCGGCCGTACAGCTATGCCACGCCGACTCATACACGAAGCTTATCCGCCGGGATCTGGCTTGGAGGTGTGGACGGGTTCTCAAAGAGACGAGAGAACTCATCCAGAAGATCCCCAAGGACGGAAAGGTTCTGCCACAGGGGGAAGCGGGATGGTCCGTCTAGTGCGAAGGGGGGCAAAGGCAGCATCATGGCGACCGGCGTGCTATGGAATGTCTGTGACGAGGTCATTAACTTTGCCAACCTGGGCGTGGTGGGCCATCTTGTTCACAGGGCAGAGCATTTCAGGGACACGCTCAAGGACGTCATGGAGGAACTCAAGGAATGGTCCGAAGAGCAGGATGAAGAGGACGACGACGACGATTCCGACGATGCGGACGAAGGTCAAGACCAAGACGTCCAGGATCTTGCCGACGGCGTGAACAACACCCATATCAGCACCCAGGCTATGATCGACGACCTCATGAACTCCAACACCGTCATCCCACGCGACGATCCTGACAAGATCAGAGACCGGCTAGACTCAACCTTGCGTAGGCTGCGGCTTACTGTCCTGCTCTTCCAGGCCCTCATCAAGCGAAGGCTCAAGACACTGCCAAAACTGCCCCTGGCGCCTCAGGATGACTCGGTGGTCGTCTCCCGGCTGGATGAAGTACTCCCTCTTCTTAGGAAGATGGCAGACCGTTTCAACAGTCTTGCCGTCGCATTTTACGATCTCGACTCAACAGAAATCACACGGCTCATGGACCAGTGTTTCTTCGATGCCTTTGCGGTCTCGGAGCTTTTAGCCAAGCCATGGGCTGGCCAAAAGGACGAGTTTACGGACTGGGTTACCAAGTTCCAGGTCGAGATCAAAAAGAGTTGAAGGATATCGAACGACGACATGAGATCGCTATAGAGCGATAAACAGAGGCCTATGCAGTTGCCAACTCGCTCCCTGCGATGCTGCAATACCAAATATGTTGTGAGCAGACTTCTTGAACATGGTGTACTTCTTGTACTCCGGTGTTCCAGACTCCAGAGCAAGCAGATTCTCTCTGTCACCGCTCCCCTTCATCTCTTATTGGTGACTGGAATGAGGATTGAGAAAATCTTAATTTGCCGAGGTCTTCTGAAAGAGAAGAATACGATCCATGCGGGATCAACAGATGAAGTCTGTTGCTTTGGTAGTCACATATCTGAAATCATTGACACTCATATCCTGGTCCTTCAACATCATTAAGGACCCGCAACCCTGGGACAAAAAGCGAAAAAAGCGAAACAGCGAAGAATTAGAAAGCAGTCCAGCCTATGAGACCAAGTGGGTGGGAACGTTGGCCTACACAGTAGGCACAGAATAGAGCTCAGGGGTGAGAATTGCTACGTGATTGATAAGCTCGGCCTCCGGTCAGATCCGCCCCTAGGCCCCTGGCCTCGTTCGAGCACACGACCACGATGAACCTCTGGGACACTCCCAGGCCAATCTTAACCAGAGGAATGGACCACAAGCAGGCCCTCAACTCAGCAGCGGCGCAGTGAATATGGGCCGATTCCAATCCATGTGCTAGGCTATTTGAAATGCCTCTTGTGCAAGATCAGGCCAATTCCGCTATATTGTGGCCAGCAACTACAGCTGTGACATCACCACTGGGACTCCCCCATTTCGGGCCCGAGACGGCACATTGCGTCCGACACTGGATCGGATGAATAGCGAGTGCGCGCCGCTTGATCATCACGATGAGCAGGATCACCGTGCGTATCCAAGGGCCAGACTGGTAATTTAATATCCTTATAATCAAGTCCCATGTTAGTCATTGGAGAAAGACGATGAACGCGAGCACACAGCAGCTTAGAAGCATCGACTCTCAAGCAGTGACTTGATGGGATAGAACTCATGACAACACAACGACCAACTAAGTTATATGAGCAGTCTCCCCTCGCTTTTACAGACAGATACACAAGCTGCTGTAACAAAACTGGCCAATCTTTGAGAGATTCATTCTCAGCGAGCAAACCATCCCTCCCGCCCAACCTCACCACCAAAGCACACTGAAGCCATCGACATGTCCAAGCCCTTCGTCGCCGTGGCCGGAGCCACGGGCCAACTGGGCCGGGTCATCGCGACGAACCTACGCCAGCGCAACGTCCCAGTCAAAGCCCTCGTCCGCACCGGCACAGCGCCCTCGCGCACTGAGGCCCTCCGCGCCGCGGGCGTCACCGTGACAGAGGCAGACCTCGGCGACGTATCCGCCCTGACGAAGAGCATGCAGGGCGCGACGTGCGTGGTATCAGCCCTAAACGGCCTCCAGGACACCATGCACGGGACGCAGGGCGCGCTCCTGGACGCCGCCGTAGCCGTGCGCGTGCCGCGCTTCATCCCCTCGGACTACTCTCTGGACTTCACCAAGACCCGCCCCGGCTCCAATCGCAACCTCGACCTGCGCCGGGAGTTCCACGCGCGGCTTGACGACTCCGGAATCGCGTGGACGTCGGTGCTCAACGGAGGGTTCATGGACCTGCTGGGCGGCGGCGCGCCGCTCATCAACAACGGCCTCAAGAGGGTGCTGTACTGGGGCAGCGACGCGCAGAAGCTGGACTTTACCACCGTCGCCGACACGGCCGCCTACACGGCGGCCGTCGCTGCTGACCCGAACCCCACGCCCCGCTTCCTGCGCATTGCTGGGGACACCTTCAGCGCGAAGGAGCTCGCCGAGATGGTGAGCCGCGTCCGCGGCACGACGTACTCGACGCTGTGGGTGGGGAGCACCGGGTTCTTGGAGGGCTCGTCGGGCTTCATGAGGCGCTTTTCTATCGGCGGCGGCGAGCAGGACGTTTTCCCGGCGTGGCAAGGCAGTAAGTGGATTCTCGCAACTGGTTGATGCTGTCCTCGATTTACTTTTAGCTGATCCCGTGACATTACAGTGCAATACATGGTGAACATGTTTTCGGGAGAAGGAAAACTTGACCCGCTGGACAATGCAAGGTACCCTGAGTTGAAGTGGACCAAGGCCGAGGAATACCTAGCGCAGCAACAAGCCCCCTCATGATACTGATGGGTCAGATGGTAATTGTGGCGAATTTGGTGTAACATCACCAGTATTTACAAGCGCAGTGATCTCACATGCATGAGTGAATCTCGAAGCATCAGCGGATATCAAGCCAACGTCAATATGGGGGTAAAGTACAGCTCAAGAAGAAAGTTAGATTATAATGAAATAGTAAATGTACAAAGATGAAATTGCCACCGCCTTGGTCAATCTCATATCTGCTCATGCTCCATCAACTCGGCACACCAGCAACAATGTTGTCATACTGGCTGTTCGGGTAGCTAAGCAGGTTCTGCGCCGAGTCCAGCGACCCAAGCGCGTTGTAGCTGGTGGTCAGGAGACTGCCGGTGTCGTTCCTGTCAGCCGAGGCCTCCCAGAACATGCTCCCGCCGAGGCCCTTGCCCTTGAGGTAGGCAACCTTTGTCTGCACCATGGCGGGCGTGTCATACGAGATGAGCTCCTGGGACGACGAGTCGTAGCTGTACGTCGCGCCCGCCGCGGCGTCCGTGATGACGGTCGCCCCGGCCTTGGGCAGCGCCTTGTAGTCCCAGACGCCGTTCTCCCACGACCCGGAGCCGACGCCGGTGTAGGGCTGCCGATGCCCGCCGTCGACTCGAACGAGCGGCCGTAGATGGGCATCCCCAGGACGATCTTGGCCGCGGGGACGCCCGCGGCGATGTAGTCTCCCACGGCGCGGTCGGTCGAGTACTTGGTCGCCTGGGCGTTGCCCGAGTCGCTGGCGGGGTGCAGGTTGGCCTGGTGCCCGCTCGTGCTGTCCCAGCTTCCCGCGTAGTCGTACGCCATTAGGTTGAAGAAGTCGAGGTACTGGGACATGGCGGACAGCTGCATCGTGTTGTAGTTCTGCGGGCCGGCGGGCGAGGCGATCGTCAGCAGGAAGTGGTAGCCCGGCGCGTACTGCGCGGCGTAATTGTCCAGCGCCTGGCGGACGGTCTGGAGCAGGGCGACGAAGTTGGCTGCTTGCGTGGCGTCTGCTGGGTATTCCCAGTCGATGTCGAGGCCGTCTAAAGGTTTTACAAGTCAGAATTCTAGCCTTCTTATAGAAGAACTCGATTAGACGCCATGTGAAAGAAAAAGAATACATACCAAAGCCCCAGTCTTTCATCAGAGCCACCGCAGTTGACGCGAACAGTTGACGACTGGCGTCGGTGCTGGCAGCTGCCGGAAAGTTGGTTGAGTAAGTCCAGCCACCGATACTGAGGAGCACTTTCATCTGTCGGTTGGCTTTCTTTTGTAGGTACAGTTGCTTCACGCAACCATAAGCATTGTTCCCGACGTCGTTCCATGCTGGAGTGTGGATTATCAGTATCCGACAGTATGTCAAGGGCATTAAAAGTGGTGAAGACTTACAGTCGGTAGCATAGTGTTTCTGCAGGTCGGCATAGACGTCTGAAGAGTACCTAGTTCAAGGTTAGCCTTTGGTCACTCCAATGATGTTACGCAAGTTTGGCATACACTTCACCGGTGCTCTGCAGATTTGCAAATGCGTAAAGGACGACACTAAGCTCGTTGGCTGGCAATTGCTGGGGCTGATAGTTCCGGCCGTAGATTCCCCTGGAAACCTTTTGTGTAAGCTTATGAAGTCTTGAAGACATCCACAAATCACTAACCAGTTGGTAAAATACACAGTGTTCTGATAGCCAGTCGCTCGCTTGTCGACTTGCGCCACGGGACTGGAAGACACAAGCCAAGGCCCTAGGGCCAGGACTGAAGCGAAAAGATTGAAGCGCATGTTGTACAAAGTCTGAAGCTAAAAGCAAAGGGGTATAGGTGAAATAGTGTTGACAAGAAGAAACATTATCAGGCCCTTGGACTGAGGGTATCAGAGTGTCTATATATGTCTAACTTTTTAATCAAGAGCATCGCGTGTCAAGGTAGCATAGGTTTTATCAGGCACACCAGGGACAGATGACCAACGAGATGTCTCTTGTCGGCTTCACACGTGAAAGGTTCACTTCCAAGCCTGGAAGTTCTCCAGGCAGACATTGATATCTCGAGCAGCAGCAACGTTGCCCATCCCTGATTCGCGGGCCCGAGGCGCGCAGAAAGTATGCATCCCCCTTTTCTTCAGACAAGGGATAGGAGGGACGTATGATCAAGGTGCCATCACCGGGGCACGCTCGTTGCCTCGCCTCGTCAGTATCTCGTCTCACCAGGTGTCTCTTGGTGCTGGCAGCAAGTGTCCACTTGCCTCCGTCCACCAAGCGCGCGACCAGGTGACCGGCCCTCACAGCCAACGGGACGGCCGTGTAATCTCCCTCCGGCAGGGCAAAATCGCTGAAATAGTAAAGTGCATTCTGTAGTCTGCACAAGAGGTTGCATCATGTTAATCGTGCGTTAGATGGCTGACCCTGTCATCTGGCCCAGAGGGGGCCACAGACGCAGGTACCAACCAGATAGTCTTGTGAAGTCTTTCTTCTCGAATCGGATATGTTTCGATCATTAACCGAATTTCCCTGCCGACGGGACTGGCCAATCGAAACAACCATGCGCTGTGCAAAGGGTCCCGGAGGATTTAAGCCTGCCGGCTGGGTGCTTAGACGTTCCTGGTCGGTGGTTGCATGTGAGCAAGGCCAGAAGGTGGACAAGCCGGGGTTCGTGTGGTCACTTGCTCCTTTTGGAAGTTGTCAAGTTGTTGCCGACACAGAAAAAGGCCGAGAACCGCTTGAGGGGGTGTAACATCGTGGCCCATACTAATCTAGACACGCGCCGCACGATCCCGCGTGCTGTCTGGTTCGGCTGTGATAGTGTGGGTGTATTATCAACGAATCACAGCCGGGTCGAGCCAACCTCCAAGCCGGGCCTTATCTAAACAACGTGGCCCGAGGTGTCCTCCGGACTTCATCATCGTCTTGATAAAGCGCCTCCTAATCGACGGGATGCAGTACGCGTTGTCTCGGCTCGAAGTGACAGGTCGCTTCTTGTTACCGGGTAGGCGAGTGTCAGCTGGAGCACACCCGGATTTCTAAAGCTGACGGGCTTGACACGCGCTCCAGATAGGCCACACCGGTCCCATCGATCGGTAGTTGCGGCAAGTCAATTTCGGGAGCAGCCGCAGGAAATTGTTTCTATAGTAGTGAATGTGTTTGGTTGGACTAGAAGGTGGAGTAGTGGCCGCCTGGCCAAGATCTGGGACTGCGCTTCCGGATATGTTACATGGATGCCAATAGATCTGCAACGTTACCCGTTCTGTGGTGCGGCGGACAATGTGGATATTTCTCCCTTCACTCGTCTCCGAGATCCCGGGGTTGAGGTGCCATCCATCATTTTCAATTGGGCAGCCGATGGTCTTGGGGAAATGACACCGAACTCATGTCCGCAGCCCCTGTCCGCGGGGGTTGTGTGTGGATGAGCCTGATGGGTATCTTTTGAAGACCGCGTGATCAGAGTCAGTTCAGTCTGCCTACACAACACATTACTCCTTCACCAGAATTCCGCATGCGACAGTCCGCTTTATCAGCCTGACTTCTCCGGATCCATTTCACAATAGTCACTACAAGCCTAACAGCCCAGCCAACGCATCTGCGATATCATGAGCAAACCCGTCGTCATTAATGTCCCTCTTGTCCTCCACCACCTTGATTCCAGATCCCGCCAGGCCGTCCCGCACAGATGAAAACAGGGCACGATCCGCCTCCTCATCGGCAAAAGGTCCGCCAGGCGTAGCAATCATGCTCACTCCCCCAAGAGGCATCCAGAGCTGGACCATTTCCGGCCTCTTCGAGCAACACCTCAGCTTCTCCACGATGAACTCTCCAACCTGCCGGCACTCCTCCGCCGACGACCTCATCAGCGTCACGGTGGGGTTATGTTCGTAGAGCTTCCTGTCCTTGTATTTCTCGGGGACCGTGCTCCTCGGGCCGAAGTTCGTCATGTCAGTGGCCCCGAGGCTGATAATGTTCGGCATACCCGCCTCGGCGGCTGCTTCAAGGCGATCCTGACCAGCCGACATGACCCCACCGGTATGTAGGTCGCATATCTCAGTCGTAGTCAGGTCAAGCACTGCATCCAGCTGTCCCTGTCGCACCAATCTTTCCATTGCTTTCCCACCGTGCCCCGTTGCGTGAAAGACATATATCTCGACGTCGTGCTTGGACTCTAGGTGTCTCCGGATCGCATCGACGCCTGGTGTTGTCACGCCAAACATTGTAATGCCAATGCGCTTCTTAGATCTGTCGGTCCTATCGTGTGAGATGTGTTGCCTAGATGCGTACGCCTTTGCAGCGGCCCCGATCGCAGCCCCTGCATTGCTGAGAATGTCCCTAAGCACCTGGTTCAGTCCAGCAACGTCTACAACTGAGTATAGCATTGCGATATCAGTCTCGCCCACTATTGGTCCCGTGTCACCGCTGGCAACAGTGGAAACAATCATCTTGGGAAATCCTATTGGCAGGACTCCTCTCATCACCTCAGCTGGCTAATTGTCAGCGAGAAGCTCCTCCTGAATACATGAAGCTTGAGATCAAACAGGTTTTGTGTATGATCGCAGATTGGACACTGGACAGCTCGATCCGAAGGTGACCACTCATTTACAACTGGGAGTACATTACCTGCAAGACTTGTCCCCCCTGACCCACCCGCGGTGATAATGCCTTGAATTTTGCCCTCGTCGAAAAGCTGCTTGACGGCACGGGACGCAGACGCCGCCATGAACTTGATCAGCTCGCCTCGGGGCAGATCGGCTGGCGTTTTACCCTCGCCATGCTTCGTGACAAGTGTGGCTTGGGTGATGTCGATAGCATCGTGTTCAACATTGTCCCGGCCAACATCGAGCAATATGACCTCAACGGAGTCTTGCCGTCGGATCTGATCTCTGAGAAAGAGCAATTCCTGCAGTTTTGTATCGCATGTGCCCAAGAGCAGGACTGTAGCCGAAATCCCCGCGTGAGACATGACGTAGGAGAAAGCGAACAAATCGCCCACTCGCCCACGGATTCGTGAAGTAGCAGTAGCTGAGGCTAGGAAAGGCCTGCAGTATCAGACCGTTACCGGTAAGAGCGAAGTGACAAGAAGCGTTATTGTAGGCGGCAGGTATAAGATAAACCACAAGCTCCCGTTGCGGAGATGTCAATTATGGCGATAGGTTGGCCCGTGCAACTATAACGCAAGAGAACACAAGCGACTATAATGACCTTGGAAACTTCTTGGGACAATAAGCCTGAAGGAAAGTATCTTTGTTTACATGTGCTGTCTCATGTTTAACTTCGAGGCGCAGAAACTAACGATCCACGGGAGGATTAACACAGAAGAAGGTGCAAGTGCAAGGAATAACGGGGCAAGATGAACAATCAGACTTGTGGTGAGGAGTAGTGAAGCCAGTATTTGTCAGTACTGACAGGTTTGCCAGGTGGTAATCGTGGAAGTTGACAAGCTCCACTCAAGGATGGATTTGAAAGGTTGCGAAGAGGGAGGCCACAATGCGGGGCTTCGTGAGCATGTTCTGGTGACGTCAGGAGCAACCGGGTCAGCAAACATGTTCAACTCATGAGAGGTATGGCTTTAAGGGTTTTTCTTTCTAATTATTTCAGCCCGAACTGAAACACATCTTGCAAAGTCGTGGACAGGAAAGGAAATCAGACATGGCTCCTCCGACGAACCGCCAGGAAATCTTGGACCAGCTCCGCAGCCAGGTCGCCAAGGGTCAAGCCATCGTTGGAGCTGGGGCAGGGATTGGGCTCTCAGCAAAATTCGTCGAGGAAGGGGGAGGAGACCTGGTCATCATATACAACAGCGGCCGATTTCGAATGGCAGGCCGGGGGTCGCTGGCAGGCCTGATGCCGTATGGCAACGCAAATGATGTGGTCCTAGACATGGCAAGCAGAGAACAACCGCCCAGCTGGAGGCTTTCCAGTGTGGTACCCGGGCTAACAATGTGCTTTCTAGGCGAATGAGGTTCTACCGGTGGTAAAGCATACGCCAGTCATCGCTGGTGTCTGTGGTACTGATCCATTCCGGAACATGCCTGCGTTCCTCAAGCAGCTCAAGGACTTGGGCTTCGCCGGTGTGCAGAACTTCCCGACCGTGGGATTGATAGATGGCCAGTTCCGGGCCAACCTCGAGGAGACGGGCATGTCATATGATCAGGAGGTTGACGTGATCCGCTTGGCCCGTGAGATGGATATGTTGACCACGCCATATGTCTTCAACGTCGAGGAGAGCAAGAAAATGGCAGAGGCGGGAGCGGATGTTCTTGTGGCCCACATGGGACTCACTTCGTCCGGAAGCATAGGGGCGAGCAGCGGCAAGACCCTCGACGAGTGTGTCAAGCTGATCCAGGAGATCCAAGAAGCTGCTGTGAAGATCAAGCCGGACGTGATAGTGCTGTGCCATGGTGGGCCGATCGCTGCTCCCGACGATGCCAAGTACGTGCTGGAGAGGGTGAAAGGAGTGCATGGATTCTACGGAGCGTCATCCATGGAAAGGTTGCCAGTTGAGGAGGCCATCACCAACATCACCAAGAGCTTCAAGGGTCTCAAACCCAGCTCATGAGATAAATCGGAAGACCGTTCGGTTGATGCCAAAGGAAAGTCAACAATTACGTGAGCAGATCCGGGACAAGATGGAGAAGGTATGCTGTCCGGTTGACAATTATCCAGCTGCGCCCCTGGGAAATTCCGTACAAATTGCGAATACGAGATAAAGTTCAATCTCCATGATTTCAACATGTGAATCACCTTTCTCATATGCAAGGTATGGCAATTGTTCACCTGCAAGGGCAGAAGAAGGGGGTTGCGGGAGGCACCCTGCGCAGCCAAGCCGCATTCACCCGAGGAGGCGACTCCACTAAAATTTCTAGAAGGCGTACCCTTGCAATGACGATTTCCATCTCCATCCAGTCTGGGTCAATCTTTTACCAATCTCGACCAGGATACCATCCACCGCCAGCAAAAGTCTAGTCAATATCAACTCCATAACCTGCCATTATTCTTTTCTTTGGTTGCTCTTTTCAGTTACCCCAGCCGAATCGCAGAATACTCAAGCACCATGGGTTGGTTCTGGGCTGATACTGCAACCGTCCACACTCCGTCTGCCTCCCCTCCGGCGCAAAAGCCATCTTGCCCAGTGGCACACCAACAGCGTGGAGATGCAGCACCACCGGTAAGTCGCTTCCGTTGTCGTCTATCTTTCCGAACTCGACTTCTGTAACTAACAGGAGACCAGCCGAGCTGTCCCATGCACAACAAGACGGTCGACGTCCTAGGCTCCGCAGCACCGTCTCCTCCAAGCCCTCCGCCGTCATCATGCCCCGTCCCACACAACCAAGCCCCGACCGGCAAGTCCGATGAGGCCTCGTTCCTCTCCAAGATCAACCCTCTCAACTACATGTTCCGCGAGCTGTCCCAGGCACCCGCACCCAACCAGACACACGCGCTCCCAGTCGAGCGAGACCCGAGCTCCATCCCCAAGGGCACCGGCGACGGCAACTGGGAGTACCCGTCCCCCCAGCAGATGTACAATGCTCTGCTGCGTAAGGGATACACGGACACCGACGTCACGGCTGTGGAGAGCATGGTCGCCGTCCACAACTTCCTGAACGAGGGCGCCTGGGCCGAGGTCGTCGAGTGGGAGAAGCGCTTCGGCGGGGGCTTCTCGCGGGCCTGGGAGATATGCCGGCGCGGCGAGGAGAACGCCGAGGAGACGCGCCGCGTCCTCGACTGGAAGGCCAACGCTGAGCCCATAAACCCCACCCTGATCCGCTTCCAGGGTCGCCCCAAGGACATGACCCCGAAGGCCGCAATGTTCCAGGTCGCTGGCTGGTTGTACCCAGCCAAGTTCGGGTGAGTCCAATCCAAGCGTTTTTTTACTTGTTTGTGGGTAAGGAGTACAGTGCTAACAGGATGACAGCACCGAGCCCCCGTTCGACCGCCACGACTGGTACGTCGCCCGAAACGTGGACGGAAAGGAGAAGCAGGTGCGCTACGTTATCGACTACTACAGCGGTCCTCCAGAGCCGACCGGCGAGCCCGTCTTCTTCCTCGACGTCCGGCCCGCCCTTACTCCTACAGGCGCCGTTGAGCGGATGATGAGATGGGGCGGCGACGTCTGGTGGAAGGCCTCGGGAGGGGTGGTACGCGAGGCCAACCAGAGGTCTCAACAGTGATGTCCCGACTAGTTCGACAGTCGTACAGATACACCCGGTGGCGAAACCTTTTTTTTTTTTTTTCATTTCGGCGGATTGTTGCATAGTGTGGGCTGGACTCTGACTTGAAAGCTGGCGTTTGGGAATGGGAATACCGAAATGGTGCGTGTCTTTATCGGGGCCAATTATGCCTGGCCCTGTCACGAGTTACACCCCTCCTCTCTTCTTGTATAGAATTACGATTGGAATGACAACAGCACGTAATGTACAACATGTCCATTATTATTCGGAGAGAATTACAACCGAGCCTTGCCAACTGATCGTGCCCGGTGCCTCCAATTACTCCTGCTTGGCTCATCCTAGGTCGTAGCTGCCAGCTGGGTGACCTGGTCCAGAAGTGCCTGATCCTCACCGGCCCCGTTCTTCAGGACCTTGTCCCTGAGGTGATCGACTTGCTGACCCGCAGCAGCAGGCGGGTTGCCCTATTCGATTTCTCTGGTTAGTAAAAACTCCCACGCAAACAAGGCCCTCCCTATGACGTGTGAGGGGGCCAACACAGAAGGACGGAAAAAACGCAGCATACCTGAGCCGTCTGGACCCTGCTAACCTGCATGGCCAGGAAGAACTTGGGCACTTTGATAGCCAGGCTACCACCAACACTGCGCAGGCCGGCCTCAGTGGCCAGGTACACGTTGAGCTGGTCCTGCAGGGTCGCCAGGTCGGCGGTGGCCGGGTCCGCGGGCGTGGCGAAGGTGTCGAGGGCGAACTGCAGCGGGCTCGACGAGGACTTGGAGAAGTCGACGTCGCTGAACGTCGTGGAGCCGGACGTCACGTCGGGGACGTTGTCGATGGTCGTGCCGGACCCGCAGGTCACGGATGACTGGATCGCCGTGACGGAGTCCTGAACCTCGGCGGGGAGCGCCTCGTTGCCGGTCACGAAGCAGGCGTTTTGGCGGGGCTCGAGGGGCGCTGTGGTAAGGGGTGTTAGTCTGGTTTGAACCGACGCAGGCATGATGGTACCATTGGGAGGGACAGAAGTCACTGACCTGCACTGCTGAGAGAAATGCTGGCGAGAGCCAGGGCGAAGGAGGCGGCGTAACGCATGGTGAAGTGTGACGCGAAAAGAGGTCGGACGAGGGTAAATCGTGGGGGCAGAATCGTTCAGAAGCGACAGGTGAGCCGGCAAGGACGCAATAGAGGTGTGATCGAAAGAAGCAGGACCGGCTGCAAAAGAAAGGATTATGAATGATATTGGCTGTTGGCTGAAAGAATGACAAGCCGGGAGATCAGTGGATCGGATGAAGATGATCTACAAACTATGCAGGATGAACGAGAAGGGATGGCTTTTATAAAACCGTCGTAGACACCCTCCTTTCCCCCAACACGCGTGTTAACCTCTCTATACCTGGACGCACATCATCGTGGTAGAGAGCGCCGGTGCACATCGTGTGACACGCATTGGGTTTCACAGGACATGAGTGGGTCAACTCAATACCACGACCAACACAGCACAGCACGCAGTTGCAGAGTTGCCCATGTCTAGCCTCTCGAGGGGAGCTGTTTTCGAACACGGTCATCTGATACACATTAGACCGCGGGCTATCAGGAACTTTGATTCCCTGGAGTAGCAGTTTATGCTTAATGGTGGTTGACCTGCGCGCGCCCCCCTGAGCCGCAGGGTTTCAGGACGCCGCACCAAGCCAGGCGTGGTTGTGGACAAGGGGGCGGAGCGAGCCGCCGCAGGCAAAGCTTGGCAGGAGCCGCATGCGTGGAGATGGCGTCAAATAATTATGGGTACGGAGACTGCACCCTTCTCTCCCTTGTTGCGGAATCTGGCAAGCGACCGTCAACGGCTGTCTGTGTTGGTGGTTTAAAGAGCGCCAACCCCCCGTCGCCTCCAAGGAATTCCTTGGCTCATGGTATGGCCTGTTCCGCGAGCCTCCCCGTGTTCGACTCCTGTACCGAGGTCCTGTTCCTTGTCTATCCACTGGCTATTGAGTCCTGTGTTCCTCGTGTATCGCAAGAATTGAATATGTTCAATGGCATCCTTAGGAGCGGCCTCTCCTCCCAATACAGCCGTCCTTCTGGATACGCACGGTTTGTACAGTGCTTCAATACCGACTGACTCCGTATAATCAGAATAAGTCCACATCAGAGATCAACAATGCAATGTCGTCTGGTCGGCGTGTTTCACACCGCGCAGGAACGGCCTTTTTTGCGCGCAGACCGCCATGGGTTGAGCTTTCCGACACTCTACCAGATTTCATTTGCTGCACGTGAGACTGGTCAGTCGATATCTTCAACGGTACTGCCAGTGTGGCTCCATTGCTGGGTTCGGACTGCTGAGCGTTGGTGGCCAAGAACGTACCTCACACACGACGGCGGCGTGTTTCACCCCCATATTCTGACCGATCCACCCTAGCCTGCCCTGCACGTATTCCTTCTGCTCCGGGGTGACGAACTGGCTCTCGGCTGTCAGGACCAGGGGCCAGATGACCATCAAGTTGGTGATACCCTCGACCGAGCCCACATCGTCACTTCCACACGGTGACTGGGCCCCTTTTGGAGGGTCCTCTCCTATTCCCTTCCAGGAGCACAGGTATGGAATACTGGCGATGATATTATGGATATCCTCCTTCGCAGTCTTGGACGCACTCGTTCCCAGGTTCTGCGGCCACGGATCCGTCGATTCTGCCAGCCAGCTGGACACATCTGCGATGATGTGGCAGATGAGCAAGCGGAAGGCGTACTTGTTCAGCCAACGGGTTGCCGTCCACCAGTCAGGATATATAAGGTCTGAGTTCTCGTCCGGTTTTGCGAGCCACAGGTTCTTCTTGGCCATCAGGTCTTCCGACTCGTAATAATGACTTACACGCCTCTCGAATTCTTGCGCCGTCATGAGTATCTTGACGGCTTTCCGGGTGGCTTCGGAGTCTCTCCGTGGTGACCCAAGCAGGCTGGCCAGTTTGGACCGCAGGTCCAACATTCTCATCGACGTCAGATGTGGCCGGTTCGCATGGGGAATACTCGAGGCTTGCGTGGTCCACCGAAGGATGTCATCATCTCCTATGACGGTAGACAAGTCGTACTGGCGCAACTTGACGCACAAGCAGGATTGTCAGCACAAGTGGTTGGGATAGGGAGGAGTCCAGTTGGAAACGATGCGATTATGGCACAAACTCACCCGCTCTTTCCAAGGGAGTTGGATGTTATATATACGTACCAGGCTCTCCATGACCAGATCAAACATCTCTGTGCCATGCTTGGAAGAGAACTGCTCCGGGCCCCTGAGGCGCAGAAGTTCAAGGGCAGCCCGGAAGTGCTGTGTGTATGCGATTTTGTCGGCGTCGCCATATGCAAGTCCCTGCAGTTCTCTCCACATCAGCATTCTCGTTCATCTAACTAACCACTTTTGTGTTCTTGCCACTGCCGACCACATACCTCGTACACTCCCAGCAAGATCGTAGTAGCCAAGACAGTGTCAGACTTGGCCGAATCCTTGACCTGGAGCGCCTCCCTCAGCCCCCGGACGCCAGCGCCATAGTACAGATGCGTCGCACCTGCGGCCTCCCTGCAGTTGGGACGCATGGAGAACGCAGCGATCGAGACGGCGCTGAACATGTCCTGGAAATACCGGCTCGACCCTTCGGCCGACGCGAGCAGTGACGGGATGAACGTCAGCATGCCCGTGTCCGACTTGTTCGGGCAGTAGACGACGTAGCTGGAGAGGAAGTAGCATCGCGCGCGGTCCACCAGCGGCGTATGGATCGCCTGCAGGTCGAGGCCCATCACCCCGGACAGGTCGCCGTCCCCGTCGGACGCCGTCAGGGGCCATGTCGACCCGCGCCTTGCCTTGAGGGTCGGGTCCGACAGGTTCCTCCTGTGACCTCCGGGTGCCCCGTGGCCGCCATGCGTCACCCCGTTTTGCGCAGGCACCGAGGACCTTCGCGGCTGTGTGTCCTGCACGCCGAGCGCGGGAGAGCTTTCGGACGAAGGGGCTGACTTGGGGCTCGAGGTTGTCGTCTTCTGCTCCTTGAGTGCAGCCAGCCGCTTGCCTTTACTTGCCTTCCCGAACTTGGCCTTTATTATTGTCTTTTGCGTCTGATCCCGCAGCTTAAAGCCTTGTGAGTATCCCGCGCATGTCCTGCCGGACTTGAGGCACTTGACGCAGCCCGGCTTCGCCTCATCGCATTTTATCCTCCTCTCCCGGCAGTTAATACAGGCTCCGGACGGCTTCCCTGTGTTGACCATGACGATCACAGCATATTCTGTGTGAACTTTGTGGGAGACAAGAAGGATTGGGAAACTCCCTGCACGGTCTGGTACATGAGCCCAGCAAGCTGGGAACCGGTGGTGGAATGGAAGTTGTCATGGAAGGGTGACGTTAACACAACGTCTTGCACAGGCAGACATGTGAACGCACGTTCAGTCCCAAGGGAAAGAGCGTTCTTAAGCAGAACATCATGCTGCATTGCCACCTCTTTAGTCTGAATTTGTGACGCTGTCAGGCTGAGCCTATCACACTCGGGAAGGTCGGACTAGCTGAAACAAACCACTGCACAGCATCGACAGCAAAACAATGTCAGCCACTTTGGCCTCATGTTCGTTCAGCACACATACCAGAGTACTACTATCGAGACTGGCCATGCTGGCTATGCAGCCAGAGCATGCTAGGATTCCCTGACACAGCTCACTGTCGTTTCAAGCCGAGGTTGGATGAAGACGGCATCTGGTGGGTGGTCAACAGGAACAAAACAGGCTGAGCGAGCTTGGCATCCAGGTTTCACATGCTATTGGGTACTGTTCTTGCGAATCCCCCGCCCAACAACACAGATGAAACTCCGCCCTTGGAAGAAGCCTTGCCAGCGACAACGTAAGCAATCTCGAAAAACGCTTTGCGCACCCTCATCGGATGCTGCATTAGGTATGGTAGCCAAGACGGCACCGCTCCAGATCCCCCCGCTGTCAGAGAACCGGGAGCTTGGACGAGAGGCCGACGTTTGGCAATCTGGTTGGCCGGGCCTCCCCTGCTTTCGGACCGCTCCCACAAGCCGATCGCCGTACATTGCCCTCCGAGCCTGCTTCTCCCAGGCGGTCTCCGGTGCTGCTAACCCTCCGTCAAGGTTTATCAAGCCGGCGTCGACTGCTTCCGACCTTTTGCCTCGAAGACATCATCGGGGGTGACGGGCCGGGCACCTGTCATTGCCGAGAATACATCCACGTTCTCTTCTGGCGACGGCAGTGGTGGCGAGAGCCTGTCGAGAATGGCTCGCATTCTCATGGCGCTCGACTCCCGTCGCGGCTTGTAGTCCGGGTTTCTGTACGCGCCGTTTACGAAGCAGCCAACCGCCTGACCAAGCTCGACGCTCTTCCTGCGGATCTTACCAATCACCGTCTTTGGTTGCTCCACCTCGGCCTGTGTCTGCGGCTGTGAACCTTCGCCCTCCTCATCCACGCCTGGCAGGACGTGCATCAAGCTTTGCTGTCTTTTTCTTGGGATGTCAGCGGGGATTGGCCCTTGACTGTTGCTCGCTGCTTCGTCCGATGGCTTCGTAATGACTATGGATGGGACTTCGCGTGGCTCTGGCGGAGGTGGTGGGTTTGCTTCAGCTTCCGATTCATCAGTGCTTGGGTACCCTGATATGGGACCAAACCAGGTGATCTCGGTCACGTTGTCCGCCGACACAAATGTAGCCGAGTTTGGTCCTGGCAGTCTCCGCCGCCTGCGAGGGAAGCCCGGGAATCTGATGGGTCCGTCGGCTGGGCTGGTGTTTAGGGACGTGATAGGATCTGCGGGCGTTGAACCTGTCGGTTGCATGGCTCTTGGAGGGTTGAACACGGCGGGCGTGGGCCTTCGGTGTTTCATGTGCATTGCACGGTGCTTCTTGGGCTTGAAGAGCTCGTCGGTTAGGTCACGGACATAGTATGATAGCCCTCGCATGTCACCCAAGGTGAGACGGTACTCTCCCATTGCAATGACCCCGTCACCGGTTTCTGGGCAGTTCTTCCTGGTTGCGGAGACAACAAATTCCGCGATCTCGTCGAAAACATACTCCACCTCGTCTTGGGGGACGAAGGCTGGATTCTGCTGGGATTCGCGGGGGTATTTTTTGTCCAACGCGGAAAGCGCCATGTAAGCTGTGTTATGAATTATGCTTTGAGGACAATGATGAAGTGATTCTTAGGTGGTTATTCATCAGGACTTGGAATTAATGCTCGTGAGGACTTGATTTGACTGTTGAGAAAGACTAGACAAGATGGGCAGAGAAGAGGATGGAGAAGAGGCACAGAAGAGGATGGAAAGGGAGCAAGCAGGAGACCATGGGAGGGCACTGTTGTGGTCCCAGAGCCCATTCTGGCAGAAGAAGAGGAAAGCGCGAGAACTCGTCCATAATACACCTTGCCTTCACTATTTCGCAGACCTGGGTAGAGTCAGGGTGGAAAGGAGGAGGAGAAAAGGCAGGAAGTGGGAAGAGGCGAGGACAGTACCAACAAGCATTGTGCCCACCACCCCTCCTTCTGTCTCACCAGCAACAGGAAAGGGTCGTAGGGCATGCATGGTGGAAATGACATAGTGAATAGAAAGATGCCAAACTGGGAAGCCAGAATAGGGAGACAGGAGGACGTTGGTAAGGTAGGGAAGGAGAAGAGTAAGCATTCAGAGGAGAGACTGGAAGAGATGTAAGGAGCAGGGGGAAAGGAGAGGCTCCCAGTCATAGCTATGGCATGCCAGTCCAGCACGACTGATTCCAGTCCAGCACGCCTGGTGCAGAGCGTGTAGGGGCTAGAGTCTGGCCTCCTCTTCTCCTGCTCAATGGGTCATGAGCCCAGGTGTGTCTTGTCTTGGGGGAGCCCGTCGCGCTAGGTGCTGTCCCCTTCCACCACTTGAATAGAGCACAACCTTCTTGGCAGCCATGGGACTTGACAACCGTCTGGGACCAAATTCAGAACAAAAGCCGGTCAGAGCCTGGATTGGGTATATTCTGGCGAGTCCTCTACCGTGCTGAAAATGGTCCAGTGCCCTGTGGGGATGTGTCTACCCAAGCTCAGCGCTGCAAGTCCCAATGGTAGTGGTCGAGACTCAGAGTCCGAAAAAACCAAGGCTCAATTTCATGAACACAGAGACTAAGTCTGTTCTCAGAACATCTTGTAACGGAAGGACGCTTGGTGATGGTCCACCCGGAATTGACTGGCCACCAGGCAGGCGTATAGCACTGGGGCAGTGGAATAGAAGTTGGATTTGGTTCCTCCGTCGACAGTGACTTTCAAATACAACCTTCCCATGTTGTAAGCTGATGGCTAATAGCGGACTAACAGGGCAAGCTGTAAGCCTAGGGCCTTGCCGATAGCAGCTCACCCCTGCTCAGCTTATCGTTATCGGCTCAGGGTCCTCCAGGTTATTTTCTGGGCGCTAGTTTCTGCAGCCAAGTTCAGCTGTGAATATCAAAAATAGGACTGGCTGCGTTTGTCGAGCAGGCCGCAGTCCATAACCAAAGCCTTTGTTCTTACTCTCAATGGCTGTACAGACTCGGTGAGACCACAGGACGCCATGACCGATGTGCCTATTGCAAAAACCTCTCACAAGGCTGAGGAACACTACACCCGTCTCCACATTGCTCCTCTAAATCCTGAGCTCCTGAAGGTCATCGTCCCACAGGCTACCCTCTCTAAAGCCCGCGCAATCTCGTACCATACCCTCCAGGCCTTCCCCGAGCGCCCTTACGGTTTTGTCGAACTCCCATCTGCCGACGCCCAAAAGATCAAGAATAAACTCAACGGGGCAGTCCTGAAAGGCGTCAAGATTCGGGTTGAGCCAGCCCGACCGGACAACATGCCAAAACCCGATCCTGACGCGGTCGTTGAAGCTGCGGCTGGCGGTGACCTGGAGCGCAAGTCAAAAAAGTCCAAGGCAGACATACGGGAGAAGAAGAGGAAGCGCGACCCTCAAGAGATTGCGGGCATCGAGTTAGAGGAGGGCCGCAAAGTCAAGCGCGGCTGGACTGTCACGCCAGACGAGGTGAAGTCCAAGAAGAAGAAGGAAAAAGAGAGAGAAAGGGCACAACCGAAGTCAGCAAATTCCAAAAAGGAGAAGAAGGAGAGAAAAGAGAAGAAGGAAAAGAAGAAGAGGCGGAGAGATGCCGAATCCGAGTACACCGATGGACCCGAGTGCCTGGTCAAGACACAACTTCCTCCAAACAAGCGCGATGTGCTAGCTGGGGACTCCCAAGGAGGTGAAACGAAAAAGTCAAGGAAGCACAAGAAGCATGAGGTTGTTGTCCATGAATTCGAGAATACGCGAAAGTTCCCAACGTACTTCAAGGCTTCCAAGGGCGCCAGTGCGTCCGGCACTGAATCCGACTTTGTGGAGGGCAAGGGCTGGGTGGACAGCAATGGAAATGTGGTCGAGAAGGTCAAAAGCACCAGGCCAAAAGGTCTTCCAAAGACTCAGGTTGAAAAGAAGACTGCCGAGGAGGACGACACTACTAGCAGCAGTGGAACCTCGTCAGAAGAGGAGGATGACGATTCTGAGGCCGAGGAAGATGCTGGTGCTTCCAAGCAGAAGACCAGGGTTGCGCATCCGGGCCACAAGTCTCTGGCTCTGGACACTGTGACTGGCGCTGGGTTAGAGAGCCCCACGGATTCAGCCCGACCAAAGTCCTCAAGCTCAGCCAGGAGCCTAACAATCAAGATACCCCCGGCAACCCCTTCCTCCAACAAAGTCCACCCTCTCGAAGCATTATACAAACGACAACAGCAAGGCGAAGCAGCTGCTACAGCTGACACTGCAGGGGACCAGCCCTTTGCATTCTTCGGCGGGCAAGATGTTGGAGACGATGACGATGATGACCTTGGCCAAGGTGAATCGGTGAATGGTCCGGGAATAGACAACGACGAAAGTAGCAGCCAGGCGGGTCTCTCTCAGGGCAACCAGCTGCCCATGACTCCTTTTTCCAAGCAGGATTTTGAGTGGCGAGGCATGCGCAGTGCAGCTCCAACCCCAGACACTGCACACCCGAGCCGGTATTCAAGAATATGGCCGCTCAGAGATGACAGGGAGGAGAGCCCGGGCATTGCAGAGGGTGAGGAGCATGATGACGAAGCGGACAGCCCCGGAGGGGCCAGGCCGGAGAAGCCAGAGGAAGGAGAACCCACCAACCCCAACACCGACTTCCAGAAGTGGTTCTACGAGAATCGAGGTGACCTCAATCGGTCCTGGCAGAGGAGGAGAAAAGTGGCAGCCAAGCAGAAGAGGTACCGGGAGAACAAGGCCCGGGCCACCTGACAGGGCCGCCCATTCGATCACATACCTGGGTAGTTCCATAATGTTCTGTAATCACTGTGTTTTCATGCATTTGCCCATCATGGTGATTTTAATCCTGTTCAATTGGACTATCAAGTATGGCTGTATGCTACTGCCATGTTTCGTTGAAGCAACCTGCAGAGGATGTGCTTTGATGCATGCAGATGGTGTTGCCTGCCCCCCCTAAATATGTTTGTAATCCACCCTTCACCATAAATATGTTGTTATCGTACAGATGTAGTTCATGTGACAATCCAAATCATGTCCCTCAAAGTGTGGTCCCTCCAGCCGTGGTCATGGTCCCTCAAGGTGTGGTCTCAACGGAGACAAATGCCTTCGCAGTAAAGAAACTCCCCTTAAGCAGAGTATCTCAAGGAGTATTCCTCAGAGCAGGCAGACTCCTCAAAGCAGGTGGAGTCGTTGAAAATGGGTGTAGACCTCAATGCTGGTGGACTCCTCAAGGCAGGTGAAAAGCTCGAGGCAGATAAACTCCTCAGAACCTGTGAAAACCTCAATGCAGATGAAAACCTCAGCGCAGATGAACTCCTCAGGGCAGATGAAAATGTAACTCCTCAAGGCAGGTGAAAAGCTCAAAGCAGATTCCGTCAAGGCCAGTTGCCTAGAGACGATAGGATCTGCAGCAATCGAGGAAAATCAGACACAAACGATGCGAGTGATGCGCGATTCAAAGGCAAGCGGCCTGAAGAAGTGTGGCCCAAAGACTGGAGAAGTACAAAGACGAAGATGCCACAATGACAGAAAGGCAAAAATGACGAGGGATGGCAGACCAGAAAAGCGTGGTGCGAAGACCGGGGTGATGCAAGTCTGCTTCAAATTGATGACTCCTCGATTTTAATCCTCGCGCTCTTTGCCTCGGGAAGGCGAAGCCAACTCGATCGGATAAGTTGGCTTGGGCGACTGGATGGGTGCAGAGTTCCGACTGGTAGTTCCCGTAGCAGGACTGCTGGCCATAGCAAGCGGGCTGTAGTTCTGAGCAGCACGGCCTTGCTCGTTGTCAGGGTTGGAAAGCTGGACGGCATCGCAAAGTGTGGTCAGGATGCTAGCTCTGGTATCAGACTGCACAACAGTGTCGCCGGAGACTGCGGGTGGCAGAAGAGGGTCCTGAGACTGGAACCGGGAGAAACCTGGGTCCTTGGGCGGGGGCGTGGGGGCCACATCCGACAAAGGGCTCACCGAGCGAGGATCGGACCGGAAGGAAACGTTGCTCATGCGGCTGACTCCGCTGTTCATTCGACTGACTGAAGTGGGCGGAATAGGGAAACCTAGAGGCAAGGTCTGAGGACGGCCCTGCGGGAAGGCCTGAGTAGCGTGCGTTGGCACGGGCCTGTTCGTTCCAGGATACGGGGTAGGTGGTCGTGGTGGCTGGTTCTCAAGCTCGTCCAGCTCAAATCCCTTAGCATGAGGCAAGTTTCGAGGAGATCGACTACCAGACTGGAACGGACGATGCATTCTGATGACAGGCCAGTGAACACGCGGCCATGGAATACGCTGTGAGCGAAGATGTGGCCAGTGGACACCCCAGGGAAAAGCACGAGCTCTTCTGGGGATTTCAGCGAGGACTCTAGGTGATCGGAAGAGAACAAAGCCTAGTCCAGCTCCGCTGAACACGAAGAAAAAAATGCTGAGGCCCAGCCATGCTTGGTGTCCAGTTGTGAAAGGTTTGTCAGTTTGTTCGTAAATCGTCTTCAACACACCAGCTGCAGTAGTTGAGAAACCGGTGGTGCAGAAGAAGAAGAGAGCGACACTGAACTGGATGAGGGGGCTTGTGCAATGTTCATCTGGCTGATCTCCGGAAACTTGAACAGCTGGCCCCGAGGGTGCATTATGCTGTCCGACAAAACCAAAGTCGGGCATGCTCGAGGGTGGTCTACTCAGGTTCGGCCCGACACCACGAACCGGTTGCTCCACGTTGTTCGGGGGTAGACAACCCATGATCTCAAAAGATGACCGCATTTGGTTGTCATTGACATGCTGGGTTTGGTCAGCAGAGGCCTCCCCGGATACCTCTTCCAGGGATGTATGAGCAATGATGCTTGTGTCCTCGGAGGTGTTGTTCGGAGTAGGTGCAAATCGGACACGCACTGGCAAATTCGGTACGGTTTGACGGAGTGGCCAAGATGTGTTCTCAAGTTGCTCCGAGGTGTGATTCAAGACGTCCTGCGTACCATGACCAATGGTCAAGGACGAGGACGGGGAGCCATCTCCACGGATGGTGCCATTAGTTGGAAGACTTGCCATCCTCGCAATGTCTCTGTCTATACAAATTGTTAGTACCAGTCTAATTGTGCGGTTTCAATGGCGGGGCATTATACAGAGGTTGGGACGGAGAAATTGCTTACATACCTGTTGCTCAGGTGTTGCCTTCTGACCAAGGACTATTTGCCCTGCTATCTTCTTGACGTGAATTGCCCACGACTCTGCTTGAAATCTTTGTCGGTCGAGCGCGTAGTGAGATCCCACTCAGATATGTCCCAAATTGCGCCTGGATAGACAGGCAGGCCGACGGGAAGGTCGCTGCGACGCGCAAGACTTCAGGAAGGCAGGTGTCAACAGGCGCGCGTTAGCAGGACCTGCACAATTATGTGAGTAGAAGTTAAAGAAGAGGGTGAAAAGGATTAAATTGAATGAAAAGGCAGGTGAAGTGAGATTGTAGGTATGAATGTACATCCCATACCTAGGTATGCATGTAGAGACTCACCTAACGCGTTGTGGTTTTGAGGTTGTCGAGACGAGCGACCCACGCGATCGTGCTGCACGAGGTCCACAAGGTCAAGAAGTTTCCTTGATGACTTGGACTATCGAGAGTGCTTTGTTTCTGGACAGAAATGAAGCTGGCAGTAGTCGCAATTGATTGCGAGATGAGGTCGACGAAGGATACCAACAAAGTTGTTGAAGCTGAAAGGATTGCAACTGGTAGGTTTGGTGGCAGGCTCGTTTGACTGGGAGCTGTGGGAAAGCTTTCAAGACAATAGCCGCCCCCCCCCCCCTCCATCTATGGCCCAAGCTAGACATCTGGGCTGTGAAGGAGGAGGGAGAACAGCAAGTGAATAAACCATCTTGTTTACATAGCCAACCAGCCTTTGGCTGGATTTTGTATAGTTCTGTCTGTCAAAATATTAGCCATGAAGCATATAATTATAAATTGAATACTTTATCATGCTCCAGAGTCATATAAATGTATTCTTTTAGAAGGGGAGTGCTCACGGTCGCTTTGAGGGCCTCATCCAGGATCCGCCGAAGTTTAGCCAGGTTCCGGGCGCTCGGACCACCGCGCAGGACACTACGTCATTGGCTGTTAATTGAAGAGCTCTGGTTCGACATGTGCTGAACAACTTACCTGAGCACTCCCTCTCGTCATTCTGTCCAACCATGACAACCCGGTAAGACAGCACAACTACTATGTCGCAACACCGAGCACTGTGTTCTTCGAGATGAGGCCCCTCCGTCCGGCGCAAGGCCGACTCTCGTATCTCCGGATTCGGGGATTGATCCTCCAGTGGCCAATCACCTCGGGTGCAACGACGAGCGGCTTGAGTGCGAGCCCAAATTCCGCTCTCTTCTGCTGCCGGATCGGTCGGACAAGCCAACAAAGAAGCCACACGAGCGGTCAATGCCAGAATCCATGGCAGAAGAAGTGGCAGAAGCCATGGGAGAAGCAAGGCCAGGAGTCGAAGCAGGAGTCGGAGCAGAAGTCGGGGCAGAAGTCGGGGCAGGGCCAGCAGGGTTACCAGAGACAGCAGGGTTGGCAGTGGACCGTGCCTCCTCACCGAGGGCAAGCACCCCTGCTTGCCGCCGCTCAGGCCACCGCCGCCCTGGGAACGGCGGCCTTCGTCAAGCTCTCAGAGAACGAGGAGGCATCCGGGGATACTGGTGAGAGGCGGATGCTGCAGGCGTCCCGCAAGGAGATATCGAAGAAGGTTGATGATGACGGCCGGGGACTCTCACGACTGAGGCACAAGGTCGTCTACTTCCTTGACGTCTATGTCTGGGAGCCGTTGTGTACCGGGTTCCGATTCCTTCACCTCGCCGTCATCTTCGTGCCTGTCATACTTGCTGTCCCCGCGATATGGATCGGCAGAAGGCAGAAGGACCGCAACAACGAGCGAGCCGGGACGCTGTGGTGGTATGGCTTCCTTGTGAAGGGGATGGAATGGGCCGGTCCGGCTTTCATCAAGGTGCGTACAAAGTGGATTTCAAGGTTCAGAGCAAGATGCCAATGCGAAGTGCCTGGTTGATGGTGGCTCTAAGGGGCAAGTGCTCTGAGAAGTGAGGACACGTTGGGTGACCCACATGGGGTGGTTGTCGGTGTCCTCCCATGGTGTGTCCATGTCAGCCACCGAGATGTTGGAAATTTCAAGCCGGATGACAAGGTATGATTGGCCATCCTAGGGAACAATGGGAGATGTGTCTTTGTCGTCAAGGTTGGCCTGCATGTGTCTGGTGAAAGTGAGTGGGAAGAAAGACCCAAGTGGTTTGAAGGAGGGGCAAATGAGTCGGAAGAGAGTCAAGTGGCTCGAAGGGAGCTGAGAGAATGCGGAGAAATCAGAGTGGTCGGAAGGGAACTAAGGAGTGCGAAGAGAGCCGAGTGGCTAGGAACCAAGAGATTTGAAGGGAAGCCAAGTGGACTTGAAAAGAATCCAATGAGCCGAGCGAGAAGAAAGGGACCCGGATGAAAAGGAAGAGAGAGCCAAAGTGGCCTCAATCAGGTTTATACCGACACCGATATGACATCAACATTGAAGTGGCAGGTCGGGCTTTAACCAGAAATTCACCAACCCGGATGAGTGGTAATCCACTCATCTACATTTTGGAGGTTTGGAATTATTGTATCGAAGCTCTTTGTTGCTGTTATGCATCGTTGGAGAGGATAATGGGACAGGCAAGTGCCGCTAGCCAGACGTCGATGGAGACCAAGTTGCGAGAGAATTCCAGGAGCGATTCCTAGACTCACTTCGGAAGTTGTGTATTCAGTCACTGACATTTGTTGCAACAGCTGGGTCAGTGGGCCGCGTCTCGATCTGACATCTTCCCGACTGAGCTATGCGAGATCATGTCAAAACTACATTCAGATGCTCCAGCTCACTCCATGCACGCGACCAGACGCATAGTGCAAGCTGCTTTCGGCGGCCGTGCATTCAAGGATATATTTGATGAGTTCGATGAGAAGCCTCTTGGTGTGGGAGCCATTGCGCAAGTATACAAGGCTAAGCTCAAGCCTGACTTGGCTGGGCCGGGAGATGCCGACTTGCTCGATGACGAACCTCGTGCAACAATACGGAAGAACGTTACGAAGAACGTTGGCAACGTCCTGAAGAGTACGCCGAAACGGGTGCCCTCCTCGTATGTGGCTGTCAAAGTTCTGCATCCTGGGGTCGAGCGCACAGTACGCCGGGACCTACGCATTATGAGAGCGGTTGCATCGGTGCTCAACTTCATCCCCACGATAGAATGGCTCTCTCTTCCAGATGAGGTTGAGCAGTTTGGTGAGATGATGAAGCTGCAGCTCGACATGCGCATTGAAGCCGCAAACCTCACCATCTTCCGCAAGAACTTCAAGAACCGCACCACGGCTTGGTTCCCCTTCCCGTACACCGAGTTCACGACAAGGAGTGTCTTGATCGAGGAGTTCGCCCACGGCATGCCTCTAGCTGACTTCCTGGAGAATGGAGGTGGTGTGTTCCAACGAGATATTGCCTCCGAGGGACTGGACGCCTTTCTTCGCATGTTGCTGCTTGACAACTTCATCCATGCCGACTTGCACCCCGGCAATATCATGGTTCGCTTCTACGAGGCCGAACAACCGGAGCTGCCCTTAAAGCTACGCCTTCGCCACCAGGATGGTGAGGGCCAGGCTCTCCCATCAGAGCAAAACGACGTGACAGAAAAGGTACTCGCCCGGCTCCGCCCTTTCCGCCACCAAAAGGATCCCAAGGCTTGGAATGCCGAACTAGCAAAGATCGACCGAGAGGGCTACCGACCGCAGCTGATTTTCATTGACACGGGCCTGGTCACCGAGCTGAATGAAACAAACCGCAAGAACTTTCTGGATCTTTTCCGTGCTGTTGCAGAGTTTGATGGCTACAAAGCCGGCAATCTCATGTGTGAGAGGTGCCGTCAGCCTGACGCTGTCATCAACAAGGAAGTTTTTGCCCTGAAAATGCAACACTTGGTGCTCGCAGTCAAGAGCCAGACTCTGGCACTGGGCAATCTCAAGATCGGCGACATATTAGAGAAGGTTCTTGACATGGTACGGGGCCATCACGTTCGTCTCGAAGGCGACTTTGTCAATGTGGTCATCAGCATCTTCCTTCTCGAGGGCATCGGGCGGACCTTGGATCCCAACACAGATCTTCTGAGCAGCAGCCTGCCTATTCTGCGTCAACTGAGCGCCCAACAGGGCAAGGACATGGCCAAGGGAGGCGATTTCAGCATGCTGATTCTATGGATGGGTCTGGAGACCAGGAGGTTCCTCCAGATAAGTATTGATGATGTATGTGACCCAATTTCTCACTCTCCCTATTGCACTGCGCATCCAGCACGATACATCAGCTGACTAAAGCATTTATGAAACAGGTCGAACGATGTGTAAAGTATGATCTCCTCTCACCCAACGTTTAGATGGCACGGCACCTGCATTGGCGGTGTAGACCAAGAGAAGGGCAAAGACGGCGGCGTCTGGAGTTTTTCGCGTACAGTAGCATTGATACACTTCGAGACGGGACACATAGTAGATCACGTCCCAAGACACCAGACAGACAGGCTGGACGAGCACTCAGAAAGAGCTGCGGGTCAGAAGACATACCAAGTTTATTCTAAGAATTCTAGATAATCCTCACCCTGAATCCTCCGCACCGTCTCAGTATCGTGTGATTGCCTTTGGCGAGGCCCTGGCCTTGTATCCGAGATTCGTCGTGGGGGCCGGGTAGAAGACTGGCACTTCCAATCGAGCCAGTATTGCTGACCCCCAATGGTGGCAAAACGCATGCCTTGAATGACGTTCGAAACTAGTGATGGCATAGTCAGCAGATCTAGTCGTCCTGACTGATCCTGGCAAGTCCATGCGCGCTGGCTTCTCCTTTTTCTTACCCAAGCTGGCAAAGTATCCCAAGACCATGGAGCTAGATAGCCGTCCGCCAATCAGACCGGGTCCCAAGGCGAAGCCGACATCAAAGCACTTGCGGGACGACAATGCGGGGCTGGCCGATCGCCCACAACGACGATCCGGACAGACGGAGAGGGTGACTGAACAAGGTCGGTCATTGGCCCGACGACATCGGCGCGAGCTTACGGGTGCTTATCTCCCAGGTCTCCTAAGGCGGAGGGGCGTGCCTATCGATGCTTGGGCCTGCAGCTTTGATCGTGGTTCTATTCCGATCTTATCGACCCGCATGGGGGCCCCGGCCCGATTGCCGTTGTGAGATGCTGTTGCTAATTTGAAGCACGTCTGTTCCACGCGATACGAGTAGCTGTCACGAGTGGTCTTCATCGCCCGTCAACCACTTCATCCTGCAGCCCGTTGATGCCGTTAACGGACGTGGCTGGACACGCACCGCGATATTTCAGCACTTAAGAATGCCATGCTTTAGACCGGGTCTAATTGACTCCAACCGTCCTCCACGTTCGTCGCCTATTGTCGAGGAGAACCACGAACCCCACACATCTTCTATAACATCGCCCTTGGACCCCGTCTTACTTGCATCAAAACATCCCATCCCCGCAATAGTTAGTTAGCAAAACAACCTCGTCTTCAAGATGGGCTCTCTAGCAACTGAAATCCCACACCCCTTCGATCCTCTGTCACTCGAAGAGATCGAACGAGTCATCACATCCGTCAAAAAAGCCCACGGAGATGTCTTCTTCAATGTTGTCTCACTGCACGAGCCGCGCAAGGCGGAGATGAGTGCATGGCTTGCGGACCCGGAGAAATCAGCCCGTCCGGCTAGAGTCGCGGATGTTGTGGTCATTGCCCCTGGCGGGAAAGTCTTCGACGGCCTGGTGGACGTCGAGACCGCGAGCATCAAGCTCTGGGAGCAGCTGGACGGCCTGCAGCCTATTGTGAGTCCACAACATCCATCCTGTGCGAGAAGAAACTCGAATGGTGTCTGACAAATAGAGCAGATCACCATGGAAGAGCTTCAGGCAGTCGAGTATGTCTGCCGGAAAGATCCTGGTGTCATCGAACAGTGTAAGATCAGCGGGATCCCCGAGGAGGACATGCACAAGGTCTACTGCGATCCGTGGACGATTGGCTTCGACGAGCGTCACGGCTCAAAGGTCCGCTTGCAGCAGGCACTCATGTACTACCGGCCCAATGTCGATGACTGCCAATACCAATATCCGCTGGACTTCTGCCCTATCTACGATTCTGACAAGCAGGCCATCATCTCTATTGATATCCCAAAGGTGCGACGGCCGCTCAGCACGGCCGCAGCCATCAACTACACACCTTCACACGTCAATGAAAAGGAGGGCGGCTACAGAAATGACCTGAAGCCCATCAACATCACACAGCCCGAGGGTGTGTCATTCAACATGACTGGAAGGGAGATCGAGTGGCAGAGCTGGAAGATGCACATTGGCTTCAACTACCGAGAAGGCATTGTCCTGAACAACATCACATACGACGACAAGGGAACAGTCCGTCCCGTCTTCTACAGATTATCACTGGCGGAGATGGTGGTGCCCTACGGAAACCCCGAGCGCCCACACCAGAGGAAGCATGCCTTCGACCTGGGCGAGTACGGAGGCGGATACATGACCAACAGTCTCGCGCTTGGCTGCGATTGCAAGGGCAGCATCCACTACCTTGACGCGCACTTCCCCACCCGCGCAGGCGGCGTCCGGACCATCAAGAACGCTATTTGCATCCACGAGGAGGACGACGGGATTCTGTTCAAGCACTCGGACTTCAGAGATGATTCTGTCATCGTGACTCGGGCCCGCAAGCTCATCATCCAGCAGATCTTCACCGCCGCGAACTACGAATACGCGATCCAATGGGTCTTCCACCAGGACGGCACCATCCAGCCCGAGATCAAGCTTACTGGCATCCTCAACACATACGCCCTGAACGCCGGCGAGGACCCCTCACCGTGGGGTACGCAGGTTTACCCCGGCGTCAACGCCCACAACCACCAGCACCTCTTCTGCCTGCGCATCGACCCCAACGTCGACGGGCCCAACAACACCGTCTTCATGACCGACACGGTGCCCTCGGACGCCGCCGTCGGCAGCCCCGAGAACTACTACGGCAACGCCTTCTACGCCAAGAGGACCAAGCTCGCCACCGAGGGCCAGGCGCGGACGGACTACAACGGCGCCACCTCGCGGACGTGGGACATCTGCAACGAGAGCAGGCTGCACCCGTACAGCAAGAAGCCCGCGTCGTACAAGCTCGTCAGCAGGGAGGTGCCGGGCCTGCTGCCCAAGGAGGGCTCGCTGGTGTGGAAGAGGGCCGGGTTTGCGAGGCACGCTGTGCATGTGACAAAGTGTGAGTTGAAGCTCTCAGCCCGCCTCCAAGGGAGTTGATCGTCACAAAGTCTTGATAAATTCTTGATTCAAAAGCTGACGTGACGTTACCGCCCCGCAGACTCGGACGACCAGCTCTGGCCCGCTGGCCGCCACGTCCCTCAGACATCCGGGGAGCCGTCGCGCGGCCTGCCGGAGTGGATCGGCGACGGCAGCGAGTCCATCGAGGACACGGACGTCGTCCTCTGGCACACATTCGGCGTGACGCACATCCCGGCCCCGGAGGACTTCCCCGTCATGCCGGCCGAGCCGATGACGCTCCTGCTGCGCCCGCGGAACTTCTTCACTAACAACCCCGTCATGAATGTCCCGCCGAGCTACGTCTCCATCCCGAGCCAGGTGGCAGCCAAGAAGGAGGCTGTGGTTGATGCCGCGGATAAGGTGAGCAAGATGGCATTTACCGAGAGCTGCTGTGCTGGGTCGAATGGTGCGAATGGGTCGAACGGGTCGAACGGTGCTCATTAAGCGTCAATTATGGGTGGCTGAGCTGAGCTTGGACTCTGAGAATGGAAATGTAGCTGGCTCAGCAGCTCATTCAGGTTGAAAAAATATCTATGCTTGGATGCAAGTTTACATCACTCATGTTTGGGCAAAGGGCTACTGCTTTCTGTAAGGAACTTTGTTAAGAATGAGACCCATTGAGCTGTTGTTCCATTCAGTGCTGATTTATCTACTGCTCCCTGGGGGGGGGGGGCCTGCTCCATGGGGTTGAGTGACTGAATGGGGCAAACACAAATCCTGTGACTTGTATGTAGCCACCGTGGTCAGCTTCATCTCACTGTTTTACATGTACACACGTACACACGTAGAATGAGGTCGAGCCCAGAAAACTTACGACTTTTCATCAAAAGATTACACGAATACGGCTTGACGAGAGGGAGACCTCAACGAACTGAATTGAAAGTCTCAGTTCAAAACCCTGCCAAAAGCTGCTTAAACCAAAACCCGCAAGTGAAAACCTCGGAAACTCCAAAAAGCCACCCCCAATATTTTCAAGTGGTTTGACTCCGGTGCATGGAGTCATCCATTACTGACTTCCGCCGGTGTACCGTGACCAGCGGAAGTTCCTGGGGAACACCGACTTGCCGTCGGCTACCATGTGTTCCAAATCCTGCAACTCGCATCGATTTAAACTGATATCCGTCATTCTCAAACACACGATTTCTCTGTTCGAATGGGCTATCACTGCTCATATATGACCTCCATTTCTCTTGAGGGGCCAGAATAGTGATAACCTGCCGTGTGGTCCACACCCGACGTGGTGTGATAGTACTCTGCGCCCCTGAGGGGCTCGGCCTCAGCGTGGCGGGACGTGAGGCCGCTCGATCGCCTTGACTCTTTGCCATGGTACCTTCGAGAGCCTGACCTGCCTGATGAACTTGCGGTCGGTGGAAAATACCCTGACATATTTCGCTGGTGACCTCGATCGTCCCGGGGTGAAGGCTGCACTGGAACTGGTGGGTAGGGTAACTCGTGCGCGCTAGGCAGGGGAGAGATAGGTGTGCTGACGTTCTGGTGCGAGGCTGACGGTGGTGGACAGGCCCCAAGATCTTGGGCTGGCTGATGTGCTAGCTGGCCGACGCTGAGGTTTTCGGATCGGTCTCCGTGTGGACATGATGTGCCGCCACCCTCATACTGCTGTCACAATCGCTTGGAGTACTGCTGTACCGGCAAACTTGACGGTAGGTATGGAGCCTCCGGTTCGGGATGTCGCGGACTTGCTTTGAGGCCCCAGACTTGATTCCATACCTGAGCATGTGATTGCTCGGAAGTTGGGGGGTATGAGCGCTGCGACGTATGAGAATTTATGACAGAGTTATGCAACCGGTGGCCCTACCTGATCTCCCAGAGGGACAGATTGCTGCGAGTCAAAAGTGGAAGACGACATGGTATTTCGCGCTACTGCGTCTTGGTTGGTGAGGTTGTTGTGATAGAACGTCTTGTATGCCTTCGACTTTTGTTGCAATCCTTGCAGTGGCGTGCTTCGAAGCGCAGGAAGAAGCTGCCAAGGCAGTGGAGTTGCGGGCTTTTATATATTCTCTGAGCGCCTGTAATTCACAGTATTCGAACACTCACTGCGTTTCACGACAATCCTGAGTCCGGCTGCGCTGGAAGTCAGAACAACGGGTGACAGAAGCACACGCCGTGATGGGCATGTAACGATGTAGCTTTGGGCTAAGCCCTGCATTTGAAGAAATACCTCAGACGAGACGATATACACCTCCAAAATCGCATGGGCACTTGGGTATCGAGGTTGTCGTTTCATGTGTTGATGACCTGAGGTAATTAGGCAAGTACCATAATAATGAAGAGATAAGAACTTGATCTACATATGAGAGGTTCTGCTAGGGTTGCCAATAGTGTGTACCAACTTTTATCTAATAACAAGTGAATCAATAGAAGATGAATTCTCAATCGTGCATCACCTCTATTGAAACCGAATTCAGGGATGCAAGAAACATATTACCCCATAAATTTCAATTTCATGTACACTCTTTCTATGATAATATTGAGTATGGATACATTACCATTAAGATGTAAGCGATTAGCCCATCTGATGACGGCAGGTGAATCATTTGGCAACTGACCTAAACATGTCAATATTGTAGCCTATGTAGAACATGAGTAAGAGTTTATGATGCGTATTGCCACAAAATCCAAACAAGATCTTTGTACCTGGAACAATATACTACCTTGACTTCAAGACAACAAGGTTGCAAGAGCGTCGAGCATGGGAGGCTGAGCTGAGCTTGGACTTCGAGACTGAAAGTGTGGCTTGTCCACCAGCTTATTTGGATTGTAAAGCTATGTTGCTTTTTTGCAAATGGACCTTGTTGAGAATTGAGACTTACCTAGCAACTCATCCCCTCAGTGCTGAATTATCCATTGCTCCCTCAGAGCTGAAATGTTCCACGGAATGAAGTGACTGAATGTGGTATGTGATAAACGCTATGGGCAGCACCGCCTACAGCTTGACACGTAGACATGTACATGTGTAGGTAGAAGCCAAGTGCAACCAAGCTACAAACCTGTTCCCAGCGGCTTTCATGAAGGTGACCTGACGAAATAAAGACAACGACCTAAATTGAAGATCTCGGTACAGAATGCCGTTTAGATTTCCGCCAATTAGGACGCCAAGCCTTAACTTCTGAAATTTCAAGGAGCCACTCAATGCTTCAGAATATCTCCGACTGGCTTGCATTCCAGGGTGTGGTATGACGCAGCAATTAAACCAACTGATTGATTTGCCACGGCCGCCATAAACCTCTGCTACATACCCTGAAGTCATTGACCGCTTCTCCAATTTCTGATTCTAGCCATATCACGAAGATATTCCGGAGTGAACTGGTGATCATCTGAATCATACTGCTCCTCGGCATACTGGCCCTCGTCCTCATGAGTGTCGTATGAGCCAGTCCTATCGAACCTGAGATGTCCCATCTCCTGCAAGTAGGATGGAGAAAACTGAGACCTGTCACCTGGGAACACCGCTCTTCTGGCCTGGGAGGAGTGGCCTTGCCCAGATGGGGCATGTGGTGTCCTTGGAGGGCCGGCGTAGCCACGTCTTGTCGCATGGTCCCTGCTCGCCATGTTGTCATAGTACCACTCACTCCTGGTGGGTCTTGCTTCAGCGTGGTGGGACTCGCGGCTCCTTGATCGCTCATGTCGACGTCCTTGCCGTTGTGTCCTGGTCTCAGAGCTCCGAGGAGGGCGTGGCCTGGAGCGTCCGCTCTCTCTGGACTCCCCACTAAGGTGGCTGCGATCTTCTGTTCGTCTTGACGGGCTACGGGAATATGAGTAATACTCTGGTCTGTTTCGTTCTCGACCTCGACTATCTTGGGGACGAGACGGCACTGGAGATGATGGAGACATGTACTCGGGGGACCTGGGCGAAAGAGAGCCAGGGCTGATTGGCGAATAGCGCTCTGAGCCGGCTGGACTGGCATGCCCGTAAGAGGATGGAGATGGCGGGTGTTCCCTTGGATATTGAAATGGCTGGTTTCGCGGCGTCTGGCTAGCGCTAAGGCCCTCGGATCGGTCTTCGACTGGATACGGTGTGTCCCGACTACCAAGTCGCTGGGAAAGCCGTTCGGAGTATTGCGGTACAGGCATCCCCGATGACGAACCTGAGGCTTCTGAGAAAGGAGCTCCCGGACGTGCGTATTCCCGCTGTGGCTGGAAGCGCCGGGTGTGGCTCCAGGTTCGAGCATTTAATGTAGCAAGGGATGGAGATTTTGGAGCTTGCGACGCATGTGAAGATGTGACAGACTCCAACGCACTTGGTGTCACTCGCCTCTCATCTTCAGCTCTCTCAAGCGGTATTTGTCGTGAGTAGAAACTGGAAGATGTCATGGTATTTTGTTCTGAGAAGTTTTGGTTGCTGGGATGCATGTCTTTACCGTATTGCGGCCTCTCTGGCCCTTCTTTGTCCACATTCATGGAGGCATCAAGATCCGCTTGAGTAAGTCTCGAGTGATAGTTTTCATAGTGTCTCCGCAGATTATCAAATGGAATCTCGCAATAGCGACAAATGCCTCCATAATACACGTTGTTGTTACGGTTGGGCTGACGTGACGGACTTGGGATATCTGAGTCCCCACGACGGCCATCACGGCCACTATGGTGGCTCTTGTGCTTCCCGTCGCTCATAGGCTTACTTTTGCTGTGACCCATGGTAACAATTCAAAATGTTGTTTCTTGTGTTGGAAGAGACAGAGCATTTGCTTAAAGTGCATTTCTTGTTGGATTCTCATTTTGTTCCGACCAGGGCGTTGTTCCGTGTGAAAATATGGAAAGCACTCAAAGGCAACATAATTGTGGCTTTATATACATTTTCTGAGTGTCTGTGTATCACAGACTATAAGGAATCACTGAGAGTCACCATGAATATGAGTTAATAAATCTGGCCGTGCTTGAAGTCAGAGCAATGGGTGACGAAAGCGTGCAACCTTTGTGTGTGACTGAGGGTTCAAATTTGAACGGTTTTCTGAGGGAAGAATGGAATTTCCAGAACTAGAAGAAAATTTCAATCATCTAGTTCTCAGTCTATGTCAGACGAGTTAAGGTGACGAGGGCCATAAAATGGGAAGGGTGAGAATACGGTGTAATTACTCCTGTGAGACTTTGCTGGGAACACTTGTGAAAAGTAGCAAATAAAATTCAGAGAGATTTAAAGAAGAATTCATAAGGCTTGATCCATAGTCTTGTTTTCCTCGAGAGAAAATGGATGTGTGAGGAATGCTTTGTCTGTAAAATTTGCTACTATGTACTTCATGTGCATGATCTTATTTGACGCACTTCACGTGTGTGGGCCGTGACTGGTTGGGCCACTACCTTCATTGTGACATTGTTGAAGCGCATTTACAGAGCTAACAAGCGGTATACAATAACTTCGCTATGACAATAGAACATCACTTCTGAATGGTGAACAAGAACCTACAGACGCTTGAAAAGAACAAGGTGAGGGGCTGCCTCTTGTGTGCGAATGAACAGGAGAATGAGCTGCAACACCCGCTGGAACCTAGTCTCGTGCTTTTTCTTGCAACATTAACAGAGCTCGCTACGGACCAAGGCCATTGTCAAAGACCCTAATGGAGTCAGACACAAACCAGCCTGAGTATGGAGTAGTACGGAAAGGAGAATCCTTGAGTGGGCAACATAAGTAAACATAGAATGGCAGTCAAATCGAAGGTTACCTGAAATGTGCAGCCTTGGCGCTTTCAGAACCCACACTTGCCAATGCGCAGGAAGTTTTCTTAGGTATACAAGCTTCTGCCTTAAGTCGATGGTGGCGGATCAAGCAGTTGAAACTGGCCTCTACCCTTCCCCGTATCTCCGATTATGTCAACTCAGGCCGCTTTGCCACGAGAATGGACATGATGACGTTTCGACTGACGAAACGGCCTGTTAGTCAAGTACACTGGCGTATTCGGGGCTTCTCGATGGTTCTATGCCCACAGAACTCCCTATACTGGCATTCCGTGCTGTCTTCGTACTTCCACGCAAGGTACCATGGCACATGAAAGTGTCTAAGCCAACTTAGCTCGGGCTGGGGCATGAAACATGGCCTGATATATCGTCTTCGACTCAAGTGGGTCGACTGAGGCATGCATCGGCTCTGGGCGGTATTACGAATTCAAGAAAAGATAGCATTGAAGAAACCACAGATTCTCAGAACACCTCCTTCAATCCATCCCTTAAGGCAAGGCGTCATTATCGAATGATCTGCCGCGCTTCTTGAGAAAGATTAGGGCGTCCGCTGCCCGAGGACCCTAAGGAGGTGTGTCGTTGCCCATCACAAAGAGCTCCTTCGACGGCCGAGGAGATCGTAGCTTTTCAAGTTTGAACGAGGCAAGCTGTTCTGATAATATTCAGCCTAAACAGAGATCTTGGAACTGGGCAGATACAGGTGAAGCAAGATGACTGTAACTCGCCCAGTTTTCCTGTTTTCACATTCCATGTTTCCGTGATGACTCCCATGCCATTCCTCATTCTCGAGAGGCTGGCGTGGCGTCCCCATCTCGTCTGCTAAGTAGAAGGGTATCTGTCCTCAGCATACCCGCTCGCCACTAGTTTCGACACAGCATAGACGCATCGACTTCTCAATGCAGCCAGTCAGGCTGAAAACAAGGCACGCCATTGGTCCCCGAGCAAGGACCGGAGCCGTCCGCCACATGAAAAAGAAAAAAAATGGCATGACACAGGTGCCGCCCGTGCCCAGTGCACAATGCACAACGCACCGGCTGCGCCCAAACCGGAATTCACATGCGACACTCATCAGCAGTTTTCGACGCACCAGGGCTTGTATCAGCCAGGGAAAGCGCTTGAATGCATACCAGTGGAGAAAGAGAGAGGGTAGCACTGCATTTGCACATTTGCAGTGTCCAGCATGTTCACGTCTCGGATTGGATGGGCCAGCACGGAGTAGTACCAAGGTCTGCGTCTCTTTGGATGGTCTAGAATGCGTTCTGTATTCTTGGTCCGCATATTGATTGTACGTATGCATGTATAACACGGGCGGGAGTTTCTCTCTCTCTGTGCCGTTTTCCCGGGGGCCTGCTCAGTTTGGCAGAAAGCCCCCTTCCTGATTCTCATGCAGAGTTCTAATGGTACAGCATGCAGCAGCCATGCGTGATAGCAGGAATACAACATTTCCCCCTTCATTCCCAAAACGCCATGGCTGCGCTCAAAACCCAATGCATGACAAAATCAAGTTTCCCGCCAGAAACCCCTGGTCCCGTTGATGCTGGTATGTTGCCCGGAACGCCTTTCTTGAAAATTGAAACCGCCGATTTTATCGTCACTCGTGAGACACTCGGAAGTGTCTTCCCAATTATCCTTTAGTGTGTTTTCGTAGGTTTTTGTAGCTTTAGGCTTCCCATAGAGACATCATGGGGCCCTCGATGTGCTGGACGTGGTGCTGAACGGGGACCTCCCTCTTGGCCGGTGCAGCCGTCTCGGTCCGCCTCCGCTTGTGCTCTGTAGTCGAGCTTGTTTTTGATGGCTGCGGGATCCAGAGCGACATGGAAGGGCCGTCGATTTCAGAGTCCCACTGCTCGTGAGCCGTAAAGGTGCCGGCCCGCTCCCTCTTGTGCTCGTGGGCAAGGTGCTGCTGTGCGCGGTGGGCGGCCGTCTCTCTCCTCAGGGCTTGCCTGTTCAGGCAGAAGGGGAGCTCCTCCTGGCTGACGGACATGGCGCCGCTGTGGCGTCTGATTGGGGACGGGGGAAGCTCGTCCTCGCTGTACTCGTCGTCGTCGCCCAGCACGGCGCTGTCCTCGTCGGATTCGGACAGCGGCGATGCGGTCAGGGACGATCGCTTCGAGATGGAAGTGATTTGTGTTGTGATGAAGGATGTGTCGATTGGCTTTACGAACTGGGGACCATGGCACAGCATGTTGTCGTCGAAGGAGCCAATGTAGAGAGGGTTCGTCTTTGGGAATGCAGCTTGGGTGTTGATGGGGCGTGGTTGCATCTGAGCCATGACAGTATTGGTTGATGGGTGTGTTCGGCTAAGGCGGTGCAGTTGTGACTTGTAGTCAAGATTCAATAGTTAGATGTTGTTGCTTCAAGGCTGTGGTGAGCTGATTGATGACTTCTACGGGAAACGATGGTGGAAGGCTGGCTGAGACTCAAGATATTTAAACAGAATCCGGTCCAGCCGACCAATCCAACTGGGAAACGCATCTCGCAGGCTGAGATGCCGCGATGGGCTGATCGATGGGATCTAGAGGCATGTGGTGTCTCAGTCATTTCTCTTGACCCCAAGTCTCCCCCGGATTCAAGCCCACAATGACATTGGCATCAGGCGCCGACCAGGCCCCTTTGACGGGGAAGTCGTATGATCGGGGGGCCCCGGATGGGCTGACTGCGGGAGCGATACCGTCGTATCAGAAACATGCATAACACAAGTGGTGTTAATGTTAAGCACTAAACGCCCCTTTGGCCACTCGGTTTCCGGGGCAAAGGTGGAGTGGGCTGCTTGGTTCCGGGACAATCCGAAATCTACTACGGGCATCTTCTCTCCAAGATCATTCATCTCTTAGCCGCCCAGCCAACCTGCCTGGCCTGCTAACCCAGCCTGCACGCGCACTACAGTCGTAACCGGAACAGCTTGATTCTGTGATTCTTTGTCACTATGCAGACTAACTGGGTACGTCCATATCTGGGCATTTAGCCGTCCTACTAGCTACAGCTGGTTCTATTAAGCAAGGGGATCGATCTTGTGTCCCCCCAAAAATTACAGCCCCAATCCCTCTCACATGGTCTTTGACACAGAGCATACCCACAGATGATTCGATGCCCCATGCTCCAATTACAGCCCAGTTCTGGCTGTCTCAACCCGAACGCGCCTGGCTTTGACTCGTGATCACCGATTCTCCGGGCGTCTGCCACCCTCGTTAGGACTGCGCCAGGGCTCTCGGAGCATCGCTGCGTAGGAAGGTGTCCAAGAAGTTTGCCCTGCGCTACCGGGCACAGCATCTCTCTCCACTGTGCTCACAGTGGCTCTCAGGCAGGGCGTCTTCTCTTCCTGGAAAAGTCCGTCACTTTGCCTCGCATTTTCTTTCCGAAACCGAAACAATGGCCGCAATGCTGTTGGCCCACGGGGTTCGCCTGCAAGTGCGGATGCCCCTAAGACACTGGCCGTACCCTGAGGGTCAATAGGGTGGTTATTGCCTACTTTTGTAGCTTTCAGTCCTTGCGAATGTCCAGGAGAGACTGTGGCGCCCGTGCTTTTCAGTGAGCTGTCCGAAGTCTTAGAGGTGAGTTCAGTCTCTTGGATTCTTCCGCGGCTCTCACTATGTCCTCTCATTGTCGAAAGACGACAATCTTGATCTGACGACGCCGCTCGTCGAGGTCGAGGGGTCGGGCATACAGCTGTTTGGCTTGTATTAGATGATTCCTGCATGGAAAGCGGCGAACCTTCGTCCTGTGGTCTTATTGTCATTGGCTGCGCTTGTCTGCTTGCGGCTTGAGCTGACCAGGACTTTGCTCTCGACTGATTACACTCCTCGCCGTTTGGGCTCGGACTGTGTGTGGTGCTTGTGGTTGATGTGACAGAGGGGTACGCCCCCCTCTCTGCGATTTGATCAAAAACGGCGCCCTGGCTGCTTCCGTACTGGCCACTCGAGGCGTTGCCGAGGCGACTTGGAAGGCTCACTCTTGGGTTCCGAGTAGCAAGGTCATGTCCATCTCCTGGCATGAACAGATCATTTCCAGTGCTGTGGTGGTGGTGATCTTGGGCATTAGAAGCAGGAGAAGCACAGGGAGATTCCTTAGCCTCAACAGAGTTTGTGGCATTGAGATATTGCTGATCTTGCTGTTGCTGATCCTGCTGATGCTGATCCCGCACTGACAAAGCCCCCATGCCGACATTGTCTTCGATCTCTTGCTCTGGTGTTGGATTCTGCTTTGCTCGGATCGCTCTTAATCTTGCCTCGAAGTCCCGTGCAAGGCCCTTGTTAGCATCCACTCCTGTCTTGGACAGACCTGGGTCTAGCACTGTTGAACGTTGACGCAACTGCTGTGCCGTTCGAAAAGCAAGCACCTCAGCCGTGTGTCCCAAAACGAATTCCTGGTCTGCACTGGGAATTGTCAAGGGATCGTGTAGAAACAGACAAGGGAATTTTCGCGCACGGACTTTCGGTCCACCGTCCTGGTATCCTTCAGCCCAAGTCAGCCTCGAGGCCTCTTTGCCGGAATCTGTGGTGGCCTTGACCACTTTGAAGCAGTTTGGGATCTCCTTCTTCAGTCCAGAGGTGAACAGGTTGCCTGTTATTCCAACCTCTTTCCAATCTCCATCACCCAAGTATGGTAAAATGACCACCGGGTACCAAGATCTCGGCTCAGCATCCCACCATGCGTGGTAGACCTCGCCCACGACCGGATCAATGACGCCTTTGAACGAACCAACCAGGTCCTGACCAGACTTGGCATCTGCCTTCTTTTTTGCTGACCTTCGTTTCCTTTGCGAGCCCCAACTCTTCTCCATGGTATTCTGCGGCTTGTAGCCCTGGTCGAGGGCCTTCTTGTATTCGGTGTTGCTTGCTTTGGCCTTCTGTTGATCACAGTTTTCAACAAGCTCACCAAGCTCCTTGATAGCCAAAAAAGCTTTCTTAGACGGGAACATGTGCCACCTTGACACGAGATGTCTTGATGCGGCTGGGAGTGGCTTGTCGCTCCAGTTGAGATTATGTTCCTTGCAACGAACAATGTACCAGTTGCCACATCCCTCAGGATGCTCGAGAATCCCTGAAAACATTGTCAGTAAATTATGGCGGCTTCACCTTTTGAAAGTTGAAAGCTATGTTCAATGGTGGGATTGTGATAGATTTACTGACAGTGCTTGTATTTTGCTTGAGGGTCTTGGGCCATCTGGTAGACCTCTTCGTAAGGAATCGTCTTCTCCGTCAGAGGTCGTGACTGGGTTAGGTGGATGGACTCATCTCCATTGCACATCGATTCAACGCCTTCTGTTGTAAACTCCTCATCTGAAGGCCCTTCAGTATTGGAAAAATCTGAGAGCTCATCCTGGTCTGAATTGTCATCTGCTTGCAGCTCACTTGGACCGTTGTCTTCTGCGGGCTTGTCGTCACGGCCCGGTTGCGATAGTGGGAGACACCTGTTCGTCGTGAAGATTCTGCACTCCGCTGACCCGTGCTCAGTGGTTGTGCGCTGTCCATCATTCCAGAAGCACTGATCACACTGGTCGATAAAGCAATTGGAGCATTGGCCTTCCATCACAGCCTGAGAATCCCCGGAAGGAGCCACAACACACCTGTCAAACATCCCACACTCAGTCTGACATCTCTTGCAGCTCTTTGGCTGCTCAGCGCCAGTAATATGGCACAGGATGGCTGTCATATCTCGGGAGCTCATCGCAGACCATGTTGCGTCTTGTCTGGAAGGGTTTGACACAGACTCGCGTGTGATGGGAAGATCAAGTAACGCAAGGTGTTCTGGTTTGGTCGGCCGGTTCGGGAAGTCTACTGTGAGGATTGGGTTGATACCACAAAGGTAAGTCCAGGCCGTTTGAGTGGAGGGCACTGTTAAAATGCAGGTCAGTGTCAAAAAGCCTGTGTAGTTGATACGGTGAGGTACTGACCGGTGTTCTGGGCAGGAGATGGCTGTAAGCCTCGCTCGAAGGTCCCCCTTCCGTGATGGTCTGTACAAACCTCTTCGAACAGTGGCTTTGCGCCCATGCTTAACTGTCGACCGACAAGCTCATAATCATTTTGTTTGCTTTGGAAAGGTGGCTCTGAACGAGAAGCGACACGATCATCAAAAAAACCACTGTCAGGGTAGGTTTGTGGGATGGAGAGGGCTTGAGCTCTGAGATCTTTCTCAAAGATGCTTGCTGAATTCGTTACCCGAGATACACCTGTTCGACTCTCAGGGGTACCACCGATCTGTGACGCGGGCTTCTTGAGGGAGCGATATTCAGAATTGTGCGTCAATGTGGAAGGGACCGAGCCTTTTGGCGTTTCGGGCTGTGCTCTCGCCTAGTTAGTTCGTGCTTTCTTCAACGATTACTTGGCCGGGATGGTGGAGACTATTGAGCAAATGTAGATTTGATGAGCAGTGAAGGCTCTAGGCGGCAGATTGGAGAGAAACAGTGCGAATATCCGCTAAGCGATCGCCGCGCAGATTCGCATTAAAGGAGCGTTTGCCGGATGAAACTTTGGACCTTCCGATAACGACACCTTCTGCTTGAATTGGGACCAGAATGTGAGGTTGGGGAGATGATGGAAGGAAGTCAGGTGCAGGGAGGTCAGTCTTCGGGTAGAAGCAACTGTCGGCCCCTCGCCAACTCAGATGAAATAGGACGCACCGAAAGTTCTAAATTGCCTTGCTTCAAGCGCTTGAGACCTGTGAGTTGTTGGTTGAGATGCTGAACCTCAGCATCATGTTTGCGCTTGCGAGTGACTTCACGCTGCAAGGCGGTCTGTAAGGCTTCTCTCTTGACGCGCAGCTCCTCGTTGTACTTAGCTTCCAACTCGTGAAGCGCGAGCTCCTTCTTCTTGATGTCATCCTGGCCAGCTGCTCGATCAGTTTCGTAGGTGCTGATTGCCTGTTGCAGGTGTCCTTCTTTCTGAGCCTGGAGGCGACGGCATCTTTCATTGAGAAGACGAAACTCTGCCTCAAGGTCTTCCATCTCGGAAGACGCGTCCTGGCTCATGATGGGCGCGTTGAGGCAGATTTGGGACTGGTTGAGAACCAGCGGACGCGATGTGACAAGATGGAGGATAGGGAGGGGCCAATCAGACCAGGAGTCAAAGGCCGCAAGAGACAAGAGAGAGGGTGAGATGGTTGAAGGACATTCAAAGCTGGGGAGAGTTCGAGCTTTGTTGCTTCCAGTCGAGCAAACGGATTGCGACTGGGTCCCAGGTGCATACCTATCTAGGTGGGTAGGTGCTAACGTGGTAAAAGTGAGATTGTTCTTTCCTTGGGCGACAGCTGGAAGGCGTCAGTTGCTGGCCAACCACCAGCCAGATACCACAGCTGCAAGCAAGACCGCCCTTTCCACAACCTCAGACTCTGCGAGAGGTGATCAGTTGTTGGGTAGGTACTGAGGTACATTGGTACCTACGTGGGCCCGCAGGCATACAGATGTATGCGATCAAAGCAGCGAGCTGCGTTTGTTCACAACAATTCCGCGAAGCATGACACTCTGGCCCAAGCTGTACTAAGTCGTCCATCTGCAACAAGCCCCCAAGCCAGGACTGTCAAGTTTCTGTTGTTGGCCAGCATAATACATCCCTGGAGCACAGGGAGTACCAACGGGCTCAACCTACAGGCAGAGAAGCCACCAAGGCATCACATCACCAGTTCTCTCGATGCATCTGCTATGGTTTCAGAAAGCTGCGCCCGTCGAATGGCACGCGATGTTTCCCAAGCCCCCCTGACCGATCTGGTCTAGACATACGCATCGCGCCTGCAGCTGTCCGTGTCAAACCTGGTGGAACAGGCGCCCCCCATCCAATCGCGGCACACCCATGAACGAGCGGCAGCAGGCTTCGGGCCATCGAGCTGAAAAGTATCTGTGAGTTACGCGGGAAAAGCAGAGACTTGGGCCCAGTCGTTTCCATCTGCTCCAAAATACTTACGTGGTAGAAATGAGCGACCTCAAGCGCTTGGGTAGCTGCGAGCCATTTTCCATACTGGTAACCACATGCGACTGCCCAGGGGAGTGAAATGCCAAAGTGCTTTACCCCAGTGTGGACGCGGATTCATGGCTTGCGTCGAAACACTGCCGGACCAATTGTTATGAGGGACAGGACAGTGCCTGGTCCGCGATGACAGGTGGCCGAGCTCGGAAAATCAATTCGGCGTGCGGAACAGACTATCACAGGTCACATCTCTCATTTCGGCGGTCATCGCAGAGCGGTTCAGAGGTCCAGTCCTTTCCTAAAAAAAAAAAAAAAAAAAGACCTCCATCGGACATTACACGAACATAATTTGCGACAATATTGCTGCTTCTGTTGAACGGGTCCCAAATCCCGTCACTTGACGTGTCGCAATTGCGCTGGATCGCAAGGAACCAACGTGAGCTGTTCTTTGAGGCTAGCGAATCACGTCTCCTTACCTAAGTAGGCTTGGCTTTGGTTCACCTGGACGCACGCAGAGACAATGTGGTTTTGATCGAATTCAATTCTGCTTTGCCTCATCTCCTTCGACTTCGGGGCATTGTGATTTCGTTGCAACTCAGACATCTTTTGACTTGGGCGCTCGAGATACTCTGAGGTTGGAGTCGTCTGCCGGGTGGGTCATGAATGGTCATTTAACGAGATTTAGGGAGTCCCGAAGTTTTCCCATGGGCTCTGCTGATCTGGGGTAGGCCAATTAAGCCTAAATTCATGTCTGGATGTGCTAACCCGAAAGGAGCCGGCGGTCTTACCCTTGGCTCTTGTCCGGGAGGGAATGCCGTTAGGGCGGCTTATTCTGCACGATCCTGTTGGCGGAAAGCAACTCATTGATCTTGGCGGTTGAAAATATGGGCATATAATAAAAACGAAGGACCCGTCCGTACCTTTTCTCGCTCTGACTTGTCCGAGGATGTCTCCGGTTCACCCACCAAAATGGCATCGAGAGACACCGCCCTCTTGGGCCCGACGCCGGATGGCGACCGCTATGAGCTCACAAGTCCAACAGCATTGCCGAAGGCAGGCGGCTTCCTCTGGAACCAAAAGATGATGATACACTTCACCTGTAGAGGATATGCCACCGCCCAGTTCATGCAACCCGAGCCTGCCAAATACTCGCACGCGCCAAACATCGAGGCGAGGACCTTCATGCAGCCCGAGCAGAATTACTACACGCACCACCCCGGTCGCTTCGTGTATGTCAAAGATGAGGAGACTGGCAAGATCTTCTCGACCCCTCATGAGCCTGTCCGCGCTGAGCCGGAACGGTTCGTGTTCTCTGCAGGCAAGAGTGATGCGTCCTGGACGACGCAGGGGCTTGATGGCATTCAGGTGGGGATGACCTTGGCTCTGCCCACGCACGATGTCGCGGAGTTATGGACGATCAAGGTCACAAATACATCCACCCGAGCGCGGAGTATCAGCTTGTATCCCTATTTCACACTTGGTTACATGTCATGGATGAATCAAGGGGCAGAGTACCGATCTGACCTTAGAGGCATTATCGGAAGCAGCATCACTCCATACCAAAAAGCAGAGGACTATGCCAAAAACAAATTCCTCAAGGATAAGACGTACTTCCTCTGTGAGGAGCCACCGGACGCCTGGGAGGCCAATCAGAATTCGTTCGAAGGAGAAGGTGGTCTTCATGCTCCATCAGCGATCCTGGAAAGCCACAAGTTGAAGAATGGAGATGCACGTTACGAAACGCCAGCCGCAGCTGTGCAATACCGTGTCGATCTCGCACCAGGCGAGGAAAGAACCTACCGATTCATATTTGGCCCAGCTCTGGACGATGCCGAGATCCAATCCATGAAGGAGAAGTACCTCAGTGCAGACGCGTTTGCCCAAGCGGCAAAGGACTACGCGGCTTACATTCAAACTGGGAGAGGGCGCCTCCAAATAAAGACACCAGACCCAGCCCTGGACAACTTCGTCAACAACTGGCTGCCCCGGCAAGTCTTCTACCACGGCGACGTGAATCGCCTCAGTACCGACCCGCAGACGCGGAACTACCTCCAGGACAACATGGGAATGAGCTACATCAACCCGGCCGTGGCACGCAATGCCATCGTGACGGCCCTGTCGCAGCAGGAGGAGACGGGCGCCATGCCGGACGGCATCCTGCTGTCGCCTGATGCTGAGCTCAAGTACATCAACCAGATCCCGCACACTGACCACTGCGTATGGCTCCCCATCGCTCTAGAAGTGTATCTCTCCGAGACTGGCGACTACGAACTGCTCCAAGAAAGCGTCTCAGGAGCTCGCGGAGAGACGCTCACCGTGTTCGACCGTCTGTGCCGCGCGATGGACTGGCTTCTCTCGTCAAACGCCAGGGACGGATATGGGCTTAGCTACATCGCCCAGGGGGACTGGTGCGATCCAATGAACATGGTAGGATGGAAGGGCAGAGGTGTGTCTGGCTGGCTGACCGTAGCTACTGGGTACGCCCTGAAGCTGTGGGCAGAGACGTGCGCCGAGGCCAAGCGGCCAGACGCGGCGGAGAAATATCTCGCCGGCGCAAAGGAGGTCAATGAAGCGGCGGCCAAGCACCTCTGGGAGGGCGACTGGTTCCTACGCGGCATCACCGACGACAACAGGGTATTCGGCGTCAAGGACGACAAAGAGGGCAAGATCTGGCTGAACCCGCAGGCATGGTCCATCCTCGGCGGCGCAGCGGACGCGGACAGGATCGCCAAGATGCTTCCACACGTCGACGAGCTACTGGGCACCCCGTACGGGGTCCTCATGTTCTGGCCGCCCTTCAGCGGGATGGTTGAGGATATCGGGCGCGTGACGCAGAAGTTCCCCGGCCAGGGCGAGAACGGGTCCGTGTACAACCACGCAGCCGTCTTCTACATCCACGCGCTCTACAGCATCGGCGAGGCGGACCGCGCCTACAAGCTGCTGCGGCAGATGCTCCCCGGCCCCGGCGAGGACGACTATGTGCGGAGGGGCCAGCTGCCCGTGTACATCCCCAACTACTACCGCGGCGGCTGGAAGGAGTACCCGGACCGGGCGGGCCGGTCGAGCCAGCTGTTCAACACCGGGACCGTGTCGTGGGCGTACCGCTGCTTCATCGAGGGCCTGTGCGGGCTCCGGGGCGACGCTGACGGGCTGAGGGTGAAGCCGCAGCTGCCCTCGGACTGGGACGGCATCGCGGTGAAGCGGCTGTTCCGCGGGGCCGAGTTTAACGTGGATATCCGCCGTGGGGATGTCAAGCAGGTGCAGGTTGTCCTCGACGGCAAGGCCCTTCCGGAAGCTCACATCACGGGCGTGGAGGTTGGCAAGACATACGATGTCTCTGTGCTTGTGCCAGCGAAGTAGTCTGAGGTTGCTTGGCCCGCCTGCCATTGCTAGCCGAGATGCCGGGCAGTCCATTTATCATAGACGAACGACATCAGAGGAGTCGCGATTCCTCGACATTGAATAGACTGTTCACTAATGATGCTGGTCATCATCACGGCGACAGTCTTACCCGACGGTGTACTAGTTTACCCGATCAGGGCCTTCTCTCCAGGCACGCGTTGTAAGAAAATGATATGCTTGCATTGCACCATCTCCTTGTGGGTGCGATGTCTAAGCCGGTGAAGGCCGGTGAGTCCGGCGAAGCAGACGAGGGTAGCGTAGGATGAGCGGAGATTGTCTTCAGGCCACCAACCAAAACACGTCATTGATTGTGGTGTGATTGATAGCGTTGCAGTTCAAGTGCTGACAATTTGGTGTTGGTGAGGAGAAGACAGGCCGAAAAACGTAATACGGGCTGTGACGCGATTCCAACACATCTTGGCATCCGAGCCAAATAGGTAGGTGATAGAGCAGATTCTGCAATCTCCCTGTGCTATCACCTCTTTGGGTGGAGCCGCCCAGGCAATCGGCCACCAGTTCGTACCGAGAGCTTGTTTCCGCTGATATAATACCATGCTCGGCTCAGAATTTGGATAACCACCTGTCTCTCTTTTGGCTACGAGCAGCAACCTCCAGGTCTGTTACGAGCAAGTGACTGCAATCATGGCAATGAGGACGGCACTTTGGATTTCGGGCCTACTCCTCGGCTCGGCTCAGGCCATCACCACTGAGTAAGAACCCTGTGTTCAAAAACAACTTGAGTGAGGCTGACGGACCGCTTCAGGGGAATTATTGCTGCTCCGCGACGAAGCACCGCAAATGTCAACCCCAGTGGAGTACGTAAAAGCTGCAGGATCGCCTCCTAGACATGACGCGAATTCTAACCAAGAGCAGACAATAGCGCTGTTCTCGTCCACCACCTACAACTGGACAACCCATGAGTCGTCAACAACATGGCAGCTGCTGGACGTTGCCAGTGGTGCCATCACGGAGGCGCCATTCGACTCCAGTGCGTCTGAGGTTGTGTGGGTAGGCCCGACAAACACTAGCATTTTGTACATCAACGGTACAAATGATAATGCTCCCGGAGGCGTCACGCTGTACACTGCCGATGTTGCAACGGACGTGTTTTCGCCGTACGTATCTTGAGTCTCTACAAGTGGTCCCTTGACGCGTCATTCACTAATTCCATACAGAACTCTTGTTGCGTCTCTGGATGCTCCTTTCCAAGGCCTCAAGGCCGTGCAAACTGAATCTGGTTCCATTAACTTTGTGGTCAATTCCCTCGCTTACTGGAACAACGGTTCAGCGTACAACCCAGAGCTTGCGAGCACCCCGTTGAGCAGTGGCCAGCTTTATGATGCGAACTTTATCCGCCACTGGGACACCTACATTACCGCTGAACGATATGCAATCTTCAGTGGCGTACTGTCTGGTAACGCTGGCAACCTCAGTTTCAACGGCGAGGTGACGAACCTGCTTTCGGGTCTCAATGCCACCGTGACTCGTCCCGAAACCCCGGTACAGCCTTTTGGCGACCAAGGAGATTATGATATCAGCCCCGATGGCACCACCGTGGCGTTCCTGACGAAGGCACCGGAGCTGCCGAAGGCAAACTTCACCGCGAGCTACATCTACCTTGTGCCTCATGACGGCTCCGAGGCTCCGGTAGCTGTGAACGGTCCCGGCACTACCGCGCCCGAAGCTGCTAAGGGTGCTTCCGGCGCCCCAAAGTGGTCTCCCGATGGCACCAAGCTCGCATACGTGCAGCAAAATGGTATTTCATACGAGTCAGACCGCTCCCAGATCTACGTTGCCAGCGTCAACGGTCTTGAGGCTGAGGTCACCCCTGTTGCCGAGGGCTGGGACTCCAGCGCGGCCAGCGTTCAGTGGAGCGACGATGGCGCAGACCTTTGGGTTGCTTCTGAGCTCTATGCTTCGGTCCGGATCTTCATAATCCCTCATGATGCGGAGGCGTCTTTCGAGCCCGTCAATATCACAGGACCGGACACGTCGCTCGCTGACTTTGCTGTCCTGCCCGACGGCTCCGCGCTCGTCTCCGCGGCGGCGAGCTGGACGAGCCGGGTCTTCTACACGCAGGCACCCGGCGAGGACAAGACCGTCATCTTCACCGCTAACGAAGTCGACCCGGAGCTCGAAGGTCTGAAGCCCGACTCTGTCTCGAACTTCTGGTACGAAGGCGGAGATGGCGACCAGATCCAGACCTTCGTCTTTTACCCGACGGATTTCGACCCGACCAAGAAATACCCGCTGGCTTTCATCGTGCACGGTGGTCCGCAGTCGTCCCAGGCCGATAACTGGAGCACGAGGTGGAACCTGCGACTTTGGGCCGACCAGGGTTTCGTCGTGACCAGCCCTCAATTCACGGGCACGCCCAGCTATGGGCAGGCGTTTACGGACAAAATCCAGAACAATTGGGGCGGCACACCGTACCGTGACCTTGTGAAGCTATTCGAGTACCTCGAGGCAAATGTGTCGTACATTGACACCGACAATGCCATCGCGGCTGGTGCCTCCTACGGAGGCTACATGTGAGCATTCTCATGCCTGTACTCGATATACGTACTGACTAAACATCCGCAGGACAAACTGGATCCAGGGTCACGATCTGGGCCGCAAGTTCAAGGCCATCGTCACGCACGACGGCAAACTGGACCAGATTGGCTCCTACGGAACCGAGGAGCTGTGGTTCATCCAGCAGGACCAGAACGGGACGATCTGGGACAACCGCGACAACTACGAGCGGTGGGACCCGCTCTCACACGCCAAGAACTTCAGCACGCCGCAGTTCGTCGTGCACAACGACCTCGACTTCCGGCTGCCCATCTCCGAGGGCGTCATGCTCTTCAACATCCTACAGAGCCTGGGTGTGCCATCACGGTTCCTGCACTTCCCTGACGAGGGCCACTGGGTACTGGACCGCGAGAACAGCCTGGTGTGGCACAAGAGCATCTTCAACTGGATCAGGTACTGGACTGGCCAGGATGAGGAGTTGATTCAGGATATAGTTATTCACCAGTAGAATGGGTTCTTGACCCATTAATAATCACTACTCAGCACGAGCAGCCACAGCAATGCGTTTTGCAAGATGCTGGTCTTGCCCCTGACTATGAAATGACAAGGGGAGATTCGTCTTCTCCCTACCTACCCAGGTACCTAGTGGCAACGCGGAGGCCCTTGACAACAGTAATGACCGAGCGCTGGGATCGCGTTCATCAACTTCCCATCGTGGCATCACGGAACTGCACAACCCGGAGAGGTTATTCCTCTCGGACAAAACGCAATTCCCACCTTTTTGACGACGTCTGGGGCGCAACTGTATATTAGCGATACGTTTATGACACCAAAATGACAGCTCAGCATGAGACCTGATGGAAGAAAATATGTGGGAACTCACACCTGCAACCGAAGGAGACTTCTGGGCAGGTACAGTGACTTAGGTAAATTTGCTCAGAGACGTGTCATCGTGTGTGTACATGGTATCCGCATCTTCACCAAAGCAGGCCTGGATTTGGCGAGTTTGGGCCCCCGCCCAGGTCTTCGTATAATATTCTGGGGATAGGGGCGCCCGGGGTTGAATATTTAGCCGACCTCCTAGGCTTGGCTGGTCGCTTGCTACATATGTAAAATCCCCAAATTGCCACGCGGTTGGACACAGAGCCTCAAGGTGCCTCAGGGCTTGGGGCGGGTTGTTCATTAAAATTTATTGGCACTGAGATGTAGGCCAAGACTACCAAGCTTTGCAATATCAAGACCTCGGTTCAGCTCCCGAGACAGGGTTGTGATCAACTGGTACGCTACAGCTTGACAGAACTAGTGTAGCCAGAAAACAAAAACTGTGTGCCTGCTGTACATCTGAGGGAACATGAACGGGCTCGTTTACGGAAAGGCCGATCATCCATACACCATGGCGCTTCAAGGCTTGACCGCGCAATCTATTGGCGACTTCGCAACGGGATTTGGAAGAAGTAGACTAAAGTGGCGACTCGGTGTGAATAGGGTTGTAACTCCGGGCCCACTGCTGTTCGGCGCGAGATGAAACTTGTGGGAACAAGAGTGGGCTTGCATTTCTAAAATGATGCAAGGTCGCACGCGCATCACGTTGTTCCTTGCAGGAGCCGTGGGTTGGTGGAAAGTTGGGGGCCGTTTGTCGTGTCTGTTGTACCTAACCATGCTCGTCGTGTTGAAACGAAGTTTGGTACTCGATGGGATGACGTGGAGCTGACAGCCCGGCGTCCCTGGTTCCTGGGTCCGTTGTAACCCCCCTTTACACGGCAGACTGCAGAAATCGTGCTATCTAAGTCAATACGCGGGAGGGATCCCTCCCTGGGAATAAAGTGGAAGGGGCCAGGCCGAAGCCCAAGTTGGACAAGCTGTGGAGATGCCAAGACCGAATCGAGACATTGGACGATATTCAAGGGGTTTTGCGTCCACACACCCCTCTCCTCATTCTTCGCCCGGCAAGCGCTCCAGCCAGCCGGATCTAGATGCAGAGCTCGCAGTCCAGAACTTGAGCCGCCGTCTCCATCACTGGAGCGGGTCACGATGAGAAGCGCGTAGCGCTAGAACTGCCGACGGACAGATGGCTGTGGAGGACGCCTGTTATTCTCCGTCGGCTCGCCATCATCAGATCGATCTCTGTTGCGTCATCTCGACTGAGCCATCAACCGACTGCCACTTGATGTTGACATGCAAAAGGAGACCGACCGGTCCCGAGGTTGCAACACTACCACAATCTCGTTCGCCCGCCGGCAGGATCGACCCGATTTGTGTCCCATATTGCTAGACTCCGTTGTGGTCGGAGATTGATGAGATCTTTGTCGAGGCGGCTGCAGGTACGGAGTACAAGTCAGGGGATCCCAGGGGTCATGGCCTCGCGGCCGCCTTCGCGAGATCTTGGCGGTCAGGATCGCATGCAGCTCCTCGAAACATGGTGGAGTTTGTTTGTCTTCGCCAAGATCTAGACGAGGAAACCAACAACGGAGAATCTTTCCAATTGTCGATCCCTCTGCCAGGATCTTTGTCAAGCCTCGTCAGGCCCTGCCACCAACACGGGATTCCGTCAATCATCTTGGCCCGGTCTTTTCGTTTCCTCGCCGGCGCAAACGAGCAGGGAGATGGGGTGATCTGGATGAGATCCGGACCAGCTCCACTCAGGGGGGTACTGACGGTAGCTCAACCGTCGTACACGCGCAGGAAGGAGGACGTGTTGGTTGATATATAAGAAGCCATGGGCTCGGCTTTGGGATGGTGATCAGTCTTTGTTCTTCAGACTCTCTTCACAGACTCCAGAAGTCCCTACATACACATTCTTTTTTCCACTACGCAATTGATTGCTTTTTCAACTGTAGGCTCTGGAAGCTTCACTCCTTACACACTCTCAAGATGAAGTTCACTCTCGTCGCCACCCTCATGGCCGCGGCCGTCTCGGCTGCCCCGGCCTTCAACGTCGTCCAGCCTCGCAAGACGCACGCCACCAAGTCCAGCTCGGCTACCCTGCCTTCTGCGACTGGCAGCGGTTCCTCCGGCAACTCCTCCGCTGGTGGCTCCGTGTCCGGCTCTCTGACCGAGGCTTGCAACATCGGTTACGCTACGCAGAACGGCGGTACCACCGGTGGTGCCGCTGGCCAGCAGACCACTGTCACCTCTCTGGAGGAGCTCAAGACTGCTGCTGAGGCTGAGGGTGCTGCCATCATCATCATCGATGGTGCCATCACTGGCGCCGAGCAGGTCGACGTCACCTCCGACAAGACCGTCATTGGAGCTGCTGGCTCCTCCCTGGAGGGTGTCGGCCTCCGCGTCAAGAAGGCTTCCAACGTCATCATCCGCAACGTCAAGATCAGCAAGGTCCTCGCTGATTCCGGTGATGCCATCACCGTCCAGGCCTCCAAAAACGTCTGGCTGGACCACCTCGACCTGTCCTCGGACCGTGACCACGACAAGGACTACTACGACGGTCTCCTCGACGTCACCCACGGCTCTGACTACGTCACCATCAGCAACTCGTACCTGCACGACCACTGGAAGGCCTCGCTCGTCGGCCACAGCGACTCCAACGCCGATGAGGACACCGGCCACCTGATCGTCACCTACGCCAACAACTACTTCTCCAACATCAACTCCCGTGGCCCCTCTTTCCGCTTCGGTACCGGCCACATCTACAACCACTACGCCGAGAACTCCTCCACCGGTGTCAACACCCGCATTGGCGCCCAGCTGCTGATCGAGTCCGCCGTCTTCTCCGGCATCGAGAAGCCCATCGAGTCCGCTGACTCCGAGACCGTTGGCTACGCCGTTGTCAACGACGTCGACCTTGGTGAGGGCACCAACACCGTCGAGCCCGGCACCCTCAAGTCCGTCCCCTACGAGTACGAGCTGCTCGGCTCCGCCAACACCAAGGCCTCGGTCACCTCCACCGCTGGCCAGACCCTCAAGTTCTAAGCTGCCTGACCTTGACCGTACAACGGATACCGGCAGCCTGGAAGGCTACGCTGTTCTGATTTGTCTGAGCTTCGCCACTTGGCTGAAAGGCTTCGGCAACCAGGACTAATTCAACCTTGTACATATTATAAGGAGCCAGTCTCGAGATTCTGGCATGGAGAAAGGCACCAAGAGAGAATTTTGTATATACAATACTTCCATGTAACTTCATTGACAATCAAGAGTGTCACATCAAATCTGCTGCTTAATTTGATTCTCATCGTGATACCATGTGAAATTAAACCATGGCGGTGCTATATAGCGGTGACCGAGTACCGCCAACAATTCGATGTTAATAGATATAGCGATATGAGGACACCTTCAACCCGGCTTCGAAATTCCCTCGTTTGTATGGTATCATAAGAACTGGTTTCCCATCTGCAGCATCCAAATATTTTCGCTCTCCGACGGTCTTTCGCTTGGGAAAATTCTATGTTGGACTTTGGCTGAGACCGGTAAGTTTCATGGTTTAGTCACGTCACATAAAAATGTCGCCTCGCCGAATACATGCATTTGAGACCCCAATGCTCAATGGCAGTGGCTAAACTATTGTAGTTATTGGCTAGTGATCCCGGAGCCTATATCCTTTTTGGTAAGCTATTTCGTGGTCGTGCCAGCCACGATAATACCTATAGAAGGATCGAACTGCTCTATGTTTTAATCCCACTTGATAATTGGTTTGACGACCTTTGAAATCAGCATCCAATCAGCATCCAATCAGCGATCTTTTTCTGGAGACATGAACACTGGGCAAGCACGCTCAATAAATACTTACTTTGCCGTCATGCATGTCCTTGAGAGCCTGATCGAAGTCCTTGATGGAGTACACCTTGCAGAGCTTGTCCACCGGGAACCTGCCTTTCCGATGGAGCTCAATGAGCTCAGGGATGAACTGACTGCAGTTAGACCCGGACGATATCTCACGGATTCCTCATCCCAGGTAGATGAACATACCTCGGTTGGAGTTGCTCCGCCTTCAATCACAGACCTGTAACTCTTATGCGACATGAAGAACGATTGCGTCTCGATGTCGATCTTCACCCCTGGGGGAGGCACGCCAACTGAAATGGCCTGGCCACCGTGGCCGAGGCAGTCAACCGCGGCTTGCAGAGCCGACGGCGCCCCACTGCAATCGATGGCCACATCAACACCGCCTTCTGTGAGCTCTCTCAACCGGTCGGCAAGGTTGCCGCCCTCCTTGGCGGGGTTGACCACGTCCGTCGCACCCAGCTCCTTCACCAGCTCTAGCCTGCTGTCCACAATGTCGACACCGATGACCTGCTTGACCTCCAAGTGGACAGCCGCCATGAGAGCCGCAATACCAACGCTGCCCAGGCCGAATACAACGACACGTGCACTCTTCGCGGGCCTGACGGCCTTAAGCACCGTCCCAGCCCCAGTCTGAAACCCGCAGCCCAGCGGGGCGTAGCACGGAAGGATATCCGGGACGGGGCACTTGACCACGCTGAAGTCCTGGACGACGGACAGCCTCGCGAACGACGACTGCCCAAAGAACTGGCTCCTGACGCTCGTGTTGCCATCGGCCAGCCTCGCCGGCGTGCTCTTGTCGCCGACCCGCACGGCGTTGAAGTTGACCTCGGTGTGCGTCTTGCAGAACGTCGGGCGGTCCTCGAGGCAGGGGCCGCAGTTCTGGCAGGTCGTATAAGACAGGAGGACCTGGTCGCCCACGCGGAGGGACTTGTCCCTGACGTCTGCGCCGATGGCTTTAATAATCCCTGCGCCCTCGTGGCCTAAGATGACTGGGTAATCTGTGAGGTGCTGTAGGAGTCCCTGTTGGACGACGATGTCCTGTGTTTGGTTCCGTCAATAAATTTGGCGATGACCTCACCTCTGTTCGGCCGGGCAAAGAGAAGATCTTACGGTATGGCAGATCCCAGAGTATTTCATCTCAACGAGTATTTCTTTTCCGCGCACCTCGTCGAGACTGATGGGTGTAAGCTTGAAGGGCGCCTTTGGCTCCGTCACGACGAAAGCCTCTGTTTCAATATTTGTGAGCGACATCTTGTTATACCTGTGTGCTTGTTTCAATATTTCTTCTGCTTTTCAACTTGACAATGAAGTCAAGACCAAGTAACAGATACACAGGTATTCCTGGGAACCTCCGCCGCTTTTAAGTCTCATTTTGAAACATGGCACCTGGGCAGCGCCGAGGCGTAAGTGCTTTCGGGTAGCGCGCCCGTCAGTGATCATCGTCATGCGGGGTTTAAAGTTGGCATGGCAGGCGCAGCGGCTTGCAACCCCACGTACTGACACTCCTCCTGCCGAGCATTAGGTGCAGTTATCCTCGGTCATATCATGACGGGCCGGGTCGCGGGTAATCGTTGGGGACACGATCCCACGAGTGAGCCAAAGTTTCGGCAGTTGCACCTACTCTGCATTAATCTGTTGCGTGGCTAGCAGGCCGTCGCAGATGTCGAGAATCGTTGAATTGATCGACTCCGGCTTCCACTTCTTTCGGAGATCGAGTCCGAAGATAAAGTGGGTGGTCAAGTGTCAGCTCCTACCTACGTACATAGATCAGCGTGAAAGATCCCATCCCAGTTTGGCAGTCGATCTGGAAGTTACCTTCGTGGATGACGAACCCACAGGAATAAATGCCAATAACTGAGGTGTTCTAGGTTGAGTGAGTGACGCTGTCGTTAGATTGAAAGCCAGTCTATCTCGACTTATGACTACACACTCAAACTCACACAGTCAGTCAGCAACAATATCATGGACAATTGCACAATTATAGTAGGCGACAAAATCCCTAGACACGCACACATTTTGCTTCGACACTGCGAATTAAGTTTGACCATCAAGATCCAGCCTGGAATCTAGCGAAGAATGTTTTGTTTGCCAGCAATATCTAGGTGAGAAGACCCCTTGAATGATGAGGCTCACTCATCAACGTCTCCTCCCCGTGATGTCCAAATAGCCTCGAATGTCTCCTCTCACAGCCCGGTTGACCCGGTTGCCTACATACGGCAGTTGGAGTGTCCACTTTTCCGTCCAAGTGCTTACTCCCCGCTCTTCCTCGTCCAGCTCCTCATCGTCAAAGTCATTCTTGACATCCTCCCATGCCCCAGGAATTACATCCCATGCTCGATCCAGCGTGAAGCCTCCGGCGTTCCTCCCTTGGGGTGTCGTGTCAGCAAGGGCCGCCCAGACGCCGAGCAGCGCGATGGACTCGGCGTTGCGATGCGCATCGCCCTTCTTGCAGTTCATGACGGCTTGCCAGCTCGAGGTTTCAGTAGCCCCATCAGGAAACCGAGTTGGGATATCGTCCAGGTAGTACGGGAGGCAATGCATGACTTCGTGAAGAATCCTACAGTGTTCAGGTCAGCAGACATCCCTCGAGGGGCGCAAGGGATGGACATACAACCGTGTCATGGAACTCGAAATAATGTCGTTGATCGTGACATTGTTGAAACTGGCTCCACGTGTTCCAAGAACATTTGACCAATCACGAAATTCGTTCCAAGCATTGTTGTTGATATCGATCACGTATCTTCTCGAGTTCTCCCGTCGTGCATGCTGCCGCATGTCGGGATTGAAATGTGGGAACTGCTCTGACCCTGGAATACCATCGAACCCAACCGCTTGTCCGTGGTCTAGCGCAGCCACGTTTCCCGCGTACCACACATGATTTACAGGATCGTAGCGTCTATCCTGCTGTCTCACAGGATCACGGCCTCCATCCAGCCACCTCCTGCGGTTGTCCGAGAAGAACCTCAGGCTAGCTTCCTGCCTGTTTTCGGTCCTCCTCCAGTTGTCTCCAAAGTCAGACAAGACTCTGATAACGTGGTCGATGGTCGGTACCCAGTCGCGGTCATCTTGGTAGCCGAAGCGGCTCTGCCATCTGTGTGAGCGTGGCAATGGGGTGCGGTCGTTCTTGCGGGTCTTGAAAATCACGTTGAAGACACGAGCAAAGTCGGTATCGTTGTTGTCTCGCAGTCTCTCCACTGCGCGCCGGGCCCAACGCTGAGCAGCCCGGACGAAGAAGTCAAAGGACCTGTTGCCTCGTGTAGCATTCCGGGCATTGCTATCACAGGTAGTGTCGATGAAGTAGTAAAGTTGCCTGGTACTCGACATGATGGAGGCGGTACTTGCTTTAATGCGATGGGTTCGATAGAGGAGTTCGTCATGGGGAAACCAGGAATAAGATTTGTCCTCCAGTCATCAGGGATGATATACATATATTTTATGCATCAGGGAACATGAAACGTGTTGTAGTGAGTATATAGTGCCAGGATTTCACTTGTCGTTAGAGTGGGACGAATCTGGTACGATTTATTCACTCCGCCGGCCGGACGGCAGAGATGGCACATACGGGGGCCTGTTGTGAAGATTTCTCGAAAAGATCACTCGACTTATAGAGAAATGCCAGTCAATTATAATGGAAATCGAATCATGCACTCAAGGATTTATTCACCGACACTCGGAGCATAATTTGATGAGTTACACGACACTTGGACGCTGAAGACGTCGTGGAGCTTTGCTTCTGCACTGCATTGATGCGTTCGATAGATTGATTCTGGCAGAACCTTGGAACCTTCAAATATCGGAGACGCCTTTGCAAGCTCCACTCCTTCCCAAGCTTTACTTTGTCTCAAAAGGTTCATGCAACAGACCATGGAAACAGAACCCGAGCCGTCACCATGAGTGTGCTTCCATGACTTAAAATCATTGTATTGGTGAGGTGGCCGGATGCTTTATAGATCAGCCCAAGCCAGGGCATGATCACGACTGTCGATCTTACCGTCTCCATCTCCGGGCAGACGGAGGGACACCAATGACTATCTCGTAGATGATTAGATCATCAAAATTATGCAAAGTTGGCTGGATCCTCTGAAATCTCTTGCGCATGTCTGCACAACAGGCCAACACACGTATGATATCCCGAATTGCACACCGGTGAGAGTAAGAAGGTATCCGGAGACGTGCCCCACCATGCAGGCCTATCATAGGAGGCCCGGCACCATCGGGGCTCGACCCTGTGAAACATCGATGGTTGCTTTTCCATCGTGGAATTATCGGTCAAAGCCTCACCAATCACCTGATGTCAGCAAATTTTGCTTGGACAAGGATCTGTGCATCAGCCAAGCTCGACAGAAACAAGATTGAAGCGTCGACAGCATCTTCTCATTTCGTGTAGACATTTTGGGTACAGTCGTCAATAATCCACAAGCAAAGTCAAGCGGCTTGACAGTTCAGAAGTAGAAACATTTGGTAGAAGACTCAGCTGCATTGTGTACGGTGAAATCCTCTGTGGCCGCGATCGGCCCTCTTTATTCGGAGTCCCACCGCTGGGCCGCCCTGACGGGACTGAAGGTAGTGAATTACGAAACGAGTGCTCTGGTGCCCGCAAAACGAAGAGAATCTTTGATATATCCGTGGGACAAACAGTGCCTGCGCCGCCGATGACGGGTGTGACCGAAATCTTCGCGTTATCACCCAAGGCATGTTTTAGCATCTTGCTCCTTCTAATAGCACCTGCGAGTGCTCGAAACCCAGAGGCGTCGCATTGGCATCAAGCAACGGGAACGTGATGGTCTCGATCGCTCCGATCATGAGCAGCAAGAAAAAGTTCAATCCTGTACCTAGAGGCATCCCGGGGTGTGACCTCAAAGCCCTCGACTGACTACAAACAGCTGGGCCCGTATTGTGTTCTTAGACCTATTGATGAGAACATCGGCGGGAATAATAACCGCCCCCAAAATATCAAAGCATGTAAAGGTGAAATCCTGGCAACCAAGGGGATCAAGGAAGGCATTTTAACAAGTTCTGCTGTATTGACTAATTTACATTTAAACAAAACTTGTAGAGGCGATGACTCCTCGTCAGGTCCGCGCTCTCGACTTTCTGGGCCTGCACCAGCCAAGACCGGTATGGCCAGCATTACTGCCAGAAAGGAGGTTATGAGAAATGCGAGTTTGAGATCCCCTGAAAGGAAAGTGAAGAAAACCAGTGAAACAATAATACATAGGCCGGTTTTGAGAAACAGCAGGAGTCTATACCTCGCGAGGTTGTTGAGCCTCTTGAGATGCTCGCTTCCAGCCTCCTCCTGTGTTTGGCTTCTTGAATGCAGTTCGTTTTGCCTTGGTGGACCAACCTGATCTCTCTCGCTTGATGATGCAACTCCAATCCGCTGCTGCGGCTCTATTCCTGCCTCGCCCATTACATATCTAGACTCCGCTCTGATCGTTGCTTTTCACTTCTTGTTGTCCTCGGTGCTTACATGGAAATAAAGCACCTCTTGTCCTCCTACTTTCCTGCGACTATTTCTGACACAGACGATGATCCGCCCAACGGTGATTTCGCGGCTATAGTATGACTTTGGTTGCCTCGTCGCGTTTCGGAATCTGGTTGCTGCATCTTGGCTCGAGCTCTTTTCCAAACTGAAGTGGTACCTGTATGATCTGGATCCTGGAATTGTGTCGACCCAAAAGAGAATGAGAAGTCGTCTGTCCTCTACTGACCAACCAGATAGAGTGCGGTCACCCGATACGTATTTTTCGATTTGGATCTCGAAAGCCATCTTGCGGCCGATCGCCCACAATACCGGCACCAATCGGTTGGTTGGGACTTTTTGTCTGGAAGAGGTGCCTGCCACTTCTGAATGAACGGCCCTGAGGTGCAGTCCGTCAGGTAGATCTCCAAGATATATACTATCGCGACGGTAAACGTGATCATCCTTATTCGCTTCTGTCTTCAGCGCGTGTTTGTCAATCGTGACGCTTGTGAGAGAACCGAGCGAGCATGGGAATAATTGCGATGGCTTGGACCTCAGGTAATAATTGTCACCGATGCGGATGCATTCGATGCCCTGTATCTTGGAGAGATCTCCCCGGAAACATTTGAGGCTGAGGATCACCCCGTCGTTGTCTCCCGGTTGTACGCTGCAGCTCAACGAGACCCGTCCCTGGCCCAACATCGAGGTTGTGCTCCCGGCACCAGCTTCGTCCGCGTCGAAGTGTTCGATATTGGCGCCGTCGACGAATTCCTCAGGCGAACGTGCAAACAGGCCGCGATATGGTGCCTCAGCTGCCGTTTCCTTGGTCGAACACCATGCAAATAGGGAATCATCCCGTGTCTCGCGCATGATTTTCCTCTTGAAGCCGTATGAACGCTTTTGATCCCTCGCCGTACAGAGGAGGCATATTGACGTTAAATATTCCCATCAGGCAGTACGCTAGGTCCTCTTCTCTGGTGGTCTGCCTTCGTGCTGCCCAGCTCATTCGGGCAGCAACACTGATCGTCTCCATAGCCTTCTGTTGGAGCAGTATCTCGCTGGGGATGTTTGTGATCTGCTGTAATACTTGACTCAATGCGTCTTTGTGTCCAATATCCCTCCAGGACTCCTCATGAGGCACGAAGAATATGAGGTCTTTCGGTGCGAGTAATTCCTGCAGAGTCCAGCCCCGGGAGAATTACTTGCAGCCTCGCAACAGCGAGACATCACCAGTTTTCTCTTTTTGCGGAAAATCCTCGAGGTAAGCATAGCAGACCGTAGCGAGCCTGTACCATTTGAACATAGAGTTGATAGCCTCGCTCAGTTCGGCGCTGCTTTCCTTGTTGATACAACACGTGCCTATCCACGCATATTTGATTCCTTGTTTCCTAGCTTGTTCGCAGGTGAGCTTGATCTTGTGGTACCCTGGCTTTTTGTCTCTAGTCGTATTATGCTGGTCGTGAAAATCCGCAAATGTGACCTCATCAGGCCCCCAAGTGTGGGAAAGAACGGCGTGACGAGGGCTTCCTCCCTGGAAGTTTTCAAGTCTGAAGGTTTCAGTGTCAATAAGCCACATAGTGTCGGTATAACTCTATATGTGGCTATAGAGCAATGGCAGCTGTTGTTTGCAGATGCATGAGATGGAGAATGGTTGTGAATGCCGGATGCTAAAATATGTAGCGAGCTTTTCTCAGAAAGCCTGTTTTCAAGTCACAAAGTGGGGTAGTAAGCAGCCAAGGTTTCTTTTGTGGCACGCAAAACATAGAATATCATTTGCCCAGATAGAATTGAGGCTGGAGCCTAACTCATGTAGGTAGTAAGCTGACGGCAAGCACTACACCTGGTCGACTCGGATCGATATGCACTCCAGCGTCACTGTCGTTGAGTGCCGTACGAGAATGGGACATCATTTGAACGATCCACGCCCAAAATTGCAGTCACAAACACCATTTCTCACACAGCTGCCAGCGAAACAAGTGCAAAACTGTTGCGGATGCACCACTGGGAGACATTCTTGCGCTGGCAGGCGTTACAACAGCACTCGCTATCTGTGGGACAGGATCCGCAGCATGGACTTGTATTGTCTAGTATCCCGTCGGGGTTCACAAGCCACAGTATTGCCTTACTGAACAAGACAAACTTTGTGTGTTAACCAGCACGCTAGAAAGGGGTATTATGATCCGTCAGGCTGAAGCTATCCGCGTTTAAGTGACTACGTCTGATATGGACCTCTGTCACCTTCGGCCTGGGCTATGAGATCAGTTGAAAAGAGCAGATCGAATTGTTATTCGGTCAAACCAATCGACTTTTTGCAGAAAATAAACAGCCCAAACGATCATGACTTTATGCGATGATATCTAGATTCGAGAATTTACATCAAGTGGCACAGGTGAACTGGAAGTGCTACTTCGCCTTGACCATGCTCTATTAGTATTTCGCGTACTCAGCGGAACTTCCTCATAAGGATATACGGAAGGAAGGACAGTGGATATAGGCAATGAATAGACGTAGTGGGCAATTGATATTTGGCGGGAGCGGTTGTATTACCTTCACTGATGTCTCTCGGTATGGAATTCGGTATTTGAATTGAACTAGGACAGAAGTGAGAGGTGGAATCTAGCTTGTTCCGTCCTGTGTTTCCCTCCGTAATAAATAGTCCACTGCTTAAATAGACATGCAGCCTTGGCAGGGCATTGAGGGGACGAATGAAAGTGTTTACATGATGCTTGCCGCGAGAAAGTTTAGCCGGAATGGCACATCAGGAAGGTCACCTTCAAGAAAGAGTCGTAACAACGGTAACTAGTGTGCCGTCATCTTCTTGACCGTACACCATCGTCCGCTACCAGAGCCATTGAGGAGACATTCAGACCTTAATTCAAACTACCGAGTGCTCTTCCCGAATCATTGTCATCGCCCATGCTCACGAGAAATTCACGAAGAGGGAGGCATTCGAGGCTGACGACAAACTACCGAGTTCTGTTCCCGATTCACCATCATTGCCTTGCCTTGCGAGAAAGTTGTCAAGAGGTGGCATTTGAGGCTACAACAAACTACCGATTCTTGTTTCCGATCCACCGTCATTGAATTATCTTGTGAGAGTGTCACCACGACGATTTGGCAAAAAAGCCACGAGTCGCGGGGTCGCTCCGTGACTGATAACTCCGTAACCCGAATCACTGAGCCACCCATTCTGACTGGGTCTTGGTAACAGCTATATCTAGGCACGTTGAGTCCTACAACAACAGCATCTTTTCACGGTACTCTCTCAGTCCTGCCACACGCACCAAGCCTTGCTCACCATGCATTTCAACTTCCCCTACCTCCTCGCCACCGCCACCGCGACATGGGCTGCGGAACCGGCCCAGTCGATGGGCTTCATAGGCTGCTCCATGGGCGAGAACGTCGCTGAAGGATACGTCGCCGTCGGCGGGCAGCGCATGTGGGGCCCATACGGTACCGGCGGTCTGGTTGTTCAGTCGTGGACCAACAGCAGCTCGCAGGCCTGGCAGATGTTCGACCAGCAAGTCGCCAAATACGGCAAACCTGCCGCGGTCTGGGTGCAGATCTGCATTTTTGCGAACCCGGGAGCCACCTACGACGAGGTCAAGCAGCTCATCGCCAACTCCCGCCAGCATGCAGCGCCGGACGCCAAGATCTACGTCACCGGACAGCCACTATACGATGCCGGGCATACTTGCGGTTTGGCTGGGGCCGATGGGCCACAGCTGACAGATAGCCTGGCTAAACAGGCCGCTGCTGATGCCTCCCAGAACGTGACCTACCCGGGTGCGTTCGCGCTGCACCCCGGTGAAGTGGCAGACAGCTGCCATGCCAACATGGGTGGGATGACATCGCTTGGCAAGCAAGCTGTGGGATTTTGGGGTTGATTTGATTTATTCGACATGTGTTACTGGGCGCATTAGCAATTCGCATGTCTGTGAAGGAAACCTTGTTGCTATGAGGACACAGGCTTTTCAACAAACCTTACTTCAAGTGTTCAATTCAATTCTCACCTCATGTACACCTCAAGGCTCAATACCCAGCGATTCATATCATGTCACTTAACAATACATACTTGGTTTTACAGTGTGAATCAGAATCCACACATGGACACAGTGGTAGTGTGTTTGTGATGCATCCCCGATGCATGAGGGAGGATATGCATCAAATATGCAAGCAGTTTTTGGTCAGTCTGGTGGTTGCTCATACAGGCACAAAATATCCTGCAGTGCCTACCCTGGCAGACCACAAGGTCACACGGCTAGATCAAGATGCCCCAAGGTGACAATGGTGCATCGTTTGTCCAGTGTGGTCTGTTTGAAAGCCGGACTTGGAAGAGTCTCCGAGGGTGGAGCTTCGGGACCGACGTCGGCGATTTCGCAACCCAGACTGGACGGACGGAGAGCCAACTGATCTCAATGAATCCCACCTCGTCAACTTGGAACAAACCTTGCGCCATCGACGGACAATGGCGACGCACATCTAAGAAATGCTTTGATAGCCAATTACTCTACACTGAATCTATCCCCCACCGCAGTACTGACTACACCATGGACTCAAGTCGGTCTCCAGTCGCCCTCGCCGACGTCCCTATAAAGAGACCACCAGAAGACGACGAGCCATTCGATCCAAGCAGGGCTCCTCCTAAGCGACAGGCAATGGAGAGCCCGGTCGACAATGGACAGAGCGCTCCGTTCATTGCCCCCTCCTCTGCGGCCACAGACCACCAATTAGTTGGCAAGACGCCAGGCGAGCTGATCACAATCATCCTGACGATGCGCTCCTCCCACGAACAACAGCTTGCCGAGCTCCAGAATCGATACTCGGCCGTCAGCCGTCAATTGGAACAGCTTACCCAGACCCTGAACGGCCATTTTGCCTCGCAGATATCAGCCCTTCAGTCTGTCCAGCAGGTAGGCCGGTCCAGTCTTGGGAGACTTAGGCCAAGCTAACAAAGCGCCACCAAGAGGGTTGCCTCCATCTCGACGTTCGAACAAACCAGACCTTTCGCTTCCACCGTTTCCGCAGTCCCCAATGCCACGAACGGGAACCCTGCGCTAGTACCACCGAGTCCATCCTTCCCGGCTTCACGACAAACGCCCGTGCGCTCAATCGTGCCCGCCTCGCCATCTACACCCATCACAAACAACTTGAAAGCCACGCCGACCCCCCGAGGCACGCGCTTTGAAACCCCGTCTGTCACCGCCTCCGCTCCTTCCCAGACCCCCACCAGCGCCTCTGTCGAGCCACAAGACAAGAAAGACCTCAAGATCACGCAGTCCGACATCCCGAACCAGCCGCCCACCGTCGAGGTAAGCCACCTCGACACAGCCTGGGAGGCGTGGGAGGAGTTCCGTTACGGCCGAAACGGGAACCCGTCGCTCGAGACCCTCGACGCGATCTGGGGCCCCAGGTGGCGCCAGGACTTCAAGCTCAGGGAGTTCTACAAGCGGCGCAAGGCCATCGCCGACAAGATCAAGCAGTACATGGCGGACGGGATCGACGAGCAGAGCGCCGTCAGGGCGCTCGACACGCAGCGCGGCAAGAGGAAGGTCAACTGGCTGTCCCTGCGCATCTTGGACGAGCGCAAGGCGCAGAAGGAGCAGTACAAGGAGGCGCAGAAGGCCGCGCTCGTGAACAAGGCGGCTCTGCAGAACTTTGGGACTGTGCCGGCCGCTGCGGCCGGTCCGAATGGGTCACCCTCCCAGACTCAGCAAACGCTCTAGAAGATTTCTGATATTGGTTTGACTTGGACGACTGACATGCTTTCTTGGGCCTTTTTTTCTCTCTTTTTTTCTCTTTCTTGGCGCTGGCGTTTGGGTGTTTGCGGTTCATGATACCCTAGTCACTCAGATAACAGCTTTTGCTTTCAATGCATTCTATATTTCGCATCACTATCGTCACCTACACTTGCCTCTGATAAGAGGATTTGATGCGTCCTTCTACAGCACGCTTTTGCTCTTTAGTGAGAATGCAGCTCACTGCTTCGACCAGGCCTTGCCATGGAGCAAAGGTCAATGCTCATCTGGTCCTAATCACAGTGCTGCCATCTTCGTGACTTCTGCTCCCTTAAGGAGGGAGGATCTTCCACATACCGGCAGCCTCAAATTACCCCAACATTTCTCTGGCAATTCCATCAGTCCTAAATCCATCCTCGACCAGAGCAGCTTCGCGGACGGCATCCCTGATCTTGAAGATCACGCTAGGATCCGCAGGCTCAGCTACAATATTACCCTTGAATCCTGTTTCGATGCTGACGTCAACGCCTCCTGGTGGCGGCAGCACGTCGAAGGCCCAGACGACCTTGGAGGCAGCCAGCATGATCGTCGTGAAGGCGAACTGCTCGCTAGGGCACTGGCGCCGCCCGGAGCCAAATACATAGAGGGACCGGCGGCCGCTCTTCTCCAGGTCTTGCTCTGTCTCAGCGGCGTCATTGCTCTGGCGGAGGCCGTACGGGTGCTTGACAAAGCGCTCGGGCATGAAGTCGTCTGGTCGCTCGTAAGCTTTCTCGTCCCGGTGAATGGTCCATGCATTGGCGATGGATGTGGTCCCCTTTGGGAAGAAATAATCACCGTACTGGTCGTCCTGAGACAGCGTGTGTGGAAGTGCACTCGCAAGGACGGGACGCCAGCTTAGGACCTGTTCTCGTTAGCATAGATAAAACTAGGTAATTTCTGCGGTCCTCCCCACCTCTGAGATGCAGGCTTTGAGGTAGACAAGCTTCCCGAGCATACCACCAGTCGGCGGCGTGTTGCCCGCGGCTTGGTCAACCTCCTGCTGGGCCTTCTTGAGGACATCAGGAAAAGCAGCAAAGCAGCACATCAGGCTCAGAAAGGCTGCAGCGGTTGTGTCTGCTGCTGCGCCAATGGCAGCCTGTCCGAGGTATCCCAGCTCCAAATCGGCCAACCTACGCTCCGGTTTGACCAGTCCCGGCGTGTTCTGCTCTCGCAGCAGCCTGGCGATGAGGCCCTCAACGCGCACCGACGCTGGGTCTTCCCTCATCTGTTCATATTGCTCCCTGCCGGCCAGGAAGAACGCCATCGCGTCTTTGATCATGAGTTTCCTCACGCGCGGGGCTTCCCTCTTCCACGACGCGAGTACTCTGGGGACGTATTTTAGGACGGGGAAATAATCAACCAACGGTGCTGAGCCTGGGACGAGGAACCGGAGCACTTCTTCCTGCGAGCGCATGAACTCCTCTGCAAAGCCATGCGGCAGGGCCTCCATGTGCTGGCCGCTCGTGGCAACGAGGGAGGCTGCCAGAGACCAGGACTAGACATGATTCTTGAAACTAGACTCGTCGCGGCGAAGATTCTGGCATAGCGTACTGGCTTCGGCTTCCAGCAATGGAAGTAGCCTCTTGATTCCGGCATTGCTGAGGATGTAGCTAAATGTCTTCCGCCATCGTGTGTAGTATTCGTCGTACTTTAAGATAGGTATTGCTTCATCGTGTGGCCCTGGCCATATGTGTTTTGTAAGGACATGGTTTATTGGCCGGTTGGAGTAGATAGCGCCACGTTTGTCGAATAGCTCATCTGAACAAGATCAAATTAGTGAACGTGGACTTGCGGTAAAAGAGTCTTTGAAAAGCGCCAAACCATTGAGAAGGTTATGGCCTGGCCCGTTGGGGTATAATGTGTTAGAATCGCACAAGTTGGTGAAAGCTCACGTACGGACGATTTTGGGATTGTTAATTATGACGAGATTACCTGCCGCCGTTTTGAGAGAGACCAAGTCGCCGTACTGTTTTGACCACTCATGAAACTTCAGAAATGGCTTTGAGGGAGGTATCTGGTGGAGGTTACCGAGCCCCGGGATTACAGGAGGGCCGGGCGGGAAGTTCTGTGGTCTCAAGGTCGATAGAATCCACTGTAAAAGAGGTAAGAGTAGCAGTAGGAGAAAGCCAGCAATGGCGGTTGAAAGCCTCGACAGCCAAAAGAGTAAGTCCGCCGTATTATCGTGCGAGGAAACGTCCACGGACAAAATGTGACGGGGATTATACAAAAGTCTGGAACCAGTGCAACTGGAAATGGCTCGGGTCTATAAATAGTGAGGCGAGCACGATGAAGATACTATTATAGAAAGATTCGTCATATGACACGCACTTATCTATGCAAAGGAGGTATACCAAGAAACACATACCACTTTGGGCCTGTGGTAATCTTGGGCCTGATAATTCCTGCATGCAGGGCTCGCAAATGCTGATGATCATCGGCTAAGCGCCGTCACAAGCGAATCAGAACGGCATCAAAGTTCTTGACCCAAGAAAGCAAGGCTGTACATCATGCAGTGAGCACACGCGTTCGGGTCTTACCGGAGGGAGAAGCTGATTCAATTCTACACTTGTCTAGGTTTTTCAACATTGCACGCCTGAGTCCTCTCTTGGTACAGGCGAGCTTTGCGAAGTGAGGGGCTGGCCGGTTATGACATGTAATTCGAAGGTTGATGGTGCGCAACTCATAGGGAACGAACACGGAGGAGCTTATAAATGCTTGGATTATATATTATGCGAACGGGAAAAGTAGACACGGGCATGAGTCTGCAGATTGAGTAGTGTTTGTACGAAGAAAAGCTAGCCTTGGTTCCTGAGAGTGTAAATCAAACGAAAGAATACATTTAATCTCCCTGTTCATTGAATATTACAGATGGAACACCAAGAAAGTTCATCATCTCTCCTGCAACTTGTTAATAAAAACAACCCTATGGCCGAAGAAGTTACAGATTTCCTTGAAAGTCAATTGGTATACGTGTTCACTGTCCAAGACTGTTTGACAGCGTCGTCATACACACCGTCGACCCGCGCCAGAATAATCCGCTGGCGGCTATTCCGGGAGACGAGCATCATCGGTAATTGGCGAATCGCTGCTGTGTAAGCGGATGCCTGGGATCTTCTGTTGCCGGCGGTTGTCCCGTGGAACCGGAGAGTCCAATCTGGGCTCTGTCCTCTCTGATGATTGGACTGGGCCCTCCGAGATCCCCGGTATCGAGTGAGAGTGCTGAACTCTGTTCGCCGTTTTGGCGAAGACTATCTTGTCGAAGCGCTCTGACTTCCGGACTCGAGTAGATCGTTCGGGTTTGTCGTCAGCCGCCTCTGCCGGTGAAAGACCTCTACCACTCATGTTCATTTCGGCCCCGGCCCCAGCCCCGGCTTCGTAAGCAGTGACAGCTTTCACGGGAGCTTTGTTGTCAAGTTCTTGCAGAGCGTTGAGCGTCTCTGGCCCAATTTGTCTCAAAAGCGTCATGTCGAGGTTGCGCTGGTACTCCTTCTCAGATAAGATTATGATCCCATCCAGTCGCTCACACAACTCTCCCATCATGAGCCTCTTCTCCGGATTTGGTAACAACATGTAGTTGTCAACAAGGTCGAGGACCTGATGCGTCGTGGTATCTGCTCTGCGGGCAGAGTTCCGCAGATAATCGTGCCACTGCGTCACAGCAGACAGCACCTTTTCGGCCGTCATGGAATGAATCGTCGCAGGATGGTATGCCTTCCCCCTCACACTTGGCCCTTCCGTCTCTCAAAGCCTTGATAGCTATCTTTCGACGTTCGCTGTAGTTTTCATATGCTTGAGATCCAAGCACCACCCACGTTGCCACTGATGACAGGACACAGCCGAACGACCATGTGTCGATAGTCTGCGACAAAGGAGTGCGGATGGAATTCCTGCTGGAGTCGCATTCAGGGGCGCCTAATCTTTCAGTATTTCTGCTGGCATTCCTGTTTCGGTGGATAGAATGACACGAGATAAAGAACTAGGCAGAATCATACCGTACGTGCGAGTGCCTCCGAGGAGCAAGGTCTTGGTTTTCCCTCTCTGTTCTCGCTCGAATTTCGCGAATCCAAAATCGGCGAGCTTGTACTTGCCCCGAACTCGCAGAATGTTATCGGGCTTGATGTCTCCGTGCCACCTGAAAGGAATCGGTCAGATGTTGCCGTCAACGATCTTCTGTGACTTTTACTTGCCCTCTGTAATGCTGGCGCTTCCCATCCCTGTTGTCATATTCCAAGTTCTGTATTCTCTCGAGTGTCCTGGCAACACTGAACAGCTCTTCCCAGAACTGTCTGATCTCTGCGTTAAGTACGGGCGGATAGGTCTCTGCCAGATACTCATCGAGGTCCAACTCGCCATACTCGAGCATGATATGGTGACTTGGAGCGTCGGGGCAGTTTATCGTAGGGTGCTGTATCTGATACTCTCCAAGATATTGGACAACACCCTGTACACCTCGAATACCCGGGAACGCCTGGCTTTCAATGTCATATATCGGTTTCATCGACTGCATATAAGACTTGACCGCAAGTTCGTAGCACTGAGTTGTCACCATAGGCTGTAAATCAGCACTGATAGAAAGCGATAACAGGCACAGTAATAAAAGGTGACTTACAATTCCGTTCTCAAAACTCTCTTGCTTCGAGGGCTCCAAAGCTTTGCGCAACGCGGGGTCTTCCACAAGAGCTTGCTCTATGCCATAAAGACAAACAGTTGCTGTGCCCCCTTTGTCGTTGATGACCTTTCTGTAGCAGAAAGGCAGGATAGCAGAGGCATGTGAAACTGTGAAACTCATGTTCAGACTCAGGCGAACCGTGAAAAAGCTCCATCGAACCCTGTCAAATGCCTTGATAACCTCGCTGTAATTTGAGAGTCCCCATTTGGAGGGCACCTGCAGACGTGAGGTTTCAAGATCAGACAGAATCCTTCGGTAATACGTGGACATGTCCTCGAGTCCGGGGTGGTAGTCATCTGACAGCTGTTTCCGAAAGATGTGGAACATGTGCCCGCATTGTATTTCTTCATGAAGAAGAATTGAGAACAGTGGGAAACTGTTTTTCTATCCGGGGAGGGAATGGGGTCTGATCATCGGCGTACAACTCCTGCACCAGCGTTTCCACGTTTGAGGAGCCTGTATTGGGCGCCTGCTCGAGCATCCAGGAATTGATATGCGGTCGGGGGTAAAAGAGCTTGCCCTCGAAATTGCGCCGCTGAATCTTTTGCAAGTGATCGTGAAATTGGCGGCAAGCACTTGGGCCCGGAGGACGAGTTCCTTGAGAGTAATGCATACTGAAGGTGACAGGTAAATACGACGTGATTCCGTCAACTTCTGATCTTTGAGACACAATGACGGTCACAGTCCTCTAGAACATGAGGAACGTGTGAGAAGACGGTTCTCAACCCTGGGGAAGTGAATTAGACCTGTGATCTTTTTCTTTTTCTTATTTTCATGTGGCTCAAGACGAGGATCAAAGATGAGGAGATAGATTGGAAGATGTTTGCTCGATCTGCGAGTCCTCGGAAACTCAAGTTGTACATTTGAATGCGCGCGTGCTGCTTGCCGCGTGAAATGGTGCGCGCACCGAAGTGGTGTAACATCGTGTTTGTGGCTGGAATAGTACGTACGTATCGATTCAACACTGTGCTCGGCTTTTGCGCAACGTAGTGATAAGACTGAAGACCGTTTCTATGTGACACTGCAGCTCACCACAAAGACTGCGCTCAAGGTGCAATGTCAAGAATGAGGCCCTGCGGACTCGCTCAGCGTGCGTTGTTAGCCCTCGAGAAGCCACCATCAGTAGGAGCATAAGTAATTCCGAAACGGCCACTGAACACACCATCTGTGCAGTTTTCTCGTTCACTATCAACAATACTGCTGGACACTGTAAAATTGTCTCATGAAGCCTATTGTCAAGATTCGGATGTGGAGTTGGAATACTCTAGAGCTCGTTGCTTCTAGCGCGAGAGGAAAGCACTGTTTCCAACAGCCGTACTTTTCCTGCTCTCCCAAGCCTTTCTATACACACCCAGTCTCACCTTTTCTTACTGTGAAAATGTTTCCTTCTAGCAGCCTTTTCGCGAATATTTCTTAGACAGAGCCCGAAGAACAAGGTCTTCCACCATTAATTATACGTCCAACTTTTCCGCGGAATGCAATCTGGCGCGATATATCTTGTTAGGCGGGGCTTTCATGAGCCCGTTGGGCCAATATCTCTTATACGGCTTTTCAGAATCCTCCGGGTGAGACACCATCTCTGCCCATCTCTTCCCTGCGTAAGCAAGCAGCAGAGTCAGGGCTGTAAGCGGAATCGTGACCTCCAGCCACCTGTTCATCGCAACTTGTGAGAAGCTTCCCCCAGACTCTTGCCCCTGATATTTGATAACGTCCGTGCTGAAGAAAGTCTGGAGAATTTTTACTATTAGCACAATTTGGAAACAGAAGCAGCTACCATTTTATTCCACCTACCGATGTGAAAGTGGCAGGAAGATAGACCAGGGTGACGATAGCCACAATCCGAACCACAATCGCCTCGCTCTCCATGTGCTGATTGAGTCGCTCTAAGCGATGTTGCTTCACCATCTCTGTTCTATCTGTGAGGGTCTTAGCGAGAGCTTTGCTGCGATTGACCTGGAGCTGAAAATTATTGATGAGGTTGCCTAGGTCATTGCTGAAGACTTCGGTGTCCTCCTGGCATCTTGAGGCTGGTCCGGAATCTGTCATTCGGGTTAGGCGTAGATAGAAGTCGGACAAAGAATTCATGATGTCGATGTTCGAGCTCAGCACCGTTACCGCCTCGCTCAATCGCTCTTCCCACAGCAAGAGGTCTTGGATGTCTCGAGCCGTAAATAGATGATGACAGGAGCTCTTGCCCGTGGGGCCGATCACAGCGAGTCTGGTCTGCAAATAAATTATCAGATCACGTGGCTCTTTACAAACTAGCAGTACTGAAATGAAAGCCTCGGAAGACTTCTTGCTGATGTGTGAATGCTGACAAACAGGGACATCTCACCTCCTGCTGAATGGTCTCTTCCAGCCATTTGATGTATTCTCGCCAATCTTCTGTTGCCCAGTGACAGAACAAAAGATGTACGGACAAGCTGGATCGGAAGCATTCCTCCGGCGTCTGAAATGCACGATCTTCAGGTCGCGCATCCTTCCCGGTTAGTTCCTTGAATCTTTCGTAGAGATCTGTGCGGCCTTTAGTAACAATCCAAACGCTTTTGCCGCTCACGACATCAAAGCGATGATAGACAGCGGCCTGCCTGATTGAAAACTGTTTGCCCACCAAGTTTGACAGGTCACTGTGGGTACATGTGACGCCTTTAAGGTTATAGCACAGCTGGTACTGTCTCCCGGATCGCCCTAGCGGAGCGATGCGGTGAGACGTCCTACTATCGCGAAGACTCATTTGCTCGTGAAAACTGCCAAAACCAACATCTCTTTGATCGATTTGTCGTCCGAAGATGAATAGATGGTCTAAGTAATCGGGCATGACTTGGTGGAAGGTGAGAATTTCCACAAGCATTGACCGAGTGATCCTCAGACGAGAGCGTGAATTCTGCCCGTAAATGTATCTTGGTGACATTGGTCAACTGAATTTGCTTTTTCATATGAAAGGCGTACGAACATGAAGCGGCATTTCGGGTCTTGCTTCCTGACGGTGACCATCGGTTTCTTCTCGTCTTCGGGGTGAGCAGTCTTAACCCCAAGCCACTCGTCGAGGTCTTCTGGGGAGTGTATATTGCGCTTTTCGACTCCTGATATAGCTCATCAGTTCTTGCAATTGTGTGATGGCCAGGAATTTGAGCAGACCTTTCCATCCTCCATCGACATGTTGGACCTGCAGGTCTCGGAATGGCACATCAATCTTGCTTATGTCTCTCACACAGAGATCATCCGCTGCGTCATCTAGCCTTCTCAAATACTCGGCAAGAGCGCTAGGGTATGTGCTGATGGTCCTCTCAACGACATTCATTGGATACGATTCTCTATCGATGTACGAGTCCCGAAAACTAGCAGGCAAATCATTCCCCGAGGCCATGGTGATTAAGACAATTGTTGATGACAAGATGGGATGATAGTATGTTTGACAATGTTTGTTGCTTGCCAGCTACCGACGTCGGGAGAGTCATTGTCAAATACCATGAAATGACTCCCCTAATACTACGATAATCGCGGCGAAGCGATGCTACACAACCGATAGCAAAGCAGGTTTTGATTTTTCAACTTGTTCTGTGTGCCTTGAACTTCGACAGGAGTTACATGGCGAGGTACTCATTACACAGCCTTGAAACGTAATTGTGAGATGCGAGCTGCATGATACAATTCGCCGTTGACCGACTTGTACATATTTCATTCGCTGCCGTCGAGCACAAGCTCATCTTCAGACCGTGTGCACAAAACTGTATCGTACAAGGACGACCCTGCAAATTTTCCGCTCAAAGAGTCACCACAACCGTTTTGCCATAGCCACTGAATTATGCAAGAACCCTACTTCGAATCCGAGATTGAAGGTCGGCGTTCAGACGAGCCTTGCTCGGCCTTTTCACTCGAGTCTCTCAGGGCACTGATCTTGTTCCTCTCTTCCTGAAATAAATTCTTAAGCTAATGGTCCATCAGCTTCAATCAAATATGACAAGGCCTTACCGATGTCAATGTTCTTGGTACCACGAAGGTCCAGAAATCGTTGTTCTGGGCATATGTCAGTGAACACACCACAGCCGTCGTCTAAATGCGGGTATTCAAGTTACCTTGGACTCACGGAAGTCCCAGCCCGGAAATATAGTGTCAAGGTAGCCATGTAGAACGTCCCAGTGCAAGTTGGCATAACAGGACACATGATCCTGAACAGGTTCACCCTTTTGCACAGCCTGAGCTTGGCCACGTCGAAAAAGGCTCCAGACGCTCTTGGCTTCCTTTTGCGTGTTTACTGTCGCCCGTCTGGTGGTGCTCTTCTTCTCTGGGGGGTGTTTTTGTTGATCATGCTGCTGGTCCGCCATCGTTCTCGCTGACCATGAGAAGTGGCTCTGTAGGTCGTGTGAACTGGCAAGTTGGCATTCATTCCGTCTAAGTGGTCACAACGAACCATAAATAGAGCTACATTGGACCCTCGAAACCACTCATACCCAAGGGCCCCGTGGGACCATATGGTTTCATCTTGAACTGATGCATCGGGCTGCATCCTACCTGTTGCCTGATATTGTGCATGGGATTGCAAGCTGGTGACCACGGAAGCAGGAGAGGTGGGCCAATTACACACTCTACCTGCGCACCTGGTCGGCCCATAGCCCGGCTCCGCCATTATGTTTACAGTGGCACAGCGGTAAGACGAATTTTGACGCCTTCAATGGTGCTACGCGGTGCAACTGGAACTTCACAAATGGTGACCATTTTCAGTATGCATGACATCACAAGAGGTGGCACCAACGACTGCCGAACGTTGGACTTTGCACCCTGGGCCGTCTCAGCATGTGGAGGGTCTACAAGGTGGTACGTGGCTTGGATGTTGTTCAATTAAATTCTTTTCAAGATTGGTCAAGGCACATTGGAGTGATAACTCTTGAGGAAATCCGCCTAGATGTCATCGTCAAGGGGGCTAAGACCCTGCGGAGTACCGAGGCGCATCTCGTAGTAGATCCTCTGCCTCTCAATCTCATCGCGGTCAGCCATCCACTTGCCAAAGGCGGTGGGGTCCGTCCCTGGCATCTCAAGGATCTGGGGGTACTCGGCAGGCTTCGGCGCATCGCTGCGGACGCCCCAGCCGCCGCGGATGGCCTGGTACTCGTTGCTGAGGATGTAGCTGTGCAGGAGCTTGGCGCCCTCCGGGTGCGGCGCGTCCTTGAGGATGGCGCCCGTCTGGGGCCACGAGACGAACTTGCCCTCGACGGGGTGCGACACGTTCAGGGGCGCGGCCGGGTTGAAAACGCCCGACGCGGTGAAGCTGGCGGCCCACTGCGTGTCGTTCTGCGAGAAGACGGTGCGTGGCGTGCGGGTCCCGCGCACCCAGCGAGGGTTTTGGGCGATGAGCTTGTCTAGCCAGGCACTGCCATGTTGCTCTTCACTATTGTGTAAATGAAAGTTAGAATATGTAGGCATATCGGTTTGAGGGGTGGCAGGTTGATAAACATTACTTACATCAGAGTGAAGGCGAAGAGGACAGCATCATCGTCATTAGGGTATGTCAGGACGAGCTTGTCCTTGAATTCCGGCCGAAGCCAGTCCTCCCACTCGACAGGGGCCTTGACACCCGGAAGCTTGGCCGAGTTCCACATGCCAGCCCAGGCAATGATGAACATGCCGTAGTAAGCGGCGGTATCATTGGGCTTGAACTCGGGCTGGATCTTGTCGAAGCCGAGAGGGGCATATTCCAGGAGGGAGTCTTCAGATGCCCAGCGGGGAAAGTTATGGAGGGTCTGGATGATAACACTGTCGACGTAGACATTGTTGGCCGCAATCTGCTCGTTCACACGCGTGTCGTGATACTTGGAGAGGTCGACGGTGACGTTGAGGGTCATGCCGGGAAACCGCTTCTCGAAGTTGGCCTTTAACGAATCCTGAGAGTTACGTTCGTCACCGCCATGCCAGAGCGTGACGACGCCGCCCTCGGCGAGAGCGGCTTGATGAATCTCGTCGAGGGTGCGGTTCTCCGTCTGGCCTGCGGCGTTGACCAGGGCTTGGCTCCCCAGCAGGGCGAGAGCGAGGAGTGAGCGAGCCATGGTTCGTTGCGAACTGGGATCTGCTATTGAATAGGCCTGAAAGAATGACTGAGTTGGCTAAATTACAAGAATCCCAAACAACTGAGGAGTGAAGACGAAAGCACTCATCCCACGATGTCTCACGACTGCGACTGCTTCCTTTTCAACGAGAGCAGCGTCAACTCCACCTGTGGCGCCATTGCGCCCTTGGTGCTGGCCTTCTCTGAACACATACCAGATTTGGGAAGGGCTAGGGAGGCGCGCGCCCCCCGCTGGGGAGAGAAAATATAATCTGTGATTTGCATCTATCCACCGTGTTCTGTTGGTGTGGATGACTTGCGGCCCAGGACCCATGTAGCCCGGATCCTTAAAAGGAGGTTAAATCATCCTTCTGGGGAAGGTGCAGATCGTCCTGGGCTGACGGCACTGCTCGTCCGAGCGAAACAGGGCCCATGATTGATGCTCTCCTGCCAATAGATTGGAGAGTGGTAATTATGGGTTAGAAAAGAAGGAGAATCCCGTGGCTCAGCACGGCATTGGTGCCGAGTCAGGCAGTAAAGGTGGAGGATATTCCAATCGTCGGCTAACCGCACGAGTCCTTGATTCACTCGCAAATTTCGGACCTTGTGTGTCACGGTAAGTCGAACTGCCGTCGGGACTTCATCGTTAGCAATCAGGATTTGCATGCGAGTTTTTGCAGGCCGCGGCGCTGGGCATAGAGGCCGACAGGGCAGGTGATGTTTTGTGTGTAGGGTCTGCCCTGGCAGTTGTGGCCGCTGTGGTTTTCCACTTGAGGCCACTAAGTGCAGGAAAATCCCGGTGATCCACAGTAGGAGTGTTGTACTCCGTATTCTGTACTGAATAAGGCCACGGCCCTGATATACTATAGTGGCACTTGGCCCGATGTTGCAACACAGGGGTCCCCGCACTAGGAACCGTGTGTTCTCTATTTTGACATCGGTTACGTTTAGTAGTATGTTTATGTGTGTCTCTTGTTGCGAGCCCAGAGGCTCCAAGTGTGAACTGATGAGCTCAGCTAATACTCCGGGGTAGTGAGTACAGGTGCCAATTCAAATGTTCTGGCTTGGTTTGCCAAGGTCCGAAGAGGACGCTGCTGCCAACTCGTCTTCTCGTCCACCAATGACCATGAACGATGATAAGCGCAAGTTCGATCACTTGTCCCCAGGTCAAAACAGCAAAGCACAAGAGTGACACTAGAGCCAGGTTAGGGGGTGCCGAATTGGCTGCTGTGAGAATCTTGTCTGCCAGGAGTCTGACTACAAAGGCAGTCTTGCAAGCACCATCGTTACCGTCAGATGCGTCCTACATGGTCATGATTTTGTTGACATACACATCTGTCATCTGTGTAGTTCTGGCGATGTACTAGCTGGAACGGCACGTCGGCAGCAAGACAGAGCGACCCACACTGATACGAAGGCCCAGTCCATTGTACAAATGCATGCAAACAAAAACAGACATCTGTCATGAGTACAGCTCCTACAAAACTGTGTACGGAAGTTCGCTACAGTGTCCGTCCCTAGGATCCCTTCTGGGTAATTCCATTTGTCCAGTTGAAGAGTTCCTTTGGATCCCACCTGGACTTCAAGGCCCGCAGTCTGGGAAGTTTTCGCTCTGAATACCAGGCCACCTGGCCCTCATCACCATGGGCATAGTTGACGTACACCTCCAGTGAACCGTTGTTGCCGCCCGTGGCCACCAGCTCCTTGCGAGTCGCCTGCTCAAACTGCTCTGCTACGGCCGCAGAACTTGCGTCAGGGAGAACAAAGGATATGAAACTATGTTGATTACAATGTTGGTCATCTTTGGTGTCGACACAGCCCTGCGGATGATGATGAGCAAGGACAAAATATCTTACACGTATCCCAGCGCGTCGCGGTACGGATAGGCTGTAGCCTCATCCGGTACCCTCATGGTGATGGTGTTGGGGAATAGCTCGAGGACGAGGATCGAGGCAGCGAGAGTCGGGTTCTTGGCGTAAAAGCTGTCAAACTTATCCACGAGGCCTATAAAAGTGGCGGCGTCGAATTTGTACAGGTTCAACCCGAGGATCGAGTGGTTGCCGCCTTTCACGCAAGCCATCGCGCCGACTCCGAAGCGGTTGTCCTTGACCAGTCTGTTCCACGGTAACATTCCCACGCTCTGACGCAGCGGGTTAAGGGCAGTAAAGCGTCGAACACATTCCATGCCTTTCTCCTCGGGCCCCACGTAGATGGCCGACATCATTGGCACGGTTTGCTGCGTCTGCCTGTCAAACATGATGGTGCCGAATACAGAGAGCTCATCGGGCTGGTCTTGCGCCAAGGAATTGACCAGGTCGAAGATGGCCTCTTTTGAGGAAGCCGGGTAGACAAAGTCGCCGTTCAGTGCCATGCCGCCGTTGGTTTGGTCGTGGATCCGAAATGTCGCCGATGTCACAATGCCGAAACTCTGGCCGGCCCCGCGGAAACCCCAGAACAACTCGCAGTTTTCATCCTCAGAGGCACTCACGATCTCTCCAGAGCCTGTCACGATGGTGGCCGATTCCAAATCGTCGAGCAGCAGGCCATGAACTCCTTGGTACGGCCCGATCCCACCGCCAAGGGCGGCCCCAAGCACCCCAACGCAGGAGCAGGAGCCGGTCTCTATGCGAGGAGGTCTCAGCTTTCTGTGCCACGGTCATACAGCAAAAGGATTAGGAATGTGGTATTCGGGCGCAACTCACGAATCTCCTTCCCCGCAGCATGCAGCGGTTCGAAGATGTCATTAAACATGACCCCTCCGCCAACTGTGAGTCGATTGTCTATCGCGTTGACGTGAATGTCTCGGAAGAAACCAAGATCGATTCCAATGCCTCCTCTTATGGCGCCTGTCGTGTTGGTGTATCCGTTCCCGCCTCCTGTCGCTAGGAAGGGAACGCCTTGCTCACCAGCGTACTCGATCTGCAGGAGAAAGAATGAGCCACTAGTTAGGAGATAGAAGTGTGGTTTGGAGACGGACGATTTTCTTTACGTCTTGGTTGCTCGCCGGCTTTGCGTATACCACATAATTAGGCGCCTCGAAGGCATTCCAACGCTGTGTGATATTGAGAGCGCTGGTGCGGTCCGTATCGTTGGCGAGTACAACCTCAGAAGCAGGCGACAACATCTGCTTTAGGTCGCCATAGATGGCCGTTGGTGATGCTGGAGATGCCGGATGCTGCTATTAGAGACACGGCAGGTAGCAAAGCGATGGGAAGAGGGCACGGGGCTCAGCTTACCGGAAACTCTCGGTGTCATGTTTGCCAGAAATACCACAAAGACCAGAAGCGTGGCTAATTCATATGCTGCCGGGATCATCTTTAGCAGGAAGGCGAAGTACGTACAGATTCTTTCTGAGGCCAGGTGCCGACTAGCTACTTATATCCCACAACGTCCACAACGTCCAGAAAGCCGCTAAACCCACAAAGTCCGCCCATGCATGTCAGGGAGGAATTCCACACCATTTCGATCCTTCCGTGGCACAGCAGGTAGACTTGGCAGATTCATGCGTGTTGGTTGCCAGGTTGCAGATACTCCAGTCGAACTCCCACGTCTCCGTGTGGTATTCTGGTTGGCTCCTTCTTGGTTCAGCAGAGGATAAAACCAACACAAAATCACCACCCAATGAGACTGAGCCTTTAGCTTGGACTGCAACTAAACATCATCCACCATGCAGTCAGCCCAATATGATCACACCACAAGGGGTCGGAAGATGTGGAGACCCAGCGGCGAGGACATGCTACATTCCTATACACAAGGTTGAAGCCCACCCTCCAAGGCCTTTTCCATTCCTTAGATTCAACTCTGATCGAATCATACTGTGACAGGACTTGACTCAAGACCGATATCTCGTAGGCAAGAGAAATAGATCCAGGGTGGCCAACATCATCTCTCCTCCTTCTGTGAAAGACCTTACTTAAATAGAAGGAATAAATCCTTTGGATAAATGTAGCGAGTCTTCCTGATGCAGTATCTATGTACGTATTCAGATAGTCCGCTTGAGTTGTTTTCATCAAAGAAAATTCAATTAGTTCAGCATTTGGCTTTTGTCGTTGGATGGCTAGCACATGTTCGCCAAACGACGTTTTCAATCTTTTGATGTTCTGGGAGCCGAGGTATGCCATTCAAGACCAGCAATTTATTGCGTTTTCCAAACAGATTTGGCAGTCTGAGTGTGCTAAATATCTGTGAACCCATTGCCTGTGCAGGTTGTAATACTCAGACGGAATCATATATATTTGCCATTAATAGACCTCCACGTCCGTCCCCTCCACTGGATAAGAAGGATTGGAATGACACAGAACGCAACCGTCACTGTATACGTTTGTGTCAGATATTATCACTGGCTCGTGGAAAGATATGATCATAACGGTCCATCCGGCCGAGGCTGTCTATGCGACGCCAGACCTTCAAGAATAACTTTTGACGTTCTTTGCTCCAAACAATCGTTGCGAAGAGACAGTCCAAGTTGGGTAACGAGTGAGGCGAGATGAACTTACTGGCAACTGCAATGCCTGCCGTTTCTCTGTATCCAACCTCCTCGATACTCTGTGGGAACCTTTTGGATTCGTCAACATCGTGGTATGCAGAGGGAGACGCCCAAGGTTCAATAATACATACCAGAAGGGTCCGATGAAGCCCCATATCTGACGTACAAACGTTATAAAAACGCCGACACTCGCGGCGTCCTGTCGATAACAATCCACAGAGTAGGTCACGAGCACGGTAGTAACGACTTGGTTACCCGCTGCCGCAATGCCCACTCCGATCAGCGGCGTGACGTTCCACGTGTGGCCAGCGTTGTAAAGCTGCACCAAGAAGACAACAACACCGATGACGCAAAGCACGAAGCCAAAGTAACTCAGCCACAGCCGGTACTCAGGCTCGGGGCTTCTACCGTTCAACTTCCGCCGCCGCATGGACATCCAGAGGTCAGACATACGGCCACCGATCTGCTCGCCGACGATAGTGCCGACGATGACGGATATCATCTGCAGGCCGTTTTGCTGGGTGTTGAAGCCGAAGAGCTCGGGGAACAGCTGCGGGATCTCGATGGTGGTCATGATGCTTGTCCACAGGAACTCCATGGCGTAAGCGACGGCGGGCAGCAAGACGCAGGGCCGGGCAGCGTATGCCAGGGGCTCGACGAAGTCGTACCAGGTCATCGCGGTCTTGTCGATTCGGCGGAAGCTCATGTATTGCTTCTTGAAGTCAGCCTTGTTTCTTTCGTCTTCGGGTGCCTGACTACCGCGGATATAACGAGACTCTGGGCCGAAGAAGAAGTAGAGGATGAGTTGGACGGCGTTAGTCTGTGCAAGATAGATGGTCAGATATTTCGTAAGCGGGACCAGATTTCATGAACGCCACCTACAATAGCGAGGATGTAGTAAATCCACCGGTAGCCAACCCTCAGTGCAACAAAGCCAAAGATGAAGGGAGCGACCGGGACACCCAGCGTCACAAAGATGGTCCATATGCCCATATAACGAGCTCTCTCATCCTTGAAGAATGTCTCAACCACAACGCCAGACCCGATGGCAGCAGCAGGGCAAATAAAGAAGCCCACGATGGCACGGCACAGACACATGGTTGCGTATGAGTGCGCATTGGCGCAGCCAATGTTCCCGACTAGACTGCAGATGAGCGAGATCATGAAAACTGTTAAACTTGGTTAGAGAACAGCAAGAAATCGACGGCGTTTTGGGGGCACTGTGAAGGACTGACTGGGTCGCCGGCCGTAGCGCTGAGACAAGGGCCTCCAGAAGAGAGGAGCACCACCAAGGATCGCAATGACCAAAGATGTGAGATAGCTGGCGGACTGGACCTCGATTGCAAGGTCTTCGGCGATATTCACAAAGGCGGCCATGATGGCCGCCGCCGTGAACGTCGCCATCATGGCGTGAAACGCGACCAAGAACAAATTCGTGACCTTCTTCTCCTGTGACCAGTTGTAGGGATCTGCATCGCTCATGTCTGGAATAGGGTCCAGGTCCAGAGTGCCATGCCTCTGGAGGAGGTATTCGCGGTGCTCATCGGAGAGGTCGTTGATTCCCTCCTGTCAGATTTCAGTCCTTAGTTTCTCGCACACGACGATGCGTGCGGATTAACATCGTCAGCAAGAACTTACACTATACTCTGTCTGAATGTCTCGAGGCCCCTGAGCCTCTTCCAACTTCGCCGATGACGGCGGTGACGCCTTCTCTGTGTTGCTCATTGTGGATATCGGCATTGGTGTGGTCGGGGTTCAGATGGAAGGAAAGCCACCAAGAATGGATGCAAGTCAGAGAGGTAGTGGCGAAGGCTTTCCAGAATGGAAGAAATGAGCCAGCAGGTTAGTTAAACAACTACTCGGACTTCATTTCGAATCTCCGAGGCAATGTCTGGAACTGTGAGCCACATCACGTCTCGGCTCAGCGGGATATGCCACAGAGCCTCAGCGATGCAGGTCAGGGGTCGAGGCATGCCCATCAAGCTGTCACTAAACACAGACAACGGGAAACGTCTCCCTCAACCAAAGTCTAAAGGGTTGTATCCGGGATACCCAACCGCCGGGGAAGGACCGACGTACACGGAACATGGGGGAAGAGATCCACGCAACCACAGTGTCTAGGGGTTTAGTCCAATCCCGTGAGCCACTGAGGCAGGCCCATCGCTAGGGTGACGATATTCTGTGGGGAAGAGATGGGTCCCAGGGTTGAGCATTGCTACGGATCTTCACGTATCTGGCCTGTAAGTGGACTGGAGTGTCGCAAGGAGGGTGCAATCCAGCCAAGCCCGCATCATCTTGGCCGCTAGCGACAGGACCCATTGAACAAGGCCCAGTCTAACTGCCTCACTGCCGTCTCGCAGTTTTCCAGAGGGCACCTGTGTGTCTGTCAATCCTGCTACATCGAAACCAACGGCTTCTAGTACGGTAAGGCCTCGTCTGAGCTAGTTCACCTTGGCAAATGAGACATAAGCTTTCGCTTCATAACCAAGCCGCTAGATGAGCGGGACGCTGGGAGCCTCACGACTCGGCGTAACTAATCTAGACTCTGGGCGCACAGATTAGGTTCACGACGCCCCAGAGATCTCAAAGGCAAGCATTCTGGATCATCAAACTTCCGGGGCAACCCTTTTCGGGAACATGGGGTGGAACTCTGGGTCCCCCCCCCCCCCCAACGGCCCCGTATGCACAGCAGTAACCCACCATTATGCTGCGGGATGTGGGTGGATCCCTGAAGCTTAAACCCGGTTCATTGTCTCCACTCAGTGCGAGGGAGAACCTGCAATGACAACGATGACATATCAACAGGCGGATTTCCCGGGGCTGGACTGACAGACTGCAAACGGATTTCCCGAGAAATGAAGAGATAATGCAGTGGCATTCGCGCATCTGAGGCATTTATCACAGCCATGTGAGCGGTCTGCAATTTGAGACACAGGCTCAACGAATTTGCTCCGGTCTTTGCAGAAGTGTCCTCGAGAAGACGCCGTGGAAGACATCACAAACGTCAGCGGGTGATCTGCACATGCTTCGACTTCTCCAATGACTTCACTGCCTCATGTGAAAGTGGTCCTTGACAAGGGCTAACCCCGCAGGTTGCCGCTCGACCGGACATCATTTGAAGGTAGGGCTGCCAGGCAGACAGATCTCCGAGTGTCTCGTCGCATTTCCGCGTTCCACGATTTTGACGCGTGTCTTTTGTCCTGACAAAAACGGCCGATCCTGCATACATAATTACCTGCTTGCATGGACATAAAACAACGATGTCTATACTATAAATCGACAACCTACGATGAGACATCTAGACTCCGGTCCGCCCTCTGGCGGTGCATGATACGAGCCAGCACCAGTTATAGGCCCCCTTGGCACTGGCCATTCTCGACCATGTGCAGCAGTACCTTGGTGAGTAGTGAGGTATGCTCATGTTGCTGTACATCAGCGAATCCTCTTTCGAAGCCGCAACGCCATGCCGAGAAGCGACGTTTCTCTCAAAATTCCCAACCGCACAGACGCGAAAAGTCGGCGTTATATGTCGCCAGATCTGACCTGTTCCAAAAAAAAAAAGGATCATATGATCATCGATGTATAGAGACTAGAAACCGGGCGCCCAGGTCTCAGTTTGGCTTCCCTCGCATTTCCAGAGCCCCCGTCATGTTGGAGGTTACCCAAGCCTTCACAACAAGACACACATTTGTTGCTACTCTATCTGCAGCCCACGTGTGTCTGTGTCTGCAGTGATTATATGAGGCCCTCGTGTGCACTCGGACATATTTAATGGGCTTGAGACCACTGAAATCCACTTGAAGCCCTCCTCCATAGCCAATCGTGGCCCCTTCACAGATTTTTCATTTCTAATATATTTTAATTCGCTTAGTTCTCTTCTCTCTTGTCATCCAAGTTCGGATCTGTGGAGAATTCAGGCAAGTCTTGCGATACAAATAGTCTCGGTGGTCGTGCATCGTCGGTACGTATTGGTTACTTTGTTGGCTGCATCAGTACTCCCGAGGAGCAGTACGGGTGCAATTGCTCCAAAGCGACAATTGCGCATCAGTACCTTGTGTAAGATGGCAGATGAAAATCCATTCAGGAAAGGGCTAGTGATTTTGATTAGACTATCAGTCGTGGCTCTGATCTCTGCCAGCTATCTAGGCAGCTTGATGAGCCATTTCGGCTTTCAAGAGTTTTATGTTCCTTTGTTCTGGACAACTACGAAACGCAATTGCACCAGCCCATTTGGAACTCAGTGTTTATATTGTCCATTGCACTCATGAATGTCTTGATATCGGACGATCATTGTAGTCTCTGAACTTGTTCGGGTCGACAGCGGAATGAGTACCAGTCTGTTTGGAGGCGAAAGGTTGGATCGACCCGGTTCCAAGCGATTTCTTTAATGGATCCTGACGAGAGTTGTAGAGTTAGCCAAATCCCACAGAAGAGCTGCGAAAAGGACTCTAGGCACGGAGATCTCACCCAGAAAGAGACCGAAGTGGCGGCGTCTTGAGTAACAGTTGCTGAGGCTGTCAAGGTGTAGATGGAAGAGCCACTCGAGACGACACATCCAGCGTCAAGAAAGAACTCAGTCATACTCTTGTTCTCAGTTTTTGTGGTGGTGATAGTTTCTAAAGGCACGGTGATTGTAGAGGTAGCGTAGGGCGGATTCGTGTCAGAAGTTACGACTGCTTCATACTTGACAAAGCGATCCTTGATCTCGAATGGCTCGATGTTCACGCGGGCATTAGGATGATCGCAGTTCTTCCCAGAACTGACTGTCTGGGGGAGAAAAAGGCTCAACAGCAAGCCAGAGACTAGTCTTCGAAGCGTCATGACGGACGACTTAACAAGGGAGGCGCTGGTTCGAGCTAGATTTATGGGACCGTGTTTTCTGTCACGGGCATTCGATATAGCTCCAGCAGAGCAAATCCCCGGTGTGTCGGACCGATAGAGATTGAGGCAAATTTCAAGCAATGTGGAAGGCAACCTCTGTGTAGAGTGAGGAGTCTTCCGTCAAGATCTTCTTTGAATGATTTTGGATGTCCATACTCTGAGGAACAACCATGGCCGGTGCGAAACGGCATCATGTTGGATGATTTCACAAACAAAGGACGACGACATCACTCTGCTGGCAGCGGCACGCCTGTAGCCAACAAGCATTTTCCAATCAATTTCGGTGTGTGCTGGTAAGAACCTTTGTTCCTTGATATTTGGTTTCATCACAGTTTCTTTCTCTGAAGTTTCCTTCTTGGAAGAGACGAGGGCTGGTGCAAAGATTCAAAAACTAAGACGGGAAGCAGAAAGTCCCGCAGCTTCCAACTTTCCCGCCTTCTCCCGCGTGCTTGGCGTTCCGTGTCGGAGTGCCGGGTTCCAGGATTGGAGTCGAGGCACAGTCACTATTCAAGCCTGGTGCCACCTCTTGTGACACAAGAAAAAGTCATCAAAAATGACGACATCCTGGATCTCAACGTGCGCTCTTTTGCAGAGACTTCATGAATCTCTATCACAGGTAGAGACGGAATTAATTTCTCCTTGGACCAAGTCAGCCGTCGAGCAGGATGAGCCTGGAAGCTACGCTTTTTGGCCAACTGGGAATGTCTTGCCGGCCAGATCTGCAATGCGACAGCCCAGTGAGGTGGGTCAGTTCTGAAGTTCGCCTCAAAGCTAGCCCGACACATGGGTGACATCCAAACCCCACGGGGAAGCGTGGGGAAGATCGGACAATTGCCGAGGACGGGCAATCGAGGCTATATCATCACTCGTCATTTTCACCTGCTCCCTCTCTTTGCCTCGACCGAAGAGTCTCGACCGGATCACCTGCTCGTGTTTGTCTGCCAGGTCGTCACGATGGGTTTCTCAGATGCCATGAAAAGTCGGAGCGACAGCTCTGCCCAACAACAAACCCCACAAACCCCTCCGGACTCCTCGCCCGCACCTGACCCCGACATCAAAGACGGAGGCATAGATGCGATACATCACGAGGATGCCGTCGTCGCCCCCGCGGCATCGAAGAAATGGAAGTGGCTCAGCTCGTCCGCCGCCGCGGACACGGCCGCGACGCTGTTTGACGACGGGTCTGCCGAGCCCTACGGCAAGAGCGACGAGAAGCGCCTCGTCCGCAAGATTGATTTCATGATCATCCCGTACCTCGCCGTGTGCTACGCCTTCTTCTACATCGACAAGACGACCCTCTCGTACGCGGCCATCTTCGGCATTCGCGAGGACCTGAACCTCAAGGGCACCGACTACAACTGGCTGTCGTCCGTCTTTTATTTCGGCTTCCTGGCGTGGGCCCTCCCGACAAACTTCCTCATGCAGCGGCTCCCACTGGCCAAGTACCTGGGAGCCAACATCTTCCTGTGGGGTGTTTTGCTTATGGCACAGGCTGGCGCGCATAACTTTGCCACACTGGCCGTTCTCCGCGCTCTGTCTGGGGCAGCGGAGGCCTGCGCAGATCCCAGCTTTATGCTTATCACTGCAATGTGGTATACCCGACGGCAGCAACCGGTACGCATCGGACTCTGGTACACGGCAAATGGCCTAGGCATAGCCCTGGGCGGCCTTCTTGGCTATGCGATAGGGCACATCCGCGGCGCCCTTCCGAGCTGGAAGTACGAGTTCATCATCATCGGCGCCCTGTGCAGCGGATGGGGCATCGTGCTGATGATCTTCCTCCCGGACTCGCCCGTCACGGCTCACATGCTGTCCAAGAGGGAGCGGCGGATCGCCATCGAGCGCCTCAGCGAGAACCAGACAGGCGTTGAAAACAAGACCTTCAAGATGGACCAGGTCGTCGAGACCCTGAAGGACCCGAAGACATACTTCTTCTTCCTGCTCGCCACGGTTCAAAACCTGCCCAACGGCGGCATCTCAAACTTCGGCACGCTCATCATCAAGGGGTTCGGATTCAGCACCCTGGGCACCACCCTGCTGCAGATGCCGTACGGGGCGCTGATCGGCCTTTCTATCCTGAGCTGCGTCTACCTCAACGACTACTTCTGCACAAGGCTCCAAAAGAACACGAGGTGCTGGTTTATCATACTCTACACGCTGCCCAATATTGCTGGCGCTTTTGGGCTGCGGTTCGTGCCCACGGATCAGCACATTGCCAGGCTCTGGTGCTACTACCTGACGGGACCGTACAACGCTTCCTTCGTGTTGATTCTCAGTCTCGTCACCGCCAACACAGGCGGGCACACGAAAAAGGTGCTGACGAACGCCATCATGTTCCTTGGCTACTGCGTTGGCAAGTGAACTCCCTCAACCAGGAACAAGATCAAGATCAGACCACCCCTCTGACACAATCAACTCGCAGGTAACATCGCGGGACCATTCTTCTTCAAGACTGAACAGCAACCAACCTACCCACTTGGAATGGCCAGCATGATCTTCTGCCATCTCGCATCGGTAGTCCTGATCTTTTGCTTCAGGACCATGCTCAGCATGGAGAACAGGAGGCGGGACAGGATCTCGGGCAGCCAGGAGCAGCCGGACCTGGACGAGACTGCGTTCAGCGACATGACGGACAAGCAGAACCCGAACTTCCGATACGTGTACTGATCGCCTGCAGCCTCTTATAGACCAAGCATCCGTCAGATAACACGGTCGCTACTAGGCAGCTTTTATACTAAATTACTGAACACGTACGAAGCAAGTTCATCTCATGTCCCACCGTACCATGTGGCTCTTCCCCGTGAAAATTGGCTCGTGTCGGTGATGTTGTGGCAAGGAAATGTAGGCACGTTTTGAACGGCTGACCGGTTGGAAAACTTTACACCCACTCCACCCTTGAAACTCCTGCCTGTAGAACGGGATCCCCAGCCGCACTGCAGTCCCAACTACAAGGTCGCGGACAGCAGCAGGTTGGTGATTACGTGGTTGTAATTACAACTTCGATCAGGAAAAGGGCATCGAGACGCAGCCACAAGTATCACCTCCGGAATCGCGATAATCACAAGCACAATGAGGCAAATCACGAACGCATAAACCAAAAGTTGGTCGGTAGTGTATGTCATTCTCATTCGCATTCTCCTCATCCGAAGATCTTCCGCCCCATGCCATCGTCTATCACTTTGCAGACCATCCGTCTTAACCATCCTCTAAATGACCTCGAGTGATGTGTGTGTGTATGTGTGTGTATGGGGGAGAGGGTAAACCAGACTCGTGACAATGCAGTCCCATCCTCTAGTGCCGCTATTGACCCAGACTTGGATGCAAATCCAAGGATTACATATAAAGAAATAAGAAAGGTGGGGGGGGGGGTTGTGGGTATGTAAATAATGAAAAAATTCCCAAAAATCTCCCCGGCCATCGTCACCGGCCACAACAGTAATCCAGGTTGCGGTATTCCCGGCTGTGGCACATATGCCCAAATGTGATATCATATCCCCATGACAAGTATTCCCCTGAATATCCATCTCACAGAAATGGATCATCTCCACGTGCTTTTATACAAAATTAAAACATCAAGAACATTACGTTCGCTTATTCTTTTCCTTCCTCATATCACTTTTCTCTTACTCCTTCTTAGCCTTCTCCACCTTCTTTCCCTTGGGCACACGAGCGAGGTAGTAAACGCCGAGGGCGGCGAAGATATTGAAGATGATGTACGCCCAGAGGATGCCAAAGTTCCTCCAGCGCTCTGAGTAGTATGTACCCACGTTGGCGAGGAAGGTGTTGGTGTCGGAGGTGGGGCAGAAGCTGCAGTCGGCGGTGGCGTTGGGCTGAACGAGATAGCCGCCGGCGACGCTCATGTAAGGCTCGAGGTATTGGTAGCAGGTCTGGCCGTCGATGGGCTGCAGAGAGAGAAGCTCGTTGGACGCACACTCGACGAACGTGTTGGCCACCGACGCCGACAACATCCCGCCTACTAAATACGAGAAAGGCGACACGCGGTACATGAAGATCCAGAAGCGGGGGAACGATTTCGGGTTGGCGAGGACACCGCAGAAGATCAGGCACAGCATGAACAGCAAGTTGGCGATGTTGCCGCCTGCCTCGGCAGTCTCAAAGCCTGCGATCACCAGGTCCGTGAAGGTCGAAGTGAACAACATAAAGGCCAGAAGGAACAGGAAAACGAGGGCGCCGCGCTCGTGAACCTGGTCTGCGGCCTCGGCGTTGCGGTAGAGACCGACGGGATAGTACCAGCAGACGAACATGATAACAGCCATCAAAGAGTTCCACGGCAGCTCCACTATAATCTGTGAGAGCATGAAAACCTTCCAACTGTAGACCTTGGAGGGCCGCTCGCGAACTTCGTAGAGGGAACGTTGGACAACGAAGTGAGGCATTTGCTGTTGGGTGAGCTGGCCGAAAATGGTAAGGATGTTGAAGATGGCGAACATCTGGTTCTGCAGACCCTGAACAGTGTTCGGGGCGTTGAGGAAGACAAGACCGATGAAGAGAGAGATACCAGTACACAGCGCCGCCTTGGAGTAGATATAGGACGGAGTGCGCCAGTACTGCTGGAAGACACGAAGGACGACCTCTTGAAGCTGCTTGCCGAAGGGCGCCGCGAACTCGCGGTAGCTGGTTTTGTCGTGAACCGGGCTGGATGCTGCGTCGGTTTTGTCACCCTCAACCACAAGTCGCTGCAACTCCTTGTGCACGTCGGCACATTCGGGGCTTTCCTTCCAGGTCTTGAACCAGTCAACATCAGTGTGCGAGCCCGGAGCAGCACCAATAGCCTCCAGCATCCATTCAGCCGGGTTAGCTTCGGGTGGACAAGCATGTGCGCCGTTGCGCTCAAAGTACGAAGTCATGGTCTTGGAGTTCTCGCCGATCTCGCCGAAATAGACGGTCTTGCCACCCCTCTGAAGGAATAGGAGCCGATCAAAGCGCTGGAAGAGCATAGCAGAAGGCTGGTGGATTGTGCAGAGAATAGCTTGACCGCTCTTGGTAAGCTTCTCCAGCAGATCCAAGATGGCCCAGGAGGTTTGAGAGTCAAGACCAGAGGTAGGTTCGTCAACAAACAGCAGCAGTGGGGGCTTTGCCGCAAGCTCCACGCCGATGGTCAACCGCTTTCGCTGTTCGACGTTGAGACCTTCGCCAGGGACACCGACAACAGCATCTGCGTACTCGTGCATGTCCAGGAGCTTAATGACCTCATCAACATAGGCGAGTTTCTCTTCACGAGGTACATGAGCAGGTTGGCGAAGCAGAGCGCTGAAGTTGAGGGCTTCGCGAACGGTGGTTGTCTGGAGATGGAGATCCTGTTGCTGGACATAGCCAGTCTTGCGCTGGAAGGAATTGTCGCGAGGGTGCCCATCGACAAGCATCTCGCCGGTAATGACACCCATCGAGGTTCGATCGGCCAAGCAGTCGAGAAGTGTTGTCTTACCGGCACCCGAAACTCCCATCAGAGCCGTCAGTGTGCCAGGCTTGACCCAACCGTCCACATGGTCCAGAATCTGCCTGGTTTCGCTCTTGATCTTGACCTCGTAGCACACATCCTTCCAGTGAAACACGCTGGTTTGTCGTTCGATGAAACCGGCCTCCTTATCTGAGTCGCTCGGGTCGTGGCGGGCGACGATGGGAGCTGACCCGATAGTCTTGCCTCCTTCGGGATCGTCCTTCTGCTCCTTGAAGGCCGCAGGCTTGTGGCCGCGGCGGAAGACAAGCACTTCGCCCTTGGACTTCTTCTCGGAGACAAGCTCGGCAGCGATCATATAGGTGAGGAGGAAGAAGGCCGTGAAAGCAATCACGATCCCGAAGTTGCGCCACTTATTAGATGCGTAGTACCTGAATCCAGTGTTGATGTAATCGTCACCGTTCACAAAAGTCTGATTCAGCTTGGAACCAATGGCGGAGCAGACACGATTCGATTCTCCCACGTTCGCGTATATGGGAATCTCGGGGGTCGGTACGTATTGCGTGCAAGTGTAGTCGCGGTTGTGGAACTCGTTCACCATCAAAGCTTCGAAAGCATAAGCCAGTGGGTCGAGGTAGTTCAACCAACGACACCAATCCAGCATATAATCGATTGGAATGACGAAACCGCTGAAGATGACCAAGTCCAGGATAATGAGGGCGGCTGGCACCATGGCTTGTGAGAGGGTTCGTGACGAGGACGCAATGGTTCGGAAGATCATAGACATGGCCAGCGTTGTGACGAAACAGATCAGCAGGAAGAAGAAGAATGGTCCTGGCTCGCGTCGTAGGTTTGTCATGAAATACAACGCGAGGTTGAATATGATGGAGTTCAAAACCTTGTAAGGTAGATCGCACATCATCGACGAGATGGCTTCGGCCGATGGGTGGTACATGGCATACCGGGCGTGTTTCTCGACAATTGGTCGCTGTGCGTACAATGTCAAGATCTGGCAATGCCTCGTTAGTATCCCTGTTCTGAATCAAGTAGAGATGTCGCCGAAAGACAGGCGTGAGTAATTTCTTACCTCGAGAGCGGAAGCGAAAGCGTTCATGAGACATGCGAAGAATAAGAGAGCACCACGTTGGAAGAAGCTGGAAGTCGTCATCTGGAGGTTGTAGAAGACGCTGGCAATGATCAAAGCCATGATGAAGTTGCCGATCAACATGCCAATGGTCAGACCGGGGTCACCACTCAGTCGTTTCCAACCACGCCACAGACACAGCTCCACCTGCTGCCAGTAGTCTAGGGTGTATGGTGACTTGGGGCGTTGTCTCTTTGACTGCTGCGCACGCTTATGGGCGCGGAAATGTTGAGCATCGGGGCCGTCAAGTGGGTGAGAAACCTTGTACTCCTCGATCTCGTCCTGCAGCCTCTTGTACTCGACGCTCTCCCTCCAGCGGGCGGCGAACTCGTCAGGCGTCCTGGGCGCCTTGTCCTCGAATCCAGGGCGCACAATACGTTCCAGAGGGCTCGTCATGGAAGTCAAGAAGTCAGGAGTTGTCTGCCGTGGGGGACAGTCGAAGCCCAAGTTAATGAAGTACTGTCGTGCTTCGCCGGCGGGACCAAAGAAGATTTGACGGCCCTCGTAAAGGACGACTGCCTTGTCAAACAGATCGTAGGCAGTCTGTGGGGCCTGGTAGATGGAGACGCACGCAGTGCTGCCGAAGAGCTCGGACTGGAGCCTCAGAGTCTTGCAGAACTCGATAGCGTTTGCGGAGTCAAGGCCTCGAGTCGAGTTATCCCAGCATTGCAAAGGCGCTCCTGAAAGCGCTGCTTCAGAGATGGTCACACGCTTCCTCTCTCCACCAGACACACCGCGGACGTACTCGTTTCCGACACGAGTGTTGATGGTATGAGAAATACCAAACATGGCCATGACGACATCCCGGACGTGGTTGGTGAAGAGATGCTTCGGTATGCCGCCTGGCAGCTCGCGGGGCGCACGTGCTCTTGATGCGAAAGTTAGGGTGTCGCCGACGGTCAACATGGGGAAATGAACGTCGACTTCAGCAGTGTAAATCGCCTCGCCACGGTGATGCTTGTGCATTTCCTTTGCGGAGACACCTATTGGACATTGTTAGTTTTATGATTCTGCCACAGTGCATGACTGCGGCTCGCCGAATGATTGGCGGGTAGCCGGGGTTCTCACTTACCCTGGTAGTTGAAGTAGGAAGAGTCCTCAACGTATATGCCGTTCATCTCGCCCGAGATAGTCTTCAGGAAGGTACTGCATCCAGATCCAGGGGGGCCCAGCACCACGAGCATCTCTCCCTTGTGCACAACACCGTCGAATTTCTGCAGGATGTCGATCCTATTCTTCCTGGCACCACCCAATACACCACGCACCATACCGGCGACGTCCAGCAAGATGTTAGCAACGTCCTTTTGGTAGTCGGTACCAGCGCCGTAACCGAAGACATTGAGGTTCTGGAAAGCAATGCCGCTGGTGCGGAAGCCGTGCCCCTCGCTAGAGACTAGCTCCACGACGTTCCTGGCCCAGGCTCGGGCGTTAAACTTGTCGCCATTGGGGTTAAGAGGACTCTCCGGGTCGTTTGCGTGCTCAGCGAAGGGGTTTGCGCCGGTGATGCCCGAGGCATGGGACTTGTTGGTGTACTGCCTCGCCAGGTTTTGGACCATGCTGGACCGGCGAGCCTCAGCTACCTCGTCATCGTCGGTCTCGCTTGATGAGCTGGCGGTCTTCTCGTTGCCGGCGTCGGCCTTGGCGGCTGTTGTTTCCATGTCGTTGGTGGAGGTGGTCTTTTCGTTCTCGTTCAGGGTGGTGGTGGTGTCATTGTTTGGGGTGGTCTTGGTTGACGGGCGGCGCGAGCGAGGTGCAGGGGCCGCCGAGGTATCGTCGCCGCTCTGTTCGTGAGACGTTGTCCTGTTGATGGGCATGCCGCCTGTCTGCGCGGAGAGGTCGTAGTTGCCAAAGGCACCACTGCCCGCTGTGAAGGACATGGTGTTGGCGATACTTCGCCTCTAAGTCGCAACCGAGCGCGCCACACGTGCAGTCTTATGATCTGATCCAGAGGCAGCCGACTACAAAGTTCTGCTGGCGCCTATCAGCGGAGAACTGGATCGTACGGTGAGATGAAAGATGTTGTACTGACGAAAGCCAGGCAACAACTTACTGAGCAATTGTGTGTTGTCGGGTGGGACGAAAATAATGTCAGCCAGTCCAGTCCCAATGCGAGCCTGTCTTCGCCTCCCGTCGATATACAGTCAGTCGACGTATGGAGAGAAGGACAGAAGAAGACCCAGGGTCCAGACGTCTAGAGGTTCAGGAGGGGCAGCGGAGAGAGAGCCGCACCAGGGGACCTATCTATTAATGAAGACCAAAGACCATTGTTTGGACGAGACGGGGCGGGCACTGGGGAGGTTGTGACGGCCCCAGCACGAGCTTTGCACGCGCTCGGCGAATTCGTTTGAGCAGCCCTGGAAGTGTGAGGGTGAGCAGCACCAGGTGCGTGGGACCGGGGCCAGGGGCAGGGGTGCAGGGGCGAAAAGGGCGATGGGGGCGGACAGGGGTCAGGCACATCATTGATTTCCGCACACAAAGCAGGGCCTAGGCCTACCGAGCTGTGGGGACCTACCGTACTCCGTATAGGCTTATCTGCGCATGTATCTGGGTGCTGTACGAGGCGGCAGGAGGTTCAACGCCCCAGGGCCGTCTTACCACCTGGGCAAAGGTGGTGCGGTGGTACCATGTTGCGAGTTCCGGGCGACGGTCCAGATCAAGACCCCGAGGCTAGCCAAGTGCGTCTAAGGGTACCCGAGTACCTGGGTACGTACCTGCAAGTCTTGGCATCTAGGTACATCTGTTCCCGAGTTTTCACTGCAGGCTCGCAGCTGCGACTCCCATCATCGATTGTCACCAGTGATCTGTTCGGCAGGTCTTGATCAGGCAGCCCCGATCTGCAGTCCCTTTTTGATGTTGCAGCCGCTTCTTTTGAGGCCCCCTGGCCTGCCCCATTTGATGACAACTTCAGCCCTTGACATGCTATGCTGGTCGCCGTCAACAGCGCTACCGGCGGACCAAGTTGCTAACATGCGGTCGCTTGTGCCTGTTGGCCTCGCATTCGGCCCATTCCGGAACCCTCGTTAATCTGAATCGATCTGCTGCAACTGTCTCGCTTGCTGGACGATCACAAGCTCTGACGCGCAGCAGGCAAAAAAGCATGCGCCAAAGTCTAATAGTCGGTTATCCACCACGTGTGGCCCAGACCGCACGACATGTCCTATCCGCCATCATTCTCATCATCCATCCGTCTGCCTGCCTGCATGTGTGTTCAGAAACAGCGCGCATTGGCGTGTGAGCAACCAGCGACGAAACACCAAGTGCCGACATGGCGGATAAAGCTGAAGCTGAAGCTGACGCCGAGCACCCCACGCACGTACCAATGCACGATGCAATGGCCAGAGTGATCTGCGTGATACACATTGATTAACAGAGCAATACCGTACGTCTCCTGCCGCACAGACTCGGCTGCCCGTCCAGAGTCCACATTGGTACAGTGCACACAACAAACTGTCAATGGGACATGCTTGTTGCATCCACGCGGGCCGCGCCCCGGAGTCATCGCCGTCAGCAACAGAGTAACATACTCAGGTCGTTCGGTCTGTGGTGTTGTCATTGGCGTCGTTGGCGTCGTTGGCGTTGCTGTGGCTGAGCCGTTCAACGGGCGGACGCTATCCGGATTGGTGAAGGAGAGACATCGGTAAGTTCGGTCCATCCGATCAGGGATTCCACAAATCACTGATAAACAACAGATACCTAGCCTGGCGAGCCTGGGTAGCGTGGTGTGCGCCCGTAAAACGGGGCGACACAAGACACAGATCGCACCCGGGTGGGGATCTGCAGCGGATTGATCCAATCGTCCAGTGGGGCGGTCCCAAGGGTCCATCTCCTGTGTGGCCAGGCTGGCCAGGATGGCTTTCTCTTTCTTTTTCGAATTCGAACTCGGACTTGATGGGCCTAGCGTCTTCCCGAATGACTCTTTTCGCCCCGAGGTCCCACATGCACTCTCAATTCCATGTGCCTTGTTTCTAGCGCTCCGCAATCCGCCGGTCATCACTGACTGTTGTCAGTCTCACAGGAGGATGAGGACCGGGGCCACTTATGGCAACTCGTTGTTGATGCCTCGCAATCGAATCCATCGTTGCTGGGCTTGGCGCATATAGGACATCCACACGGGGGTCCGTATCAAGGGAAGCCAGTACGGCGGCGGCGGGCTGATCTGAGGACGAAGCATGTCTCCTGTCAGCAAGGCCCGCGGGCTAGCAGCACTCGGGCCGGAGCACGTAGTACCTAATGTAAGATTGGCCGCCTTCTCTACCCGCAACCCTCCACCCCGTTGTCTGTCGGGGTCCTCGATTAACCCGACAGCCCGCCCGCCCGCGGTGCCACAGAATTCATCCGTTGCCAACCCAATTCGTCCCGCAGCCAGTTCTTCAGTACAGCATGCCCAGAAGTCCGTCTGACATGTGCGATGGACGACGTATCATTGCTCTTGATTCAGCCGGCCAGAGCACCAGAGTCTATCTTGAGGCCCCCGCGTTTCGCAACTCAAATGGTATTCGGCAGACCAGCACCCTGGATTGAGTTAAACAAAAAAAAAAAAAAAATTGCCTTGCGTCAAACCTTCCACGTACCTTCCAGGTACAACGTCGCTGTTCAGCGTTTAGACTACACAGCATTCACCTGTACTGTACCTCTGCAGAATGTAGCGAAAGCACATGGGCCGCTCACCTGGCTTGCCCTAGCCTGGCACCCCGGCACCCTGCATGCTTCTAGAAAAAAGGCCGCGCCTTCGACGGGCCCACGGCAAGTGGCCACTATCCGCCAACGACCGGGAGCGTATCAGGATTATCACAGCGTACAACTTCAGCGACGTGCTACCGTCCCGCTGAAGCTGCCTCAACGTCCCTGAAACGCAAATCGGCGACCCAAACCGTCCTGCACGGTTGGGTAGCCTTGGAGCCTTGCAGCCCCTACCTATCACCAAGTCTCCACACCGACCGCCTACTAAGCAGACTTTTTTGCATGCACAGGCCTAGTATCCACCACGGTAGCCTGCGACGTACCTTGTAGTCTAGTCTCTCAAGTACGGTATTGGCAGCCAAGTGTCCGCTTCAATTTTGAAATCCACTCACCTAATCTCGGCCACTTCTCTCACACAAAAATCCTGCCGGCTCATCATCCTTGCGAGCAATGTTGTTGTAAAAGATTGGCAAAACAACCTTGCCCACGTGGCATTCACAACATCAGGATCTCCCTGCGCCGCAGCCGCACCACAATCTATGCGATCGCGCTCTAGATCCGGACGCCTGGACCCGCCTGGCCAACCGGAGCGCCCGTATTGACCGTGTTGCTCTTTCAAAACAACAACCCGGGCCCGACAACACCCCGAGAGCCCCAGGTGTGTTCTTGTCCGCGCAACAGCTCCTGGTCATTCTATGCTTGTGATCTCTTCGTGGGCACTGAAAGAGTGACATCACTATCCCCCACAATCGCAGTCCAAACATCTGACTGACAGGCCAAACGGCTCGGGAGTTTGTCGAGAAATCCGGGGCAAGAGGGGATCAAGGCCCGTTCCCCGAGGCCCACCCTCGACCGGCCAGCTCGTGGCCGCAGGGATATCGGATGACATGATGCATGAACGAACGACGGCAAAGCGGGCGCATATGGTGTGGTCGTGATATGAGCCTCACCAACACCCACTCGTCATCGCCTCTTGTCATTCTCACCAAATTCATCCGCCCAGGCTGGGATCCCTAACGTGGCGTAGGGCCAACGGGCAGGGACGACCCAACAAGCTGGGTACTGCGACTCCTTGCATGGCCGGCGGGCCAATTAGCACACGACAACCTTGCAGGAACCGACAAAATTGGCCGTCATATAGCCCGCTGGGTCATATTGGTGTGCAGGTGGACGAACGTCAGCTAGGCACAGTAAGAGCCGTCTCGACTTGGGGTCGTCTTCGCTGCAGCCTTGGGCCGCGCCAGGCGTCCTGGGCTCGATCGCAAACAAGGTCACCACCATCTCAGCTCCTCCCACGCGCCTTTCAGCTACAGGCAAGACTGACGGTGCACAAGTCCTTCGATCCGCCAAGCCTGTCGTCGCGGTACTGCCCACGGGGTCTACGTACGCCCCGAGCGATGTGGCTTTCGGGGTGAGACTCAAGCCCGGTCAGACTCGTCTGCCAGCGCCCGCGCAAGGGTGGGTTCCCGGACCCAGCCCAGGCACACACGTAGGCGGGCGATCAGCGGCCGGAGCACAAAAGCCTCTTCATTTTCACATGCGTCTGGACCAGTCGGGATTCTTACTTTTCCTCTGAAGCAGATGCCTTGACGGTGGGAAGATCCGGCTGGGAACACTGCCCAGTGCAACACGCTACCTCGTCCGCCAGCGAACGGCTGGGCACACCAGAAACAGAAAAGCAGCCGCGTGTCTGACGGAGGCGTTGCGGGGAGCGTAATCGTCATCACTACCTAAACTCGCCCGTTAGTGTTTCTGTACCCCATGATCCAGCTCCCGGTAGCAATACCTCTAGTCACATCGTCACGAAGCTCTACCCGACGATCGATGTGACTGTCGCCGTCCCGACCGAACGGCCCAAGAGCCCAAACGGGAGAGCCGCGTCAGGCAACGGCATGTGGACGAGGTGACATTCCCTCGTGGAGCGGTCCGATCGTCGAAGCCTGTGTCTCCCGCAGCCGCCGGCCCCGACTGCCCGTCGTCCGGAGCTCGGTGAATGCAGGCTGCGAAGAAGGACTCACGTTCGTGCAGTCGGGCCGCCGGGACAAGACATGTCTCCGTCGCACCCACCCATCACTCTTATCAGCGTGCGGCCGGGTCTTTGTTGCTTCGCCAACGGCGCGGACTAGAACGTTCGGTGATTTGCGGAATTAAGACGGGGCCCCACTGGCTTGTCGAAGTATCTAGTTTAGGTAAACTATCTCGCAACTAATTGGGTTTGTTTCATGGGGGTTACCTTGGTAAGAACAGACCCAGACCGAGACCCAGACTGTCAGTCAAGAAAGTGAGTCAATATAGGCTTCGTAGGATCGCCGAAGAAACTTTCCTTCAGACACCGAGATAAGAATTTCATCATCCGCCAACGTGGAGCCGACGGACTGTACACCAACGCTGCTGGGCTGCCCCCACAACCCTTTAGCATCAGGGCCGGCGGATTGTCAAGATCGATACGTCAGCCTGACTGACTGGCTGACTGGTTGGCTGTCGGGAAACAACAACATCCGTGATTACGATCTATCGGGCGGTCTTTGACGCCGTAGTATCCGAGAGATTTGAATTCCTGCTTCTTGGCTTTGGCCGCGGCTTGTGAAGATGACCAGGGACCGTCCACAGCATGTCTCGTTGCTTGGTAGATATGCCGGAGCGGGCTGGAGCAGTTGGACGACGCGGGATACTGCTTTGGCGAAAATTCAACGCGGTGACCTACCAGCTCGGAGCTGACAGCTTGTACCGTAGGAGATGCTATGGGCAGGATGCTCAACCGGCTCGACGGGGTAATACACTCTACGTAGCACGATATGAGAAAGAAATGAGATTGTTTTCTGTAGATCATTGTTCAAAGAGCAAAGACGACGAGTCGAGTGTTAAGAATTTGAACCGACATGCGAGCCGAGGAGGCTTGTGTCACTGGGCAGACTTAGCATCAGATTCTGCTCGCGCCTGTCAATCGCAGCGCAGCTCGCCATAACGTCGCGCCCCCGATGGTGTCGTGATTCTAGTGAAGTCCAAAATAGCTCGCTTCTGCTCTGATCGGACCATATTCGCCATGTCGAAGCTGACAGGGGCTAAATGTGAGACTGAATCGTTATGCGAGCAGACCTCTTCGTTACAGGACATCCGAAGAGAAGAAGGAATGACATCGGGGCAGCCGTCTCACCCTCCACAGTAAGCCAGGATTTTGTGCTCTCTGCGACTCCAGATACAGGCTGGCTTTTGAGCCGGTGGCGCTGGAACAAACAAAATGAAGCAGGGCATTCCAGGTACCACGAATACAGATGGTTGGCTCACTCGCTTGCGTTCCACCATTTCTCGGTTACCGCAATCCAACCTGTGTGGCCAAGAGGCAGAGCTGAACCTTCGTTGCAGTTTCGAGTAGGGTGGTGTCTGTGGACTGTTCAAATTCCACTAGCAAAGGAGTGGGAGTCTGAACAACACCGTCGCTTCTTCGACTTATTCAAATGTCATATGAGTCTCATACCAACGTGAACCTTTGATGCCAGTATGTCTATTCAGTAGCCAAACCATGGGTTAGTTCCAAACCGGTTGACGAAGCTACGACAATTCCTTGCTGGCAGATGCTGCAAATCCAAGCGTCTCACCCGGGCAGACGCTAACCTTGCAACGAGGCTGAGCCCCCCCCCTGTCAGAACAAGGCTTCTGGCTCAGCATGGCTTGCAACCACAATGTTCAGTATGAAAATTTCGTGATAAAAATCAAATTCCATCTAACCAGGTCATCAAGAGACCATGCCTGCTTTTAATGAGGCCCATATCAAGCACAATCGCCACCTAGATGGCAGACGTGAAGGACTCCAGAGTCTACCTACACTCAACCGCAGGGTGATGTATACGAGATCAAGTGGCCCTCGTCTGCAAGTTAGAACGAATGCCAAGATTTTTATGGATCTGGGTCTGTCCGCATCCTCATCACCCAAAGCCGCAACAATTCGATAGCCAGAGGCTACTAAAAACACTTTTGAAAACCACACTCTTCCCACTCAGGCCGAAACCTTGCGTTCGATTCAAACGCGGCCGTCCACGACATCGAAAATGCTCGAATCATCGGAGCCATCGCATGCAGGATCGCCCTCAGAGGCCTCATGGTCGTGCCATCCCCAGATGTCTTTCTTAAACTCGTCCCGATAGAGGAGTTCGAAATCGTGAACGCGATCCTTGTAGGGCTCGAATTCCTTCAGTTCCTTCCGCAGTAGACCATTGCGCTTGCAGGCAAAGTACATGTACTCCAACAGATGATCCGAAAGCGGGAGTGTTGCCTTTTCATCCTTGCCTTTGGCTTCTTCGACGGCGGCGGCCTGTCCCAGCTTGCACAGAGTATGCTTTTGTTCTGTCATCACGACACCGGGATAAAACAAGCCTCTGATCTCCATCTTCTCGATCTTGTCAATCATTGCGGCCACGCTTCCCTTGTAGTTGGCAGTCTCCGGGATGGGGAACAGAGACTGCTGTACCAAATTGGCCATCAAAGACCCCAATAGCTTTTGGTTGCACTCAAAGTGACCTTCGCTGGATTTGCAGTACTGATTTCCATGCAGATTCGATGCATCCATGAAGTATTCAAGAGGAGACCTCAGTGCATCTAGCAAGTTCTTCAGGCTTTCGTTTCGGATATTTTCGATGCTGTCCAGGATTTCTCGCTGCTGTATGGGAAAATCCTGCAGGCGCTTCCCGTCCTCGTCACTGATCTCATGGGCGGCTTCTCGAATCAGGATCTTCGTAGTCTTGAAATCGCCAAGCTTATAAGCCACCTGGAGAGCCTCGACAGTGCTCAGTTTGGAAGCAACCAGTCCGTTCTTGAATCCGTCAATCCAGGAAGGAGCGAAGAGATGGTAGTTTGTGTCCTCCAGGTTGACCTCGTACTTCTCGAGCACCTGCAACACCTTGTACAGCTGGTTGGGATTGGGCTTGGAAGCCACTAGTGCTCTGGGAAATTTGTTGTGGAGCAGACAGAACATAATCTTGAGACCGAGACTGGAATATAACGATTAGCAGTGACCACGGAAGCGTGTTTCGTACTGTATGCAAGACAAGGAAATAAGACATGGCAGCTAGATACGATATAAAGGGCAATGTGCTAGTGTTTGAATGGGCACAGAAGAGCGTACATGGGGCCGGGAATAAAGTGAAGTGTGCGCAAGAGAAGTCAGGGTAGGAAAAACTTGAGCTGAGTTGGAAGGATCCAACATAGCTGGCGATCCAGAAGGATATGGTTGAAGGCATGGAGAGTTAGAACTTACGGGCTGTCATCCAGCTCCCATACCCACTCCTCTTTGTTGCCACGGGTGTGGCTTCCATAGATCATGGCCTCGAACTTGGGCGAGGCCTTCTCAAGAGTGGCAGAGACAACTTCAAACACATAGGCTTTGCCGTCCTCGCCTTTCGCCTTGATGTACAGATCGCTGTCTCGATGAAGACGGGGGTTACAGCAGCCAGGAGCAGTAGCGACTGGGCTGGAGGGCCTCTTTCGAGTGCTGGAAGTGTAGAAGAACTTGATGACATCGTTTCCGATGTTGTCCTTGTCATTGGGATCGACAAACTTGTGATCCTCAGACTTGGCCGGATCGTCGGCAGCGTTGTCAGTGGAAGCACTCGCGAGCCCCTTGGAACTACCATTGTTCAATTCGTCACCGCCCTCATCAGAGACTATTATGGTGGGATTGGTGGTCGCCACTGTCTCTGGAGCTCTGCTGCGAACCGCACTTTCTTCACGGTCTTCCTGTCGCAAAGTGAGTCTGGCGGGATCATTTTCGCAGACGTCATCCACCACCGGCTCAGACTTTGGAGGTGGAAGGGAACCAGTGGGTGTAGCGGTCCCAGTGGGCGCATGGGGGTCAGAGCTCTCACAGTCGATGCTTTCTTTGGCCTTAGACTCGCTGGTTGTGTTCCTCACTGTGGCCAGCTCGTCACTGGGGGAAGTTGGGTCGATTTGCTCCTTGATTGTGGCCAAGCCGCCAGTTCCGCTGGCCGTGACAGGGGCCTCTGTCTCGCTAGGTAGGGGTGCCAGCGCATCGTGCGCCTCGTCCGACTTGATGACCGAATCGCTCTTGCTGTCATCATTGTTCTTCGAAACGACGTCAGGGGAGTCAGAGTTGCTGTAAGGAAGAGGCATTGTTGCAGCGTCGGCCTGGCCCAGCACAGCTGGAGCCTGGTCGGCTGGTGGACACATTTTGTAGCTGCTAGTTTTGACTCGTCAGCAGCTGCAGAGATGAGAAGGGAAAAGAACTACAGCAAGATGGCCAAAAACAACCACTCCGCACGAGTTGAGTGAAATGTCTGGTGATTGGGTTTCGGCACGAACACAGCACAGGGACGAATGCACCGTTGGACACTCGAACGGTGAGGACCGAAATATGCTGGATTGAAATTGGGTGGTGTACAACTTGTCGATCGTGTCAAAACTCTGGCAACTGGTAAGAGGGAGGGGCAGGGCGGCAGAGGCAGAAGCAGAGGCAGCAGGTCGCAAAATTGCATGTTTGAGGTTTTAGAGAATGGCCAAAGTGAGATACCTACCTCGACTCGAAAGAAAGGTCCTGGAGAAGTTGTATCTGTACAGTAGCTGCAGTCAAATGAACGGGTCAAAGAAATTGAGAAGTTGAGTCACGACAGCTGCAGTGCATCGAATGCTTCGTTGGTGACGGCTGTGTTGGAAGGTGGGAAGGCAGACTGGCTTGAGAGGGAGAGGAGGCTGCAACTTTTGAAGGAGAGAGCCTGACTGACACTTTCCAAAACTGGGCATCTGCCCCGAGAGCTTTGCACCTTCCGTACCTAGGTATGGTGAGCTGAGGCAACCTACAAACGGGAAGTCCCTACTAGGAACTCAGGAACCCTGAGTGGGAACTGCACTGTCAAGTGGAGGAGCTCACCTTTCTTGATTAAAGTCCCGACCTCAAACTGACCGGAGAAATCAGCTAGCGTTTCACTTGAGCGCGTAGGGATTTGTTCGTCAAAGTGAAGAAGGTATCAGGCTCTTTTGGTGGGCATGATACAGACGTAGCTGGTTGTCTGCAGTTTGATAAAGAAGATGTCTCTGGTGGGCTTATGCCAATCTTTCTGCTCAGTGATTCAGAGATAACCAAGCTTATCCAGAATGGAATGTGATGTCCTCATAGAGTCTCTTCATAGAGAGAACAAACCTCCATCTCCTCAGTATTGCTGCGGAGTGTCACATCCTCACTGGCTTGCCGGCTTCCATACATCGAATGAACGTCTTTGCCCTCATCACCCTGCTGAGACTCCTGTGACTCCTCGCCGCCTCCCTTTCCCTTGAAGACCAAGCCGGAAAACGTCACAAGCAGCCGCTTGGGGTCGCTCCTGTCAATAGTCGCCTTGACCCTGCCGACGACATCTCTCTCGACCTTCTCGTTGTTGGCACGACGGGGGCCGTAGACAATGACTGGATCACCTTCATCGCCGAGAAAGAACTGATGGGGCTCGTTCATGGCTACAGCCCTCGGCCTGAAACCCTCGGGAGCCTGGCTAGGTGCAACCAAGGAGCGACCGCCGCGGCGGCGGTTGGGAGGCCTGTTTCTGTCGTGGTTCCTTGCTCCTACGGCGTTCTGGATAGGGCCGACATTAGTCTCGGTCTCGCTGACGTACTCGAAGAAGTCGCGGGCGGCATTCTCTGCGGAGATTGGACCATCAGCATGTTCTGGTCACACGAAGACAAGGGAGAACCGGTGACTCACAGGCGCGCTCGTACTCCCATGGCTTTGCGAACAAGTTGGGATCAATATCGGCCTTGGCCTTGCCCCAGGTGAGCTCGCCCAGCTCAAATCCCCAGCTGGCCTCGTCGTCGTCTGGGGCGCCACCGCGTCCGTTCGGATCCCAGTGACCTGTGTAAGCCATGCAGATCGTGTTCACCTGGATAGGGGTGGGGTTGGCCGCGGCCCAGTGCTTGTTATAGCAGCGTAGGCGCTCAGCGGCTTCGGCCCAGAAGTCACTGGTCAGTGCCTCGCCCTGCCAGTCCTCGAGCCACTCGTCGCAGCAGGCCTCGATGACATTGGCGACGCGGACGCAGACGAGCCGCTGGCTGCTGGCCGGAAAGGCCTTCCTGTGGTTGCCGGCGGGCTCGAACTGGGCGCCGAGGATGGTCGCCAGGTGCGCGCCGTCCCTGGCGTTGAAGACGTTGTTGGTTCTGGTGAAGCAGAAGCCAGGCAGCTTCAAGAGCGCCTGGACTGTGTGGTCGTGGGAGCCGAGCCTGGGGCCGCCTCGAGGGAGTTGCGAGGATGCTGGCCTCGCAACCGCCGCTGGATCCAGTCTCCTTACGGGCATGATATGGCGTTTCGAGCGGCGCAGTGTGCTGGGGGGGTCAGATGCCACGCTTCAAAGGAGATTAGCACTTGGCGACCAAATTTTGCGATACGTGGGAAGCTGAAGCATACCTTTCGGAAGCATTCTTGTATTCTGGAGTCTGAGGTCGAGGTTTGGGGTCGCGCCAGCTTTAGGAGGAAGGTTTGGTCAGTGAATCAGATCACCATTGAATGTGACTGGTAGTGAAGCCAAATCACTCAGAACGTGGCTGCAGCACGCAAGTGAAGACCGAAAGTGGCTGTTTGTGATGCCCTCTTCCATGGTTTCGAAAACCCACCTTGGCGACGCATTATCGCTGTCATCGGGTTGGTATGGCGATCTGAAGGTGATGGAATGTTAGCAATGTGGTCAATCCATAAGCAGTGTAGTAATTTTCAACATACTCATCGGAGTCATCCATGGTGTCATACCAAAGTCCTACTATCACAATTTCGCTGTGTTGTTGAGGGACGCGTTGTCACAGGAAAGGCGTCTGGGAAGAAATGGTGGACGTCAGCCAAAAAAAAAAAAATTCTACCACCCCGCTTCAGACAAGCCTCGGAATGTAATTGTATTGGTACAGGCGGTTGTTAGTTATAACTCTGTGGACAAGTGAATGAGATTGCTACGGTAAAGCCTTGAGCCCTATGTCCCTGGACATTTGATTCAATTTTTGTTGACCTTCGAGCTTTTCCTACCCTTTCTCAAGGCTTTTAGACAAGTTTTCTCGGATTCAGAATCGTAAGTAGGGTCGCATACGTCTAAGGAGTACAGTTGTTTGGGGCGAGTCTGTTTCTCTAGCTACAGCTCAATACGGCCAAAGTGAAAAGCCATTCGAGGTCGACGAGAATACGGAACGTGTGCAAAGGATGCAAGGCAAATTGATGTTTCACGTGCTGTCTATCTACATTTTCCCAGGCCTCAAGCCAGCTGAAAAAGAATCCATTGTGCTCGAATGTCTCAAATTTCACTTTTATGCTGCATCTTTCCCTTGCTCTAGCAGGTGCGTAAGGAGCTCCAGATTGTCCCTCGATCTTGGACTGGCCGGATTGGAGGGTAGTGAGCGTGTTTCCAGACTTAGACTGTCCAAGATAAAGAGCTACTCCGTCTGCTTACGTGCGTCCTTGAGTCAGTGCTGAGACTCTGCACATGTATGATGTGATAACTTTCGGCCTGTCATGGGTTGGTGGAGCTTTCTACCAATCTTTTGTTAGGAGTGACGAGCATTCGATGGTTCTAACTTCTGATGAGGGTTGTTGGCTTGCCATGAGAGGGTGACTCCAGGGGCTCGTCTTCGCCAGTTTTCTCTGCTGGCAAGGATATAAAAGTCGTCCCTTTCTGTGGAACTTTCCCCAGGCACACTTCAACGCAAACTTGGTTCTCCTTCAACAGAAAATAGCTTCATCAGGCTTCTATTAACTACCTAAACATCACTATCAAATCTCGAGCTTGTGAATTCTGGTCGGCACCCAGATCACAGAAGCGAAGATCAAATTCCTATCTCGCGACCTGAGAAACCCTCTTAGATAAAGTCTCCAACTCTCGCTCGGTAGGTTTGACGATTCTCGTGTTCCAACATCCGGCACATATCGATGAGCTCCCATCCTTGGGGCCGAAGTACAGTGATGGCTTCGGCCATGAAATATCTGCCAAATATTTGCTGCGGCCTGTTGAGGTCTGCGTCACATGTACTGACTCCGTAAGTAGCCCGAGAAGAACGGGAAAGCCACCACAGAACCAACCTTCTTTTGGACATTTCCCTCAAACATGATGCAGCTTCTGCTGAGCCTCCTGTTGTTCGTCCTTGCTGCTGTGGCAGCGCCCCGCAGCGCAGGTCAAGCTGGGAAGTTCACGACTGCCACCATCGATGATATCGACCTCGGATCCCGTTCGGAGTTGCCCGGGATTGTCGTCCCTGACAACCAATGCATCTCGAGCTTCTACCACGATGATGCAAAGAAGGACATGTGCGGCAACAGCACAGTCTCGAGCGCCATGTACCCTCATTGCGGGCAAGGAACCGCAAGTCTCGTGGACGACTGCAACGCACTCATCCAAGATCTTCAGGGCCAGGACGGTGGCGGGTTTTGGGGTTACTCGAACGAGTCTACTACCGTCGTCGCCAGCAACGACACCTGCACTTTCAGTGTCACGGTCCATGACGACAAGGCATTGTTCAACATTGGCACTCAGGACGTGATTGACCTCAGTAAGTTACCTAGGTATTTCGGATTGTTTCCCCACACGTGTGTTCCCCCTGCAGGAGTCAAGGAACTCAGGCACCACGTTGCAGTCCGATCTTGTTTTTAATTATCTCTTGAACTGTAATCAGCTTACTGATAATGTAAAAGTCAGCCTAGCTTTGACCACTCAGGGAAAGTGTGGTGACGACGAGTCGGTGGCTGCCACAGGGGATACGTCCTGCAAAGCCGTCGACACCAATTGGCTCGTGAGTGGCCCTAGCCAGATCTGGGGAGGTGGTGGAGGGTAGAGTTGGTGATTTCCTTTTTTGGCAGTTGGGGGATTCCGTTACATGGTGACAGTCGGCAGGATGACGGGTCAAGGCAACCTTGCTTGATAAATACAGGACCTCCCCCTAATTTCCTCGTGATAAGCATTCCCAACTTTGGACCGACCTCATTGAGGGGTGCTCGCATGATTTTCCGTCCAGATGGTTGTTGTGCCTGGGCTGCCAAAGCAAAGGCAACATCGATATCACGCAAACACACGCTTCTGATTGCTTGATTTACGAGCCAGTAACATGCCGGCCTACGTTTCTACTTCGGGCTTTTGTGTTGCTTCGGTGAGGGCAAGGTTACAGGAGAAAAGCATAATTGTGTCGCTATTGCAGGCAGGATTCAGGCGCTCGGCGCCAAGATATCAGTGACCGGGGCCCATATCAAGTGTGCGGCCGAATGTGGCCAAGTGAGCTGCGGTGGCGTTGCATTCGGTTCTAAAGTACAGTACAGCAGGGCGCAAAGCGCGCCTGGAATCCTTCCGCCTGTCAACTCTAATCTTAGAACCCTCTGTCGCGGCCGATGCCGAACGCCCACCCAAAGAAGGTCCCGCGTGGCCAGGCTGGAACCAGATCAGATCTCCTTCACATGCCAGTTCCATCTTGCATCACTCTTGGCCTGCACATAACTGGCATCTGCGCAGGAGACCAACACGCTCGAGCGCGACCCGTCCCAACGGCCCAACTGGTACCTCTACTTCCCCTTTCCTCTTCGTACTCTGGGTGACCTCTCGAGGCGGCCGCGCACACTCGGACCGAGACTGCTTGTTCCACGGGCCGCAGTCGGGAAGGCCTCAGGCCCTGACCGCCGGCTGCCTACCACAGTACCGCAATGATGGCGCCGAACCACAGCGTGAATGGCCTGCCGGTCATTCTTCACGGCAGACAAAGGCAGGGGCCCTCGACCTTTGAGTGGAACAGCCAGATGCCAACCATCAGGCGGCTCTACATGGACGAGGACAGGACGCTGAAGGAGGTGGTGAGGATCATGAGGGTGGAGCATGACTTCATTGCGTCGTATGGAATTCCATTTCCTCCTGTCTCTCTTCCGCAGCCTCAGTTCCTGACTATCCGGTGACTCAAGAGAGAAGATGTTTAAGACGCGGCTCATCAGCTGGGGCCTGCGCAAGAACATCAGGCTGAGGGCAGGGCGGGACGATGACGTCGTCCAGAAGCTCGCGTCGCCCACCGATAACGCCCAGCCGGCATCCCACTACGCGCCTGTGAGGAGCCGCACCGTCCGGCTGTCGAACGGCCTCATCGTCGACGCCGACCGGCTCGCCGAGCACGTGCGCCGCAAGAGATACCGGTCCAAAGGCGGCAACTGTCCGCCGAACATCACGACGGTCCGGCCCCCGGACTCGTACTGCATCTTCGAGACCGTCTTCGCCTCTGCCCAGTCGTACATCCTGGGCCGCTTCCAGGGGGTCGTCACCACGCCCGAGGCGCTCGACAAGGTGCGCGAGGGTGACCAGCTGGTGACCCGCTGGGTGAGCTACAGCTCGGCCATCAGGTCCGCCACCCTGGAGCGGCCGCTGCTGAAGAGGTCCGCCGCCTCGGAGAAGCAGATGTTCAACGACGCGCTGGTGCTGATGCGCCGGGGCGCCGCAGGAGCTTGGCGCCCTGATTCGGCACCAGCCGGCCAACGTCACCGGCTACATATTCTTCTTCCTGATGATCAGCACCCGGCGGAATATCTTCCCGGATGAACCCATGGCGAAGCAGTTCTCGGCCGTCGTGAAGGCCCTGATGAGGTACATGGCGGTGGCCTTCTCCGCCGAGGACATCGAGTTGCCCGTGCCTCTACGACAGCTGCTCCGAAACATAGCGAGCATCGAGGACGAGTATCTGTTGAACAGACTCGCCGTTCAAGCATGGAAACTAAACTGCAAGACGTGGGAATCCCTTTTGGGCGGCCGGGGCGGTAGCAAGACCCTTATCAACGACTGGCTGTCTTTTCAGTATGCCGGCGAGTCCAAGCTACCCAAGAACTTCGGGGATTTCATAGATGACACGCTCAGGAGATCAGAGCCAAAATACGGCCCTTCGTACGCGCAGATCCTCTGGTACTCTGCCCATTATCGGTTCACAAAGGACAAGGACGCCGGACTGGACCCCAACAAAAACGAGGAGATCGTTGCAATCTACAAGCAGATCCTGCGGTCCGGGCCGACCCTGGTGCCCCGGGTGAATTCTCTCAGGATGCTTGCAGAGGTCAGCAAGGGCAACGGTGACGGCGAGGCGATGGAGGGGTATTTGCGCGAGGCAATCCATGTCTTGCGCACCGAGCGGGGGGAAGATGAGCCGAGTGAGTATTCCACGGTCCTGCACCGTTCTTCAGCGAGCCTTGCTCGCGTCGCTTCGGCTTGCCCTGCACTTGATGAAGAACCATGGTTTTGCTGACTATGCGTACCGTAGTGATATTGACTTACATAACCGAGCTTGAAGGCTGGCTAGAGGAGCTAGGCTTGCACGAGAGAGCAAAGAGCGTGGCCGACTGGAAGTCCGAGTACACAAGGCCTGCCCCGGAGTGAAGAACCACCAGCGGTGTCTCGGGCCCTTAGATATCCTCAATGAAGCAGAAATCCCACCGCAACGCGCACTCACTACCAGCCTCTGCCCGGCGGGGTCGCAGGCCCCTGAGTACAACAGACGCACGACCTCCTCCGCCGTTTGGAATCCAGACACAATTGACAGACCTAGAATCGTCCCTAGGTGGCAAGTATCACCAACTCCAATGGAAGTTAGCCCAGATCACGCAGATGGTGCTATGATTCCTCAGCACGTACCCCCGAAGCGAGGTGGTAATGGTAGAGGACACAGAAATCCTGGAGTCAGGGACAGCAAAGATGGCACATGTACAGCAGACCCTACCCTTTACTGCGGCACGGCTGGGTCACTATGATGCAGACAATCAAAAACTGGAAGTCAAGGGATCATGTCTAGAAGCATCCTTACAGTATCGAGACTCAACTTGGTACAACCTGGTACAAATTTGGACGCATTCATCAATGATTCTGTTTGGAATCCGGAGCTATGCCATTTTGCTATGTTATGCAGCTCCCCACAAAGGGGAAATGGAAGTACATGTATGTGTGCTGCAGTAGACCCATACACGCCACCGCAACAAACGTTGATCTACCACCATCACCATAAACACCATCTTTACTAGTCCTAGCAATCATGCATAAAAGAGCGTGTCGAGAACTTCCTTTCAACCGTGAAACCGTGAAGCCTCTTGAACTAAACGCAAACCCCATCTGCCGTTCCTCCAGCGGCCAAGGTGCCTTTTTCTTTGTGTGATAATCTCTGACCAGTCAACATCTATCGCATATGCAGCATTATAAGGTCTCGACCTCCCTCCCGGACCCTGACTGATCGACCGGGCCGCTAAGGGCATATTTGTCCAATTGGCGGATGTGGAGTGCAGGAAAAGGAGAGCGTAGTTCAGATGTGATAATTCCAAGACGTGTCAGAGTCATCGTTGATGGAACATCAAAAGTTGTTCGACGAATTATTCGCATCGTCAGGACTCTGGGTCGGAAAATCGTCCGAATCTTCAAACGCGCCGGAGCCATGATGGTCCTGGGCTGGAATTCCAGGTTCAGGAGGGATTCCATCCATAGGGGCGACTGGTGGAGCTTGAAGACCAGACTGACCGGCCAGTGGAAAATATTCAGGAGGTGGTCCATACATAGGGGCGAATGGAGGAGCTTGAAGACCAGACTGACCGGCCAGTGGAACATCTGCAGCAGGGAAAGGTTGGTAGGGTACAGGGAAATCGCCCGGGAAGCCAGGTTGCATGGTATGCACTTGTCCAGGCTGGGGGAGCGGTTGCACAGAACTGGGTGGCGAACTGTGGTTGATACGATCCTGATTCGGAGTCATAAAACTTCCACTTGTGGGTGGATAAACTGCGCCTTGGTGCTGTGGGAGGCCACGCCCCAAAGATTGTTCATGTAACGGAACTTGCCCAGGCAAGGGTGGCTGTCCAGATGGATCAACGGCTGGGATATTACCATATCCACTTGAGTCCCGGACCACACTACTGATCAACTCCTAATCGATTTCCGAGGGATCCTGACTAGTGTCGGCTGGCGCTGAGTTGGACTGAGATATATCTCCAACATGATGCCCAGGCTGGAAGGCCGATCCATGAGTGTCGAGGGATGGTACATTCGAGGTATTAGAGAAAGGCGAAACCATAGAGCTGCTGCCCGCCGGAAAAGAATCGGCCGGAGTCGAGCCGGACTGAACAGGACGAGAGGAAGCACGGTCAGTATTCCACTGGCTTCCAGCAAATTTGGACGTCGGTGCGGCATGAAATTGACTGCTCGCCTTTCGCTTGAGCCCAGACGCAGGAGCAGGTGTCGTTTCTGAGCCTGAGGCTTGTGGAAAGCCAGACTGATGCGCACGGCTGAACTCCGGCCATAAGAGATATGGAGGGTGGTTCCGATGGCAACAGAGCATTGCATACTCTCTTTCATCCGTTGCGGCTGGTTTTCTGTTGATTACCTGCTGCGTATTTGCGTCTTGGGTGGACGGCAAGTATATCGCTATCCCTGTAAGATCGATAGCAGTACTGATTTGCTGTTCCCAGAATGCCCTCTTGTTTTCAACCTGACCACCTTGATGGCGTTGAAGCTCCATGGTCTGTCGACGGTGAGACATGAACCGGTGTAACAACATATTTCCGGGAGTATGAGCAGTTGGTATCCTGGGCCACTGTTGGGGTGGCGAATCCTTGGCGCCAGCTACCGGAGGTATTGGTCCTATTTCAAAGATCGCGGCACTGCTGGGATACCGGATTTTTGCTCGCTCAAGCCGTGGAATAGTGGCGGGCTGAGCTTGGTGTCCCGCCATCTGCTCCTCGTCCATGGCATCGACTGCATGCCAGATTCTTGATTGAGAGATGAGTTGTTGCACCACGTTCAGGGTGCAACTAAGGTTGGTACAGGACTTTGCAGTCAAGACCATCTCAGCCGGAGTCATGCGTCTTTGTGCCGTCCTGATTAGATTGCAGTTGGAGGAGATGTTTTGCAGATGAAGGAGACAGAAATAAATGCAGTCGACACCCTTGATTTCTTCGCCACACTGGGGACACAGGAGGATGCACCGCAAACACATGATGACTTGGAGCGTGGCTGTTCAGGTAGACGATATGAAACGGTCAACAGTCAGATGCTGAAAGAGGAGGAAAATATCAAAGAATTTGGGTGTCTTCAGAACGAAAACAAGGAATAACTTCAAATGCCGTTGATGAAGGGTTACTGTGTATTTGAGCGCAAGCGGCGCTCATTTGAGCTCCAACAACACTTCGCTGTTGCCTCCTGCCGACAGCCGCCCAGTCTTTGCAGATGCAATTTCCTCATTGAAGGCCGAGAGCTCATGAGTGACAGCGTCGAATCACTCCGGAGCGGACTGACTTCTGAAGGTAGGCCGCTACTTCCCACAGTGTCGTGTTCGCGGAAACTGGAGGTCCACACTCAATTGTTCCTTCTACAGCACCCTTAGGGGGTATCGGTACCCTCTGACACTGACAGCAGGATCCGATATGATCCAGAGGCCACCCGTCGTGAGCGGGTTGGGAAATGAGAAGGCATCTCGAAGTCTGATACTGACATGGGGCAGCATCGAGCTGGCCATGCTATGTTGACTGCTGCCTGAGAGGGAAGAACCCTGGCTGGAAAGGGGTGCCTGTGCCTTTGAACGACGAGAGTGGCTGGATTGACAGCTAAGGGCTGTTTGAATGCCTGCTGTCAAGGCATCCCTCTTGGCCGCACTGATGTGCTAGGCACTGGGGCTCCACGGTCCGTGGCTGCTGCAACAGCGGAGCTGGCCAAAGACAGGGCAAGATTGAAAGGCGTTCTAGCCTGAGCAGTAGCATGACCTACCACGGCTCCCTCCATGGTTTCGACCTGCTTCTCCTGTGTGGCTTGTGCAAATTGACGGTGTGTCCCACATGGCACATTTGGGGTGATTAGGTCCTCAAGCTGTGTTCTCGCGTGCCTCTTGGCCTGAAGTGACTTGTTGGTCTCGGCGCACCTCTACCTGTCCTCCTGAGTCCATTTCTCGTATATTTCGTCCCCAGCCTCCAAGTCCCTGGTTCCACTAACAGGTTGGAGATTCTCCTGCTGTAAGCCTTTCGTCGTCGTAATCAACTCACTGTGCCGATCGTGGAGAAGTTTCATCATGGACCTCTGCTGCTTTGCAACGAAGCGAGTGGTATACTCGACTCATGGCTCCAAAGGTAGCAAGCTCGTTGTCGAAAAGATCCACCTCGGTCGAGATTCCAGCTCGGGAGACCGAGAAATCTGGCTGATACGATGCTGTGGTACAACAGTGGCTTGCTTGAGTCCTTGACTTCCAGACTTGTGAGGAGCAATGTCGCCAGAGTGTCCTGAATGCACACCATTATTCAACATAGAGAACCTGTTGTTCATCACGGAGAATGCGTTCGAAAGCAAACATACAAGAGCCGAATAGGATCGCCAAAATATTCAAGAAGGATGGAGAGCATAGGCGTCCTCGATGATCACCCCGTGCCACCCAACTCTGGAGCTCGCCACTCGGGAGTACTCCACGTTCCCAGTGTGTGCGTATAATCACCTTGACCAACGTCTTTGGCTATTTCGAAGACTGTCGAATCCACTCGCTGGAGGGCCAGAAGGAAGTTGTGCGGCTCGAGATTCAAATACCGGGGATGTGGCATATTGCAGCAGGTCAGACCGGTGGGAATACAGTGAAGGAGTAGATGATCACCCAACGTGATGGTGTACTTGTGGTCCAACCGGTCCGTGACTTCAGCTTCAACCCCCAGCGTCTTCAAAAGTCTTGTCCCGCCTCCGTCTTGTGTTTCTTCGCGCTGGGCATACTAGAACCTGCTGCTATGAAGCGGGTGTTGTACTCTCCCCACTGCCTCTACACGGGTTGCGCCGGGAATCTCAGTGATATTGACACGGGCCTGTACTGTCCTTCCGACGTTGCTCTTGGATGATCAGCAGCGGCAACATGCTCAACCATGGTGCCCATGGACGGACAAAATGGTGATCAGCAAGCTGTTACTTTCAAGTGGACCCCGGCATCCACAAGCACTTGACTTGAGGGAGGGGCCGCGTGGTGCTGGAAGTTTTGCTTGACTCGATTACGGTAGATCTCCTTACAGTCATGACCAATTCTCGTTTGAGCTTGACCAGTCTTGCATAGGATGGGGCTTGTGTCATCCGACCCGTGACCGTGACAAGAGGTCATGCCTCCGATGGGACGTAGGCACGACAATGTGCCAGCCAGCGGGGGGAGAAGCTTCGCACGGCTTTCCGTTTCTCGTCCGCGAAAGCCCAGCAAGAGTTGCGCACCAGCTTTGTCCTCCCAAGGACACTGCCATGCCCTCTGCTAGCTCCAACGAGGAGCCGCTGCTGACCCCGGATGCTGCGATCTGGCGGGCTGAGTGTGGAGGCGGCGGCGGCATGTACAGATGTCGCTGAACGAGCACCCATACCTACTACGCGCGGCCCGGGCGGTTGGAGTACCGAATGCGGGACGGCCAAGGCGGGCTGAACGGTTGGTCTGTGTATCGACTCCGTCAGCCGTCAGACGGTCCAGATGTCTGACGAAGATACGCAGGGTCCCCCGATTCTGTGTCCCACGCCCAAAATGGAAAACACGATCAGTCTGCGTCTGCTTCGTCTGAAGAATGGAACCCCTTGAATTTTAAGTCTTCAGGTTGGATTGTTCAACTCAAAGCCCCCATATTTCATTCTTTAAACCCCTAAATATTCCTGGGAGGCTTTCTAAGGAGGTTCATTTTCCCGCAGCCTGCTCTGCATTGACTTGTGCTATCTGACCTCGCAACCATCGCGCTGCATCTCCGCGGCGTCTGTCCTGCTGTGCGAGACGCGACCCTTGGTCGTTTTTCCCATGGAAAGAGCTCTTGGGCTTCGACTTGGACCAAGAAAGGTGACAACGATTCGTGCTGATAAAATTGTCACCAGCGGAGAAAGGTCAGTGTTGTTGGAAGGGGACCGGCGCGCCGTCCTGTCCAAGCCTGTGACGGTTCAAGTTCAGTCGTATCATGCACTATCTCCCGTGCGCAGCTCCGAATCGCTCGGATGATATGGACTGTTAGTCGGCCCGCTGGTCGATGTTGAGTAATCACGCCCATCTCAGCCCAGAGAACTCCACGACGACCTTCTGTATGGCACCAAGTCAGCGACCGACTGTGCTTTGCTGCCGAGAAGATGACCCCGGTATATTGTGACATTCCTCCTTGAGTGTTGAGACGACACATGTGGCCTCTTCAATTAATCAGCACCGTCATTCTTGGGATTCTCTTGTTGAAAGGGCGCGCTGGCAGACGGTAAACACGTCCCCCCTCCTCAGATCCCGACCCTTCAACAGGCCGTGAGACCGACACAGCCATGACTTGAGTGCCCAGAAAGTTTCAAGTCTACTCCATTACCACCTCCAGGGATTCCCAACCGTACTGGGAGGAGAGGAACCACGTACCTCGCGGCATTCAACACTTGATTCACCTTGTAGATACTGCTTCCACCAGACCCCATACCCCATACCCCATAGTACACACACCGGCGTCGACTGTTACCACGGCTTGGATTCAGACTCATTACTCTTTGCCTAGAAAGGGTCTGTGTAACCTTGAGATTCCACAGTATTTTTCCGTAGAGCAGCCACTCGAGAGCGACAGACCAGCCCCTCTTCCTCCTTCCAGCCAGCCATTGCTTGGGTGTCTCAGACCAGGCACGCTCGCCCCTATTTGATTCTACAAGCCCGACAACAGCCTTGTGACCATTCGTGGTATAAGATGCGTCACGAGGCCATGCCTTCGGATCTGGCCATTCTCAGCGCAGAGCAGTATCTCGACGGCTCCTTTGCTGGCAAGACTGGGAAAGCGAAGAAGCCATCCACGTCAAAGCCAGAGACCAGTCCCCGGAAGAGAGCCAAGATATCTCCCCCGGCCGCCGAACCAGAATCAGCTGAGGGTGAAGATGATGACGGTGCAAAGAGGGCTAGGGGCAGGCCCAGGCTCGATACAAAGGATCAGACTGCTGCTGAGGTGGGTCGAAGCTCTTCTGTTTTGTCATCCCGTTCCTCTCCCCGACAGATCGTTCCGTTTCGTCCTTCTTTCCTCGTCGCGTTTTGGCTCGCGTCTACCGAGACCCTTGAATCCACACTCCGCACACTCATACCGTACCTTTCCCCCGCCGTCCCCTGTCGTCATCCATCACAGATTGTTTTTCACGATAAACAGACAGCCTTGCAGCTCATCCGTAAAGACCCCACGAGAACGACTAACTCCCCGGGTGTAGCGCCGACGAACACAAATACGCTTAGCACAGCGAGCCTATAGAAGTCGAAAGGAGAATGCCATCCAGACCCTCGAGAGGCGTGTCCAGGAGCTCCAGGATAACAACGAGGAGCTGAGCAATGTCTTCCTGAAGCTCCACGACTCCGCCGTGAACCTTGGAGTGCTAGAGCAGGCCCCTGGCTTTGCCCTTGAACTTCGCGCGGCCACTGAGAAGATCCTTTCGCTCGCAAAAAGGTCCAGCGAAGATAGCGGGCAGGACGAGCAAGCCGAGAGCTCCGCACCGGAACAGCCTTCTCGCCAGACCAACGCAGAGAACTCCGGCTCTCCAGATGGAGCCGAAGTCCAGCCTGCACGCAACTCAACCGTTCCGGTTTGGGGAGGCTACATGGTCGGCGACGAGGCAGAGACGACGATACAAAATGTATCTATGCCCCTGCCCTCCGGCGCCATGACGTCGGTGACACAGGCGCCGCTGGGCTACGAGATCGTGACTATGCCCACCTTCGAGAACGCCAGCTTTCCCTTCGACCTAAACGCAGAGTCGCCATACCCGAACATACTCGATCAGGCCTCGAACTCCACGCCTGCGTACCCCCTTTCTCCTTACTCTTCGCTTCCGCTCCCGCAGTCGATGGCCTTTAGCGAGCCCACTTTCGGCCGGCGGCTCCAGAGGAATGCTTTGGAACTCGCTTACCGGCTCATCACAATGCCAGACCCGCCGAACCATAGATACGCTGAGGTCTTCGGCTTCTGCATGCTCTTCGAGCCCATCGACAAGATCCGCGAACGCCTCTCCCTCGCACTCGAGCGGACGGCCTCCGAGTCTCTGAACTGGTGGCAGGCCCCCTTCTGGGCAGCCGGCGGCTCCGGCCATCACCAGCTTCAGCAGGATAACAGCGGCAGCGGCGGGCCACGCGTGGGCAACCAGGGCACGGTCGATCAGATGAAGTACTCGTTTCCTGGCGGACAGTTCGGACTGGGACCATTCGACGCGAAGGTCAGCGAGACGCGTGACAGGAGGATCGATCCGCGCATGAGGATCCGGTTGCCGGGTTTCGAGGGTGACTTCTACGACCCGGAGGAGGTCGAGATGTACCTCCGGGTCCGAGGGGTAGCCATCCAGGCCGGGCAGGACTACTTGACCACCGAGGTCGACGTCGGGGCGTTCAAGAATGGCATGACAATGGAGCAGAGCACTAGGGGCCAGGGGCAGAACCAGGCAACGCCTGGGTTTGGGGATTGGCCGCAGACGCTGGACGAGGCTTTTAATCCTCCTGCACCTGCCGGCCCCTCCACAGGTGGCAGCTCGGCGATGGCATCGGCCTCGACCTCTTCGACCTTGTCAGACGTCCGGACGGATCCGAGCGCGTGGCCGATCGACGACTTTAACGAGATGTTCGGCCGCGCTGCATCTGGACAAGACTTGTCGGGGCTCGGTGGCAGCAGCAGCGCGCCGGCTTCTGAGAGCAGGAAAAGGCTCATTACTTTGGACGTCAACGTCTTCGTTACAGGTACGAGTTCTGTCACTGCCACTTACCTCCTCACACAACCTCTTGGTGTTTCTCCTGCTAGCACGAGTGATGGCTAACGCGTTTTATGTGTTGCAGAACTCGCCGGACGCGGCACCTGTCTCGGACGATCGCCTGGCTTCCGGCCGAAGGATGTCGATACAGCATTTTGGATAGCGACGAAGACTGATGCAGCGCTTGGGTTTTAGAATCATTTGCAAGGGTGTCCGGACTCGGTATTGCATAAAAAATTGCCCGAAGACCTCGCTGAGCTTGGGACAAGCGAGCGAGGCACTCGGGCTCGGAGTCATGTTGTTGAGTTCATGTGCATGTCGCTCGAAAAAGCCTGTTCATAGTCGGCGATGGACGAGATGGCTGTGATAGATCAGCGCAGATGCGCTTCTTGCAAATGTATGAAGATCACCACCAGCTCCTGGCATAAGCCTCTGGTCGCCCAGATTGAGCATCTCACGTCTGATGCTCTTGTTCCTCCTGTTCTCGCGCCTCCTTCCACAGACGCCTGCGCTCCGCTCGCTCGGCCTCTTCCTTTCTCTCCCGCTTCCTAGTAGCGTGCTCCCTCTTCTTCAGCCTCTTCCTGTCCTTAGCCTCAGCCTCAGCGAGCTTCTTCTCCGCCTCAACAATATCCAGCATCGCCTTCGCCCGAGCAAACATATCCTCCGCCTCCCGGGTGAGCCCCTCGCCGGCGTATCTGATGCCCACACGCACAGCCTGCTCGTACGACTCCCCCCGCCCGCCATCGGCGCCGTAACCCACTGGCAACTGGCGGCCCTCGGCGCGCGCGAGCCGCACGAGCTCCGCCTCCCACCTGTCCTCGTCGCGCGCCTGCGTCGTGTGCTCGTCCTGCAGCTCCTGCACGAGCGTGATCCGCCGCTGCCGCGCGTCCCCTTTCCGGTGCAAGAAGCTGCCCAGGAAGTGCGACTGGGGCTTGCCTATCCGCAGGAACGTGTGGCCCGCCGTCGCCTGGTCCAGCACGGGCACCTTGCGCACCCCGCCCGACAGCTCGCTCAGCGGCAGCGGCCGCACCGTCGCCTTGTACACCGGCTTCTCGCCCGGCGCGCTGACCCGCGTCAGGAGGGGCACCGCCGCGGCGCGCGCCCTCGCCGCGCTCTTCTTGGCTGCTGCCTCCTCCTTCTCCTTTGCTGGGGCGCCTGGTGGCGGCGGAGGCGGGAACCTGCTCTGCCGGTCACGCAGGAAGGCCACGATCTCGCTGTGCTGTGGTACGGAAGCGTCGTGCGCGCGCGTGAGCAGGGTGAGGAAGCGGTAGCCGTTCTGCAGGGCGGACGTGACGAGGCGCGGGGAGGTGTCGTTCTTGTTACGGCGGAAGCCCGCGCGGATGAGGAATCGGATGGGGTTGATCCATCCTGGGCGGGATGTCACGTCAGCCGGGAGCGATATGTGTGGCACTTGGCGGAGAAGAGCCCTGTATAGAGCGAAGCCTGTAGCAATTGTGTGAGGTCAGCTTCCAAGGGTCCGGGTCAGGGAGAAGAAGAGACGGCGCGAATTGGGAATGTCGCACATGCTACTCTATGCCGCGAGTCGCGGGCTGGGATGAAGAACGACGGCATTCATTGGACCTGGCGCAGATTCGCCTTGGTTGATCTGTTCAGTCCATAGGGTCTAAGGCTCCGTGGTCTAGGTTGTGGAGTTGGCGTGGTGTCGTCGGCCTGAGGAAATCTTCTAGCCGAATCCCCAGAATTGAAGTTCCTGGGGGTCGAATCACGTGGGTCCCGCGGCATCAGCGCGCGTCGGCATGTTGGTCGGTTGGATTTCTAGTCTCAGCATCAAATGGGGACAGTCCGTAGTTCAGATTGCATTAATAGAAGCCCATGTCTACGCCAAGTGCCATCCTAACCCCCTGGGGATGCAGTCATAACAAGAAACCAAGACATTCCCTCATCACGTCGTCCGCTCGCCAGACACCAGTAGCACCTCTCGCTCCCAACGGAACGGCTGTAGGAACGATCCAAGTCCGGGGTCAAACCGACAGTCCCTGTCACCTAAACGCATACCTCAGTAGATATCTGCCTGACGAGCCCTTGGCCTGTAGGTGGCCTCTCCAATAGCTAGATACCCAGGTATGACAAGCCCTTCAAGGCACTTCAGTGCAACCCTGTGCCCCTCGAGCTTGTACTATGATACGTTCCGACGATAGTGACGCCTCGATCTACTTGTAAATGGCATACTTGGAGCCCTCAGGAGGCTGGGGCAGCTTCTTGTGCTCGTCCATGTACCTGTGGATAGTGCCAGGTTAGTACTGGTCCGTTTCCCTCTCCTTGGTCCAAGTGCTCCCGGGGTATACTGACTTCCTTATCGCAATCAGAGCAGCCTCAAGGCTCAGTGGGTCCTCCTTGGGCCGGGGGTTCTTGGACAGCTCGGTCGCGATGCGCTCCCAGTCACGGAGGATGGCGACGGCGTTCTGGTCGACGCGGCCATCGTGCTGGTTTACGCCCGGAAGGTTGATCTGGCTGACGAAGTGGAAGACCGGGGGCTCCTTGGGGTAGTTTGGACCGCACTCCATCTTGAGCTCGTAGATTCGGTTCTCGTGTTGGCCCTGTGGGTGACGACTGTGGTCAGCAGACCGTGATGCATTTGCGACTGTTCCTAAGGGGACCGTCTCGAGTGCCGGGCAGGGAAACTCACATGAGGAGGTCCCCAGATGGTTCCTCGCCAGTTGGTCATGAGGATGTCCTCAGGGTCTTCCAGGCCATATGAGCAGGCACCTGCAGCAGAAATGCATCGTCAGGCTCCATGTCCGCTGCGGTCAGAGCGGTGGGAGGGGTGTCGGTGGTGGGACTTGCCTGCACCCATGCCCTTCTCGCCCTTCTCGAGCTCGGCGAGGAGCTTAAAGTTGCGTGGGACTTGAGCAGCCATGATTCTTGTCTGTGTGCGAAGACGAGGGAGGGTGCGCGACGAAAGGCGGTGCGAGGGCTGGCTGTGCGGTGAGAGGTGGAAAGAGGTGCGTCTATGTACTTGGTAGGTATGCTCCGGCTTCAAAGTGACGCTTGCTGCCAGTCCAATCCGCAATTGCAGTCCAGCTCCGGCGGGGTGGCCCCTGACCCCTGTCACTGAGTGACGGAGGTGGGGTGGTTTCTCTGTCTCAAACCGCTGGCAAGAGAAGGGCTGCAGGAGCGACTGAATGACTCAGCAGGCGGACCTCAGGCACGAGCAAGGGTGGGTGAGCTCCAGGCAGGCGGGTCGGTTTCCGGAAGCCCCTGGCCGCGCGCATCGATCTGGCTTCAGAGAACCGGCGTGTAATCTACCGCTCAGCCTGTACTGCCATACGTAACATATTGGGCATACGTAACGCCTCGGGCTCTCCATCTGGACCAGCAGAGCCATGCTTGCTCGACTTGTGATCTCCTAGATGGTTCCATTCTCAGATGACATCGTAACACTCGTTGTTTTTTCCACCGGAAGTTTCCTACAGCCGGAGCGACATGAATCTTGATCCCTCCGCCTCCAAGAGACCATCATGTCCGCTCAGCTCCTCGCGACGGAGCTCCACAACCTCATAACTGAGAGCAAGCGAAAACACCAGGACCTGAGACAGGTATGCACCTCACGTCCGTCCAAGGCCCTCACTTGTACCAGAATCTGGCTGACTGGCCCTGCACAGGCTGCCGAGAAGTCCCTCGAGGAGCTCAAGAGCATTCGCGTGAGCGAGGCTCAGTTCGGACGTGGTGAGGAACATTAGCACCAGGCATCGCCATTTCCGGCGCTTGTCTCACAGCATGACCAGCAGACTGACCAGACAAACGGTACAGAGCTCTCACAAAAGGTCAACTTTGTCAATCCTTTCATAATAGCATGTGGCACCAAGAACGCAAAGTTCACAGGCATAGCTATCGTCTGTCTGCAGCGGCTCATCGTTTCTAAAGCCCTCCCACGGTCCAAGCTTAGCCCCGTCCTCGAGGCGCTCCGGGAGGCAACCTCTGCTGGTCTCGATGTTCAGCTCAAGATCCTCCAAGCCCTGCCTTCCCTTCTGCAGAATTATTCCACAGACATAAAGGATGACCTTCTGGTGACTGCATTGAACATATGCTTCATCCTACAGTCCAGCAAAAATGCCATCGTCAACAACACCTCTGCCGCAACGCTGCAGCAGCTGATCGTCACCGTCTTCGACAAAGTTGTTGCAGAGGATAAAATCCCGGACGCTCCTTTTGTCGGAGAAGCCCCTGCAGAGGATGGGGACGTTCAGCTCAGGGCAGCGGCGCTGGACGCCTTCCGCGTGTTCAACGATCTCTGTCTCCTCACGCAATCTCAACGTCCCGAGTACCTCAGGTTCTATGGACTCCCGCAGACTTTTGGTCTCGAGCTGATAGAATCGGCCCTGACCAACCACGGTGCCATATTTGCAACCCATCCCGAGCAGGTTCACATTCTGCGCACCAAGGTTATGCCTTTCATTATCCAGACTCTTTCCGGGAAGCCACACTTTGCTGCCTCGGTTAGGCTGTTTCGCATCTTATACACACTCCTCAGGCGTCATGTTGCATTGATACCGAAAGAGAGTGAGGAGGCTTTGGACATCCTCACCAAGATACTGGACCAAGACACGACGTTGTGGAAAAGATCGTTATGCATGGAAGTCTTCAGGGGTATCTTCGCCGAGCCAGCGCTGGTTCGACGCATCTTCAGGATGTATGACGCCAAAGAAGGTGAAAAGGACATTCTCAAGACTTTGACTGCAACTTTTGTCCGAGTCAGCACGGAGAAGCCGGTTGTGATTGGGCTCGGTCATCAGTCAACAATCCCCGTGGCCAACCCATACTCTACCTCTGCCGATCAAGCCGTGCTCGATGCCAGCGGCGTTAGTGTCTCTGTGATAGCAGGCGTTGGGGGCGGTGTTCATGACACAGGCATCAGCACGCAATGGAGCTCCATGCGTGTGCCCTGCATTGACCAACTCGATAAGACTGACCCTCCTGCCATACCTGAGTCCTACGTGTACAGCCTGACGCTTGCTTGTATCACATCACTGTCTGAAGGTCTGGCCAAGTTCATCCTGCCCCTGACTGCGCCAAGCGACAGAAGCCGGAGGCGTGGCAAGGGCTTGCCGGGCGAAGGAGGCAGCGATGATCGGTCTGAAAGCCCTGCGCCCCGTCCAGGCCTTCTCCGGAGAGGTCCGCTTCTTTTAGGAAGAACCCGATCTCTGTCAACCCGCTGGCTCTCAAGGAGCACCCACTGTATGCAGACGTGGAAAGTTGTGCAGCTATCATCGAGGAATGTTGGCCGGCAATCCTGGCAACATGTTCGGCCTTCCTATACGCCGCCCTCGACTCTGAATACTACCATGGTCTGGTCAGGGCTTTCCAAAGATTTGCTCACGTGGCTGGGCTGCTGCAGCTAGCGACTCCAAGAGACGCCTTCTTGACCACACTTGGGAAGGCTGCCGTTCCTCCGAATGTCTTCACCGCGTGCATAAATTCTGGGCAGTCTCGACAATCCGCGCCCCCTCCCGCGCCCGAGCCAACGGAACAGTATCCTGGGAAATGCCCGGGGCCTGCTAAGTGTAGAAAGCCTTGTCAGCCAAGGTACAGCAGAGAAACCGAGATCACAATCTTTCGACGCCAGCGCATCAGCACTGTGAGTCCCTAATGCTTCCATTGCCCCTTAATACTCTGCATGGGCCCCCAGGAACCATTGCTGTTATCTACAGCGACTTGGGCGTCGGAAGAGCACGGATTGTGCTGACAAAGGATACAGGAATACTCGAAATCTACTATGCCTGAGGGCTCTGTTGAATCTGGGCATCGCTCTGGGACCCACCTTGTCGGCATCATGGCAAATCGTCCTTGAGACACTGCAACAAGCTGATTTTGTTTTATTTACGACCGGCAAGACTGCTGGTAGGACACCCACAGCTGCCAAAGGGCCAGATCCCAACGCGGATAAAGAGGCCAACGCTCTGCTGGCAAATTTCGGCGTCGAGGTCAAGGCTGTTGAGACCGCAGCGTCAAGACTATTCGAAAGCACCATTGATTTCCCCAACAACGCATTTTTAGAGGTTGTCAACGCGGTGTGTTCGCTTCTCGAGAAACGGCCAGCATCAGAGTTTCCTTTCAACGGGAGAGAAAGTCGGCCAGAAACAATACCGGAAGATGAAATCCCTTCTAACCTTCCATCGCCGACTTCGCAACATAGAAAAGTGTCAGGCATAAATATGGCGTCTGGCCCAGTTCAGCCGGACCAGTTCGCACTGGCCAAGCTAGGCGACCTTGCCAGCATCAACCTCGAGAGGCTCCTGGCACACCCACCCGATGTATCTGGCTGGAAGCCTTTGGTATCGGAACTCAACACTGCGCTGAGTGCCACCTCCGTATCAGCCCCTGTTAGAACACGGGCCGCGGAGATCCTGGTGAGACTGATTTTGGAAGCTGCCAATGCAACGGCGACGCAGCCGGAGGACGTTCGTGGCACGATCCAACTGCGCCTCCTCGAGGCATTCAGAGATGCCCTCCTCCCGCTGCAGTCGGGGGAGCGAGACGTGTCAGTTACGAATCACTCTACAGATATCGAGATCCATAGGGTGATCCTCGAAGGTCTTAAGACCATCCTCGAAAACTGTGGTGAGAGCCTAACCAATGGCTGGCACCTAACTTTCGAAATCATCGACAGCATCTTCCCGGACAGCGTCTCTGGATCCGAAAAGAAGCAGACTGGCACCACGCTTTCGACGAGGTCGACCAAACTGATCAAGGCGTCATTCGGCTCGCTCCAGCTCATCTGCTCCGACTTCTTGTCTTCGTTGCCGAATACGTGTTTTCTGCAACTTGTCGACACCCTATATAAGTTCTGCTCGCAAGACGATGACCTCAATGTTGCACTCACTACGGTAACGTTTTTCTGGGCAATATCGGATTTCCTGTCCGAGAAGAGTAATTCCATGTCCATCACCGAGGACATGATAGGCGGTGGAAAAGACGAAGCGCTGATTGCACTGGCCTCGCATCCCGAAAAAGATGGTTCTAGCGCAGCTCTTTGGATGCTGCTACTTCTGCGTTTGACCGCAGTGACGGCTGATCAACGTTTGGAACTCCGGAACAGTGCCATTCAAACACTCCTTCGTATCATACACGCCTATGGAAGCACTCTGGGACCGCAGGCTTGGTCAATATGTACCAAGTATGTTATCTTCAAACTGCTTTCTTCGATTGAAGAGAGACTCCAAGCGGTGAGAGAAGATGGCGTTAAAGACGACATACGATCGGAGTGGAACGAGACCGCTGTCGTCATTGTGCAGGGCGTCTCAAATCTGCTCGCCAACTACTTGGACGTGCTGACGTCTTACCCTGCTTTCACGGCTCTGTGGCAAGACCTGATCAACCACTATGCCGCATTGATTGACTTCAGAGCGCTTGACATCAATAGCGCAACATTCTCCAGTTTAGGAGACATTCTCTCCAAATGCGAAGAATCCCCCAAGTCGAGCTTCGATAAGAGGACCATCGATCTAGTCTGGGATCTTTGGTCTCGAGGCATCCCAGCAGGCGAACAGACGAGCGATGGTAACTTCGACGACAGGCAGAAATGCTTGATGTCTTGGGTCGAAGCTTTGTTGGAGCTTTACCGACTCATCCAAGCTGATCTAACCTTGGAAAGGGTCAAGCGGATGCTCAGCCTATTACGAGACGCTATGCAACAGGCCCAGCCTGGTTCCTACGCCAGTGATATCGAATATCTGACCCCGCTGCAAGGTCGAATCCTAGAGGTCTTCAAACTCTTGCGGACAGACATATCCGGTGTCCCGTCAGCTATTATCACTCAGGTTGCAGACTTTGTTGCGCTCGCTTTTGATGAAGAGAGAGCACATCAGCCTGCAACGTCAAAGCGTACCTACATCGCCATGGCCAAGGAGAGCATGAATATTCTCCACCATCACGTCGTTTCAAATGCAACAGACGCAGACATCTACGTGAGCGGCGCATTTTCGAACGCTTTGACGGCTCTTTCAAAGCCGATCACTCTCAAGTATGATTACCGGATTGTGACCAAGTCAGAACAGCCGTGGAAGATGGCGACCACCACCGTCTTGGCATTACTGGAATCTACTCTGCCACAGGTGAAGGCAGCCAAGATCTCGCAAGCTACGGTACAGGAGATCTGGGATGTCATAGTCGATATCTCGAACGGATTCATAAAAGCCAACTACAACAATGCCTCTGCAAACGCAGACATTGCAGGGGATCAGGAATTTGACATTGTGTCTTTCCGGGCTCTCAAGGAGCTGATCATCCCATCGCTCGGTTCTGATTCAATATCCGACAAGACGCGTCGAGCATACGCTGAAGGTCTATTCCGGACATCAATTATACACGCACCGGCACCATCAGAGGCAGAGATCATCTTCGGAGGCAACCAGGAAAGGACCGAGGGCATGGATCAGGCCTTAGCCGCCCTCTATAAGCCCCGCAATGGACGCACAATCGACCCACGGCCGACACTGCGGAGGGAGATGAGCTACGTCTGTCTGGATGAGCTCTTTGACATTGTCTCATTACACGACCCGAGCGCCGCCGGCCCGGAGATTACCTTGCAGCCACCAACGCCTCGCTTTCCCCCTCCTGGCGCCTCAGCTGCCGGGCCACTTGATCCGTTAAAATCGCCTGTGCCTGACACGACCGGCACCGGCGGCGCTCCGGGAAGCCGCAAGGCAGTTGCCGTGAAGGAACCTTCCCATGACCTCCATGTCCGCTTGGCACGCACAGCAGCGCCGTACCTGATTCTCCGCTGTGCCTTGACCCTGCGAGCATACGTGGCCGACCAGCCCCTGCGCGGGCGTATGCCACAGCCGCTCTCGCAGAGGCAGGAGCTGGAGCGGATCCTGCGATGCCTTATAGAGCTGCAGAGCGAGCCTGAAGCCATCCCTGGCTTCTCACAAGTAACCAGCGAAAGGGGCAGACACTTGTACAGCCTGTACCCCTTGTTGGTGAAGGCGGCCATGGTGAACCCGGGCGATGACAAAGTCATTGGGCTGGTCACGGCTTCGTTGGACGCAGTAGGCCGTGAGTTGGGTTTGGGCGTGTAAGTGCACAGTCGCCGGATCTCCTTCATATTTGACACGAGCCTTGAATGTGGAGGGAGAACGACATTTCATAAGAGAACTGGACAGCAACGCGTAGAGACCCTACTTTGTCCGCGGGGAGAGGGGAGTTCCCTTCACGCGGACGAATAGACTTAGTAGTATAATAATCATCATAAACCTTAAGGGTACGGTTTCCCAGGTCTATACTGAGAATTAGCAGGCGAGGCGTGGCCGCGCGAGATGAAACCTAGCACGACGCCAGTGAAAAAAGAAGACCACCCGGCCCTGCCGCTACTTCCCGTCGCCCGCCCGGCCCCCTCCAGATCCTCATAGCTTCGACGGTCTTCCTTTGCCTCCCTGCTGCTGCTGCTGCTCCCGCCCGCCAGGGTGAGCCCCCTCCTCGCCCGGCGTGGGGACATTGCCGCTTTGCTCAGCCTTGAGGCTGATGGGGTCGCCGAGCTGGGACGGGTTGGCACCTGGGCCGTGAAGCTTCTTGGCTGCCTTCTCGCGGAGCGTCTCGCCGCCGGCCCCGCCGCTGCCGCCGCCGGACTTGGATGGCGGCGTTGGTGACGACTGGGACCCGGCCTCGTCGGGCTTGGGGATGTTGTCGCTGGCCTCGGCTTTGAGGCTGATTGGGTCGCCCAGCTGGGATGGGTTTGCGTCGGGGCCGTGGAGGGTCTTGGTGGCCTTCTCGCGGAGTGTCTCCCCCTGGCCCCTTTAAGGAGCTGTTATTGTCTAGGTCTGACTCTGTTGGTGTGAGGTCACGAAGCGGGTTTCTCTTGGATGCCATGATTGTGAAGTGTGGATATGAATGAAAATGGACGGCGTATAAGACAGTGTGTGTACCCAGGGCTAACTGGGTTGCAAACTTACTGGGAGGCTCAAGTATATGAATGCAACGGCCTGGCCTGAGTACTTATTCGAATACCTATATTCCAACCTAACCTCATTGTTCAGTCCGCTGCTTCATTCTGGTCGTTGGAAACAGAGTCAATGACCTCACAACGGGACAGTGGGCATCATGTACTTCCATAATGCCATGTGAAGATGGACCGCGGCCTGCTAAGCACCTAGGAGGAGGTAGCGTCTGGGGCCTGAACACCAGGGGAAGGCGCTATGCCCCAGCACGGTAACGCCCGGGCTTGGTGCATCTGGCACCGGTGCAGGGGAGCTGCGGCTCTGTCGGCCGTTGCAATCCGTACCGTTTGATTGGGCTTGACGGAAAGCGTGTCCCAGCGTTTGCCCGACGTCGGCTCACGAAGACGGCGCGGCAGGCAGAGCTCCAGTTGACGTATTCCGACTGTGGACTACGTACCTAGGTAAGCTCTTCTGGGCGATCAGCAACATCAGCACAGCAACATCCGACCCGCGTCGCATCGACCCGACCACCACAGAACAAGCTCCGCAGCAGATGAAGCACCGGTGACAATGTCGATGCTATCCACGCAAAGGGCCCTCGTGCCCGTCATGCGGCAAGGTCTCGCCGCCCAGACTGCACCCGCACACTCGGCCCGCGTGCTTGCATCCACGGCTGCGCGCAGCCTCGCCGCCCACCACAAGCTCCCCAGCTCCCCTTCGACACCACGAAGCTTCTCCCAGTCCGCGACACATGGCGCCCCCAACCCCTCGATATTAGGCATATCGGGCCCGGGAGGCCCTGGCCTGACCACCTCCTACTTCCAGAAACCGTCCCTCCCCGCCAACACAATCATCCGCTTCGTGCCCCAGCAGACGGCCTGGATCGTCGAGCGCATGGGCAAGTTCAACCGCATCCTCGAGCCTGGCCTTGCAATCCTGGTACCCTTTATAGACCGCATCGCCTACGTCAAGTCGCTCAAGGAGATCGCCATCGAGATCCCCAGCCAGAGCGCCATCACCGCAGACAATGTCACCCTTGACCTGGACGGTGTCCTTTACACCAGGGTCTTTGATGCTTACAAGGCGAGGTATGTCGGGGATCCTGTCTCGCAGGCCCTTCCTTGTCCAAGAAAGTTGTGCTGACACGGTGATCCCGCAGCTACGGAGTTGAAGACGCCGAGTACGCCATCTCTCAGCTCGCCCAGACCACCATGCGCAGCGAGATCGGCCAGTTGACCCTCGACCACGTCCTGAAAGAGCGCGCCGCCCTCAACACAAACATCACCGCCGCGATCAACGAGGCCGCCCAGGCCTGGGGCGTCACATGCCTGCGCTACGAGATCCGTGATATTCACGCCCCGGCCGGCGTCGTCGAGGCCATGCACAGGCAGGTCACCGCCGAGCGCAGCAAGCGTGCCGAGATCCTGGAGTCCGAGGGTCAGCGCCAGAGCGCCATCAACATCGCCGAGGGTAAGAAGCAGGGCGTCATCCTGGCCTCCGAGGCCCTGCGCGCCGAGCAGATTAACCGCGCCAACGGTGAGAGCGAGGCCATCCTGCTCAAGGCGAAGGCCACGGCCGCGGGGATCGATGCGGTGGCCAAGAGCATCGCCCAGGGCCAGGATTCGGCACAGGGTGCGGTCAGCCTGTCGGTCGCCGAGAAGTACGTCGACGCGTTTGGCAAGCTGGCCAAGGAGGGCACTGCCGTTGTGGTGCCCGGTAATGTCGGAGATATCGGCGGGATGATCGCCACGGCCCTCAGTGTGTACGGCAAGGTCGGAGATGTGCAGGCCAAAGCCACGGCGAAGAAGGCGCTGGAGCAAAGCCAAGTCATTGAGGCAGGGTCCGATGCCGAATCCGCAGCCCCCGTCTCTGACAAGGACAGCATCGTCGCCGACTTCGACAAGGCTGCGAGAAGATAGGATGGCCTCCAAGCGCGCTCGAAACGAGTAGAGAAGACCGTCGGCGACGCTCTCAAGACCCACTCGCAGAGTGTGAAGGACGCAGTCGAGGAGGAGCACAAGTCATTCATCGGCCAAGGGTTCGTCTGAGGAACGAGCCGAGAGGGTGTAGCCCGTATAGGTCCCTTAGTCACCTTGTATAAAATAGGCCAAACGGGATGGGGAGGTTTCTCCGTACCCAGCATGGGAGGGAAAAAAAGCATCTTTTTACAGCGGGAGGAAAGCAAAAAGGCAAACGCGTTGATGCTGTGTATTTGTGTATATTTACCACTCATGAGAAGCTAGGAGCATCCCGACTCAATGGTATGGTGGTCGCCCGGGGACGGGCTTCACGAATTCCACATCTTACGACACTACGTCTTACCCTAGCTTGTGCTGTGCTCCTTGTACGTGTGCCTTATCACAGCCTGCTCTCTTGAAGTGCCCTCAATGGTGGTGCTGCCAGGGTGGCTAACTCACATGCCCTTTTAGACCCATAACAGGCGAGCTGGGGAAGCGGATCTGATGAGATCCGAGGCAGTAGTTCAAGTATAGGCCCTCTGAGCTGCGGCATGGGTTTCATGAACGCCGTTGACGGAGTGCAAGTCGACTGGAAGGGAGTGTACACAATAGCCCACTATAAAGCAAGTCTGCGGCCAGAAGAATAGTGACGCCTGTACAGTAGGTATTAAATCCCACCCCACAGTTGAAAATTTTGGTTTCAAGAAGCTGATGAACAAGCCTACGCCAAGTATTCATTGTAAGTACGTGAAGGAAAGTTGTGATTTATGACTATAGATTAGCATTAGACATAAAACAGACAACCCCCCGGCCCTAACGCCTATCAATTTGAACCACCACATCTGAAGTCCCGGCCCCTCAGGCCATTCTAGGACTTCCCCCGCCAGTGATTACTCCTCCCATTACTCGTATACGTAGCAGAACTTGCCGGATGTCGTAGACAAGAGCTCTCCCAACGGCACAGTCTCCCAATCAGCAACGTGCCCAAGGTCCTGCTCCGACAGGAGGGTGCCATTCCCGTGAGGCTCGTAGAGGTTGGTTGTCGTCAGCGGGCCGCGGATTGCCGTGGACACGTTGCCGGCGCGGGCGTCCGGGTCCTGCATCTGCCACATCCACCAGACGCGGTCGATGTTGGCGTGGTGCGACCAGAAGGCCGGGTCGCCGGGGCTGGTGTAGACGTCGCGGCCCGGGTTGCCGCCCAGCGCTGGACTCCTACGCCGTGGACTCCTAGCTCGGGCACGCCTGGGTTAGATTAGATGGTTAGCTGTGGTGTCCTACATTGAGTGAGGAGGTTGGGAGGCGGGGTTTCTCACCCTCTGGGCCCTGCATGACCGTCTCGAAGGTCCAGATATCTTCAGCATCCCGCAGCAGCGACAGCACGCTCGAGGTGTTGGCGTAGCGCTGCAGCGCGTAATCCGTCAGATCGCGCTTGAAGCATCGGGGGTTGTAGTTGAACTCGTATGCGGAGCTGTCGGAGCCGTTGATGACCAGGAGTCCGTCGGGGCCAAGGTTGACGGTCATGTTGGCGAACGGCCCGCTTGTCACACCTCCGCCGCCGGTGACGTGGGGCAAGACTAGTAAGCATGTTAATTTCTTGAAGGACGCGCTGCTGGATGAGGAATCATTGTTGGACCTACCGACTTCCGCAGTAGCACCGTTGTTTGCAATAATGACATCCGAGTCCGTGTAGTTCAAAGACACGCCGTTTCCAGAAAGTGATGTCGCGGAGCCGTCAAACATTTCGGAGTTGGCGAATCCTTCCTCTGCGGTCTTTGTCCCAGTCCCAATACGGGATGGAACCCGTGTAGTTGCACTCGCTGCGCAGGTGTCTGCTCCATCTCCCAGATGAACCAGCGGTGCCAGCCGAGGAAGTTGGCCTGCGTGAAAACGGTCAGCCCTTTTTCCCAAACGACGAATAGATCAGGGAACTTACGGTGGAGTGTATGCTCAGAGTCTGGTTGATGTGCGTCACGATGAAACCGTCATATCTTGTTCTTGCCCCTGCGGCCACGTCTGATGGTGTCATGGCCGGCTTTTCCATCAAGCAATTAAGTGCGTCAGTGTAGGCGATGCGCTCGTCACTGGTCAAGTTCTCCCATGGCTTTCGCACGGAAATGTTCCCGGGCTTGCAGGTCGACGAGTTTGCAACTCGTGATTGTGCCACCTCCAGAGCATGGGAGGCAAAGTCGGCCTGTGTTGCACTGCTAACTAACATCGAAGTCTGTTGTTCTTTGATGTGCCTTTTGAAGAGGGCTGGCGTCAGCGAGGGTGGCCAGTCCGAGGAGGACGGCGGTATACACGAAGGACTGAGACTGCTTGAGCTGCATCTTGATACTTGATTGTAGAGACAAAAAGACTGGATAGCCAAATTCAAGGCCGATTAGATGAAGTATGTGAGTTGAATCTACTGAGAACAGGAAGACAATATTGGCTGCGATCAGTCAAGTCTTATTTATTTCTATCATGAGACAACCATGTCATTGAACTACTCCCAATGACTGGCAGTGCATGCGAACACAACGCTCTCAGATATTGCTACGATGTTTCAAAATGCAAGCCACGCGTTGTTTACCCAGAAGTAAGGCATACAGTCGAGGCTGAATGAGCCTGTCGGTGGACACCTAGAAGCAGCATTCAACCGTGCTGTGTAGAAAGATTCGTAATCGGCCTGTGGCTCGACATCGAAATCCTACCTGTGAATCCCTGAAGGTGACAATTCGAAGATGTTCCAAGTGTTCTCAGACCCTTGGGGATATGCAGGTGCTCCAGTTGTCGTTGGCGATTAGAACAGGTGGGGTTCCATCTTGACTCGTCCCATTACGACTCCCACGGTTGGATCTGCCCTATTCACATTCTTATAGATAGCAACTGGGTTATGCCTTGTGAGGCCGAGCTGGCAATGGGAACTAATTGTCGGGACTCGAAGGGTCGGCGCGGACCTCAAGACTAAGAATTCAATTAACCTTGGTTCTCATCCCGCTCGCTCGCTCCCGTCCCGATCATTCGGAAATTTTGTATCTATTTTCGTTTTTCTTCTTAAACACAACAGCATAAGAAAATTATGAACGGTCCAAATAGACTTCCTTTTCGAAAGTTCCTATCTTGGTGGCTACCTAAGCAGGACGTGTACATGTAGACGTATGTTATTATGATAGGCAATGGCCTGTGCGCGCACCATAGATAGACAAGCATCCCTGCAATACCCAGGAACCAATATATAGGCGCGTAAGCTTCATTCTCGTACCCACTCCAAATGCTTGTTGTGTAGCCGCTTGCTCGAACAGGGTGGAGGGCGAATCTCCGAGTTCTCCAGTCTTTCATAGCTAAGCCACTTGCTTGTTCATCCCAAAGATCCCAAGCATATTAAACAATGAATTAGAGCCACAGCCCTCGCAGTCGCCATGCTTACCGGTAGCAGAGACACCCTCCTCAGTTGCCGGGCCTTGAAAGTAGCTCATTCAACCGCACGAGATATGTCCTGTCTACCGTGGCATTAAATGGTAAGAAACTCCAATTGTCACGAGAGGGGTACTGTGTGGAAAACAGCACGTGTGTGTAGCGGCTTGAGGAGACAACGAGATGTATACTAAGAACACTAATAAGCTGATGAAGGTGTGGCATGAGTTCGAAAACAACGATTGAAATAGAGCCCAAGGCACCCGAACCCTAAGCTTTTCCCCAGAGGGTGTATCTCTTGATAGACAGGATATCAGGCCACAGCTTTTTCGAGGTTGCTTTGCATGCATCGCCGAACCGGAGCGATCGGCGTGAGCTCCGAGAACTCCGAGCTCTGCTCCGAGCTCCCAGTATATCAAAACGGCAGGTTGCCTGATTGACTCCAGCTTCTGCAAAGGCACGTCATATCTGACTTCTTGAAATTTTCTGGAAGAAAAAATGAAATCCTGTCTTCCTCGTGCGGATTGGCATAGGATCCAGAGCACTTGAGTCTTCAGGTTGCAAAGAGCCTGAATGGTCCTCACCAGGCCTCAAGTTTCGATGAGCAAAGATCTTTATCTTGTGACTCGTCCGACCAAGCGAGCTCGCGACATCCCCGCCGGCGATACTGTGGAACCACACGGCAGCTATAGCTCTAAAGCATAGCTACTATCCCAACAAATCCAGGAGCTGGGACCAACACCAGCATGGCCTTCACACCCAGAAGACTCGCTGCAGAGCTCGGCCTCGTGACAATCGCCAGCGCCCCTCGCGATGTATCCCTGATCTTCCTGACGCGCTTCCTCCGGATGGCCGCCTACGGCAGCGCCTCGCTCATCCTGGCGCTCTTCTTCTCCTCCCTCGAGGTCTCCGAGGCGCGCATCGGCCTCTTCATGACGCTCACCCTGCTCGGCGACGTCGCGCTGTCGCTGGGGCTCACCCTCGTCGCCGACGCCGCGGGCCGCCGCCGGATCCTGCTCTTCGGCTGCCTCGGCATGGTCCTCGCGGGCGCGGCGTTCGCCGCCTCCAGCAACTACTGGGTGCTGCTCGCCGCCGCGGTGGTGGGCGTCATCTCCGTCTCGGGCAACGAGATCGGGCCCTTCCGCGCGGTGGAGGAGAGCGTCCTCGCGGGCCTGGTCGGGGAGGACGGGCGGGGCGATGTCTTCGCGTGGTACGTCGTCGCCGGCACGCTGGGCAGCGCGGCGGGGACGGCTGGGGCGGGCCAGCTGGTGGAAGGGCTGAAGAGCCGGGGGTGGACGGAGCTGCAGGCCTTCCGCGCTGTGTTCTGCGTATATGGGGCAATTGGTGTCGTCAAGGGGGTTGCCACGAGCCTCTTGAGCTCTCGGTGTGAAGTCGGCGGAGGCGCGAAAGCAAATGCCTACCAGCCGGTGGGAGCGAAGCAGAGCAGGCCCACTGCGGCCACCGATGAGACGGAGGAGGACGGTGACGACGGGCCGGCACAGCCGGAGCCGAACGAACGCCCTGTACCTCAATCGAAGCCGAAGCTGGGCCTTGCGCAACTATCGAACAAGACACGGTGGACGCTGCTCCGGCTATGCGCCTTGTTTGCGGTCGACTCGCTTGCCTCGGGAATGGTTCCCTACTCTCTGGTCAACTTCTACATGGACCGCAAGTTCCACATGCCCAAGAGCACGCTGGGAGATATCATGTCGGTGGTATGGGTCATGGCCAGTATTGGCAACGTCTTTGCGTCTGCCATTTCGAAGCGCATCGGGCTAGTGAAGACTATGGTGTTCACCCACCTTCCCTCTGCTATCTTCCTTGCGCTTCTCCCTGCGCCGCATGTTGTCTGGCTTACCGTGATCCTCCTTGTAGCAAGGGGAATCTTGGCGAGTATGGACCAAGCACCGCGGTCGGCGTTCTTGAGCAAGGTGGTAGCAGCAGAGGAGAGGACTGCAGTGATGGGTATTGTGAATGTGGTCAAAACGCTGAGCCAGAGTGGTGGTCCCACGGTTACGGGCATCCTGGCAGGATCAGATCGATTCTGGATTGCGTTTGTGGTGGCAGGGTCGATGAAAGCGTCGTATGACCTGGGTTTGCTGACTTTCTTCCTGAAGGTTGAGAAGCAGGCTCAGGCAGAAATGCAGGAGGGGAGAAACTCACGCATGTCGGAGGACCAGACCGAGGAGCTTGATGATGCTTTCGAGCTGGACAGCAACGACGGAGAGTTTTCTGAAGATGACACAGCAAGGAAAGGGAAGGTCGTTTAATACGCATTTCGGAGTCTGTCAATGGGCGAGAGTGTTGTATTGTGCGTGGATCTGCTCCAACTCCAGATTTCTTTCAAGTAGGTACTTGTGTGAATCAGAATGAGCCCACCTTGATTGACTGGTCCATGAGTGGCACACGATCAATGCAGAGAGTCGTTGCGACTGATTCAGTGAATTGACTTATATTTATCAACCAACTCTCACTGAAGCAAGAAGCACCGTATAATCACCCAAATGGTTATTCAAGACCGTCCATAGGTCGTTCGACGTCGGTGTATACTGGATATATGGATCCATGGATGTCTTTGAGATCTCAGGTGTTTGAGGCTGTGCCAACCTCAGGGCTGCTCAGCATGAGAATGTTACGCAAAATGTGGGAGTGGCTTTGAACATGATTGGGTTGGGCACATGTGCAACTGAACAAGGAATGGTATACTTTCTACGATGACTCGAAGTCCAGAGACAGCAGTTGCCGTTAGCAACTGACCGGGTCCACTATTCCGTCTGTTGGAAACCGCATGACCACGGGCCTAGCAGTCTGCGACAGACATTTGAGGTGACCATCAGATGGATGTGCCCTGTCACTTTCCAGACATATCAAGGCACAACTGCCGAGGTGTGACATCCATTATTGACCTTCGACTTGTGGGACAGTCGAGCAGGTAAAATTGTGGGGCTCGCCAGTCCTGTAGCCTGCGAAAGACTTCACACTTTTGGCTGAATCATGGCATGGGTGCTGATGCAAAGCGCACTTGCTGCGCCGCATTGCCTACGAAGCAGACTGACGGCATCTGACCTGCTTGGCGTCGGGTCTTGGCCGATGATGTAGTCGAAGGTTGGGATTGGCTGGCTGGGGGTAGGCGTCCCTGCATTAGGAGTGCTTACAGTGAACATAGACCTTCAAGTTGGTCTCGGGAGATCTTATCCGTGTGAACCTAATCTACCAACTGGTGGCGCGCGCTATCTCTTGTTCGTATCTGTTATCTCTTATTCGTATTCTTATGCGATTTCGCCAAACCCGCCATGTCCAGATGCATAGGGCTGAACACTGCAACAGCAGCGAATTGACAATTGCCGGGCAGGGTGTAGAGCAGGAGATACGGCCTCGCGTCATCGCATGAGAGAAGCAGGAGCATAACATTTCTGCGATGCAGTCGACGGGTCTTGGAAGTGCGAGTGGCATGATCAGAGATCGTCCACTGAGGCCGTGACGTTGAGGGAGCTGATTGGCTGTGGGTCTCGGCCAAAAGTGGGGCACAAATAATTGCTACACGTTGATTAGCAGACCGCTCCATCGCGACTGCTCTTTCCCATGGGGGGCCATATTGGATTTTTTGTTATTATTTGGTCCGACCCAATTCCTCCCTCTCGACCCCCTTTACACTCCTTGGTGAAGCCGTGTCATCTCGCCAGTCCATCCCACCACCACTGAAGTCGTCACCGGCGCTGTGCACCTTCTCGACATCACTGCGCCGCCATGGGGCTCCTCGAAGAGGTCGCAGGGCCGTTGTCCCAACAGTTCAGCAAGCTGGGCACGGCGTCTCAGGTCGGCGTCATTGCGGCCACCGTCATCGTTCTCTCTATTATTCTCAATGTCTTGAGCCAGCTGATGTTCAAGAACCCTAATGAGCCTCCTCTCGTCTTCCACTGGCTGCCCTTGATCGGCAGCACCGTCACCTACGGCATGGACCCCCCACGGTTCTTCAAGGAGAATAGCAAGAAGGTCAGTCCAAGCCCGCCCAGCCATAATGCGTATCCTTGCACCCCACTGACTTGGATGCGACTACAGCATGGCGATGTTTTCACCTTCATCCTCCTCGGCAAGAAGACCACCGTATACGTCGGCCCCCAGGGCAACGAGTTTATCCTGAACGGCAAGCAGAAGGACGTCAATGCGGAGGAGATCTACAACAATTTGACCGGTCCTGTCTTTGGCAAGGACGTCGTCTACGACTGTCCCAATGCCAAGCTCATGGAGCAAAAGAGGGTGCGTAAATGCTCCGTGGAGCCGTGTGCGTCGAAATGGAGTCCGCTGACAGCGATACATGACAGCTCATCAAGAATGTCCTTACGACCGAGGCCTTCAGGAGCTACGTTCCTCTGATCACCAACGAGATCTTGACCTACTTCAAGCGAAACCCCGATTTCCAGGCCCAGTCCGGCACCGTCAACATTCCACCCAAGATGGCCCAGCTCACCATCTTCACTGCTTCCCACGCCCTTCAGGGCAAGGCCGTCCGCGACCAGTTCGACGAGTCCCTGGCTGACCTTTACCACGACTTGGACATGGGCTTCAGCCCCGTGAACTTCATGCTGCACTGGGCTCCCCTGCCTCACAATTCGAGGCGCGATCATGCCCAGAGGACCGTTGCCAAGATCTACATGGACACAATTAAGGCCCGACGACAGAGCGGCGAGGAGGGCGCCGACGACATCATGTACCATCTTATGAACTCGTCTTACAAGGACGGCACCCCTGTTCCTGACCACGAGATCGCCCACATGATGATTGCCCTGTTGATGGCCGGCCAGCACTCCTCGTCCTCTACCAGCTCTTGGATCATGTGCCGCCTCGCCTCCCGACCTGATATCATGGAAGACCTCTACGAGGAGCAGATTCGCGTGCTTGGTTCCATCGACAAGCCCCTGGAGTACGAGGACCTCGCCAAGCTGACCCTCAACGCCAACATCATCAGGGAGACGCTGAGAATGCACGCACCCATCCACTCCATCATGCGAAAGGTCAAGTCGCCGATGCCTGTCCCCGGAACCAAGTTTGTCATCCCTACCAGCCACACTCTGCTGGCCGCACCGGGTGTCTCGGGCAACGATGAGGCGTACTTCCCCGAGCCCGCTCTGTGGGAGCCCCACCGATGGGAGAAGGGCCATCCCCTTGCACCAGCCCAGTCCTTGAAGACTGATGACGACGAGGAGAAGGTCGACTATGGTTATGGTCTGATCAGCAAGGGTGCCTCGTCCCCTTACCTACCCTTTGGCGCTGGCAGACACCGATGCATCGGTGAGCAGTTTGCGTATCTGCAGCTGCAGACCATCGTGGCCAACATCACGCGGTTGTTCAAGTTCAAGAACGTGGACGGATCGACTGGCAAGACCGTGGGCACCGACTATGCCTCGCTCTTTTCGCGGCCCCTGGAGCCGGCCCCCATCTACTGGGAGAAGCGTTAAGGGAAACGATCAATCTACTGCTCTTCTCCGATCAGATTCATTATGACTGTACATAAGGGTTTGGTAACTAGACTTTGCGGGCGGAGTGGGGCTTCGGAAAATAAGACGGCGGAGCCAGGCTGCCAGCAACAATAGAGCGATGGGTTTGCAGAGAAAGACTGCGCAAGGATACCAGATAATTTCAACAATAAAATGAAATAAACACGATCTACAAGAGCATGGCTCCTCGAATGGATGAATTCAAGCAGTGACGGTCGTTAATCTAGAGCCGCCATAGCTCGCAGGCCCAACAGGTCCAGGGGTCACGGCACGAGCCGTGTTTACCGTCCTTTTGGGAAGGTTTCGATTGACTCTGATAGAACATGTGTTTTGATAGTGTGACTAGGACCGATTGAGAGTCTATTTCTTAACTTTTGGTGTAAAAGGAACATCCAGGACTCCAGCTGCGAGCAAACGTCCCCACCTGCACCACTTGAACTGCAACGGCCGACCAACAAGCTTTCTGACAACGGCTCAGACTCCTGATCTGCGGTGCCATCATCTTGTTTCTCGCTCGGACACACCAAATCGGGCCATGAAACCCCAGAGCAGTCCAGAACGGTTTCAATTGCCGTTACCGAGCACGTCAGAACGGGCGATTGCACCGAGGGAATCTCATCTTTTTTTGATAGGGGTGTGCTGATGAGGTGACGGTCCACTGCACTTGAAGCGAATGAGTGACATTGGCCTGCTCAATGACGCAGAGGCGGCGGGCTCGCTCAGCTACTCACCGGCAGTGCGTCTCATCCCCAACATCGTCATCCACACAGCTCGTTTCACCCAACACACGGAACGCACACATTGAATGGCCGCCGTCCCTTGAAGACACATTTAACTTTATGTGATCAACTGGAACTGTCTATCATCCAAAGCGAAATACAGGGTCTTGCCCAACGGCTGCTGCAAGCATGGCCGACAAACAGAAAGACCCCCTCCTCCGCCTGACCGGCCTCAAATCCCCACAGCTCCCCTCCGCGACCGCCTCGCCCGAGGAGCTAACCCCTTTCATAACATCCCTCCTGGAGGAGGCAGTCCCCTTCATCGACACAGCAGCGCCCAGGGCCGCGGACTTCACGGACCCCGCGGTGCCGGCCCCGCCCGCATCCAACACCCTCTGGAAGCCCAAGGGCACCAAGAGCCACCCGGACTCGACGGCCAAGATCGAGCTCAGCGAGCGGGCCGTCAATGTCGGCGAGGGGCAGCAGGAGACGTGGGCGTGCCGGCGCAGCGTGCACGCGGACGCGGCGTCCAAGGGCACGGCGAGCTGGGCCGAGTTCGCGGACTGCATCCGCGACCGGCACGCCGAGACCGAGGACGCGTTCACGCCGACGGTGCTGGCGCACCGCGAGGCCGTCTCGTGGGGGTCCGCCGCCGCCGCCCCGCACGTCTGGGCCGGCGGCATCGCTTGGGGCAGGTTCAGCCTTAGCTTGGTGGAGATGAAGCACAAGATCCCGCCGCCGCTGAAGCCGAGGGTGTTCCCCGTGCTGCAGCTCGTCGCGTCGGCGGTGCCCGGTGGTGGCGGGGACGGCGGGGCGGCCGTGGGGGCGGAGAGGGACGAGTTTGTGGTCGTCTCCGTGACGGTGTCTGACCTCGCGACGGGCCAGCTGAAGGACAAGGCCGCGCTGTCGGTGGAGAAGGGCGTCGTCGTCGGCGCGTACGTCAGCGTGGAGAGGGTGAGGAGGTTGCCCGGTCAGGGGGAGGACAAGGGCAAGATCGAGTGGATCATGGCCACCGCGAGCGACGCCAAGGGCGTGCTGCCGATGTTCCTGCAGACCAAGGCGGTGCCCGGCCAGATTGCGAAGGATGTGGGCATGTTCCTGGGCTGGGTCGACAAGGAGAGGGCGAAGAAGGGCTAGAGGGGGCGCAGCTGGAGCGCCTGGAGGCGGCGGTGATCCAGCTCCTGATGCGAAGGATGCGACGGAGAGCACATGGGAGTTTGACAGCTGTCACTGGATCGGGCGGGTAGTAATTGGCAACGGTTAACAGTTCACAGCGTGCGGGATGGATGTCCGGCTCGGATGGTCAGGCTTCAGCGGCGCAACGTCAACGGTGTAATATTAATAGTCGAGGCTGAAACAGGTACGGAGGAGGGTGCATTATCAACTGTACGGATGAAAGCTAAATTGACCGGTGTTGGCAGATTATGAACCCGGTATTTGACACGCTGATGTAGTTCGAGCACAAATCGGTCCGAAAATTGCAGTCATAACCAACCCAGGGGACCTCCGTCCGCATCTGCGAGACAGTCTAACAACCTAGAAGAAGTTAGGGTCCGTAGTCCGTAGTTCTCGGTCTTCTTGATATCTTCTCTTTCGGGTCGACGACGCGAGGGGTGTGCCTGTGGTCTCTCTCCCCAGAGGTCCTCCGTGTACTGATATTGCTGCGGTTTTTTTGGGGTTTTTTTTTTTTTTTGCCTTGCCTTGGTACCCTTTCACTGGACTGCCGCATCTGTACTGATGTCCAGCTTGATACTTCCCTGGAGTTTTCAGCTGACATTTGGGATGGTTCGAATGCCAAATTGTTTTTCAACGAGGTGTGAAATTCTACATACTTCTACTATCAAAGTTTGTGTGTTTGAGTTCTAGGAAGCGAGACACGTGCAACGTGTTACGAACAGCTCCAAAGGCTTGTTACTATGCATGGTTGTTGCTCAGATCCCTGCCGTTGTTCTCAACCACCGTCTCTACAACAGAAAACAGGCATTGTTCGCGATGGTGGTGATGACTTTGAGTCAGTGGGCCAGACATTTGTAATATCTATATGAAATACTCGGGTTTGTATGCACATAGTCATACGCATGGTGAATCAAACAACCTCGCGAGATGGATACCCAAGTAGGCAAGAAGATGAATGTTTGGGCGGTGAAGGTGCAGAGCTCAAAAGGGTTGGACCCTGAAGACGGACCTGAAACATTGGGGTCCGTCGTCCAGCCGGTCGGCCGTTGAAGACACTCGAAGCTCTCTATAATTGGTGACCCGAGTGGTCGGAGCGTCTGAGAGCTCCGAGTCCGTTTGATCAAGGTCACAGCACGATGGACGGTCAGACTGATGTTCATCAGCCGTCTGTAATAAATCGCCGAGTGCAGCATTCCATCTCGATGGACGGGTGGATTGAAGGATGGGATCTGCAGCTTGTGGGGACGAGATTACCTGACAGCCGGGCATGTGCCAATCGGCGCCATTGCGAGCTTCAGAAGGCTTCTGTAGCATCCAGCCGGCGATCACAAGCCAGACCACCTGGGCATATGCTTGGGGTTGACAAGAAGGCGCCGAGGATGTTTTGATGAGCGTTCTATGTCCCCCGCCCTGGACGAACACGTCGCTGTCTCGAGGGACAGGGTGCATCTATCCAGTCTTTTCAGGGTGATCTGGCTCGAGTGCGTCTCGTCTCTTGGGAGATCTTGGCCCGTGAAGAAGGTGAGATCAGGAACTGAGGTGGTTGCCCTTGCTGTTGCTGTCCCCACGCGCGAGCATTTCCGCTTTAAGCCATCGTTTCGATTGGGCGTTGCATGCCACGCAGCGGATCGGAACGACAGCCCCACGGCGTCACAGATGTCTGTGTACAGAGATAGTAATCCATCCGATCAGAGGCGTCGCTCGCCAATGTTTCAAGGCAGCCGGCCAATCGAACGCGAGCCCGTTGAAATGACATCCTGCCCGCTGGAGACGGGGGACGGGAGACGGACTGCCGCCTTGCCACGCCTCTCCTACACTGCCCGTCCCCGTCTTTTTGTCTTCCCTGCTTCGGTTTACTTAGCGCTTCTTGTCTGGCTCCTCGAGCACTTGGTCGGCACGTCATGAACTTGATATGGACCGGCCTGTCCCCCTTCCTTCTCGCTGGGCCTAATTGCATGTCCTCTCAACGGCATTTGCTCCCAGAGTCTCACACCGAAGCGTCCATGCTTCCATGTGCAGCCAGTTGCCGGGTCCGACACCTGACTTTCCTTGCTCAAACCGAGCGGACATCTCTGGAATATCCCCAACCCCCCCCCCCTGACAGCCAATCCTTGCCCTGTACTTTAATCGCAACGCATCCTCGAAAGTAGGAATAATTCCCGGCGCGTCCCTCCAGCTGTACAGACACGTCTTCGGGACAAATAGTTCCTGAGTTTTCTGGAACCTTTCATTCGATCTTTATTGTTCAAATCCAGCCTGGACTCGTCGCGCAGAGGAGAGCCAATCGTGAAGTCGGCGTCCATACATTATTTAACCAACTACAAAAAGGCCGGTCAGCGCCGCATCCTATTGCTGCGGCATATCCCCGACGCTTACACAGAAGTGGTCCACAGCGCGCGATGGATCTCCCGTGGAAACGTGTGACAGCGGTTGCTGCCGTCGCCGCGTACGCCGCCACGTCGATCCTCAAACAGGAATGGTCACGGTCCTCCTTCACCAGATACTTCGCCGTCAGCTGGCTGCTGAGCTTCCTCTGCTGGGGACTGTGGACCGTCATCCTCTATCCCAAGTTCTTCTCGCCTCTTCTGGGCCTGCCTGAACCACACAACCCGTCATGGATCAACGGGCAGTACTCCAAGATCCGCGAACTCGCAACTGGTGTCCAATGCTTGAGTGGTAAACATGCCCGAGGAGCCCTTCCGCGTATGCCTGAAAACAGACGTTGACAGCATGACAGGGTCAACTCTGTGCCCAACAATGGCATCATTCGGTATCTTGGCCTGCTCAACCAGGAACGGCTCCTGCTCACATCGCCCAAGGCCCTGGCTGAGGTGCTCGTCACCAAGAACTACGACTTTGCGAAGCCCGGGATGGTGCGGTACTCGATCGGCCGCATCCTGGGCGTCGGTGTCCTGCTAGCCGAGGGCGACGAGCACAAATTCCAGCGCAAGAACCTGATGCCCGCCTTTGCGTTCCGTCACACCAAGGACCTGTACCCCCTGTTCTGGAACAAGGCGCGCGAGGGGGTCCAGGCGATGACGGAGCAGGTCCTCGTCGACGCGGCCAAGGAACCCGCCTCCCCGGCCTCTCAGGATCCGGAGAAGGCGGCGAGCGAGAAGACGGGCGGGCCTAAGGCGGCCATCCTCGAGGTTGGAGGCTGGGCATCGCGGATCACGCTCGACATCATCGGCGTCGCGGGTCTCGGGAGGGATTTTGGCGCCATAGCCGACCCGACAAACAAGCTGTTTCAGACGTACAACCACCTGTTCAAGCCGTCGCGTCAGGCGCGGTTCCTGGCGACGCTAGGCCTCATCCTCCCCGCGTGGTTCGTCACCCGGCTTCCCGTACGGCGCAACGAGGACGTGCAGGAGGCGGCCAAGGTGATCCGCAGTGTGTGCTTCGACCTGATCCGCGAGAAGAAGGAGAAGCTGGCGCGCAAGGAGCTCACGGACGTCGACATCCTGTCCGTGGCGCTCGAGAGCGGCGGGTTCAGCGAGGACAATCTGGTGGACCAACTCATGACGTTCCTGGCGGCCGGCCACGAGACGACGGCCAGCAGCATGACGTGGGCCATCTACATGCTGTGCCTGCACCCGGGCGTGCAGGCGCGGCTGCGGCAGGAGGTGCGGGAGCGCCTCCCCTCCATCGACGGCGGCGGCGCGAGCGTCTCGAGCCTCGACGTCGACCACATGCCCTACCTGAACGCCGTGTGCTCCGAGGTCCTGCGCTACTTCGCCCCCGTGCCCATGACCCTGCGCGAGGCCGCCGTCGACACCACCATCCAGGGCCAGCGCGTCCCCAAGGGCACCCGCATCGTCATGGCGCCCGCCGCCACGAACAAGGACACGGCACTCTGGGGCGCCGACGCCACAAAGTTCAACCCGGACCGGTGGCTGCCCAAGCACGACGGGGACAAGAGCGCGGCGGCCGGCGGGTCGAGCAGTAACTATGCCTTCAGTATGTCATCCCTAGTCCTCCTCCTCACCGTCCTAACACCGTACAATGCGATACTAACACTGCGATAAGTGACCTTCCTACACGGCCCAAGGAGCTGCATCGGTATGAACTTCGCTAGGGCCGAGTTCGCGTGCCTCCTGGCGGCGTGGGTGGGCCGGATGGAGTTCGAGCTGAGGGACAAGGCCGAGCTGGACGAGAGGAACATGGAGATCAAGGCGGGCGTGACGTCCCGGCCGGCCAAGGGGCTGTGGGTGAAGGCGACGGTGCTCGAGGGGTGGTAAGCACGTGGGGGTGCTGGACGGGCTACCTCGTGTGGCTATGGGAAGGAATGTATATATGCACAAAGATCAGTAATAATGGTACTGTTGGGCCTCAATACGTTGGTTGTTGGTTGTTGGTTCTCGGGGCTGCTAATGATATCATCGGTAGGGCGAATGCAGTCTGTTTGTGTTGGTTGTAAGTTGAGGAACCAAACGTCCACATGTGAGCTGAGTGGCCTGGACTAGGCACTTCTCGGTAGGATGACTTCCTGTGCCCATTACACACCCTGAGGTATCTCTCATTTCCTTCTATATTTTTCCAGGTATGTTCGCAATGGTATGGCTCCGACGTCAAGATCCCGTCATTGGCACTGACAGTCAGCCTCGCATTTGTTCTATCGGCGTGCCTCGTGCATAGAGATCCGGGGCTTCGGATGTCACCATGGCGACTCACTCCGGCCTTCATACCACTCGTCTACAGCTCTTCTAATGACGCCGATTGAGCATTCATTGACATCAGCTCAACTGAAGGCACCATGGTTGAGTGCTCGAGACGCACCGGGCTGTTTAATCGGGGCAGGAGCTTGGTCCAGGACACCGATGCGAAATCAGTTATGATACATGACAGAGCAAACCAGTGGTTCCAGTCCGTATGCTACCTAGGGATACACATGTATTTATTTATAAATCCGACTTGACTTGACTGTCCAACCGGTCATATGTCCGGCGACAGTTCAGCCCCAACGGTAAGTGTCTTGTCATCGATTACAATGAAAGCCTCGTTCAGGAGGTAAAAAGATGATCAGGGTCCCCCAATGGTAGGATTCTGTTTGGTAAGTCTGCCACGACGTTCAAACATGTTCTGTCCACTCCATCTTCGCTAGATCACGGACCGACCGCTCATTTCACCATCACTCTTCGTGCCGCCCCCAGCAGGTCTCGAGCACCCGCTTGGTCCCTTCACAGATTACAGTCAAGTAAGTCCTGTGCCATTGAGCTCCAGACAAGCCATGCCCAGGCCGGGTATGAGATCAAGCCTCCAGAGCTGGCCGATGAGCCTTCTGGAGTCTATTGAGAAGGCCTCCAGACCGGGGCCGCCACCCTCAGTCTATCTTCCCCCTGGGAAAGGAACATCCCGTCGTGAGGGAGATGAGTCTCCGAAACCATCGACCTAGTGGCAAGAACGCTCCTACCCGTGCCTCTCGACAACAGGGTCCTAGCACCAGATCCTCCGCGAACATCCCTTACAGGGCCCCCCTTCAATGCGTATCGATACATACCTCAACCCGCAGAAGGGGGGGATAGGAGGACGAGGGGAGGGACGAAGCAAGGCTCCGTGCGCGTCATCTGATCAAGACGTTTGCGTTCCCCCTTCACCTCCCTCCCGCTCAGATCGCCCATGGTCCAGACACATGAAACGAGGCCGAACAGGTACAAGACGAGGGCTGTGCGCGGCAGCTACCGGCCTTCTCACCCTTCTCTGTGTCTGCCTCCCGCCTGACAGGTCTAGTAGGCCCCGTAGTCCTTCGTTAGCCCCAGCTAGTCAGAGGCGGGAGGGAACAGGAGGCTATAATTGACATGCAGCTGTCCACGCTATAGCACGGGGTAGGTGAGGGGGATCTGTGCGCAGGGCCCGTCGGCCGGCTGGTAAGGTCGTTTCTAACGTAGGTAGCAGTGCGGGTAGCGGGAAGGTAAGGGGTGTACGTTAGGTGTGTTGGTGTGTGTGGTGACGGGCACGGTTGACGGGCGGCATTTGCTCGCATTACGCTGAGTTGCTTCTTCCCGTTTCCTCTCTCCCTTCTCCCCTACCCGGCGCTGCACCTATCCCAGATGCCTCGTGCGGGATCGACCACCCGTGCCGTCCTCGACTGCATGGTAATCTTATCGCGGGAGAGGGAGGGGGAAGGGGCAGAGGAGACCCATCTCTCTCACTCTGTTCCCTCGATTCACTTCGATATGTGAGCCAAACCGGGCCAGGATGAAAAGAAGGTGTGCCAGATGTGTTGAAGGTTTCGCGGGGATCAAGGCCGGCCCAAGAACCACGGGCGGGCGGGCGCACAAACGATCGATCATGGTTTTTGCTGCGCTGGCCCAATTGAAATCCAGTTCCAAGTCGACAATGCGGAGTGTCGGTATGTTAGCTGTAGGCAAGCCCATATCCAGCCATCAATAAGGTTTTTGGCGGCAGCGAACCTGACGTTCCTCGCGGCCGGGCTGCGCCGTCGAGCTTGGGACCCCCCGGTCCCCTTGACTTTGCTCGACCTGAACCCGATCGCTGCTTGGGTCGACCCGGGTGAGTGTCGCCGTTAAGGACAGACTATGGGGTATAGCAGGTCAGCTGGTAACGGTCCCAGCGGGCTCAATGCCCCAAGGACCTGGGATGTCGTCGCTTCGAGCCGGTATCAAGTTAGCGTAGCCGCATCCTGAGTGGTGCTTGGTTCAGCTATGCGCTCTATATTTGCATGAGCGTAGTATATGTTACATGAGGATGAGTATTGTTTCACCGCAGAGAACAAACTAGAAAGCGCCCAAAGCGCGGCATTTGAGTAAAGGTGATTGTTCATTTAGCCATCGCAGTTTCGCGAACGGCACTCGAGGTTTGCGTCGAGTAATAGCAGTGCAGTGTCCCTGTCTAATAGTTGCCCAACTCCAGCCGTTATCATGATGCAGTGAATAAAGTAGAGATATACGAAACAATCTGCAAGTGTCGTTGCAGCAGAAAAGAATGGTACAGGCGCCCGCCCTGGGATCACCACGTCCCGTGGAGCTTAGCCCTGGTCCTGGCACCCCTATTCTGCAGGCCTATCTTGTCCCTGTTTAACAGACTCCTCCATCGTAAGCTCACACTGGTCTGGTCCCTCCCTGGTAGATTGCGAACACAGTCATCCCATACCTCACTGGACAAATCCATGTTCTTGACCTTCTCGAGCACGACCTCGACCAGCTTGTGGTCATCTTCGAGGCTCCACTGATCGCCGCGCGCGCCCACTTCGACGTTGGTGCCCTCGGTGGTCTCGATCTCGTTTGCATCGGGGGCTCCCAGCTTGTGGAAATCTTCCTTGGTGAGTCCGCGCGGGACGTCTGGTGGTGCTATTCGCTGTCTCTTGGGTGTTGACGGGGCGGCTTGTGATGATTTGTCTGAGTATCCCTTGAAGACAAACATTCCGGGGTCTCGCTTGGTCTCGTTGTTCATGTCAAAGATGTTGACGTTCTCCTTTCCGTGGTGTTCGTCACTGCTAGAGCGCTCTTCGTCGTCTCGGCCCATGTCGTCATCATCGGAGCGTCTTCTCTTATTCGGACCCCTAGGCGGTGCGCGCTTCTTGATCCTGTATCGTAGAGGCTCGTTCTGTGCCAGCGAAGAAGATGGACCAGGTGATGGCTCGGCCTTGCGACGGCGAAGGCGAGGTTTGCTGAGAGGGCTAGGCATGTTGGCGAGCGGTGGCGACGGGAGGTGAGAGTTTACATCTGGGATCGGCTCGTTGGGGATTGGCGACGACAGCATGGTGTGAAGGTTACGACATGAGTTGATGAGGTTTCCGATCGCGGTCTGGGTGGAGAGCTGGGGAGGGCTGGCGGGCGGCGAGATGAAGAGCGCCGACTGCAGGCGCGGGTGCGACGGGTCGCAGGATAAGGCAGACGGCAGCAACATTTTCGATGATGCGCCCAGTCTTATGGCGAGTCTCAATGATTGGATGTCGTTTTGGAAGGCCGGAATTGCAGCTGCGACAGCGAGTAGTAGGGCTGCGGACAGATGCGACTGGTTTGCGACAGGATGCGATGCAGTCAACACGACAACAATGCGAATGCGCCGGGGGCAACGAGCGTGCGCGGCGGGCAGGAGTGTCGAAACTGTTGATGAGAGCGATCGCAAGGTATAAGGAGCAGCTTCGCGATCAAATTGGGTCGAATTCGGTCGTCGGGAGGGCAGACAATGGTGGTTTAGAAGTCGGGTGGTTGTGGGTGGTGAAGCGGCGAAACGGGCGGCGAAGCAGGAAAAGAGACTTGGGGACAAGAGGGCGGGAGCGCAGGAGGCTAGAGGGGAATAAGTCGCCCGTAATAAGGGTCAGACCCAGGCATCGCCCAGTTGACCCGGTTACCCAGAGTACGTACTGGCCACGACTGGGGGCGCCAGATGGGGGCCGGTCCACTTGGGCGCAGGTGCAGTTGTACTCTGGACTCCCAAGTGGGGCACGGGCGGCTGGACAGGGGGTCGGGGGCTCAGACCTTGACCTTGCCCATGTCCCTGTCTCAAGGTACCCGAGCTGGTCGAGGTACATGGCGCACCATTGCGATACACCTGACTTGCAAGCCGCCCCTTCCCAAGTGCCTCTCTTCAAGCCTGCCACGCAGGGCCTGAATCCGAGTCTCACCAGGCCGTGGGAAGTGCCGCCTCAAGCCTCTTATCCTGCAGGTCCTGACGCAGCCACGACAAGTACCTGACACCGACCGACCTGTGCCTTGCCTAGTCCCCCCTCGTCTCGTCCCTTGCCCTCCTGCCCTGCCGCGCTCCTTCGCATCGAGAGGGGCAGATGCATTCCCATCATGCAGTCGACCTGCAGGTTATCTACAGTGCTTACCCATCCGTTCAACTCTCCGTCACACCTGGCATGTACCCACTCGGACATGTAGGTGAGGGGAAACCGGATGACAACAGTCGGTCTGTGGTTGGTATCACCAACGGCCTGGCATGGTGTGCCCCACGATCCCTCCCTCTCTCACCACCCCGGCGCCCACCTCTCTTGGGGATGCTGCTCTCCGTATGTCTGCTTTGATACCGTCTGGAGCGCCCTCCAGCAAATCCGGAACATGGAGAGGCGAGCCTTTCCTCTTGCGGGACGCTGTTACCCACCTTGCTCGATGGCCAGATGGCACATCCCTTCTCTCTAGTCAATCATGTCTGGCTAGTCAAGCTCTACGCTTCTAGTCTCGTCAGAAGGTGAGTCTGACGGTCTCGCCTACTCCCGTGGCCCTTCGCCCTTGACAACCTGGACCCGCTGACTACAGCTCTGACCGCTGGCAGTGGCCGTGCGAAGGGTGTTCCCGAATGCACTCACGGGTTGATGTACACCTGTGTCAAGATACTCTCGGTGGGCCGCTGAAATATGGCCAGAGATTAACAACAGACGAACCCAGGCAACCGTTAAATTGGTGCGCCTTTGCGATGCTTGCATTCATCTCCTGAGGGGACAATCAGCACGCGTCCCAAACCACTTGTCCTCGTGTCGAGGCCAGTCGAGCTGGCTTGACAACGCCATCAACAGCCTATTCGCCGATGTGATCGCGCATTCGTCGATCGCACCAGGCCTTGGGACGGTGGTCACTACATCATACTCTCCAGGTTCCTCTAGCCTTCCATGCACAGCCCTAGAAGAAATCCGGCCGCTCGGAGGTGACGGCTGTGACCGCCCACAACCACAACCACCCTTGCTCGAGGCTACAGGGTGCCGTCTTGTCGTCTCGAGCATTTCGCAGCTTAATCCTCGTCGTCCCCGTCTTCCATCATCGCGATCCATGGTGCTCATCGCCAGTGACGTATATCGAGCCTTAGAATTAATAATGCGCCCATGACGATGTCTGCTATACAGCAATATGCCGTCAATGGTTGACCCTCGCGGAACGTCTGTCGGTTTCGTGGTCTCCCAGGGCTGGCCTGCACGGCGTGTAAGTCAGTCCTAGGTGGGACCAGTGTTTGACAGTTACTCTTCCTGGCCCCGGGGGATTTGCACAGCGCCGCAGCTGGGCGTCTGACTCCATCGTGGAGAGCCCCGGGAACCGCAATCCGTTCCTTCTATTCCCCTCTTCTGCAACCACTTCCGCTTCTGCGATGCTTCTGTTACATCCGCCCTGCAGCTGGATCTCCCCGTCTCGCTCTCCTCCTTCTCCTCCTCCTCCCGCCTTTTCCCAGCCATTCACAAATTCATTACCAGCCACGCCTTTCATTGCCAGAGAGGGGTAGGGTGTAAGTTCTACTGAGGTCTTCTGCTTCTTGCTCCGTGCGCGGAGGCAAGCCAAGTCATATGGCCAATGTCATCTAGCTTCACGAATGGCAGATAGGGTTGTCTCCTACGATGAATACCATCTAATCACCGTACGGCATGGGTAGACAGATGTGTCTCATTGGTTCCTCACCGGCCATGTGACTGTTGGAATCCGCAACGGAGCGTGTCATCGTGGAGTGCATGACCACCAGTTGATGGCATGATGGAGCACTGCCTTCAGACAGAGACAGCCTACTACAATCATTTTATGCGCCATGTGCGCCTGACGCACAAATCAGCATCGTGTGGCATGGGCTCACAAGAATAGTCCACAGGTCACCTCACCGGGGGTGGGCAGCAGCAAAGAAACGAGAGAAGCATGGAACGAAGGGGGGAAGAAGGGGGGCGAGGGCGTGCGTGCCGAAGCTTGAACGCCAGCAAGCAGCGAGACGCGTCTTGGGGAAAGTCGCGTCTCCGCCAGGTGGAGACGCGAAGTGGGAAATTGACTCGCCCATTGACCAATCGTCTTACACCAAGTTTGATTGACTTTCTCCAGCGCGACCCATTTGCGAATGGAGTGTCGGCCCCTACGATGGCTTCGGAACCAGTCGATGTGACACTGCCAGATCTCATCGCGGCTCCACGGTTCCAGCAATGCACGCCCCCATCCCTGGCCACGCGCTAGGAGCTCACCGCCCGAAAGATCCGGACCCGTCTTTCCACTGAACCTCTTCGTCCAGACGTTCCCCCTGAGAAGTCACCGGATCCCCTTTTTGGATACCCAGAGACCCAGATGTATCGTGGGCATGCTGGCATGCAGGATGCGGGCCCGTCGTCTTCCATGATGCCAAAAGTCACTTTTGCATCACCTCCTTGGCACAGAGACGACGAGCACACCGGCGGGAGGGGCGGTGAGAAACAAACTCGATGCAGGACTCGGCCGTCTTGATTTACGCCAACCACTCTGCACAACAACTAGCCATACCTCGGCTGCAACTTCAGGACCCTGCCAAGGCACCCTGATACCCTGAATCTGTTAGGGCCCGATTTGCACCCTGCCTTTCGCCTTTCCCAAGGTCAGGGGATTTCCACCTGGTCTCGGGAGGGGTGAGTTGTCGCAATAATAGGCGCGACGAGAAGAACCGGCGCCAACCAAGGACATTGCGATTCCCTGGCGGAGTCGGCGAATAGTCGGCTATCCAACACCCACGAGCACAAGTCTGCCGGCCGCTGAAGCTGCCCATGACTTCCAGGGACAACGTCAAAGACCGTCAGCATTGCCGGGAAGTTGTCCATCTACATCGCCGAGCACAGTCAGCATCCCCTGCCATTGAAAATTCCTTACCCACCGTATCCTATCTTGCTCCCCCAAGTTCATGCAGCGCCCGTCATCAAACTTTCCTCCCGGACCGTTGCAGTGATCCATAAATCGCATCTGGCCAAGAAAAGCAAGGCGCACAGTCTTGCGTGGATAGGGCAAAGAACTCTTTGGAAGTTTCAAACTTTTCCAAGTCCGGCCCCTGCTTCATTTGGGCACCCTTTATCCCCGTATACCCGGAGTGTTCTTTTCTTTTCGCGGCCCGGCCCCGAGTGAGGTTGTCATGCGCCTAGGATCATCGTTATGCAGCCTGCGCGCACGCGTTCACCCCTTCCGCGTTTGCGTGCCAACAACGAATCCCCCAGCCTCTCTGCTCCAGCCATCGAAAGCTTGGATGATTTCATCATTGCTTTCGCTCCATGCCCAATTGACCAAGATCGGTCTTACCGAGCGTTGCACTTCCACTCAAGCGAGGAAGGAAACTCCGAGGCCATTCCATGCCCAGCACCGGCCGGCTGAACTGCAAGGGGCATAAACCAGCCACCTCTTGCCCCCGGAGCTTGGATCCCTGGAGCCTTGGAAGCTCTCAGGAACTTCGAAGGGTCCTCAGGGTCGCCCGGGAACTAATGCTAGCCTGCAACACCGGACTGGGCTAGACTAAGGGTCCAGAGCAAGGAAGTCGTTGTTTTGGTAAATTGCTTCATTGACGAGCAGGTAGTCCCTTGGAGATCAGAATTTTCCAGGTTTCCTTGTCACCGTAGGGACCTTTTGCTCCTGAACTCAGGGCTCGACAAGGTTGGGTCTTTCTTGTACTCTTCGAGTTTTGGCAGGCAGAATGGCAGGCAGAAAGGCAGGCAGTGACTGGTGTTGTAAGACAAGTCTGCTACAATTGTGTTCCCTTGTCACGGCTGAAGGGGCAGGTCCCGGCGTTGTGCTTACCCAACTACATGCCGTGGACAAGGCTGAGCTGGAACATGTCAGTGCAGATGGGTCAGCATTTCCTGAGTGGCCAGTCATGAGTCGATAGGCTATTGCTTGTTAGCATTCGCCCAGATGGCTCAGCCGATTTTGATATGAGGCATGAGAGACACAAGTGTGTGAGCCACCCATCACCATCCCAAAATCTCTTGACTTCACTTGCCCGGGTTCATCCAAAATGACCATTGAATGGCCTGCAACCAAGATTTGAATGCAATATTTCAACAAACAAAGTCATTGAGTAATTGGGATCGAAACGAAGACTCCACATAGTATATCTCATGTTGCTATTCAACTACACGACAATGTGAATACCAACTTTCTTATCCTTTCACAGCTAACATGTGCAGAAGTCTGGTTTGCAAAATTGCAAAGGAACCTCAAGTTGGTCGTATAACAAACGCCCTTCATTTTGTTTTCTTCACATCTCCTGTTCATCATCTTACATATGAATGATAAGGAGGAAAGCTCAACTCATACACATGAGACGACACAAGTCGGCAAGGGCGGCCAGTCTAATCATCTGATCATCTATATCTCCTGGTCGAATCACTTCAACCGAGGGAGGCTGCTTCGATATAAGACTTGACCTATCAGATTGATGTATCCTTGTAGTGGTGATTCTGCACCGGGAAATGGGTTGAAATGAGAACGGAAACCATTCCACAAAAGAGTGGCTGTTTGGGCCTGGGGGTTCATCCGACCCGAATCAGATTTGTTTGTCTTGATTCACTACTGGTTGTTCTGTTTCTTCAACGCCGGAGTGGAAAATGGCCTGGAATTCATCTGAACTGTCAGTTGGCAGTCACGAGATGGTTTGGGAGGCTCTGGGAAGGTATCGACAGTGAAATGTATGAGATCGCGTATAACAGTTCTTCTCCAGTCACTGTGGCTTCGATGAAGGTCGTTGTAGATGGATATAAAAGCCTTTCCTCTTCCCCTTTCCATCTACATTTGTTTCTTGCAGTTTCCCTTCCATGACAAGCTCATAGCACGCGCGTGTCTCGAGCGAACAGAGCAACTGCTCGTCAAGACTGCAGTGAAGCCAGTCCCATAGCATCCCAACGTGAATACTGGTGAGTTACCTCATGATGTGGAGCCTCAGTGAAGAGCACTCCAGTCCTTGGACCTTGTGGACCCCAAGGCACATATGGCCAACATCTTCCCTCCTCCCTCTTTGATACCAAATGTGCCCAGTCCCCATTCATTGCGATTCCACAGCTGATCTGTGATCTTTGCAGCCTGTGTTCACTCCAAATCGCCCCTGGTTTTGGGTCATTCACCAGTCTCGTCCGTTGCCCCACGACCGCACCACTCACTGCACAGGAAACAACAAATCCATACACACGACCCTGCCTTCTGCCTCTCTTTATTTGAAAACCTAATGACCACCAAATCGTCTCTCTTCTTTTTCTTCTGACTGTTTGCCTTGTACTCCAGCAGAGTCTCGTCAGCACTCCTCGCCATATCGGGGCGCGTCAGCAGACACAACCTCTCCGAGTCCCTCCTAACATTTACCGTTTCTCAGTGCAAACTCCTTTCCCGCAGAATACGATGGCTCCCCACACGAGATTCAAGCTGGCCGTCATCAGAACCATGCGGTGCGACTTCTGCAACGACGGCAACGTTGATGGTGTTCAAGAATGCCAGGACTGCAACGTGCATTTTTGCCGCAAGTGCGTCGAAAGCGGAAAGCTGGATAATGACGAGAGGCACCGGATGCAGCAGAAGGCCATCATTAAACTGAATTGGGCCAAACCCCCCAAGGGTCGACGTGCGGCGCACCACAGGGAAACAGCCGCCAGTAAGCCCCTCTCTCACGACCGGCCTTCGAAGGAGCAGCGACTCGAGGCCCGCCGGGCTGAGCGGCGTCTGCGACATGAAGCTCGTCACATCGGACGTCACCATGAATCTGCGCCTCATTTCCAGGCCTCTCAGGACCCGAGAACCCAGCAACCTATGGGTGCTTTCCCCGGCAATGGCTTCAACATACCTGCCAGTCATCATGAGCACGTCGGCCACGGCCAATTTCAGTACGTCTCGGCGCCTCCTGGCTATCCTCCTGGCTATGCCTCATCGCCACCTGGGTACGCTCCATCGCTGCCGGCCCATGCTATGCCGTATGGTGCCCCATCTGCTGGTCCTGGCCAGCACGGTCAGCACGTCCAGCACCCTGGCTATGGAGGAGGACTGGCCATGCCCTCCGGACCAATATACGGTCACCATTTCTCTGTCAATCCTGGCCTGCCTCCGCGAGGCGATCCCCGTCTCCATACACCACCTGGTCAGCCATATCCTTACGGCGGTCACCCGGTTCCCAATAACTTTGGGGGCTACTATGGAGGTGGGCCCCCGGAGTACACAGCAGCTCCCACGCCTCCGGGCTTTCCTGGCCCGGGTTTCCACCAACCCCCCTCTCAGCCGCAGCCTATGTACAATGACAGAGGATACGTCTCGCGCGGCAACATGCCCACCGGCCAACCTGTCTCAGGCCCTGGCCACGCTTCCGGTCATGCTTTCGGCCAACCCTACGGCGGAGGTTCTTTCTCTCACGCCCAATCACCCCACGAGAGGCAGCCGCAACCTCGTGGACAGGAGCGCGTGCCAGCAGCAGGTGGAGAGGCTCCTAATTTTGCCGCGCCTGCTCGAGAGGCTCGAGCTCGTGAGCCAACGTCTCAAGGGCACACTGAGCAGCCCGTTAACTCTTTGACCATTCAGCAGCAGCAACAGCAGCAGCAGGCATGGGAGCAAGAACAAGCCCGGCAAGCATGGGAGCAAGAGCAGGCCCGGCAGGCGTGGGAACGCCAGCAGGCACAGCAAGCGCTCCAGCAGATGTGGGAGCGATCGCAGCAGCAAGCCATACAGCAGAACACACAGCCCGTGGCCCAGCAATGGCAGTCGCAGGAGGGGCAACAACGCAGGGTACAGCCAGAGGTAGATCAGGCGAGCCAGACGCCGCAACAGGCGCAAAAGCAAGATGAGCAGAGACAGGAGCGGCGTGAGGAGCAGCAGTCGCAACAGCAAGCCGTTCGTCCCATCTCGAAGGGCGGCGCTGTCAGTGGAGCCCCTCCCAGTACCGGTCCTCCCTTCACTCTGCCTCCCATCGTTTTTGCTCCTCACGTCACGGCTCCCCCTATCACTCTTCCTCCCATCACTGCTCCTCCCGTCACTGCTCCTCCCATCACTACTTCTCCCATCGCTGTCTCAGGATTTCAGCAAACCCGGCTGCCAGTCTTGGCTCCGGCTCCGGCTCCGACTCCTGCCCCGCGGCCGTCCGCTCCAGAGCCCGACACCACCAGCCAGTCAGGCCAAGTGCAGCACAGAGAAACTTGCATCGCTCCAACTGTGGTAGAGCACGCGCAGCGCCCCTTCGGAATCCCCGCGTTCGCCCGCGACCTGTACGCGGGCCGGCCCAACCACTACGACGAGACAGTAGCCCGCTGGGCCCAGTCCCAGCCGGTGCGCGCAAAACAGATCCGCGAGTACGACGAGGACGACTACGATGATGACGATAACGACGACGACGACGACGACGATGCCACAGGAACAGGCCTAGATACGGCCCGCCCTGGATGCCCCCCCTCAGGCCAGCCGCCGAGCAGGGGCCGGAAGCGCGCCCACTCGCAGGTGTCGTCGATAGACTCGACGCTCTCGGCAGAACTGGACCCGGGCCAGCCGGAGCCCGACACCACGGAGGAGAGGCTGCAAGAGCTGCTCAACAATGGGGACATTGCGCGCGAGCAGCTCGAGGGGGGAGAGCGGGCTGCCCTCGACATGGCGGCTGCTGCGAACACGCTGCAGGGGGGCGGGCGCGGCCTGATCGGCGCCACGGGCGCCCTGTGCATGGCTAATGATGTTGTGATCAGGCGGCGCCAGGAGGAGTTTGACCGGAAGCGCCAGGAGGAGGAGAGGCACGCTGCTGAGCTGGTGGAGAAGAAGGGCCGAGAAGGCGGCGGTGGCAGTGGAGGTGTAGGTGGAAGTGGAAGTGGTGATGAGGGCTCCCAGTAGTGGGATCGCACGAGGTTATCTCCCACGGTGGCACTTCCTCCGGCGTGGGTTCTTGAAAATCCTTTTTGGTCTGGTTCGGAGTTCTGGTTCGGAGTCGGAGAGGAATGTTGCCGGATATCATGATGGAGGTCCTCGTGGCTGTATGATAAAGGGATGAATTGCATGGACGAGTGTCATAGTACCACGACCCCGAGTGTTAGATGCGGGTCAAAAGTCGGCGTCTTGAGACGATTTCATAGAGAGCCTGGTCTGGCTCCATGAGGCGATGTCCACGAACGCAGCTACTCAATTTTGATTTTGCGCGGAGTTCATCAAACGTCGTTTCCAGACCAGAGACGATAGATGAGCTGGCATGGCCGCTTCATAATTCCTTACCCATTGGTTTGAAACCACGTTTCACTAACGCAGCATAGACTCGATGCTGCCTCTAAGGTCCTCTGTCGTTATCGTCCTCATCATTTGATAACAATCTCTGTGCTTCATCCACCAGTCCGTCCTCGGACGTTGGGGTTTGAATGCGCACTTGAGCCAGCACAATTGCTGTGAGACCAGAGAGGACAAGTGCCAACAGATAGGGCAATCCTTTCCCAACACCCTCCAGTCTCATACTCCACTTGAGAACGGCCGCATTCACAGGGCCACCCAATAGGACCGCCATGGTGTCCATGATTGCCAGCGCGGTGAATACTGTACCTATCATGTCCGCGTCGACAAGGGAGCTGACGAGGGACCGCGCGAACGATTGGAAACCTGTTCCGAATGTGTAAACTGCAATACCTGTAAAGGCGTGTTAGATACACCCGTTGACAACCACGACCACTTTCGATCAATAGACGTGGACATACCGATGAAGACAAAGTCGAACCTTGGCGCGACGGCCAAAATAGCGAAAGATATAGCCAGGAGCATGACACTTAGTCGGGACAGGTAAAGATCCTTGATGCGAGGTAGGAGTCCGAACCGGCTGATCAGTGTGGTGTCAAGGAGGGGAAGAACGGTGCCATATGCCAGCATCTGTCCGAACGCCTGGAAGGAGAACAGGTAGCTGGCCTAGAAATCGACAGACACTCGAGTTAGTATCACCATCGTTACAAGATGGAGTCATACATGCGACTCTTCCTTTAACACAATGGGCAAAAAGGTTGGAAAAGGCGAAAAGGAGGTAAATACCTTAGCGAGCGGAATAGAATACCGCGCTGAGACATAACGTAACAAGATCGCAAGCGACTGTTGTGCAAAGTCGGTCGAGAAGAAGCAAGCCATAAGGAGCACCAAGTTTCGATGGGTGAGGACAAAGCCTACTGTCGAAATGGTGTGCCCGACAGCCGCCTCGAAACGGCTCTTGATATCAGTCTCGCCTTCGCTGCCCTGAGACTCTGAAATCTCTTCAGATTCTGATGGCCCAGGGACGTGATGCACTTGTTCATCATCTGGAGCGTATCTGGCAAGCGCCGTGAACCGAGTCTCTGGCATCACCACAGTGAGAGCCACAGCGAGGAGCAGGCATACGAATCCGATGATGATGGGAACCCAGAGACTCGTGCGCATCAAATAGGCACCCAGTGGCGGGGCGAGCATTTCTCCGACGATCGTCACACCTTGGGCGTAGAAGAATGCCTTGGAACTGTGGCAAATACACAAATCAGCACCTGCTAGAGCATACGGATTAGACACAACAGTAGCCCTACCGGAAAGACTCGAGTGACGCATCTGTAAGGATCATCATGGCTGCCGCATTGAAAACTGTGCCGCCGCCTCCGATGAAGTAGAAGGCCGAGGAGAGCCAGGTCCATCGCGGATCAATCTGCATCCAGCCTAGAGGTACAATTAGCCGTGAGAATTAGGTGGATCAGATCAAGACAAGAACCGTTGTGAAGTAAGTTGCCAAGGCACACATCGATAGACAATAGTCAGTCTGGTCACACATACATATCAAAAGGATCCACGCAGCACCAAGCCCCTGGCCCACCAGCGACAACGTCAGAACGGGCTTCCGCCCCTTCTCGTCCGCCATCGCGCCGTAGTACAGGGCCATGACGAGGCCCGGTATGCCATCGAAGAACAGCTGCCACCCAAACAGCTCGTTGACCATGTCCTGGACGGCAGGGTCCTTGCAGGACTCTTCATCCAGGTCACCGCCGCCGAAATAGCGCCGGCAGGCGACATCTTCGAAGAGGCGCGTCTGTGGCGCGATCGAGACCATCACCCCGAAGGCCTGGAAGAACAGCATGGCCCAGATGAGCGTGATGGGGCGCCAGAGCGTTGCATGAGCGTCTGTTCTGTCGGCCTGCCGCGGCTGTCCGTTGTCTGGGGCAGGAGACATCTTTAGCTCAATGTGCTCTAGATGCGGACTATCGAGGCAATGAATAGGTGAGACTATTAACAAAATGACCCAAGCACCCAATCATGCTTCAGAGTTGGGCGAAGTCAGGCTATGTAGTTGGTATGGATATCAACCCGGAAGATTCTGTGATCCGGCAATCATAGCAACATGGGTTAACGCTGCCAAGACCCACTCAGCGGCTGGCTGCTATCCCAAAACGGCATGTGCATAGAGCGAGTGGGTCGCCTAGTTGGCCATTCGGCTTGCTTCTTGCCTGCTTAGTATTTGATCTGGTAGGGCGACCTGCATGGACACGGGCAGTGTCCGAGGGCTGCCAGAAGGTTGTGTCCACGGTCAGTACAGCGATGAAACGCCCAAATAACTAGGCGGGTAAGCCTGTCAATGTTTGGAAGACAGCGGAATGAGATGAGACCAATTGCGGTGTCGAAGTGCATGTTAGCACCTGGAAAGTGTGACATCATCAATTGATTATACATTGGACGGGGAGGGGGGGGAGACTGTGATAAGAAAGAAGGAAAAGAAAGAGAAAAAAAAGAGAGAATAAGAATTGTGGGTCCCTGCAGCGTGCACTCAACACTCATAGAAGAGAAGCCCCTTCAAGCTCGTCTCGGATGCTCTGACTGTTGTCGAGGAGTTGCTCATGTTTACTGTCTTCAACGGACCGAATGTCAACTGTGGACTTCTCTTAACGGGAAGAAAGGCCGCTGAGCAGAAATCCTCCCGCCTGAACGGAGGTAGGAAAGTGTATAAATCTTGAGATTATAGGAACCAAGCAATTCACAGATGGCTTCATCCCCTCAGCTGGCAATTTGGCTGACATGGAAGTACAGCACTGTGACAAGGTTGAATATGGATTGATTTCTTGCCTGGGATTGAGAGGCATTAGGACTTGTAGCGTTCTACTATGATTTGTCTATGGATTCTTCTGCTATGAATTTTGGACATCCGTCATCATCAAGTGCGCTCGCTTATTTTACCCGACCACCATATCACCGATCTCTTGCTGTGGTTTCCGTCTTTTTGAAGACTTGGTTCCCCCTCACAATAACACTGACCTAGGCAGGCTCGAAGATCTGCCACGGTAAATATTTGGCTCGTGTTCTCTTGAATTCGATACACAAATGCGAATTGATAGAAGATCAATCCAGGCAGCCTCCCTCGTATGTCCTCGCTATCAATTGTCTACATACCTTGTTATTAATAGTTAAATCACTCCTACATGCTGTACAGCATCTACTCTCCAGACGGGAATGGGTTAGTACGACTTGCTACAGGACTGGCTGGTGTTACCAGAACTAACACGCAACTGCCGGTGAAAGTGATTTATACCATTTCTCTTTTTACACAGGTCTTTTGATAAAATACTTTTATACAAGCTGAAAGGGCCCTGCCCGGGCCATCGTCTTCTCTCACCCATCTCATACGCCAGAGACAATAGCCCGCCAATGATCCCATAGCCCCAGCCCATGCTGACCGAATAGAAATCTCTCCTCTCTGTGCTCTAATGCCGATGGATAAACCCAAATAATTGTCCAAAACGATGCGATGCAATGCAATTTGCGAGCGACACACACCAGCGCGCGGGTACGCACACACTCGCACACAATCTACGACCACGCTGCCTCATGCAACTGGCGATACCGATGGTCCCGAGCGGAAGACCACGAGATCCGACGCTGCCTCAGGGCGGCCGCGGCGCCGCGCAGCCGCTCCCTCACCCGGCCGCAGGGCAGGCACCCCCGGAGCAGACCCGACGAGCCCTCATCGTCGTCGTCGCTGCTGCTGCTGCCGTAGTAGATTTCGCCCCTGAGGTACAGGGAGGAGCCGAGCGTGCCCCCCTCGCTCCCAGGGTCGGTGCGGCCGTCCTACAGGCCGTCCCGCTCGATTTCGTAGAACAGGAGGTACACCTCGCGCTGCATGCCGAGAACCTCGCGCGTGCTGGCCTCCTTGATCTTCTCATCGCTGATGCGCCACCAGCGGTCTTGCTGCTTCTTCTTGGCTGGCTTGGCCGTGTGCGTGGATGCTGTGGCGGCCCCATTTGACGTCGGCGTCCCCGCCCTGCTGGCGCCGCTGCCGCTTCCGTTCCTTGACGGCGAGATCTTTGACATCGTTGACTTGGCCGACGCGGCTATCGACCTCAGGCTGCTCGTCTCGGGGTCTTTCTCCCTTGGCGCGGACGTGGGCCCCAGTTTAAAAGATGCCTTGCCGTTGCCGTTCAGACTCGGGGAGCTCCGGCGGGTCGTGTTGGCGTAGTCTAGTGACGGGGAGCCTGAGGCTGGGGACGGGAGGTCAGGGGTGCTAGTCATTGGTGTTCCGTCCTCCGAAAACCGCTTCGTGGGATGCATCTGAGGCGTCGACATGGGACTAGCAGTCTTGCTGTAGATACCCGAAGCTTGGAAAGTGTTTGGGGTAGAGTACGGAGCGGGAACGTTTTGCCTCCTGAAAGATTCGTAGTGACCACTGTGATGGCTGCCTTTGTGAGTAACAAGACCCAGCAGCTTGTACTTTCTGCGAAGCAGAAGACCACCGAGCGGTAACCGTTCCGGGAAAGCGACCTTCACTGAGTTCTTTAATGATGTCTGCCTGGCGTAGATGGAACGGTTGAGGTGGATGGCCAGGATCTTGGGGAAAACCGTTACCCGAGTATGCCTGGCGATCTTGCGTCTCGGCGCATGCTTACTGTCCGGCAAGACGATGTCCTCGGGCGCATGTTCTGGATTCGTGTTTATTGCGTGTTGTAGTTTGTCCAGCGCTTCCTGGGCCTGTCTCCTGAAATCTGCGGACCTTGATTTCTGCATCTCGGCCCTGAATACCTCCTGGGCGTGTACTAGCCTGCACTTTTCGCACTTGTAGTCTTCTATGTACTCGGTCTTGAACATGCCGTCAAAGCAGGTGTTCAACGTTGTCGAAGCTGCGTCGAGCGGGACGCTCAGCGTAAGCGTGCAGAACCTGGACTCGGTCGGCCTCGGCTTGAAGCCGCAGCTCAAGCACTCGATCTGGGACTCGGTTTTCCCTTCCATTGGGAAGCCCTCCTCATCGTCATCGTCCGGTGGGTTGAAGGCGACTTTGCTTTGCGTGGACGGAAGTGTACCTGGCCCGCGGCCGTACTCGATCGTCTCCTGGTCTGCTAGCTCGAAGAGCCTCTGTTTGAAAACATCGCCGTTTATGTCGCTGGGTGGACCACTTGAGCTCTCCAGCCCGACCTTCCACCTGGCGTAGCGCCTTGCCCTGTGACCGGCGTGGTATTCGTCGCATAACCTCTCGGAAAGGACCTGTAGGAACTCCTGCGCATCCTGTTGCTGCCTGCTAATGCGCTGACGGAACGCATTCTCCAGGCACTTGACGAGTGGTGCCGCGGTAATGGTCTTCCTATAGATGGGCCTCTCATTCAACTGGTCAAGCATCTCTTTCAGGCCCTGCGTGACGAGGCCCCTTTGTTGGCCCTCGATCTTCCAATCTGGCTCCGACTTGATGTGTTCGTTGTCCCCGTTGGCATACTCCTTGAAGTCCTTCGGAACAGCCTGCGTGTATATCCAGCCGTCGTCAATGATGCGGCGGTGCATCTCCCGGATCAAGTAGACGCGCAGGTCGCCGAGGCCGGCGATGGCCTGTAGTATGGAATTGATGAAGCAGTCATTGGCCGGGTTGGCCAGGCCGACAATGACGCCCTTCTTCCGGCCGCCACCGGTCAGGAAGTTGCTGGAGCTGGAACCGGCGGCATCGCCGTCGAGGAAGTAGGTTGGCGCAAAGACATAGATGAGGGTTGCGGCGGCCAGAGACGCCCCGGCCGCATAGGCAGCGACCGTTAAGGGCTTCTCCGGCATGTCAGGAGTGGTGCACTCGGTGCAGCCGGCGAGGTGCAGCAGAGGCCTGGATGTGGCTTTGTTTCGTGCCGATCAGGTCAGGGTCGTCGGGGCGCGGAAGGGATTGCTGCGCGGGATCGCGGGATGGCGGCAGACTCGGAACTGGGCCGTGGGACCGGGCGTCGGTGGCTTCGTGGCGACAGCGGAACGCGAGGGTCGACGGTGATGTAACCTGAGCCAAGGTCTCTCATGTGTTGTGTATATGTACAAAAGGGGACTCCCGATGCAGTGCAATGCAGCGCAGTGCTACACAGCGACATGGGCCGCGGGGAAGGGGGTCCAGCAAAGATTCGAGCTCATTGACGGGGACGACAGAGACGGTCTGATCGCCGGGCCAGAGAAGAGGCGCAGGCCAGGCTGGCAACAGAAGAGAGCACCTGGACGTCAGCGGGGTCGAGTACCGGGAATGAAGCACAAGAGAATCGCATCAAGGTTCTCGGGTCGCGCATGTATAGGCAGGAAGGCGGGTAGGCCGGCGGGCTGACTGGCAGGTAGGAGGATGGTGGTAGAAGGTCGGACGGCGGGTTGAAGCGGGCTGTGGACCCTGCCCTCCCTCCTGTTCCTGCTGCTTGGGTGTGGGGGGGGGGGGACGCAGGTGCCGCTCTGCGGGTTTGCCCATCGTGCAGGCAGTGGGTCGCCTGCTCGGCTCTGAGCCCGGCATTGACCCAAGATCCGTTCTCCGGGAGGGGACGGCGGTTGAGGGTGATGCGGTCTTGTGTGTAAGGCATGAAACTGGTAATTTCTGTCCTCTTCCCCCATTCAACATTCGCCAGGCGCGTCTGGTTGCTTTTGCGGCGCTTGAGGGCTCATCCTTGGACAATTGGGCCAGTCCATTGAGCTGTCAGCCACAGAACCCCGCCGCCTCATTCCTCCGTCGAGGCTAAAGAAGCCGCCAGCCAGACTGGCATTGCTAGGGGAAGCCATGACGTGTCGGGATACCCGTCTTGACAAGAGTGCTATAATAAGTGAGGTTATTTATTTCGCGGGTGCAACGACATGAAACGAGTGATACATGTCCAACCACTTCGCCACTCTAGAGCATGGCCCTGACATGTATATACAGCCTTGCAACACTGGAAATATGCAACATTGTCTCCGAACAGTTGGGTCATACTTACGCGATGCAGGGTGTCTCCCCCCCCCCCCCATCTCCACACTTGGCTAGTATCACTCACTCGCTATCAGTGGCGTCCTGTTTCAACGAGCAATTCGCATGAGCCAGTTTTGGATGTCACCTATCATGTGGTACAGTCGCCCTGATATTCACTTCCTTCCTTTCACTGTATTATTCATACAAAAGTTCCTTGAAGCATGTCTCCATCATGTCGCAAAGACGGTATGGCCAAACAACCCAAGCTCGACGGTCCGCGCGAGTGATGAGATCGGTTGAATCTAAACATACTTCATCAACATTGGTCGAATCGTAAAATGATTGCCATAGACAATGATTCAAGACACTCGACAGAGATAAGCTATGAACCATCCAGCTGATGGGACCTAGGAGGTCAGAAACGAACTGTCAGTGCCTAGTAGTAGGGACACGACTCTGAAGGAGCCCATGACTGAGCCCATGACTCGGATAGGTGCCACACACTTTCATCGAATAGTTGAGGCACGGGATCGATACGGGACGGCACAATATGCGTTGACCGTACAGATCGTTAAAGACAAAAAGAGTCTCCCTCTTTTCCCGAGCATGACTCTTTCTTGCCCCAAGTCCCGGTTGTTGCCGGTCAGACTGCCCCGGCCCAGTGCCAGGGATGGTTGGACAACGGCTGTTCAGCGTCGTTTCGTTGGGTCGCGTACGTCTGAAGCTCTTGCTATTGAAGCAACTGCTATCATTGTATCGATACCTTTGCTCGAGTCTGGCTGGCAAATATTCTTGGTAAAACACTGTTCGCAAAGTTGGAAGTGAGCGGTCGACTAGGAATGCAATCTCACAATCATCATGATGAACCCAGGACATGAAGTTTGTAGCACTAATGCGACCATGATAATATGTGACTCTGTCCGGATAGAGCCAACATGAGGATATGAGAATTGCTTCTGCAGTGACTTTTCTCTTGATAATTTTCTTAGTGTTACGCAAAATTACGATTTTATCCACCGCCTAATCGTACAAGCCCACCCAAATACGCACAGCGCAACCCAACTCGACCCCGGTCAGAATCCTACGTCTCAACAACCCTGATCTTCCCTTTCAGCGTATCTCTCCGCTTATGAGATTTACTCCTAAATCCCACGCTCTGCCTCGCCCGCTGGAACAGCCCCGTGCCGGCCGACGGCGGCCTGCCCGCCCCCACACCCGCGGAATCAGATGTCTCTGTCGGTGACCGCAGCGCGTCCGGGCCCTGGGACCAGCGTGGGAACTCCGGGACCGGCGGCGGGGGCAGGGGCGGAGGGGGCGTGGCCTTGGGGCCGCCAGGCAGGAAGCCCTGCTCGCCGAAGGGGGAGGGCGACGACGACGGCGTGGGCCCGCGCGACTGCCGCTTGCTGCCGTTCCCGCTGCCCCCACCGCCGTTGTTGCCGCCAAACACCTTGGCCAGGAACGAGGTGCGCTTGCCGTCGTCCGAGTCGGTGTCGAAGGCGCTCCTCGTCGTCGACGCACTCGGCGGCGGGGGCGGCGGCGGGTACGGCGTCCGCTGGGGTTGTGCGAACCTCCCGGGTTTAAGGGGCTGCTCCCCGGTCGGCTCCAGCGGCGTTGGCACGCGGCCCCTGCTGGACGCGCGGCGATCCGAGAAACTCCCCGGCTTGTGGTTGACCGAGGTCGACGAGGAGGAAGGCGGTGGGGACGAGGTTGGTGAGGGGTCGTCCTGCCCACTGGACGTAAGGTGCTCGGTGGGGCTGGTATCCCATACGAGGCTGCGCTGCTTGAATGAGGGGGACGGTGGGCCTGTATCTACAATACTGGTCGTGGATTCCGAGGCGCGCGGACTGGACTTGAATGTATCGCTACCACTGGTGTAGTGCGGGACGACAGTGGCCGAGCTCTTCCTGGACGAATCCCAGGAGCCTGTGTTACTGTTTTGGCGGTAATGGGCTTTGAAGTCTGTCAGTGACGACCCCTGGCTGGACTTGTCTGGCTCCCGGAAAGCGAAGCTGTTCAGCCGGAATCTCGTGGTTGGGGAGACGGGCGCCGCGGAGATTGGTCTGCTCGACGAGGCACTGAAAGAGGGCCGCGCGGTAAGCTGTGTCGTCACCCCGTTGGGATCGCTGTGCAAGGTGTAATCAGAGGCATCCGAGTCCGGCTCGCTGATTGTCGCTTCTAGACCCTCCCTGGAGTATGTGCTCCAAGTCGGCGACACGGGGGACACCTCGTCCTGGAAGGGGTACCGCAGCTCATCTGGCTGGCTCTCACTCGAGCTGCTCGAACCGACGTCCAACCCTGTGATTTGCTTGATCTTCTGCTGTGAGTTGTGCAGCGATGGCGTCAATGAGGCCAAGCTCATGGAGGGGCTGATATTCCCAGTCAGACGTAGTATCTTCTGTCTACTATGCCTCGGCTGGGGCGAGAGTATCTCGTTAGATGGCGTCGTGGGGATGCTGCTCGCATCATTCTCTGGAAGAGAGCGGCTCCGTGGTGTTTCGCTGCGGGCGGTCGTAGTGAGTGATATGTTATCCCCTTGCCTACCCCAGTCGTAAATATGCTGCTTATTGCTCAAGTTCCGTTTTGATGTCTTGAAAGCAGCCTTCAAATCTGGAATGGAGAAGGATGTCCGAGGGGGGACTGCTGGCAGCGGCTTTGCCTCATAGTCGGCCGAATGCTTCGGTGGTGTAAATTCGGCGTCCATAACGAGTCCTAGGCCCCTACCAACACCTACAGCATTGTGCTGGCCCGTACTCATGTTCAGGAAGTATCACTCGCCAGTATCACCAACTCACAGGCTGGTGTCGGAAGGCAGCATGGGGATGTGAGCTTCGCACCTGTAGGTGCCAACCGACTATATTGATTGCGGTCGCGGTGCGATCTCTCTTTGGGGTCCAGCATACAAAGACGGGCGTGGGAGGGGGCAGCCGTCCAGCCGCTTTCAGCCCGTGTCACTTGACGATGCCCTCCCGTCTTGTTTTGAACAAAGAAAATGCATGATGGAGAATAGATCCTACCGCATGCTTAGCGCAGAGCCATGCTGTATTCCTGGCATTCAAGTCCAATGATGTCGGGCACTAGACGCTGCCACATCGGGCCGTGGAGGACGTTTAAGGAGCCCTAAGCAGACGTCTTTGACGTATGTGCAGATCTTTGCCCCTTCAGCCCATACTGTGGCGGCTGAAAGAGAGGCGTGTGTGCTCAAGGGGGCCAAAAAGCGCAGCCTCGACATGTCGCCGCGTAAAAACAGATCAATTGCAGTTTTGAATCCTTCGGCGCAGCATCATTCAGCCCGAGGTTGTCGGTCTGGTCTGTTGACTGCGAGGCAGCTTTTTGTTGTACGTCGTTGCAAAACTTGGTCAAGAGTGGACAGCAAGCCCACCAAGCTGCCCCAGATAAAGATCTGGGCGGGTTGTCATTGTGTGGGCACTTGCCGCGATGCCCCTTGACGCCTTTCTACGGGCGGGGGAGAAGGTATGAGGATCTGCCGCAGGAGGTCAACGACGTGGAGGGACCTGGTCCGTGGATCTGAGAAGTCAGTAAAGCCACCTGGGAAGAAATGCTTCTCATGGATTGAATCCTACTGGAATTCTTAGCGCCTCGCCTCAATGGCACAGCTCCAGTAGACAGCCAGCACCAGTAGTATACTGCGGCTGGAGTTGACGATGTGCTCACTACCCAGGCGAGGATGCCACGGTAATGCCGGCATTGTGCATCAGTCAAGGCGACCGGCGTCGGGGGTTTCACGTCCATCCCGCGCTCGCCAAGAGACGGAGCGAGATGCTGCAGGGCCCCGGGCTCCGGAACGGCAGTAGTGTTACCTGGGGATGGTTGATTGACAATATCCTTCTGGAAGGGTTGTTCCAGGGATGTTCGGCCAGCCCAGGCTGCACAAGGCGCATGTCTGTGTTGCCGTGGCTCACGCACATGACGATCGGCAGCGGGTGGGTGACTTGGATCCCGATTACCCATGGAAATAAGCCTGCGGGTGCTGGCCGACGTCGCGATGTTTGCTGGGTCATTTGGCCTGCAGAGCTCGTCTAGCTCGAACGGGAGCATGTCGCAGCATGTCGCAGCTTGGCAATGCCGCCTCAGATTGGAAGAAGGAAAAACAGGCGGGCTTATTTCCATCTGAACTGCTGGGCCAAGCAGCAAAAGGGGGGGGGGGGTTGTGGTGGTTCACCCCAACTCCTCAGCCCGCAACAGAAGTGATCTCAGGTATTGTGTGCGTGAGAGCGAGAGCATGTGCGCGCTGTGCAAGGTGCAGCATTGAGAGTCTGACCGATCGCCCTCATCAGGCCCCGCTTTCGGTCGCGTCGTTGACAATCATAGAAATGCTGAGGGGGAGAAGGTTCCAAGTCCTTGCATCTCACCGCCTCCCACCCGTCAGAATTTACCACCACCACACACACACACATACACACCACCGACGATCGGCTGACAACAGCCCCCAGCCCAGGCGAGAGTCGTGGTCTCTGCTATTCCTGGTCCGGGGAAGAGCAGCGCTCTCGCTGTGCTCTGCCTGCCTCGCATTGCTACTCCTGTCCCGATGAAACACGCAACCAGTCAAGTCGAGGCGACGGGGCACGGGGCCAGCCGACTCGGTGTGTGCTGGTGCAGTGCTGGTGCAGACCGTTCAAAGGCAGCGCAGCACCAGCAACGACGGCGAAACAGCTCTAGTGAACTAATCCGATGATGGGAGACGGGCATGCGGTGCTCCTACTGCTGCCTGTTGGTCGTGGTGGTTGCGTTGGGTCGTCTTTTCCGCGGGTGAGGAATGCGACAGCTAAGACACAGCCAGCCATCCAGATGATCCTCCTCGTGAGAGTGGAGCCGCATGGGATTGGCACCGCTTGACTTCCCAATCCTCCTTGGCCCGCGCCCCAGCCTGGCCCATACTAATTTGTCCGCACGCACCAACCGACGGCGAGACACACAGGCACCACACAGGCACCACACAGGCACCACACAGGCACCACACAGGACACATTGGTCGGGCTCGGGCAAGCCTGGCAGAGCCCAGTCCGAACCCTTTGTCCTGTCCAGTCCTGTTCTGCGCTGGCGGCTATGGGGTCCTGCTGCTGCTTGCGTCACTGGGACTGGCTCTCCCTCATCTCGAAGGTGGATGCTGGGCGGACGCGAGTCTCCGCAGAGGCTCAGACCGATCATGGACAGCTTTATCCCAGCATGGTCCCCAGAGTTTCCTTCCTGGGGCTTGGCCGACGTCTGTCCTGCCCAAGAGATCCGAGTGGATATGGCAGATTTATTACCTCTCCCATCTGTATCTGCTGCTTAGTAGACCATCTACACCTGTGAAGCGACCAGTGGCGCCTTTTCTTTGTTTGTTCGTGGTGGTTTCAAACCTGGATCCACGATCCAGCAACCACCTCGCGTCTCCTTGCCTCCGTCTGCTTGCCTCGCCAGTTTCGTCCCGTCCCGTCTCTTCCACTCCAGTCCGCACTGGTCGGTCCATCTCACGTCACTCGAGTCCGTGACCGTCGCCTCCATCCCCTCGCCTACTTCACTCGCGCCCTCCTGACCCCCCGAGGGAGCTCTGTCACCTCCGTCCACTCCAGGTTCGGACAGAGCAGGGCAGAGGCGAACGGAACGCTCGGCACCACACCTCATCTCACCAACAGCAGAGAGGTCAGGCGACGAGAATGCGATACCCTCCAACGACCTCACAAGCCACATAGGAATCACGCCGTGAACATGTTCCAGTCCCTGCCCCGCCCCTCGCGGCGCTTCATCATCATCCTCGCCTCGATCCTGATACCCCTCTACATCGAGGCCTTCCTCCACTGGCGCACCTTCGACATCCCGCGCCCCTCGCACGACCTCGACCCTCCCTTCCAGACAGGCTGTCGCGAGCCGGACGTCAAGGGAAGACGCGAGAATGCCGCCCTGGTCATGCTGGCCCAGAATTCGGAGATAGATGCCGCGAAGCGCACCGTCGACTCCGTTGAGGCCAAGTTCAACCGCTGGTTCCACTACCCCTATGTCTTCCTCAACGACAAGCCTTGGGACCCCGAGTTCGTGCGCATCATGAACCAGACCGTCAGCGGCGAGGCGAGGTTCGAGGTCATCCCGGACAGGGAGTGGAACTACCCTTCGTGGATCGACAAGGCTGCGGCGCAGCAGAGCATATTTGAGCAGGGGGAGAGGGGCGTACACTATGGCGGTAGAGAAGGGTATCACCACATGTGCCGTTTCTTTTCAGGGTACGTTCGTGGGCCCAAGAGAGCTTGCATGCAACCCCAATTGATTTGGTAATCCTTGTGTGACTGACAGCATATGCGCCCCTACAGTAAATTCTATACCCTAGAAGCCCTGCGACGATACAAGTGGTACTGGCGGCTGGAACCCGACGTCGAATTCTCGTGCTCGATCACCTACGACCCTTTTGTAAAAATGGCCAAGCACAAGCAGGTGTACGGCTGGACAATGAGCCTGTGGGAGGAGGGCAACACCTGCCCGAGCCTCTTCCGGCACATGGCGGACTGGAAGGAAGCCAACCTGATCCCGACCACCAGCCTGTGGAAGGCCATGATGTCGGCGTCCTGGCTGCCCTATCCGTTCCGGAGGTGGCTAAGCTGGCTGCCGCATCACGACAAGCTCGGCGACGTATGGAGCATGTGCCACTACTGGAGCAACTTTGAGATTGCAGACCTGGACTTCTTCAGGAGCAAGAGCTACCAGGACCTGTTCAATTACCTGGACCAGAAGGAGGGCTTCTACCACGAGAGGGTATGTCGCATTTTCCCCACACCCATCACCTTTCTTCTCCGCCTCAAGCATGCTAACGACAAGACTCCAGTGGGGCGACGCTGCCGTCCACTCCCTCGCGCTCGGCATGCTCGTCGGGCCCGAGCGCGTGCACCACTTCTCCGACTTTGCCTACCGCCACGGCAGCTACCAGCAGTGCCCCGCCAACGCGCCGGGACTGCAGCTCGAGGGCTCGGTCGCGCTGGGCGACGCCCTCTATTCGGACGAGCAGGACGGGGGCGTCGGCTGCCGGTGCACCTGCGACGCGAGCAAGCCCATCAACTTCCCGGGCTACTGCGGCAACAAGCTCAAGCAGCCCAACAGCCCGAACCGGCCCTGGCTGACGTGGTTCCTGTGATCGGCTGCCCGTGGCGACACATTTTACCAGCTGTAAGAAGGGAAGAGATAAAGAGAGAGAGAAACAAAGAGAAGCAAAAACTACGATACCCCGCATTCGTTTCTGCTTTACTCGTGCCGGCGGAGGCAATATGAGTATGGGTTCATGACTTGGCGTTCTTCAAGATAGAAAAAGGGTTCTGAACTCAATGACGGGGAATTGACTTTCGAGATTCCTGGTATGCTTTGTTTGTGCGCGGCAGCGAAATCAACCTAGCTGGGCATAGGGCGGCGTTCTCAGAATTAGGCAGAAGAAAAAGACAGGTCGGACATGACTTGATGTTGTATTAATTCAATTCTAATTATGATTTGCGCCATCGAACTCCCCGGTCTCACTTTCGAGCGTGGTATCATCACTGCAGCATGCTATGGAGATAAAAAAAACAAAAAAAAAACACAAACACAATCATCCAAGACCGTAACCCATGGTGTAGAAATCGAGCCGCCTGTCATTCTCACAGAGCCTCGGCAGGATGAGGAACAAGAAGCCCTATTCCTCATCGTCCTCATACTTGCCCTGGTAGTCGCCCAGCAGGATGTCGTCCACCGCCAGCCCGGTGTTGACGCTGTTGTTGCGCAGCCACTCGGTCTCGACGCGGAAGAAGATCCAGACCCAGCGGCGGAAGACCTCGAGGAACTCGATGACGAAGATGGAGCTCTCGAAGTCGACGATGTGGTCCAGGTGCGGGCTGAGCTTGAGGCTCCACGTGCACCGCAGCATGAGGTCGACGGCGATGACGAGGTAGTAGAGCGCGGGCCGACCATGAGCCTGCGGCGCAGGCCGAACGCGTGGTCCGGGGAGTTGCGCTCGCGCCGGGGCGAGAAGAGCGTCAGGTCCCAGTCCTTGGCGACGTCCCAGTAGAAGCTGTACAGGCTGTTGACCAGGCAGGCGGCGACCCAGGCGCGGTACAGCCCAGTCTTGCTGGTGGCGGGGGCGTCGTCGGGCAGGTTGCGCTGCAGCGCACTGAAGAGCAGCACGGGGAAGGCAGTGCCGTACTTGCACGCGTTGGCGAGGTGCTGGCCGCCCCATCCCGCGCTCTCCTTGTAGGGGGCGGAGCGCACGCGCACGAACTCTATGAGGCACTGGCGCAGCCGGATCAGGTAGGGCAGGGCCATGATGAGCGGGACGAGGACGCGGCCGCCGCAGTTGCGGTCGGGCCGGTCGGTGGCGCTGCCGTCGCTGCCGTGGAAGAACATCATGCAGACGCAGACGAACAGGTCGCCCATGACCTTGGCGTACGAGGTCAGCACGTCGGCCAGCAGGATGTCGCCGAACTTGCCGTCGCTGGCCTGGGCGAGCCCGCCGATGCTCACGCGCTTCAGCGTCGCCACCAGGCGGGAGCGGCCGCCGTGCGAGAGGGCCAGGGGCCGCAGCGGCAGGATGAAGAGCATGGCCAGCACGAGCAGGTAGGTCATGGGCATCCAGTCGTAGTAGACCACCAGCTTCGGGTCGCGGTGCGAGAAGAGCCAGAAGGTGACGATGGAGAAGGCGAGGGTCGAGGACAGGACGGTCGCGAGGCGGTAGGTCGACCTGTGGTGGGGGGGATGCGAGGCCGAGGGCCGCTGCGGGTAGCGGATGAGCGAGGGCACATCGATCTTGAGGTTGTAGAGATGGTGTAGGTTGATGCCCCAGCCCCAGACGGCTGCGATAGAAGACACGATGGTTAGCAGGGCTCCCGATTGGCAGGACGGAGGGGCGGGCAGTGTCCTGTTGTGTCCTTACCTAGGACGACGATGAAGGCGACACGGTAGGGCAAGGGGAAGGTCAGGCTGAAGGAGTCGAGCTGCGGCTCAACCGCCGGGTCGCCGTCCATTGCGGTCGCCTGCCTATATCCGTCCTCCTATAAAGCGCTGTCTGGTGGCCGAATACATCGAAAGGGGTCGAGCGAGAGGATCTCACGTAGGGCATAGGGCCTAGGGCGTGCAGAAGATTGCCGACTGATCGGGTTGGGGGTGGAGGAAACACACACGATAGGCAAGCTACGTGGAGGTTGGACGGTGTGTACGCTACGTACATGCATACGTCGCAGGTAGAAAATACTGCCTGTTTAATTTTAGGGGGGATTTCACGTCATCGGCCCCGGAGCCCCCTTGCCTGCATTAGCGGCTTAGATTGGGACCAGCCTTCCCTGTCAGCCTGGACAGCACCCCTGCGGTCAGTGGCCATCTTGTGCCGAGGCTGATCTCCTCAATCTGCCGGCTATCAAGCCCACAAACCACAACGATGCGAAGGCTTGAGGGTGTCGGCTCACATCCCCAGCCATAATCCATCAACACACCAAGACCCGGTCTTGAAGATGCCCACAGGCCGTCGAGCTGCACTGCTGACGACACCTCGGCGGATTACTTAGGTACACCTGGAAACCATGTCCTCTGCAACTCAGCAGCCCGCCGCGAGGTCGAGCACGGCCTCGTCACCTTTTCCATACGCCGCGGCGCCAGACATCATCCGCGCCCACCAGAAAGACGCATACTTCCAGGGGCTCCTGACGAACCAGCTCGTCGACCTCCACAGGCGACTGCTGGGCGCCCGATCCGCGCACGCATGGGCCAACGAGTCGCGCACAGTCGCCGACCTGCTCTACCTCTGCCTGACCACCCTGATAGGGAACCGCACCCTGGGCGAGGAGTATTGCGACCTCATACAGGTCGAGGAGCCCTCTAGGTCCAAGCCCACATCGTCACACACAGATGACAAGACCACCACCACCAAATCCACCACAGCAGCACCAGCAGCACTAGGCGGTCCCAGGCTCCCGTCCATCGGCCGCCGCTCAAGCCTCATCGCCCTCTCGGTCCTGGTGCCCTACGCCCTCTCGCGGGTCCTCCCCGCCGTCCGCAGCCGGCTCCGCCAGCGCCTCGAGGCCCGCCTCGCCGAGCTGCAGAGGAAGCACAGGGCCGCGCACAACAGCGCCGAGTACCGCGCGAAGCGCTACGTGCTGACCCACCTGTCCGGCCTGACCTCGGGCGCCCACGTCCACGCCGCCGTGCTCGCCACCTTCTACTTCACCGGCGCATACTACTCGCTGTCGAAGCGGCTCGCGGGCCTGCGCTACGTCTTCATCCGCAGGCTGCCCGAGCACCCCGGCGGCGCCGCCGAGGGCAAGGACGGCCGTGCTGGATATGAAGTGCTCGGCGTGCTGCTCGTAGTCCAGCTCGCGGTGCAGGCCTACCTGCACGTGCGGTCCGTCCTCGCCTCAGCCGGCACCCCCGAGGAGGCAAGCGTCGAGGCCGCCATCCGGGAGCGGGCCTTCGGCCACGGGGCGGCGTCGCCGGCCGACGTCTCGCTCGACCACGCGCACAGCTACGGCAGCGGCAACAACGACCTGCTCCTGCAGACGGGCGGTTCCGGGTCCGGGTCTGGCCAGCGCTCCAAGGCCGCCATCGGCGCCACGACGCACACGCCCGTGCCCAGGGGCGACGCCGCCAGGTACGACCTCGGCGGGGACGCGGTCATGGCGTGGATCAAGGGCCGGTCGCAGCGCAAGTGCACCCTGTGCCTGGAGGAGCTCAAGGACCCCTCGGCGACCCAGTGCGGGCACGTCTTCTGCTGGTCGTGCATCGGCGACTGGGTCAGGGAGAAGCCGGAGTGCCCGCTGTGCAGGCGGGAGGCCTTGGTGCAGCACATCCTGCCCTTGCGGGTGGCGTGAGGACTGAAAGGGGGCGGTAGAGGCCGGCTTTGTTTGTGGAACGACAGGTTTGGAGGTTGCTACAAGAGGTTTTATGGCGAGGTGAGAGGTGATGAACAGTCACTGGGAGCTCTTGCGAGCCGGGGATTTCTCGAAGTCTCAACAGAGGGGAGGGTGCGAGCATAGCGAGATTCGTGTATGAGGCGAAGTGAAGTCGATATATCAAAGGACCCTACTGAAGTACATGCACCAGAGATAAGACCACGAACGTGGAACGAGACAAGGAACCAAGTCATCAGAAACAGCCACGGACGAGTAAAATTTGTCTACTTGTCCAAGAAAATGAAACCGGAGAAACAAGACACGAAACCGAAGTACCGTGCAAGCCTGGCCGCGACTCCTGTTTCCTGCTCTATAAGCTCCATTGAGATCCAGCTGAGGAGCGAACCCATTAGTCCGCGACCCGTTCCCAGTACATGAAAAGTACATGGAAAATACATGAACATGAGCATGAGCACCGCCCAAGTGTTCTGACCAGCCCATCAATGCGTTTCCGCTCAAACAGAACCCCCATCGCAATCAAGCTGTAGCAGGAAGTGCGCAAAAGGAAACGCTTCGTCTTTCAAACACAGAGCATCAAGCCCAGAGTACACGTTGAGGTATCATTAAGACCGTCCCGAACCACCATGGTAACTCCACTTCCAGCCCAAGATGAAGCCAGATGCCGCCTCGGCGGTCGATATGCAAAACCGTAATATGCTGCAAACCCACGTGATAACCCATCAATCCTCTTCTGGGACGCTGAACAGCACAATCTCGCCCCGGTCGTTGCGACGCAGGCGTAGTGAGCGGAACAGCTCCTTCTCTTCTGTCGATTTGGCTCGACCTGTGCCGCTACGTTCGCGGTGGTATCGTTTCAAGGCCTTGTTGACGCTGCAGCCACGTTCGCTGTCAGGACCCTTCTTGATCAGACTCAAGAACAAATCTGCATGGGGCTTAAAAACGACCATGGTGCCCGGCCCATCCCTGGACTCTCCTTCATCGGCCTTGTTGTACTCAAGCATCTTGACCTCCTTGGCACCCTCCAGACGTTTTGAGGTATGGGAATGGCGCTTCTTGGTGGATGTCGACGTTGAAGTGGAAGTGTGCTTGCGCTTCTTCGATTTGGTTGCCGGCTTCGAGTTCCCGCTTGCCAGCATCGAGGCGATGCCGTTGAATATCCCGCTGTCTGGCCGGCTCGATTTGTGGTGTTTGGAATGCTTGGACTTCTTTAATGGGCTCGCGGGGTTCTCGCCAACCTCCCCGCCGGATCCTGAGTAGTCGGGCGATGGTGGGAAGGCATGCGGTCTGCTCATCAGACGGTTGAGTCCCCCGGTAAGATCGGAGTGTAGGACAGGCGCATCCGGCATGTCGAGGTCTCGCGTGTCCACGTGTAACCGCTTCCGCTTCTTGTCCTTCTTATCCTCCTTGCTCGCCTTCTTTCGATCCCTCCTTGGTGCAGGTGTTTCAAAGGAGCTGGGCTCGGCTGGCACAGGGCCCGATCCATACTGAATAAGAGCCTCGTCATCGGCCATCATGTCTGCATCGATGTCTTGGTAGGACTCCCGCTTGTACTCGTACCGCACCAACTCCGTGCTCTCGGCTGGTTCAGGAGCCGGAGCGACAACCTGTGGTATCGCGACGGTGGAGGCGCTCGGTGTTGCGTTCACCTGGTAGTCGAAGACGTTGAATCCACCGAAAGCCCCTGGCGGGCTGGGAACGCGAGGCGGTGCCGTCGGGACATCCTCCCATCCCTCATAGTCGGCGACGTCCTCCACGTAAGCTGCGTGAGCCATGTCCGTTTGCGCAGACTGTGTGTTGGTTGGCGCAGTCTTCGCTTTCTTGTTCTTGTAAAGAGCTCCCTGGTACTTTTGTTCCTCGGTCATGCAACTCTGCGAGCTGATCAGTTTGGGGTTGCGGGCCCGGGTGGTACGCCTAGCGTAACATTGGATGCCATACCGTGTGGGATCGATAGTCGTTGCCGTAGAAATGGACCATGCAGTCAATGCAAGTAAAAGTAGCGCCACGACAGCGGTTCTTGTGTTGATCAAGCTTCTTCTTGGTCAAGACATCACCGCATGCTACATTTGGGACAGATGTTAGTTGGGTTTTGATGAGACCGAAGATGCAGAGGAAACAGGAGATTGGGAAGGAGGAGTAGCATGAAGGCCGAGAAGGGGTGTGTGTGTTTGGGTTCTGGCGAAGGATATACTGGAATTGGGATTGTCATAATGCAGCAGAGACACGGACGGGGGGTGGTCTCAATGCTATCAGACGGAAAGGGGCAGTAGCTGGGAGGGCGGGAATGCGACAGAGGGAGGACTTGGTGGAGGGGGTGTGTGACATGCTAAGTCCGTCGTGTGTGGCACCAAGACGGCATAGTTGGGGAGGGTGGGGTGTGCGTAGGCAGGGCCGGGGATGATGTACAGACAAGACATGAGCTCACCATAGTGGCACAGAGTCTAATCAAGTGATGAAGGATTGGAGTGATCTCGTGGCAGGGTCGAATCGGGGATGTCCTGACTTGCCTTCGCACTGGAAGCTCACCATCTTGGCTGCGGGTACTAATCGCAACTGGCTGTTCGTGCCCTTTTATTAAGAGCCAGGCAAGCAAGCAAGTGATTGGCACCAAGGAGCCGAAGATGACGAGCAGGAGGTGTGGATGTGTTTGACTGGACGCGCTGCGCTGCGCTGCGCTGCGCTGCGCTGTCTTGCAGATTTGCCTTCTAGCCTGTGTTTGCCAGAGGACCTGGCTGGGCAACGGGAGACGGCGACGCTGCTCTCCCGGAAAGACGAACGCACGTCCTCTCTTTCTCACCGAAGCTCGAACTTGACGTTCGGGGTCTGCAGGTGTATCTGTGCCCAAAAAGAGTTCGCGGACAGAGACGGTAGTTCTGGGTGCGATGCAGCTGAAACGCCTTGGACGCCGGGGCTGAGACTGACAGAGCTGGGTTGGTTGGCGAGTTAAATTTAACGCCCTGCAGTTGGAGGCGGATGGAGGGATGGGGATGGAGGTGGTGAAGGATCGAGCTTGGACGCGCGATTGTCTAGACCGTTGGGCCCGGCTTATTATTGGCGGCGGTTGGATGATGTTCAATCAAGGGCCGGCGCGAAAGCGAGAACCGTCGTGCTGGGAACAATGTAACAAGAGCGATCGATGAGTGCCTTCGGTTGGGCGAGCTGGCGGTTGAATGCAAATCCAGCGGTGGGGCCGCGATGGAAGAGAATAGCGAAACCTTCTTGGACCCCAGGTCTGGCCGCAGGGCTGAAGAAGAGCGCGCCGTGGCAAGATCTCGGGCGTGGGAGTGATCTGCAAGAGAGCGTCCGGGCAGCACAACGCAATGCTGTGGTCTGATCAGGAGAAGGCCGGCGATGGTCGACCACGATGGGGGATCTGTTCCTCTGCTGCAGCCGCTGGTCCCTTGCCCTCCTTCCTGTTCTTCTTTCTGCTGCTGCCGCTGCTGCTGCGAGTCTGGCCAATGTTGTTGATTGTTGACAGTCCCAGAAGATAAGACGAACTTCGGGATGTGGAAAAGTTTTGCTAGTCGGGCGCCCATGCAGTTCGCTAAGGACGTGACAAGCCAGCAGGGCGGGCCAGCGAGGGAGAGAGACGCTGGTACGCTGCACCCTGACGTGGTGACCTTGCCGTTCTTGGTCAGCTTTGGGCTGCTGTCGCCAAAACAACTTTCCTCCCGCCCCAGCGCGAAACCGCAGGCGCGTCCAGGATTGGTTGCATCCTCTGTGTGAAGCAGCAAGTGCGCATGCCAAGCAGGTCAAGCCAGTCAAGCCAGAATTGCCGATGTCGGGGTGTGAGCGTAGCCAGCTCAGCTCCCTTCTGGAAACTTGAGTGAAGCTCCCAGCTACCGGCCTAGCTTCCTCAATCTACGGACAACACGGACTACTGGAGCAGGCCACCAGAGATAGAAAGCCTCGTTAATGCCGCGACTCTTGCGACATGGCATAGTAGATGTCAAGGCCTATAACACGACCGGGGCTAGACCACCTGATATCCACCCAACGGCAAGCCACCTGAGGGGCATATTCCTTCTCTGTTTCCCTCTCTTCGCGGCCAGCTGATCATTTGGGCCCCGACTCGGTTCGAGGAGCCCGAACAATGGCTTTAGCAATAACTATACTGATCTCCTCAGTTAATGACCGGCCACAGTACGGCACAACTGATCATGGCCCGTCCAAATCAAGCAGCATGATTCCAGCTTGGGTCGTGGTCTCTGTGACAAATGCTCGAGGACATGACTGAACGCAAACAGACGCCGACGAGGGGCTCGAGCAGCTCGAAGGTTCAATCTCTCCCAGACTCCGTCTGAAGTTGCGGTTGGTCAGCTTGATGCGGGCCTACAAGTAGAGGGCCATCCGGACTTTGACGCCGCTAGACACGCGGGCCCATCTTCGGCCTCGGAGCCGGGACAGCTTCCTCCCTAGCTTGATCTCAGCTCATGTCCAGCTGGAGCATGGGCGACGTGTCCTGACATTCAATCTGAAGCCGGGACGGGCCATGTCCCTGTCACCTGCGACCACTTTCGACCACTTCTGAACGCGACTGCACCACCGGGGGGTCGACCGAAGACCCCACCGGTTGACAAGGGAGTTGTCCTGGGGCAACGGGGAAATGTGTTTCAGGTCGCACACGTCAAGCTTCTTCGACTCCGAGACGCCGTGGCTACGACGCAGTGATGAAGGACTTGTGTCAGCACAATCCTGGGCATCAGTCAAGGGCAGCCGAGCTGGTAGGCTACATATAATTGTCAAACAGCCTGACAGCCGAAAGTGAACAGCCGGAACACTCTCCGAGATGATTGGATCAAGCCACAAATGCACAAGTCGTGGTTTACTGCTTCATGCCAGTGATAATTCCGCTGTGATCACTCAGCGTCACACCTCCCACAAGTTGCACTCGCCACACATGGGCCCAGCTGGGGCCAGTCCTCGATGTCGAAGAGTTTTGCGAATCGCAGCCGAGGTCATGTGTCGTGATGGATATCCTTAGGACTTCGAACGCCTTCCAGTGCCAGGGATCAAGGGGCCAGCCTCTCTCTCAGCTGGAAGAAACCGAAGAACAGCTCCACAGAACATCAGCTCATCAGAGAAAGGTTGAAACAACGTCTGCTCTCTTCAGCCGAGCACAGCTCGGTGTGATTGGAGGCTGGCGCGCTGGCCCGGCGAGACCGCGAGCAGGCGAGCACTGTCCTAGCAGGTGGTGGGTGCCTGGATCCTGTTGTGGTCAATGGCAGACCTCCAAGGTCACGACTTGTGAGGGCTGGATGGGTACTGGTTCGGGTCAACCACAGATCAACAGATCTGACATTCTGATAGACTGCCCCGTCAATGAGCGCCCGACACGAGGTGGATGTGGATATGGTGGCGCGCAGGCCAACTTAGTCATGGCCGGCACCTTGACACCAAGATCAACAGCCCCGACGCATCCACAGACAGTTCCAGACGGCTCCCCTCGACAGGCAACGTCTCGACGCCATCATGCCCGCCCAGCTGTTTTCCAGCCAGAAAGGCTACGCAGTACTGCGACTGCTATCGCGTGTCAGTCCATCGCCACAGCGTCGCAATCAAGGTTGCAGCAGTCAAGTTGTCGCGGCATTGAATGAATGCACTGTACGGTGTTGTGCAGCCCTTGGTACGGCTGGCTGTACGGTATGTAGGCTGGACCCCTGAGCGGGATGAAATCCCAAGGATCTGATCGGCTGCGTGGTACCACAGCACTTGCAGGCTGCGGAGGTACCCAGGTACCCGGATACCCTGGACCCTGGCCAGGCCCATCTCGCTGCGCCCGCATCGCGTAGTCTGCCAATGTGGTACTGTGCAGAGCTCTCAGCAATTCCATGTTCGTTCGGTTGTTCGCGCGTTCGTTCGTTCGACGACATCAACTTGCACAACGCACAACGCTCCAATCCCGCCGTCACGTCGCCTGGGACAACCGCATTGCATTGGGCCACATTGCATGGCATTATCTAACATTACATTACACTGCACTACACATCAACCACACCTCGTCGGCCTGCTTTTTCCTGTTTGTCCAGTGCCTGCCTGTCAGTCACTCGGTCAGTCTCGTCTCGGCTGTGGTATCACCCAATTCCGCCCGCCTCTGCTTGCCGTCCGTCCCATAGCCGTCCGCGTCCCCATACCCAGACCCAGACCCAGTTCGCGGATCTAGGGCAGACCTCGCTTGTTCCTCCAGTTTCCCTACGTCTCCCGGCCGATCTCCTTTCTTTCCTCCTTCCTTCCTTCCTTCTTTTTGTTCTTTACGATGTCTGCCCCCGGTCCTCCTCCCCAAGGCTTCCTGGAGCAATCCGGCACGCTCCTCTACACCGCCGCCTCCTGGATGCGTCTGCCGGCCATAGCTTCGACTGTAAGGCATACTGCCTCCCTCCCCTTGTTCACGGTGCTGCCTATGTCATACACCTTCTGTTTGCTTCCCTCCGCGGCGTTACATGTCGTTCGACCTGCCGTCGCCCCGGCATCTGCCTCCCTCTCCTCCGAATGCGCCGGTCCGTGACCGACGACCGAAGGCGCGACCTGAGGCACTTCGCTAATCTGATCGCGTCCAAGGGCGTTGCTGCTGTGCTCACCTCCCTCCTCTACTTCAAACAAAAGTAAGCCCTATCCCCCTCCCCCGGGGAGTCTGACCAACTGCCCCGGTCGCTCTATAGTCCAGGTCGCCAACCTATATGTGTATCAATTATGGCTCGTCACGCCTGGTTCCGAGAGACTGACCCAAACTCCCAGGGCTCTTATCTATCCCTCGCACATGCCACCGAATGCCCGAACAGATGTCCCCCGACCCTCGCAGTTTGGCATACAAGACTTCGAAGACTTGATGATACCCACCAGCGATGGTGAAAAGCTGTCCGCCTTCTACATGCGCGGCCCGCGTCATGGCCGCAACTCCAAGGTCACCGTGTTGATGTTCCACGGGAACGCTGGCAACATAGGGCACCGTCTACCCATCGCTCGCATGCTCATCAGTCTCACGGGCTGCAACGTTTTCATGCTCGAGTACCGAGGCTATGGTCTGTCCACGGGCGAGCCGGGCGAGTCTGGAATATGTCTTGACGCGCAAACCGCTCTCGACTACTTGCGCGACCGGGCGGAGACGAGTGACCACAAGCTGGTCATCTATGGGCAGAGCCTGGGCGGGGCTGTGAGCATCAAGCTCGTGGCGGACAACCAGAAAGAAGGCGACATTGCTGGCTTGATATTGGAGAACACCTTCCTCTCTATGCGCAAGCTCATACCATCCGTCCTGCCCCCTGCGAAGTACATGTCGCTTCTATGCCACCAAGTCTGGCCCAGCGACTCTATAATACCCAACATCACGAAAATACCCATCCTGTTCCTGTCCGGCCTGCAGGATGAGATCGTCCCGTGAGTTCAATCCCGCTAGCTCGTCTTGGCCCACGGCAATCTGGCCGTCCCACAGAACCTCAGTGCCCCATGTGCCGACTTAGTATCCTCGTTCGGAGGATTCAGCCGGCGCTGGACTCTCTGTGCTTGGAACTGCCATATTACCATGTTCATGCATGACCTGGTGTCTCGCGCTAATCATGTATGTCTCAGACCAAATCACATGCGCAAGCTCTACGAGTTATCGCAAGCACCCAACAAGATCTTCAAGCCGCTACCCGGTGGCGACCACAACTCGAGCGTGCTCGAGGAAGGTTACTTCGAGTCCATATCGGACTTTATCGCATCCATCACCCAGGAATATCCCACCACGCCACCCGAGAAGAGTCGAATGTAGCTGCGCGAGTATTTGGAGCTGGAGAGAGCCGGGTCGTGAACTAAGGGCCGGTAGTGCGGGCGCCTTCTCACCGCCCCCCGGCGGCCGGAACCCAAGGCGAGGTCACTCCTTTCTATCGGCATGGAATTTGTGCTCTTTGAGTAGAGAGCATGTGGCGGCATCGCTGGATGGGAGACCGGCGTCGTTAGGCATGCATTGACGAGGCTACTTTGGCCCGCGGTCTGGGAAAGAAAATCGCGCCTTTGATAAAGATACCCCCTTACGGATTTTAACTGTATTTCTATCTGCCTAGCAACCAACTAGGTTTTTTTTGAACGTCAAAGCCGGTATTCGCCTGTCTCACAAGAGCGCGGGATGACTATCCACAGAGTTGTAATGCTTCGTCCGAGGAATGGAGGTCTTGGGGTGTAATTACCACCACGGGCGATCCAATGACGGATGTTGACCGGGGTCCGGGAGTGGGGCCAGCATGTTGGTGGTATTCAGAAAAGAAGCACAGAGCAACCACAACACTTCAAAGAAGCAGTCCAAGATCGGAAACCCTGGTCTGTCGGGATATTTGAAGAGACTCCACCTTCCTCTGTTAATTCCCCGGGGTAACAAATGACAGTGTTTCAGAACAGATCGAAAAACCAAGGCGATCATGCCTAGAAGTCATTTTCGATATCTCCCATCTCGCGTAGATCCCCCCATATGTGCTATCAGCCACAAGCGACATGATCTCATGGCGAAAAAGCTGGATCAACACACCAAGAACATGGGCTGACGATCATTTCATTTACTGTCGCCACGATTACGGACGAGGCGTGCCTGGGTTTTCCTCGGTTAAATGTAGAAGCTCCCACGCACGTGGAACATCGAGGTACCGCCGGGCTCGCTTGATGCCCGGGTTTCTTTTTCTGCGAGTCCCATACTAAAATGGGCAAAAGCGAGATTTACATCTCATCACATCATCCACCAGTTTTTGTCTGTCCTCAATGGAAATGCTGGCCTCGTGTGCATCGCCTTCCGAGGCGTCTCCCCGCTCCCCGATTGCTATTGCCCCGGCATTTCCACCCCACCCCCCAAATCCACCTGTTCAAGTCAAGAACACAGCCCAACTACTCCTCCGCAGGGACCTCCCCCCTGTTCTCCTGCTTCCTCGCGCCGAGCCTCCGCAGCGCAACGAACCCCGTCCCGGGGACCTTGGCGTCGATGACCGGCGCTGCAGTCCACTGCCTAGGTCGGGCGGCAGCGCCTCTGGCCACCTGGGACCATCCGCCGGCGCCGCTGCCGCCGGACCCGTCGCCCTCGCGCCGCAGGACGTGGAGCGAGGTAGTGTCGGCCGAGCACAGCACCACCCCGCCGGCGGCAGGCCGTCGGCCGCGACGGCCTTGGCGACCTTGGGCTTGAGCGCGGCGAGGAGCGACTCGACCTGCGCTGGGGCGAGGGCCCCTGAGGCTATGGTCGCGGCCGTCGTCTTTGTCGTAGCCCTGATAAGGACCTCGTCCGTGGGGAGGAAGCTGGTCGCGAACGTAAGGTTGTTCCTGTGCTCCGCTGGGACCGCGGCGGCTAGGTCGCCGGCGAGGGCTGAGTCAAGCTCCTCAATAATGAGGCCAAATCTAGGCCTCGATATCAGGAGGGCGTTGTACGGCTGCTGGGCAGGCTTGGGTGCCGAAGACGCCTCTGCGCGCGCCGGCGCGGCTGTTTTGGCGATCCGCACGCACTGCATAAGCGTCTTTCTCGGGGCGGACACAAAGCGCGGGCCCTTGAATATGCTGACGTGTCGATGAGGCTCGGGATCCTGGCTCTCGGAGTCCAGACCAAAGTCCTCTGCCAGGGCGTGTAGAAATTGTCGCTGGTACGGCTTCATAGGCTTGAACCGCATATTGCGCAGGTTCGACTCTGCGAAGACGCGGAACTCGCGCTCCTGCGTTTGCGCCCACTGGGTGTTGTCCCGGAAGAGCTTGAGCGTGACGGCCTGATAAGGGATGTGATCATCCGTGTGGTCTGGTTCGACGTTGAGCGCCTCGGCGAGCTGACGGTTACGTTTCTGCCGCGCACATTCGTCGTCACATTTCAGGGCTTCCCGTTGCGGCCCTTCCGGGTTGATCCGTGTGGATAGGCACTTCACTTTCTGCTTGCGCCGTTGGCAGTCGCAGACTAGGAACGTCTCTGACTGGCATGGTTTGTCCTCGTTGCAAGGGAGTGGTGTGTGACATTCGTCAACACACTCGTGGCCTTGCGGACAAGACCGCCTGGCCTTGTTGCATCGCTGCGAACAATGCGTGCCAGGAATGTCTACGTCTTCGCATTCACCTTCTCGATGACAGGGCTTTTGACAAGTGTGTAAACTAAAAGGGATATCAGCACACCTGAAGCGGCACATGAGTTCGTAAAGTTGTACGACATACCCGCATTTCAGGTCCTTCAAACAAGGCCGGCCGCAGCGAGGTTCCTCAAACCAACATGGCTGGTTCTTCAGGACCTCTTTGCCGCATATACAGCGCTTTTCAACCAAGAATGGGCATTTGGGACACTCGACATCATCTGGGTGGCACTGGTGCTCAACCTGAGGGTGGTTGCACGTTGTTCGAGGCCGAGTGCACGGAAACCTACACTGAGGAGGTTGGGTGCCACACTTGAAGATCAAGTCAGTAATTGTAAGACCCGAGGCTAGAGGCTAAAAAGGTATACGTACTGGCTGGGGAGGATAGAGCCGCGTGCGACCGCAGGCGCAGGCTATTTCCTCAAAGATGGCCTCGAGGCACGAGTTGCAACTGCCTCGATGGCAGAGTTGCTCACAAAAGTGTTTTTGACACGCCAGGAGGCGCCCGCACATCCTAGAACAAATATGCTCATCTTCAACATCGTCGAGGGCAGCATTTGCTCTGCGCCTGTTTGCCTGACGCTTGGCCGCCGCTTTCTCGCCGCGACAGCATCGTGAGTCGCATTGATGCCTTCCACAGTTCAAAGTGGCGCGACATGTTCGGAAGCACATCGGTTGCTGGACATCTTCCGGTGGGACTTGCTGACAAGTAGACTCAACGGTTGTTCGGCCGCATTGACAGGAAATATCCATCTTCTGGAAACAGGGAGGGCATTTCTCAGTATGGCATGTTTCCTGGCAGAAATGGCCACAGGCCATCTTGATACCACAGGTCTGCGTGCAATGGGCGATTTTGTCTTGGCATGACTGTCGAGGTTCCGACATGATCTCCTCCAGAAGTGTCTTGCCGCAAGGGCAATGTGTAACCACATCAGGGGACAGAGGACAGCGGGCTGCTTCTTCGTCTTGGGGATGGCATGGCTTCTCACACGTGTGGAAGCCGCAGTCGTATTTCCGTCCACAACCTTGGTCGCACGCGAATGAACCTTCATACCAGGTCCCGGTGGAAATATCGGACTCTTCGGATAAGTCGGCTTGCAATTGTCCAAAATTGTAGCTTTCAAGGATGTCCTCCCGTTTATTGCAGAGGATCTCCTTGCGTTCCTTGCCGCAGTAACAATTCGAGAAGACTGGCACACTGCAGGAGCCACAAAGGCCAGGATGACACGTTTGACTGCAAAAGTGCTCTCCACATGGTAATAAATCTCCGCAGATCTCGTTGCAACTAAAGCCGGTGACATAGTCAGTGTCGACGCATCGCTTCTGAGAGGTATGCTTGCCGCAAAAGCACGGCTGGACGGGGCCCATGAGCGTGCAAGGCGGACACGGGCCTGAATGACAGGATAACGGGCACGGATGTGGACAAGTTGCGCGTGGCTTGGAGCAAGTCTGGCCACACGAGTGAGGTGGCAGCCCCGGGGTCGACTTCGGATTCAGCTCCTTAGAACACCAACAATGGTAGGGGCCGGGCTCCTCCGTCAACTTTGAATTGCAGCCAGGACATCGCCACGTCGGTTCCTGGCCTTGGGGCTGCTCGCCCTCCATTTGGCTCTTGTACCATTTCCGGGTGCAGTGGTGATGAACAACTGTCCAGCAGGTAGTGCACGCCCATATGCGCGACGTGCGGACGACTTCGGATGAGCATATTACGCACTCATACTGTCCGTTGTCGATGTCTTCGTGAATACGCGTTGTCAAGTCTGGCGCCTCAGACTTTGATGCTCTCCTGGGTCGTGGCTTTGGCGCGTCCTGGGCTTTCGACTTGGGCGGCCGCCTCTCCCTTGGTGGTACGGGCTGGCCTGGGACGAAGGCAGGAGCATCGGCGCTGAGAGACGATGCGGCGTCTTGGTCCACTGCGGAAGAAAGGTGCCCGCCGAATGCCCTGCGAGGAGCGATTTGGGTTCCTTGAGCAGCCTGACCACCCCTACCCCCTCGCCTCCCGCCCCGCCTGTCCCCTCGACCCCTTGAGCTTGCAGTCCTCGAATCCACTGAGCTGGAGGCCCTCTCGTCGGCGGGCCTGTTTGAACCCTCTGTCGTTACTGGAGTCGCATTGCCGCTTGACGGCGGCGCTTGCCCTCCTCCTCCACGGCCGACAGCTCTATTGTGTGCTCCTCGGCCTCTTCCCCGACCAGATCTGCCTCTTCTGTTTGAATTCGAAGTGCCTCTCTGTGATGACGTTGGTGGTGGTGCCCCAGTGGCAGGCGTGACTTGAGAGTCAGCCATAACGATGTGAGTGGGTGTTGAGGTGTGGCGTCCCAGAATGGTATGTCGGGAAGCCAGCTTGGTGAGGTTTGATGTTGCGCTTTTTGAAATACAGCGACTTCGAAACGTTGGTGAAGGTTAGCTTGCAGGAAATTTGAGTGTCGTCTCAAAGTGAGAGATGAGATTACTTCGAGACGAAAGGTGAAAGTTGAAGGCGATACAGACACAGATGCAGCTGGGTAGTCAATTTTGGAATGAGAGGCTGAGGTAATCAGGTTGGCCACTGCAGTCAACGCAAAACTTTGTTGCTTCGTGCTGTATTCTAACTGCAGACGAGACAAACAAAGCTCCCTCTCAGTAGCCCGGTGGCGAGCTGGCTGGGTCTTATCTGGAGCGGGCCTGCCAGTATCCCCAGTGTGCGGGTGGAAAACAAAGATTTCGCACTCGTTGACCAATTCACTTTTCGGCAGGGGCGAAGCCATCCACAAGTGACTCAGAATGAATGATGACCCAGTCGTCGAAACAGGCACCTGCACACCCCTGTAACCGAGCCTCTGCTAGCCGCTTACGGGGCCCGAGTGTTGCTTGGCGCGGCCTTGCCACCGGTCCCGACCCGGGATTCTGGGCCTGGACGGGGACCGGGACCTGAACCTGAACCTGGGGCAAGCCTCCCCACCCTGGACCGCAACTCGCACAATGTCATCCTGCTGTCTCAGAATTGTGACTCTTTGCACAGCCCTATCGAAGCCACCAAGATACCACATCAGTTCTTACTGTGAAGCTGACTGAGAGCTTTCGAGCCCATGACTCCCCAGCTACCACCCAGTCGGCATGGCGAAAGTTGGCGGGACGCATCCTCTCACCATTGAAACCCGAGCAACACTCAGTAGTAAGCGCCCACCAGAAACCTGGTGTGAGATCTGGCCGCCCTGAGCACGAGAATACCTTAGTGGTCTCAAGGTTTCACCACCTCGGCCTAGGGTCACTTTTTGCAGGTACTCTCCAACGAAACTTCACATGTGATAAGAAACCCTAAAACTCCTCCCTCATTTCAGATCCGGTGGCATGCCTAGACTTTCGAGAGTTGTCCTGTTTCTGCATATAACACGAAATCTTCTTCAGAGGCAGAATGCTGCGGTCTATCGTGCTTCCATTAAACAAATGTGCGCCATAACACGAGGACGCCCCCCTCCTCAAGTGGACAAACCGCCTCTTCATATACAAGACGTTTTACCCTCAAGCCATGACTCGCGAAGAAAATGACACAGGCGTATATGCTTGGATTCTGTGGCATCACAGACGCACGGAAACCATTCGTGAGTTCCACTGCTGCAGGCCCCTATCGTTCTCACCAACAGTGTCCTATGTAGCTTTTGACTACTACTCGTCCACCATTCGGCAGTAAGTGGTATGGCAAGTTGAGGTCTTGATGGCTTTTCACAAGCCCTCACAGAATTGACATTTTGTTCACTGGTATACCGCTCACCAGCCTGCTGAAAAATGTCGGCGGCTGAAAATTCCCGCAAGATGTTAACGGCAGACAAGGATGGAATTAACATCAATACTCGCGTGTGTGACTGGTGAAACATAATATGCACATACAACGTATAGAAAATACGACTATTAGACCAATGGACTCTGTTTCACAAATAGCGTATGGAAGGCAGGACGAACTATGAATGACCTCTACCATGACCAGAGTGGCATGAACAGAAAGATTGGCCATTGGATGTCCTCCAACTACATCTAAAGGCTATGAGTCTCCAGAAACCAGGTCAGTCGTTTTTACTGACGATGGTTTATCGAAGGCGTATCAGTATTGTCTGCGCACTTCTAAATTGCCAGTGTAGGTCATCATGGCTTCTGTGTTAAAGTATATTTCTAATACAGCCAGTCTGGACGCGCAGTCTAGTCTCATTTCACGTCATAATACTTCCCTTTACCTTTCTGGGCTCTTTTCCATGGCAGAACCTGGACATGAACATGATTTCTCTTTGAGCCGCCAAATTAAACCCCGACCTAAAACAGCGAACGGGTGCCGGTGCCCACGAGATCGTCATCCGTGAGATACAGGCGCTTTGTAGTTGCGCCAGGTAGGTTTCGTCTTCACATCAGTCGCCATTCAGACACCGAGTCCACTATTGCCGCATATAAGATAGCAGACGAGCGGGCTTCTCCGCCGAGATGAAAGGCGAGGGTAGGATGCCCCAGCACGTTGAGCCTCTCAAGTCCTAATACAGCTTTTGATGAGGTGGGATGACGTGTTGCTTCACAGCAGCTAGCCTCGCATCTCTTCGTCCAAGGAGACACAGAGCTACGATATTATTGAACAAATTTCTAGCACGATGAGAGTTGCATCCTTTTTGACAGTATACTTTATGTCGTAGTCGTTCACAATTGCCGAGGACAGTGTTAACCATATTTAACACCGCATGCTAGAGATCTATGACGCCCTGCGACATCAACTAAGATGGGCTTCTTAAGGCAGATAGTCTCAAATGTTGCATGCACATCCCTAACCCTAGTTTGCAACCACTTTCTAAAATGCTTAAATAACTAAATTTCTTTTATTTCCTCCTTTTAAACTACTCTTAA